TTGGATAGGCGCCATAGCCCTCCATTGTGGGTGTTAGAACAAGGGCAATTCCTGCCACCTATACTGGCTAGAGGCCTGAGTGGCCCAGATTAGCTTAGTATGATTACATAATGCTCCCTATAACACTGGCTGAGAAACAATAAGTTTCCTCAGCGATTCGTCTCTATCATTTGGGGATAATAGAATTGACTCGATCTCACTATTGCTAATTGCCAACTTCTAAGTGCCCTGCAAACCAATCCTAACAGTTATCACCCTGTCTTGATATTCGCTTTACCCTATACAAACCTCTGCGATATACCCCTCTTACCTTGTGTAGTAAGTTACCTATCGTTACAGAAGAGGACGATAGAAGATCTTTTCCTTGGATTATGAAAGGCACTACATCACTTGCGTGCTATTTAAAGCTGTTTAGCACATCAAGCGAGCCTATATTTCCCCAAAAATATAAAGTTGAAATATTTGTCTGATGTATCGATTCTACGATCTTGCTGCTGACCCTGTTCTGTCATGTTATGCTCTATATAGTAGGCAATCTCGGCCTCTTTACCGAGCATGCCGCTATCCACCATGTGAGTCTTAGTCTTCAAACTGTCGGTAGGCCGCATCTGGGTGGGCAAATGGTAGGGTGGGGAGTCCTAGTCTTAAGGCCAGTGGGGAGTCCAAGTGCGCAGTGGGGTGATTGAACAACCTCGGACTAGCGCTGTTGGGTGGCTTGCTGTACGCCGTATACTTCGCACGGTTTGTGACATGAATTCTTCCCTAAGACATGAGGGCAGCCAAGCTGAATTGGTTTGCACTGTATAGCACTTTTCAAAGCACTCTGACCATCATTGCAGGGCTCGCTCGAGTAGCGCACTGTGGGGTCAGGACACTAACTTGTGGGTACCTTGGGGTGGGTACTTTGCGCTATAGTTTCGGGCGGGGTGCCGCCCATATCGTCTGCAGAACAACTTCCATTCACGTTCATAAGTTTGACCACCTGAAAGGAAAAGAAGCAGAAGCGGCAAGAATTGGAACCAGCTGATATTTCAGCAGAACGAACGTCCCATCAGACCAGTGAACCAAGATACTTCCAACATAACAAATGGCTGCACCGGTCAAGACTGTTGCAATTCTCGGCGTAAGTGCTATGATTCTCGTGTCTGTGGCTCTAACGTAGTACGGAAGCTGAAATTGGATGTTTCAGGCCAGTGGAAATTTGGGAGCTGTACTCCTGGATCATTTCTCTGCGCAGGAGGACTCCCCATTGAAGGTCACAGCCGTCACAAGAGAAGGGTCGGATAGCAAGTTTCCAGACTCTTTAAAAGTAGCCTACACCGACTTCAGCTCTGCATCACTTGAGCAGGTTCTCCGCGGGCAGGATGTGGTCATTGACCTGCTTCCACCAGAGGCCAAGGTGCCTCACGAACGCATCATTGACGCTGCCGTGAAGTCGGGGGTAAAGCGATTCTTTCCCTCCGAATATGGCGTCCGGTCTTATTATCCAGAATTTGCCGAGGTCGTGGCGATAACGAAGAAGAAACGATCCATTGTCAAGTATCTGGAGAAGACACAAGACAAGATGAGCTGGACAGCCTTGCTGTGTAACCCCTGGACTGACTTTGTACGCCCCTCATTCTCCCTCTCTCTTTGCAACGCCCTGCTAACATTCGCCCCAGTGTGTGGTTGATGGTCTTCTCGGCTTCGACCTGAAGAACAAGAAAGCCCAAATCTACAACGGCGGCGATGTACCCTTTTCTGCTGGCCTCCGCGAACTCGCCGGAAAGGCTTTCTACGCGCTCCTCACCAACGTAGAGCAATTCGAGGAAGCAAAGAACCAGTACATCCACATATTCTCTTATACCACCACGCAGAACGAGATTCTGGCTACGGTGGAGAACATTCTGGGCGAGAAATTCGAAGTTACCCACGTCAGGTCAGAGGAGGTACTTCCCCAGGCCGAGATGGAGGCCAAAGAAGGTAAGAACCGGGGTCTAGCTGCTCAGGTGCAGGCAATCTTTTACAGTCGGGACGCGAAAGGGAACGGAGTAGGCGACTTTCGGCCTCTTGGGGACTGGAGCGAACGCTTGAAGCTGCGACCGACAAACTTGGAGGACGACTTGAAGGGACCCCTTACGGGAAATTGGAGAGGTATTCTGCATTGGCAACCTGAGGAGCTTCCCGACTATAGCTTAACTGTCTAATCCCATCGAGTACGGGTTCGCTTGAACAATGCAATTGTCTGTACTATTATCCGTTTATTAGCATCCTAGTGCACTACATCAGCACGAGTAACAGACTGTGCTATAATAAACTATTGTGACTGATTACACTGTAGTACAGGTTGTAACACTTTGATGTAATAAATGTTAAAGAGTTATGTTGGCTACAGCATAACTAATCCAAGCATAAATTCTGCCTCTAATTCCGACAAGCATTACATGCTTAAAATAGTATTGACATAGATGTAAATCTGGGAGCACAATCGACTCCAAAGTTGTAGTAAAGCTTTAACGTCGTGATTATGGAGCTTGACCTCCTGCCTATAGAGAAGTCTAGAGTAGTCATGTCCGCAGTAACACATAGAACAGGTCCACAGACAAAGAAGAATAACCTGATTTGTGGGTATTGCCCCATGTTGTAGTATTCTGAATGATGCCAATAGCTCCTTCCCGGGCTGCTATGGAGTTGGAGCAGTTCCTAGGACTTTACGGGCCTGTAATTTGTATTTTATATAGGAACGCAGATGCGCTGTAAACGGGAACTATAGCTGCAATGTAGCTTTCTCAACGTAGGCACGGTAGCAAAGACAGGGGAGGTAAGATAGATAGTTTACAATAAATGCAGGGTGACTGATGAGATACCAAGCATATACCAAGGAAGCCGAAAGAGACGACTTAACTGGCTGCAGATTGGATCTTCGCCAATCCGAGCCCAACACAAGCCAAAAGCACACCAAAACAATCAGAACATCGCCAGAACCAATACTCTCCAGTGCAGCCGCACAGGCAAGCGTGGTAGTGGCAGCATCACCAGGTGAAATTCTGATCTCCTCGCGAAGAAGCGCAAAGAATTTTACAGGAGAGATGGCCAGTGCGCGCCAAGAAGGAGAAAGGGCTAAGCCCGACACAGACACGATGGAAGGCATTATCAAGCCTGCCACACCTCAAACAGGTGAAAAAGAAAAGAATAAGAGCGGAATCAACAAATTCATGCAGAAACTACAAAAAATGGCAGCTGACATAATTTCCCAGGGTCATAAGGGAAAAGATAAACAGGAGATAATGAAGGCGGTAGAGGAGGGAACAAGTAGAATCCTAAGAGAGGTTAGTAAAGAACTAGAAATCATTAACAGAAAGGAAACAAGAAAAGAGGAAGGGCTTATGGGTGTCCAGAGGGACATCCAGCAGGGCTTCAAGAGGATCACAGAGATCCTACAGAAACAGAACCAGGCACCCAGCCAACCGAGAAGCTGGGCCGCAGTAGCAAGCGGAATACCAAACCAGGGAGTAAACATGGATACCAGGAGCTCCCAGGACACCCAGGATAGGTCAATAACCCTGAAGATCACCGAACCGGAGGTCCAGAGACACATCCAGGAAACCGCACCAGGAGAAATAGTAGAGAAGATCCAAGGAAGAGGCGGAGCGTGGTCCAATGTAGTAGCGGCGAGAAAGGTCCGGGAGGGACTCATTCTCACTACCACAGACGCCACGGCCGCAAAACAAATCACAAAAGCAACAGATGTGGCAGAGGTGATCCAGGGCGCAAAATTGGTCCAGAGGCTGTACCCGATACAGGTACACGCAGCGGCAGTTCAGGGGCCGGATATCCAGGAGGGGGCAATCCAGGAGCTGGAAAGAGAGAACAATAAGATAGTCCCAGGGATCAGGCTCGCCAAAGCATGGTGGAAGAACCTGAAAGCAATACAAAAAGGAGAAAAGAAACACTCCACACTCGTGTTGGAGATCCGAGACAGGGAAGCTGCTCAGACACTGCTACAGCGAGGAGTAGTGATCAGAGGGGTCCTCCACAGCACTGAGCCATGGGACCACGCGTGGGCGATCATGCAATGCTTCCAGTGCTACCAATATGGTCACACAGGAAACAGGTGCACAAATAAACCAGCGTGTGGCAAATGTGCAGGGCAGCACAATATCCGTGACTGTACTCTACAAGAGTCAGACAGGACAGAAGAGAAGTGCGTGAACTGCGGCATGAAACACGCAGCGTGGGCACCACAATGTACCAAGAGAGTACAGAGGAGGACCTACCTGCAGGGGCTTCGAGCGAAGGGAGCCAGGTGGCTCTCATCAACGCCTGCACAGCAGATGATCCCAGCACCAATGGAGGCTGCGGCAAGGGAGAAAGGCAAAGAAGGGGAGTTTCAATGGCAGACAGTGCAAAACCACAAAGCACCAGCAGGAGGAATCCTAAAGAGGAGGCCAGGCCGACCCCTAGGGGCGGTTAACAGAGCAAAAACCATTCAGCCAGAACGTGGCCAGAGAGATATTTTTCGCTCTATAAGAGCTAGTATGCCGCCAACAAGCGCACCAATCACAACACAGTCACAAACGCCAATACAACAGCCCATGCCCAGCACCCAATGAGAAATGCCGAGCACATACGAATACTACAGGCAAACACCCAAAGGAAAAGAGAAACACACAAGATACTACTAGAAGAAGGGAAGGCAGACATTGTCACTATACAGGAACCCCACCAGGGGACCCTAGATGGAAAGCCCCCAACACACCCAGGGTACTACACCATCATCCCAGAAACAGCGGGATACAGAGTGATGGCATACATCCACAAGAGCATTCCTAGATCGGAATGGAGTTACACTATCCTCAGTGGACTCAAGATGGTCCTACACATACAGACAACGATAGGAGTAATTCACATACACAACATATACAACCAACACACCACCATGACAGCAGACGAGATACTTGAAGGCATTGAGCTTCCAGGAGAGCATGTTATCACAGGAGATCTCAACCTGCACCACCAATGGTGGGGCGGAGAATCAGTAATACGCGAAGAATTAGTAGCCCGGGAACTGCATGCGCGATGCCAAGGAACCCTATATCTACATACACTAAGAGGACTAAAGACATGGAAAAGAAAAAAGCAAGATATAGAAGGAACAACAATAGACCTTACCTTAGCCACAGCACAGGTTAGCAACCGGATTATAGCATGTCAACCGACAGGGATGCATGTAGACTCCGACCATCTACCAATACACACAGATATCAACATAACAATAGAAAAGGAAGATAAGGGCAGATGGCTCTGGAAAGACACGAAATGGAAAGAGTTTAGGGAACACCTAAAGATCCAACTTCAGGATCAAGATCACCTGCCAGCAAATAAAGAAGAGATTGACCAGGATATAAAGACCCTACTCTATGCCCTACAGGACTGCAGAAACAAATACACCCCATACCGAAAATACCGACCCCCAGACCCAAAAAGCCATCCGGTGGTACAGGGGGCGAGAGCGCAGACACGCCGAGCGTTCAGAGATGCCAGAGTGTACAGAACAGAAGAAGCATGGGAATACTGGAAGGAATGTAGGAGGCAGCAAAAGAAAATCACAAGAGAGGAATCTATGAAGGCATGGAGGACTCTTACTCATGACAGGACCCAAGACACCATGACAATGTGGAACATAGCAAAATGGGCTAAAGGCGCAAGCGAACCTATCCCCCCACCACTAATGCCCGACCTAAAAATTGGAGAAGAAACCTTCCAGACAAACTTGCAGAAAACAGAGGTACTTAGGAGAGTAATGTTTCCACCGCCGGAACCGGCGAAAGTATCAGACATCCCAGGCGCAACATACCCAGAGCCGGTACAAATAGAACAAGTAATCACGGAGGAAGAGATAAGCACAGTAGTCAAGAAACTCCCAAACGACAAGGCACCAGGGCCTGACTCTATCCCGAACCGTTGCATTAAACAATGTCTCGAACAACTAATGCCACACCTACAACGGATCTTCCAGGCATGCATAAATGCGGGGTACCATCCAGCAAAATTTAGAGAAGCACAGACAATAATGCTCCAGAAACCAGGGAAGGATCCCTCCAACCCAAAAGGATGGAGACCCATAGCACTGTTATCATGTGTTGGCAAGGTCCTAGAGGCAGTCATTGCACGAAAGATTAGTGAAGCCTCTAGGACACACACACTACTTCCAGAGAACCAAATGGCTAGAGCAGGATGCTCTACAAACATGGCTCTGAGATACATCATAGAGACAATCCAGACAGCATGGGAAAATGGCAAGGTGGCAACGGTACTCTCCCTGGATATGGCAGGCGCCTTCGATAAGGTGCACCACGAAAGGCTCATCCACAACCTACGCGAAAGGAAAATACCAAGATGGATAACAGACTTCGTCCTATCCTTCCTGACAGGAAGGAGCACATCTATCTCTATCCCTGGATACGAGAGCCCAGTAGAACCAACCCAATGCGGAATACCACAAGGCAGTACAATCTCACCCATCCTGTTCCTGTTCTTCACAGCAAATCTTCTTGAAGGAATGCAAAGAACGGAGGCAGTAGGATATGCAGACGACACATACCTGATCTCCATACACAACTCCACGAAGTTGACGTGTAGAGACATAGAAGAAGACCATAACCGATGCGTTGCATGGGCAGCTAGGCACGGCGCTAAGTTTGCTCCGGAAAAGTACAAGGTTATGCATTTTACAGGAAACAAGAGGATAAATGCAGAACAGAGGCGAATGCCAAATATTGCATCCCTAGCAGGAGAACCAGAACAACACATGAGGATTCTCGGGGTTATGGTAGATCGGAAGCTAAACTGGAAAGCCCACGTCCATAACGCTGTCGCCAAAGCAGCAAGAGCTGAGGCAGCAATCCGAAGAATCACAGCCTCAACATGGGGCGCCACCCTGCAAAAAGCCAGGCACTTATATGTAGCTATGGCCCGCCCAGCGATGATGTATGGCAGTGAATGCTGGATGCCACAAGGCAAACTAAGGCAAGCACTAATACAGAAGCTCAACTCAGCACAGAATAAGATACTCCGGGCAGTGGCTGGGGCATACCGAGCCACACGAGTAACGGTTCTGAGATGGGAAACAGAGATAGAAGAGATATCAATATATGCCAAGAGGAAATATATCGCATTCACGGCCGGCGCAATGGAGAAAAGCACTATAGAAACCTTCCAAAAGCTAAGGCAGAGAATCCAAAGGAGATGCGAAAGGCTGAGCGGCACACCACGCAGGAGACAGGTAGGTGTGCGGGAAGAATACCTACACCATGCCAGGGAAACAATAACAAGAGACCTACTCAGGGTAGAACCGGAAATACAACAAAAGACCAAGAAAGAGAGAGCACAAGCTGCTAAGCAGCTTGCTAACTCTGCCCGGGACACACAGATTTCTCAGGAGTGGGAAAAACTCAGAGGTATAAGATCGCTATTCGCACTCTCAGCTCCACAGCACAAGGAGTACATAAGACGGTATCAGGGGCTCAGCAAGGCCCAGGCCGCAATCCTAGTGCAAGCCAGAACAGGAGCCATAGGGCTCCCGGCCTTCTTGCACCAAAGAGGTGTACCAGAAGCTAATCCAGAGTGTGAATGCGGAGAGATTGGCACGGTCCGACACTATTTGGCATTTTGTAGGCTCCTCGCAGAACAACGCCATCAGCTGGAAAACGATACAGGGACAAGCGACGCAAAAGCATGGCTGAACGGGCACCCACGAAAGGTAGCAATCTGGATGCTAGAACACCTACCACTCATGCAATTCTCATGGATGAGGAAACACATGGGGGAGATGGTAAGGGGAAGGGGAGAGGAAGGAGGGGAGGAAGGAGATGAGGAAATTGACCCTGGCTGAAATCAGTCAGCTGCCCAAGGGCGTTAAAATGTCGGTACAACAGTGAAGCACACGCAGAAGGTGGTAACCCATTAATAAGAAAGGGAAGCCAAATGGGAGATAGGAGGGAGTTTTGCTGTACTTTAGTTTTCTCCACTACAAATAGGATAGGATAATCTAGAAGGGGCGGCAAGCCTAGGACTTATAAGTCCTCTAGTAATCTAGTAATAATAATAATAATACCAAGGAAGCCGTCTTCTCCGGCTCCTAAAACCGAGCTTTCTGAGGCTCACAACTCCAATCTCCGCCCAGCCTTGTCTAGCGTGGGCAAAGTCTACCTCTTTCCAGGTACGTGAATTCAGCACCTGCATTGTATAATTACTTGCGCTAAGTAACAATGTGCTCATTACGTTGATAAGAGTATAATATGCAGTATTGTAGCGCATGACCTTGGTAGAATCGCCTCTTATGAGATGACCGACACCTCCGACGAAACCTGATATAGCTCCATGGAGAAGTAGGCCAACATTCGCTATAATGACAATGCAAGCTACCAGAGGTCGGTTATAACGCCAATCCGCCAACTATACAAAGTCTTCATCGCCTTCCATTACGAGGCTGCGTATCCCTGGATCACTTTGAGGACGGATTTGAAAAGGTAGACAAATCCCGAAGGCTTCGTTCGAACGTGGGGAGAACGGCTATCCCGTGAGGGACTTTCGAATGTGCATCAGCATGACGTTATTCAATGGTAAATACTACATACCATAATCATCCAATTACGACTCTATTCTACTATTGTGCTGCACAAATAACAGCGTGATAGACGATTGAGACTGATTGGAATCAGGCTGAGGCCTGTCTAAGAACGCCTCAACTTTCATCTCCCTCGAGAGTATTCATAGTCAATCGCGTTGCAAGTCCTTGTAGAAAGTGATCCAAGTTGGTATATTTTGTATATTTTGGGTTAGAGTATGTTGGGTCGCAGCAGCATGGGGTGTCTTTTGGTTTGCTTCAAAGCAGATAGTGTACACAAGGCTTTCGTGCCTAGGGGAGGCGAAAGCTATATAGAGTAACCAATAGCCTTGCAAATAAGCTACCTCCAGTATCAATCATGAAATTTCACTGCCATCGAGTAGAAGAATTATTGCCAATGTGTATTACTATCAGGAAATTCACGTAAAGATAATATATGGCATGCTAGGGTGGGGGAACATACTGTGCACTTTTATCTTTGTTAATTGATATAGCGGGCTGACTTCGGATCGACAATTATTCATGGAGCCGTTGCTAGATACTGCCAGATAGTTAAAGGCTTCTTGGACTGTATCAATAGAGCTGCTTAGGTCACGAGGTGGAACAACTTAGGGTCTTCTAAAGTACAGCCGGACTAGCATGAATCGGAACAAACTAAGTATAAGCATGAGACTACGCAAAGCTGGGAGATTGATATTTAGCATACAGTACTGAGTTGGATATACAAGCATACTTTCCTATATTTGCTCTTGCGAAGATACACCATGATTATCTAAACCTGTCTGTACCTCTCCTGTTTGTCTCGGTGTTGAATTGATGTGCGCAAGACGGCATCCAAAGGCTGACTCTGTACGTCCCTGTAATTCTGATGATTCTCTGACCGAGAACTTAATAATAGTACGTGTTCTAGATTTCATTCACTACACAATTTTGATTTGCAATTTCTGCACAGTAACGTAACTGTAGGTATCTAGTAGGACGCTTGCTACTACCAAGTTACAACAGGTCCGATGCAACTATACAATAAGTCCAACTTGGTCTAGGTCAGGAGCCCAGCTTGTGCCAACGCCAGATACTGTAATATTGTTAGGTCCGGATGTGTTGAATCCTGATAATTCAACTTTGAAACCTCGATAAACATCTACCTCCCAGTTATAGCCACTCAGCGGAAAGCTTACAACCTGTGCAGAGCGGCCGTTTACACTGATAGATGCCAGACGCTCATTATTACTGCCGCCGAGGTAACCAATCTCGCAATTGATATAGTCGAAGGCCACGGGTTGGGTAGCCTGAGACGTTTTGAGACCAGTCAATATCAGCCGGCCGTTGTTAGAACCTCCCAGATTGCCGACCTTGCTACCAGATAGACAGCCGGAGCATGGCTGTATATTCGAACCTGAAGAAAGTACCCCACTTGATGCTGAGATATTTCTATACTCTGTCTTTGCTGCCTTCATGTACACAATATTCGAAAGACGTAGCGGTGCCGATCCCCGAGCTTTTACTGCTTTTGAGAACGAGGTAGCGCTGTCTACAGTCTCACCATTCCACAGATCTTTTATAGTTGCAGACTGGATTCCAATATCAGATAGGTGCAGCGTCAATGTACGTTCGGTGTTGCTAAGATCGACAAGCAAGACTGCACGATCTCCATTTGATAAATCACCAGCCCAGAGATCTCGATCGGACCTCCAACGCTGTTGAAGTTGAATGGGCTTCACAGATGGGTCTTGGTTGATCGAAATGAGATCTTTGTTTTGAAGCATCTTGATTGTTTCGGGTGTAAGCGTGGTAGGGTTGGTTGAGATCATGAGAGCAGATTTCAGCATGGCCCAGCTAGCAAAATGGGTCGCTTGCTCGTCGAAGGTCATACCCTTGTTCCCCACCTCGAGCATGTCTGCATCAACAACGTGCCCAGGCCCGATGGTACCAGAACGCGCAATGTGTATAGCTTGGTTGTAGATGCGGTAAACGTTTTCCCACCCTTGGGCTATGTCATCCGACAAGCGAAATGATGTAGAGATCCCTCCGGTCCATTTGGAAGGCCCATCTAGTCCAGATGATGTTGAAAGTGGGACACCCCATTGGCAAATAAGCATACCGTAAATTCCAACTTTCTGTAGGTGATCCCACATAACTCGGAACCTTGTCACAAAGTCGGTCCTTGGATCCTTGGGCGCATTCTGGGTTGATGATGGTCCGTCAACGTAGCAATTATCATCTAGTTAATCAATTTAGCAACAATTAGCAGCATTGGATTTAATAGGAGGACAAACATTTAACATATTCGGTGTTAAGGCTCTTGAAGAGAGCTGCATCTGCTGCTTCGTGCCCGAGGGATCCTAGTACGGGGCTTGGAACCTCTGTATCGCACATTCTCGTCCCTGCATCTGAATACATTGACCATTTCATTCCCTTCGATCGCGCTAAATTACTCAATGGCTGTAAGCCATTCGGAAATCTTTGAGTATCAATTGCGAGTGCGCCACTAGTTTGATTGCGCTGTCCATCTCTCGAAGCCCAACCGCAATCGAGTTGGAAGTACTTGTAGCCAGACTCTACAAAGCCGAGGTCAGAGAGAGATTTGATAGCAGCTTCGATTGTAGTGCTGTTAGGAGAGCAAGCAAGATAATTATAGGAATTCCACCCTAATAGAGGGGTTTTCGGAAATGACTGAGCATGAATATTTTGCGTGCCTGATAATAGGACGAAAGCCAGTCCTAGTAATTGCATATTGTTTCATTGACGTATTGATAGATGTGATGTGGGAATGGTACGAAGAGTAGTAGGCAATGAACGATACTTGCGTATCCTAATTTATACAAACCGTCATTGATGAAACTAATATCGACAACATAGCGGGGTCAACGGAGAGACTAATGATCCCTGTGTACGAATGTCTTCGATCCCTGTGTAGGGAAAATAAACCCTACGCTATGATTTCACATAGGTAGCACCAATGTTAGTTAGCACATGGAAACTGCATTAGCACAATCAACATCTGATGAGTTGAGAAATCCGACAGCGGTTATTAGAGATTAACAACTTGCATCTTTAACAAAGCTCAAAGTCGGATCATGGAAGAAGCAGAAAAGCTGAGTCCAACCTATTCGGATGACAGGCATTGATCAACATAGAGAGGTTGAGCATGACTGTATATCAGTCGATAGGGAAAGTAATATCAAGCTTGGTTTAGTGAAGCAAATTTGAGGACTATTAATGCACGAATAAGGACGCATGTCTGTTGTGCTTGAATCGGAGGAATACCGAATGAAGTCGATATTACCTTAGTCCTTCAATTCTGGGCGCATCGGAGCGCATCGGAAGGGTATTACCCCGTGTCTATAGATTGGGTTGCTAGGCCAAATACAGAATCAGCTGGTCAATCGCCCCTCCAGAAGCACTCACAAACGTCAGGAACTTGCCATTAATTGACCATGCACCGTTCGGTTTCAGTGCCGTCAATTTCTAGTTTTAGTCATGTGAGTAGATTTTTCAAGGAAGAAGCATTGATTGCAGATACGAAAGAATTCCACAATTGTAACGGTATCCAATGTAGCAGGGAATAACTATAGAAGCTTGGAGAATCAACCGTAGGCTGATCTTTCTCTCAAAACACCTTCCTTTGATCTTCTATAGTTCGTATATGAATGATATGGTTCCCTAACTTTACTACTCTGATTCTACAAGAGATAAAACCCTAATACTATCAAACTGAAGTGCAAGCTATTATACAAAGGATGTATCTTGTATATAGAGGATATCTTTGTAAACAGTCCCTAGGCGGTTCACTGCAAACGGTTCTAAGTGCTTTACTATTCTAGCAGCCAATTAATAGACCTTCCTCTCTGCAAGCAACTGTAGATAATGGGACTGTTAATGACGCTTCTCAAACCAGATGATACGGCGTGATACTGATAGTCAGCAATAACCTTTTTAATACAAGATGCGCCATTATAAATATCCCATCCCCCGAAACATAGTCTAGTAGATATTTATCCTATATATGCAGTGGCAGAGATTATGCCAAGTAAAGGTTTTGGTCACAACATGCTTTGTAGCGGCTTCTATCAATAGTGGGAAGGCCTCAGATCCAGGAGCTAGTGAAACATCTTGACCTTCAAGGCCTATTCCATTCATGTTCAAGGTCGTTGCAGGTAGCTCGAACACGAGATGCTTCTCGGCACACGAAATTTCTATACTTGCACCGACTAGGCCGTCTTTAAGAGACCGGGCAAGTAGATTCTGAGGGCGAGTGGCCACAGACCTCAGGCAGTTCTATAGAGCTTATAGCAGCAAAGGGTATCGCGCAGGTTCATTTCCGGCTGTTAGGGTTATTGCATGGTGGTCCACAAGCAGATCAAAAGTAGAACAATGCTAAGATAAACTTATTCATGCTTGACATTATTGATTACACTCTTGACAAGTGCGTGCCATATAAATATCGAAGTGTGTTCACGAATATGTTAGATCCTTTCGGGTAGACGACTCAAGTATATGCCAAACACTAGTTGTAGCATTTTCCGGGCGCTATTCGTCGAAATGTCGGAATGCGTTCTGCACAGGAAGAGAACACTCGGTATCTACAAGCTTATCACTTAGCTTCTTGCTTTCTTGGAATTCGCCTAGATCTTTCAATACGCCTACATGCCTGTTCTTCATAACTCTCGTGCTTTGAATCGAAACATTCATGGGTTCATGTGCAGTGCAAAGATTACCTGGATACTACAAAACTTCACTAAATTTTCATTACCATTGATCTAAGCTATAGACTTGGAGCTCCCTGCTCCGTTTTCTAGTTGATTGACAGGTTGGACGTTCGTTTCAGTAAAACCCTTATCGTTTGGTTCGGGCAAGACCCCAAGGCCAGATGTTACTGATAGCTTGCCTGTTACAAGGGAGTCTTCCGATCCGTGGGGATTGTTCTTCGTTCTCTGAGTTTGTAAACCACCTGACATATGGAGGTTCATGCGATTGTCATTAGTCCTTCTGCGCGCTGATGATAGCTCATAGTGCTTCCCATAGCTGCTTGTGTCGTGCTGTGTGTTGCCTAAAATCATGGCACGCAGCGCAGGTAAACAGGACACAATGATGGCGATAGTAGTCTCTACCATAGAGACAGTACAGGTCAGCATTGTTTCATTACGAGAGGAATAGTAGGCTCGAATGACTACGTTTCCATTAGTACGTATGCTAAACAAACGTGAGATGAAGGTGCTTACTGCTGGATATAATGACAAATAAACCGAGCGCAAATACACCAGCGACAGCAAGCTTTTGCTTGGGTTTCATTTGAAGTCTTAGAACCATCGAAATCGGTAGGCACATGATGATGATGTCACTGAATATGTTGACTAAGTGTCCTTCGTTAGCGAGAGTGTGTTACGGATGCGGTACCATCATACATAATATAGTTATCCAGAAGTTTATATTAGATGCCTTTTTATCACATTGATCTATTCAAGTTTAGTTATCGGTGTTGACAAACCCGAGGAGTATGATGACCTACATTTAGGGTCTGTTGACCAGCGTTTATCGTGCGGGTAACATTGGAAGATTATGTCGAAAAAGATGACCAGATATGTGGCTACTAAGCCTCCGAGCGCTATGTTGTAGAGAAGAATCAATTTCGAGCCCGGGAAAGCAAGGCGTTTGTACAGAAGCACGAGAGCAAACTTGACTGCCCATAGAGATGATACATAAAGAATCGATCCGGGAACTATCATCTGCATCAATTCCTTAAAGTGTGCAGGAGTGATTGTCGCCATGTTCCCAAGACCTAGATTCCACATGTGTTGTTGAATGACCAAGTCGCCGATGAGGCAGAGCAATGCCAAAATGATAAGGTAATCCTCGATCGCAAGCCCGCCGAACCGTGTCCATCGCGTGTGCATGCGGAGGCCGACAAACGGCACTGCAGCAATTGTACAAATGTACCAGGAAACCTGCAATTTTGTTCAGCGATAGCCGTGAGGACGAGAATATTCTGTTCTTACCACTTGACCGAGGCCTGAATTTGCCATGATTGTGAACCTTCAAGGTTACGATGGCAACTCAATGCGGTGTTCGGGGTGCAAATCTTCCCATTTGCAGGACAGGGTGGGAAAAGCAGAAGGATTGAGATCAACAACAGGGGTTCTCATGGCGTACATGTGCCAGCTTTACATACCCACCTTATGAGGCTTCTGACAAACCGTTGATCCTTCCAGTCGGTAAGGATGCGAAGATTCGCAACCTCGGTGCTGTCAAGAAATGAACGTTAATAGGTTGAGTGGCGAGGCATAAAGTAAAGTTCAGACCCGTCATGCACCTCACATATTAGCGACTACAAGGTTGAGGGTTCAACACGAGAGACTTAATGCCTTAGCGATACTTCTTGGGTTCCAAAATCCGTACAGTTGCTATTCATTGGTTCGGTCAGATTAGTATATCAACGAATTCAGGGCATCATCGGCCCGACTCCACTCTCGTTCCCACATCACGAAACTATGCAACATATCCGAGTTGTTAGATCTATTAGTTTGACGGGGCTCTCCCGTATTTCGTCTTAGTCAAGTGTAAGGAGCTTTTCTTGTATGGGTTTTATCTGAGGAGGGAATCCCATGCAGGAGAAGACGCGAGAACATGCAATCCTTAAGGCGTCCTGAGTGACCAATGTATAAGATTACCTGGTTTTGCTCTGCTTATCTCAGGAAGAAAGTACTATCATCATCTAACACTCTGTGACGGAAGCACAGTCTACTACTCACGTTCACTAGCTACTATATTTTCTACTATTCAACGACCTCCCTTAAATAACAAAAGAGTCATGTTCGTCTGTGCGCCACAAGCGCAACTGCGCAAAGACACTAGATATGCCATTTTCAGAAAACCTATCAAGCGGCCCTTTTCTCCCTTTTTATTGTGCCGAGCTCTACCGTAGTATCCCCGACATACTCGCCTTTGCCCTTCATGGTCCAGCAATATTCTCGATAGGAGGTCAAAACATTTGGGCCAGGACCCACGTGGCTCCCACGTGATTCTATTGAACTGCTGGCCCGTTTAAAGTGATCATCACCTCTAAATTTCCGTTTCTGCCTGTCACTTTGCATTTTATACATCGCGGCCATGAGACTACTGTATGGGCTGATCAGCGTGAGCATTGGCATTGGCATTGGTGCTGAATGCAGATACATTGTAGCTCCAAGTGGTTCTCCCGCTGCACCCAATGGGCCTCCTGCACCACCCAATGGCCCTCCCGCTTCCCCCAGTGGACCTCCCGTTCCCCCGAGATCGCCTCCTGCTCCTCCAGCCGCAGATTCCAAGTTGAGAGTGACTTTGCCTCAGGCTGTGATAGAAGGCTTCAGAGACACGCATGAAAACTCGGTCTTTCTTGGTATACCATTTGCTGATACAACAGGAGGACAAAACCGGTATGTGTTCATCTGCTCTTGAAAAGCAGTAGACACAATCTGAATCCAGAATTTTTCTCACAAAGAAACAGATGGAAAGCACCTCAGAATGTCCCTAAAGCTCAACCAGGCACCGTGTTCAATGCATCTCAATATGGCCCGACATGTCCTCAGGCTATTAGTGGGACACTGTTCTCCCAGCAAAGCGAGGATTGCCTGAATCTCAACATTTGGGCCCCCTCGTCAGGCTCTAAGCTTCCAGTATTTGTTTACATGTATGGCGGAGCAATGGTCACAGGGTCGAGCAGCAATCCTCAATTCCAGGGAAACAACTTCGCTCGTAAAGGTGTCATTTTTGTCAGCTTCAATACGCGCGAGAGCATATACGCATATCCTAGTTCAGCCGAATTAGCTGGCAACTCTGAGTCTCAAAATTTTGGTATTCTTGATGTCGACAAAGCTTTGGAATGGATTCACGACAATATTGCTGGTAAGCCGTGGCGACTCCAATCCGACAATTTCAAATGTCGTACTATACTCACATTCTACAGCATTTGGTGGAGACCCAAATCATATTGTGTTTGGAGGTCACTCTTCTGGTGCAGTCCAAGTTGACCATTACCTCTGGAATCATCCCAACACGTTCCTTGCCGGTGCTGTACAGATGGCTGCCAATGCCAAGTCGGGACCTGCTGTAGCTCCTACGAACGAGGCACTCGATATCGTAGCAGCGGAGGTCGGATGTCCGACTGGCGTTGGGCAGCTTGCCTGTTTGCGCGAGGTAGACTTCTTAACCTTCCAAACCACAAACTTCAACTCGACATACAACACATGGTTTACCCCGGCAGTCGATGATAAAACACGTTACCGAAATTACGAGTCCCGCTTCGCGGCTGGAAATTATGCATCCCATGTGCCGCTACTTACAGGCAATTCTAACTTGGAGGGCGCGCTTTTCAGCCTTGTCTATGGCGGTATCAATACAGACTTTACAGCATGGCTCAGCACCTTTGAAGCCGATGTCGCACAGATTCCGAAAGATGATCTCGAAGCTGCCTACAATATTTCTGATTTTGCCTCTGTCTCTGCAATGAGCGGTGCCCAATACGGCGATGCCAGGTTTTTCTGCCCTGTGGATTACCTCCAAGACCTGAGAAGCTCTACACAAGATACTTGGACATACCGCTTTTTTGGAAATTACCCTAACGTCTACGGTCTTCCCGTGGACGCACCCACGCACGGCACTGAGATACCTTTCTTCCTGGGTGGCAATGAGTGCTTTGAAGCCATGCAGGGGGTGACACCCGAGCAACAGGCACTCGCTGATTTCCAGAATGATTGGTTTGTCTCGTGGATCAAAAATCCGGCCGCCGGACCTGGTTGGGACAAGGTCACGCCTGAAAAAGGCCCTGTTGGTAAACTCGGTGTGCCCGGAAATGAGCTTGCTATCGAGGTCGGGTCAACAGCAGACTACAACCAGCGATGCCAGTCCGTAAGTCAGCTTCCATACGTGGGCAATCGGTCTAGTCAAACAACAACGCTAACAGCAGTATAGGTGTATAAGCCTCGGCTTCCTGCGTATCCAGTTCTCCAATCTGTCCAGGCGCTGCTGCAAGCAATCCTCTAGCTTTAATAGTCAACATTATATTTGAAAAGATACTCGATAATCCATTGTATATAAAAGAAACAAACACTAGCTAGATACTTATGTGAAAAGAGGTTTCTCTAGTAACTAAAGTGCGCTTCCAACAAGGTGTTGACTCCCGGTAACAAGTGCGTGCATGCCGCCTGCCTTAGCTCCTAGCTTTCTTGCAGAGGCCAAGGCTGACTGGATGTTGGGTTCAAATTGAACACAAGAATCCTTATGGAACTTTTTCCAAGTCTTGGTGAATGCTTCATGCGTAACATCTTCTGATCTAGCAGATATAGCTACATAAAAATGAGCAGACATTTTCAGTGTTCAAAATGAAAGCTGACCAGTTGCTGACTCGATAGCCTCTCTTGGATTGTAAACAGTAAAGATGGCATGATCAATCTGACCGATACCTAGGTCTTTCGCGAGTCGCTCAAGCACGCTTTCGGCATCTCTTTGCTCCGAAACCTGACTAAAAATCAAGATTCGCGGAACTGATGACCTAGACAAGTCAATGAATGGCAACAACGTTTACTGTGGCAAAGTACCTCTGCTCCTGAGAGCTCTCAATGAACCATTGTGCAGCCTTCCTGATACTCATTTCATTATGTGCACCATCTAGAAACCAGGTGAATACTCCTTCACGAACTACTTGAAATCGTCCTGGCCAGGAGAATTGACTTATGCCCTGAGCTATGTCGAAGGGCGATAAGGGCGCAGCTCCTTGGTTGCTCTTTACTTCAAGGAAATGACGGACGGCAGCGAGTGCAACTGAACAATTCGTGCGCTGAACATCTGGTTTCAACTGAAGTGCGTTTGCCGGCAGGGAAGAATCGTTAGTGATGAACTGGACATGAATACTTTTCTCAGATGCTCGGTCCTGAATGACTGCAGCAGCGGGGGGCTCTTGTGGAGATGCGAATGCATGAGATCCGCTCTTGAGAATTCCTGCCTTGTGCCAGGCAATATTCTCGATCGTGGGGCCCAGTTGCTTGACGTGGTCCATTCCGAGCGCAGTAATGACAGTCGCGACAGGATGCTCGATCACGTTGGTCGCGTCATACTCTCCGCCATGATGGGCCTCAATGATGGCCGCTTGGACATCTTCCTTGATAAATGCATGCAATGACACGAGAGCAATGAGCTGGAGATAACGAGGCAGAGTTCGGGAATGGCCCTCACTGGTTGTCAAAGCATCCCACACTTCAAAGAAGTACTTTGCAAAAGGATCTCTTCCAAGAGGTCGAAAATTGATACGGATCCTCTCTTGAGGGTAAATCAGATGTGGCGAAGTGTAAAGGCCAGTCTTCCGTGGAAATCCGTTTCTTTTTCCCGAGACTCGGAGGAAAGACTCAATGAATGCACATGTACTCCCTTTGCCTTTCGTTCCTGCAACATGAATGATGTTGATGCGGTCCACATCGGTAGTCTTCCCTTCGTCAATATCGTCCAAGAGGCTACTTCTGCATACATACTGAGTAGCCCAACTGATGGAGCCATTGTTTCGTCCCCACAATGCTTGGAGTTCCCATGAGATTGGGATTTCCTAACGTATCAGGAATTTGTGTCAAAGTCAACCCGCGGATATCGCTTCCTAGTCTTACGCTGGGCCTTTTCAGACGACGTCGACTTTGGAGGATGCGGATAGCATTCTGCGTTCAGTTAGGAAGTCAAACAGTACGGGAATCATCATCGCGTACCTCATAGCTTCTATCGATCGTTCGTAACTGCATGATTTCATTCATTATCTTAGTAAATACTTCGTCAAGCAATAGCTCGAAAGAGTCATAGACGCCGGGTCGCATTGACAAAATCGCGTGCCACTACGTGATCCCGCTCCAACACTCCATGTTATCCGACTGTGCAGTAATTTCGATTAAATACATCTATCGGCAATAAATAAAGACTTTAGATATAGTCAACGCTCAGAGTTTGCATTTATGACCCTACAAGTGAGCTTAGGGGATATTCAGGAACTTCCGTCAAGATCTCTGTCCAACAAACCAGCAATATCTCACATAAAGGCATAACGTTTTCAAAGGGCCAATCCAATAATCTTAGCTTAAGATTTTGGGGGGAGGTTACCAAGCTTAGGTGGGGTTGTAAAAGCCAACTTGAATAAGCTATAACCAACATATCTCCAAAAAGGTGCCACAGCCTTGATAATTTCGCCATCAACAACACTCAACTTGGTGTCCTACTTGGGTATGTCGTGCTTTGTCTATCGCGGGCAGGCTCCTCATGAAAGAAGAGTCCGGTTTTTCCACCTCTTGCCTAAGCACACACTTGCGCAACTCGTGGGTTCCTGGCAAGCGAGGGCACTGCATATACGCAACACTTGCATTTGTTTAATTAAAATTAAAGCATAGGACATCGACTTGCGCTTATATCTGATGTCTTTGTGGGACAAGTTTGGCATAAAATATGTACAGAGGGTTGGGACGTTGGTCTGGCTCCCTGCTAGTATTGTATGCCCACAACAGTGCATTTGCGAGATGTTTAGACTGTTTACTGGCTACAAGACACTCTTAGATAGCTACTCTAGGTATAGAAGATACTCGAAGCTATCAGGAGGCAAAGTCCGTGTTAACAACACCTGACGAGCGCGTGTTTGCGCATCTATAAATCAAGCTGCTGGCTCAATAATCACCTTTCAATCCCGCGAAATTCGAGAGGAGTCTTGCAAAGGTTTGTGTGAGAGTAGAGTACAATTAATAGTGAAGCGCTATTTTAGTCTTAGAAACAAATGGTTAATCTCGCACACGGAAGTGGCACGGTGAACAGACGTGTGATTGTGAAAGAACGACGCGCGACCCATGTGCATGCACTTGACGAAGGTGTTTGAGATGTTCGAGACACAGATACAGGGTCAACTCGGTTCGCATTTGTGAACATTAATAAATATACCCCGGGACGAAGACTAACATTCATCTCAATTCACCACAACTATCATGCCTTTATTTTACCAAAGCATACTGCTTGTCCGTAAAAAGGACACACAACCAAGCAGTGCACGATATATTCACTACACGAGCAAAGCGCGTGATAGACTTTGTCACTGCTGGAACCCTCATTCTCACGAGCGCTGGTATCCGGTCGATGATACAGAGCTAGAGCGACATTTACACAACTACTTTCAATCTTCGGGAAAAATATCGATCAAGTTGAAGAAGCCACATTATGTGGATCGAGGAAAGAGTCTCGTATGTATTTGTAGGGATGACCGGCATGATCATCTGAAGGAGGTGCGGAATAGGGTCATCCAATATTTGGTCACGCGCTTCTTTGAGACCTGCCCAACAGCTGTCATGTGCAGCCGCGCAGAATGGAGATTGTATCATCAACGATTCGGTCCACCGCAAATAAACATTATTTCAGATCTAGGGACTCGAAACTATGGCTCTTCTCCATGGCACCTTGAAAGGGAGGCACATTTCTTCAACACCGGCCGTACTGCAAATCTTCTACGAAGCACCTCTACAGGTTCGATGCGCGATCCAGGATGCAAGACTAGAATCTACAGGCGTGAATATTTACCATCAGAGGCAATAGTGCGATGTTCGCACAATTGCGACTCAGCACGCTTGCCCCGAAAATCGTCAGAGTCTTGTCCAATCCGATGTCGAATCGTTGAGCCAATGTATCTCTCCGTGGATGGCTTATCCGGGAAGCACCTCGCGCAACGGGAAAACGGAACGATTCTGAATTATTCGAATGAAACCTGCAGCCGACTTGAATGCAAAGCAAAACACTACCAACCCAACCGGCCGAACTTTCCTAGAACGCCTTACGGTCAATCAAGGCCAGATCCATATGAGTCGGCAAATACTCAAGATTCGGTGCACACTTCTGCTACACTACCGGATCTATGTAGTAAATACAGAGGTTCTTCCAGGCCTTCTAATAGAGCCGGATGGTTCCATGCTTGTTGCCATGGATGTGCAGAACCCGCTTTCTGTGATGACTGCGCGTCGAGCAGCCCCAGCACATCGATTACTGCTATGACGTCTCTCACAACACGGCCAAACACTTCTCACCATATCCCGAAACGGACACCAAGGGTGAGGTTTGCTCCTGATCCTTCGACATGGCGAAACAATGAGAACGATGAGCCCAGTTATGCCACAACCTTGCACCAGCCATCTAATTGGAAAAGCCCGACGGTAGAGGCCACCTCAGAAGATGAAACTGCAGATTGCAATTATCACAACTAGAGATATTGGAAGTAGCCACAAATATCATACCAAGGATGCCACATTATACATTTGATATTGAACGTCCTGTTGTTTAGACATCGTTTACATGAACTGAACACATATTCTTTATAAAATTTCAGTAATCATGACAATCAATAATATCAACCCTTGCGTCCAGTTATACATTCACCTAGATTGATCTAGCCGGTTTTTCTTACCTCACCCCTTGCTTTCGGTGATCGAATTCAATTAATGTGTCATTTGTTTTCAGAATTTTAAAGTATAACCTATCACTCCGCCAGTCTCGCGTCTAATATTTATGATGCCCTCATCAGAAAATTCCCCCTTCGGCACATCTTGCATCATATACAATAAATTGGATGGAGCAACAACAATACTATATAGAGTGTGAACTGCTGAAGAAGTCTTTTTCACGTGTGAGCAGACAGGTTCAATGACATGATTGAACACTCAATATCCATATAGTGTTCAGTATGCCTAGTGTTCCATCGATCTGCTGGGCCGGCCATACTACTATTCAACTACTTCCATTACTCTGGACAGCATATTGCATTCCTGCAAATATTTGGCCAGAACATTGTCAAGAACTTTGTAAAGAGAACAGACAGATGAGTAAACGAATCCTACATGTTCAACTTCTTTGAATATAAATGAAAGATAAGATTGGTAAGGCGTCTCGAAGATCGGCTGCAGCACAATAGCAGTCAACTTATGCTTTTCGTCGTCTGCTAGGACAATCGCTCCCTAACGTGTTCTGCTATCATAGAATTAATCACGATGTCGTAGTTCCTGAATATAATAATATGTCTATTTTGACAAACCTTTACTACATGCAGCATCTTCGACAGCCAGCATTGATAGGAATAGATGAAAGCTTGCAATGCTAGCATAATGAATCCGCAATCCAAGTATTGCAGGCACGCACACCGAATTGCTTGTTGGTTCCGGAGTCGAACTTACAATGGAATATCTCTTCGCAGGTCATCATCAGTCATTGTAAGACTTCAAATGAGGCTTTATGCTGAACTATATTGCATGTCATAGATACATAATCCCTACAAGGCGATGCAGTTCTTCGGCCTGGGAAGTGCAAGATGTTCCCATGCCTAGAGTTGCTCCATTATCGTAAGTCGGAACGGAGTAGGCCGGGGTTATGAATAACTAACATCAGCATCAGACGCTTCCAGTCCGATAGGAGTGCTACTAGGCTGGTAATAGGTTAGATTAGATAAGAGGCAGCACCTCGGCTATACTGTAGCTTGATACGTAGGGGACGATGAATACAAGGGGATCAACGGATATTCTATGATAGAATGGAGAGATGTGTCTAGGCCGTTCATGGCTACCCCTTGTACCCCGGTAGTGTCCTTGTAACTAAAGGTCTCGGGATGTGGGTAGTTCGGCAAGTGGAGGAAATCATTCACTATTTATTTCTACGGTGGAAGTAGTTTACACTAGTATAGGTTTATTTTACTTAACGATCTCGATTAAAAAATGGCACCTCTTACATCGTTTCCGAAGTGCCTATTGATTTGCTGCTCAATTTTCAGCCTCTGCTATGCTCAGCTTGTCAAAGGCTCTTGGCCAAACTCTTTCCCCAAGCAACTGGCCACGAGTCGAAGAAGGCCAGGACTGACCCAAGCGGAATACTTGTACCACCACACTATCGTTCATGGACAAAAAGCATGGAATGCCCCAGATACTGAGGATCAGCCGCTCACGTACATTCAAGATCTTGTCTTTGACTCGGCTTACGGGATAAACACTTCAGTTCCTGCCTTGTCACCCAGTTTCGTTGGTCATCAGGATATCACTGAGCTTTACAGCCGTTCCGAGGTAGCATTTCGACTGCCACCTGTAAATAACTATACCGCGTCAGTGATTGGCCCGGACGGATTGTCGTTCAACGACCTGCCTGTGACACTCAGTCTCTACGCGTATGAGACGTTCAGGGCAGTTCAAACGAAATGCACAAAGAAGCCGACGACGCCTTTCCATGCCTTCTTTTGGGCCTTCGGCGCCGCTGCAAATGCCAACACCATAGTATTCAACAATGCTACATTCGCCGATGCAATTGCAAACACCTTACTTGATGCTTTGCCGAGTGGGTCTATCTACAATCTGAGCATACACACGCCGATTGCCGATCTTGATTCCCGGCCTTACTATGGCGGTCTCAATCACCCAACCGTCAACGCGGTCCTGAAGTTCTGGCTTTGCAATGACAACACATCTGTATTCGCATTTCGCAAAGCGCAATTAGGCCTCATTGAGAAGAACAACCAGCTTGGTCTTGATCTTTCCAACACGTTCGTTCAGTTCACACGCCAAACCGTCATTTACGATCGTACAGTTGGGCAGGGGTTTGATCTGCAAAATGCAAAGAATGCGCTGGTGGCCGACAGTGTTAGGGGTGATGTTGTGCTCAATGGACCAGCATTCTGAATTATCATGTTTAGAAGAGAGTAGAGAAAGAAAAGCAAATAGGTTTCTGTTACTTCAATAAATATTGAAAATCTATAACAGAGAGCTAAGAACAAGTCTACTTTTGCAATGCCCACCATGATGGATTTACAAGATATTTGGAGGCGCGCACAGTGATTTCTCTGTTGGTTCTGGATTTGGATTTACGACATGAATATCCCTAGCTCATAAATTGTCATTGTAACGGTTACAATGAGTCTTCATAATGAACTATGTTGCATGTAATAGCTACGCGAAACCTATGAAAAGAAGCGATTATTTGGTCTAGGAAGCCCCAGGTGCTCCCGTAGAGTAGATCCAGTGTAATCAGAACGGAAAAGGCCGCGCTTCTGAAGAACCGGCACCAGACGTTGTGTGACATCATCCAGCCCCTCGGGAACAAATGGAAATACTACAGTGAAACCGTCTGCAGCTTCTTCCACCAACCAACGCTCCAGCTCGTCCGCAATACTGTCGGGGGTTCCTACAAACGCGAGTCCTGAATAGCCGCCATAACGCCCCGCAAGTTGTCTTACTGTCAGGCCCTCATCTCTGGCAAGCCCGATGACTCCTTCTTGACTGGTTTTGCTCGCATTTGTTTCCGGGAGGTTTTCTGGTAGTGGACCATCCGGATCAAACTTTGAAGCATCGGTACCGAGTGCGATTGACAACGAGGCGATGGCGCTATCATAGTGCACAAAGCTGTCGACCCTCAATCGTTTTTCCTTAGCTTCCTGCACAGTATCGCCGACAATAATCAACGCGGCTGGCAAGATTTTGAGATGGTCTCTATTCCGACCTGCCGCTACTGCGCGCCCTTTGATGTCCGCATATAGAGCTTTCCCAGCCGCAATGTCACGTGGTGAACAGAACACTGCTTCTGCTGTCTCAGCAGCCAGCTGCCTCCCAGGATCCGATTGGCCTGCCTGGACTATAACTGGCCAACCTTGAATGGGACGTGCTATGTTCAATGGTCCCTTCACTTTGAGGTTCTCTCCTTTATGATCCAATACATGGAGCTTCTCGGGGTCAAAGTAGGTCCCGCTTTCTCTATCGCGAATAAAGGCGTCATCCGCAAAGCTATCCCATAGTCCTGTTACAACATCGTAGAACTCGCGTGCGCGTTTGTAACGGTCTGCATGCTGCACATGTTCATCGAGGCCAAAATTCTTCGACGATTCTGGATTACCCGTCGTGACGATGTTCCACGCTGCCCTGCCCTCGCTTAGATGATCCAGGGATGCGAATCGACGTGCAATATGATATGGCTCGTCATAGGTTGTTGAGGCTGTCGCAGCCAGACCAATCCTCTCGGTTACTTGCGATAATGCGGAGAGCAACGTAAAGGGCTCAAACGACGTAACTGTGTGACTCCGTTTTAAAGCTTCCAAGGGCATATTGAGAACAGCCAAGTGATCTGCCATAAAGAAAGCATCGAACTTGGCTGCTTCAAGCTTTTGGATGAATGATTTGATATGCTTCAGATTGAAATTTGCGTCGGGATAAGAACCTGGATAACGCCATGCCCCAGTGTGCAAGCTTACCGGCCGCATAAAGGCTGTAAGGTGAAGCTGTCTTTTTTCAGACATTATTTTGATCACTATTGAGAAGATAAGAAGGGAGATAGTTTAAATCGGAATAAACAGAGGTATTGCTAGATTTAAAGCCCAAAGCCTGCTAGTCAGATATGTAATCTTACAAATACTCGCACGCACGACATCTGACCCCTTGAATTGCGCAATTCAAGTTTCCTTATCCAATAATAGCTGCAGCACTTAACTACTGTCAGCAGAGCTTATGTGTGTTCCGGATCCATACTGTATACTATAAATCAGTATTCAGGTAGTTGTCAAAATGAATTAATGTTTCTATTACAATCACGGGGCATTGGCAAGCACATGTTAGAGTTCAACATGTTGCATATTAAATCACTTGTGTCGCAGGCTTTCTTCTACTGAATGCATTCATAATATTGTCTTCGGCCTGTCGACCTCCGCTCTGTATGTTGCCACTGTCGTCCGAATTGGTTACTTTGTTGCAAAAGTATAGGCCCCTCCACCCTTTCACTTCTGTGTATGCTTTTCCACAACCGTTTTCGATAGCTCAACGACTAGCCTAACTCACAAGGTTAAAGTGTGAGCTCATTGAAAATAGCATGAGTGTCTAGTTCTTAGACTTGATTCTCCGTGATACCGGGTTCCGCTGGCATAATACGTGGAGACCATCCCTGAAGGGCATCTGGCGGGAATGTCGTTGGGTCCCACCGCTTCACCCGGACAAACCTTGAAGATGTCAGAGCATAGCTTGGCTTTCTCTTGTACTTAGACATATAGTCTTCCATCATTGCGTCATATGGCTCATCAAGTTGAAATACAATTGCATGCCTTCTTGGAGATACTTCCAGGTACAAGTACCGGGTCAGGTTTTCAATCAGCCATTTCGCATTAGAAGCCAGTCCCGGTTTCGAATTGGCGTATTGGACCTTATGAGACCACATTGCTTGGAGGAAAGTAGGTATACTAGGAATAAATACCTGCTCGCTGCTCCCCAAGGGCTTACCATGGGGAACGGTTGGGAATATGCAATCAGTAGGTTTTGGGCGTATAGCGGGCCCAAACCACCACCCATCCTTACGGGTTATCGCGGGGTGATATTCTTCTTCAATTAGATACTACTGCCACGCGTACACATCTGGTACTTCGATTAATGAGCAGCCGTCTATGTTGATCTGATAAGACTCCTCCGACCAAAGCCGTATATGAGAGATCTGCTCCGCGTCGCAATGAGTACGCTCGAGAACCATGTCAGCATCGAGCAATTGCTCGACTTCGGGATTTTTAGGAGTGAATTGCTCGAGTTCAGGATCCACAGAAAATCTTTGTAGTTCCTGAGCGGTGTTGAAATGTCTCCAGTGGCCGGTGCGTACTATATCAGAGGCGACAGAATGTAGTTGACTATTACGAAGAAGTATGTCGATGATGTTTCTACCGGTGAAGCCTCGGGCTCCCATCCAACGATGAGCGACTTTTCCGACCAGGATTAAGGGGTGGTCGTGTGCTCGAAGTGCTGGGCATATTTCGTCCAGGATGCCACAGCAGCCCATTTCCCGTGGAACAAAATGCAGAGGCGGTTCCCATGGGGATTGAAGCGGAAAATGATCTTTGTTCTTCCCTCCCCAACAGGCGGTTACCTCAGCGAGGTATTCGGGCTGCTCCATGATTTCTTTCGAAGTTGTGAGCAACATGGTTGGTTAGGCAGATCGATTTTTCGATAGGCGATGGCAAAAGTTGCGATAGTTTGTGGGAATGTAAGAGGCTCTACGCAATAATCGCAGTCCTGGTGGAGGATCCATTCTTTGATGGGGATGGCAACGATGTCGTCAGGATCCTGGCTTTTATTGTTTGTCTGGAAAGCGAAACACTGGTACGCTAAGCTCAATAGGGTAGCGTGAGCAACCTGATAACTGGCGTTATTGACCCATGGCACCAAGAATTGAATTTAGGCCGAGTTCTTTGTCGAAGTTTGAGTAATTACTACTCGTTAGATGTTGGGAAATATCACAACCAGAAATCGAACCGCTGTTGGTCAGTGACTCGATTGTGCCGTACCAAGAGAAATATCGTCTGACGTCTGATGAGAAAAGTTCCCAACATAATTCACCAATAATCATATTGCCTTAATTGGTTGGTATAGGCTACGCTCACTCTCCTCTTGAGTCATAAGATGAGCGATTGATGCGGGAACCTACACATACGGAATATCGACTGAAACAGCTCTACCAGAAAGAAAACCAAGCAATGTTTTCGACATGAAGGATAGGTATACACATATCTAGTGTCGTTGAAACATCCGTCCCTGGACAGGTGCATCTTGTATAATCGTTCAAATGGTGCGGGCGGCCTGAAGTCCCGCAATTTTCCGGGAGAATTAAGCTGACAGTGAGCCAACTGGTGGCAAGATTCAGCTGTCAACAGTAGCGCTGTTGAAAGGTTAAGCTGTGCATTTTGATTACCAGCGTGTCACCTATTTCACTAGATAGATTACTCGGATGCTCTTCAAGTCTTACCTCCATTCGAGCTGCTTCATTCATGTATGCCTTGTCCTGTCATTACGTGACAAGTTCAGACGCATCACTAGAAGCCTTCTCTAGGTATCATTAAACGGGCATCAGACCCGTAGCACTTCGTCATTCATTCAGTTTCTAAAATCTCGATAGCACCACCAACCAAGTGCAGGCTCCCCGTTACCAGAACCATAGTCTCTGCGTTTTCAGCACCGTCCAAATTCGAAAGACGCGCAACCGACCGCACCGTTTCTAAGGCTTCCTCGATCGTCTTGAGCACGCATACTTCTGCGGAAGGGTCGATCTCGGACCATGTTCTCGCAAGAGCGTTCTGCACTGCGAGGCTATCAACCTCATGTTGGTCGGTATTGATCGAGACGAGATCAGGTTTGAAGCCAGCATTGGATGTCTGGTTCGTTGTAAAGATGACATGTGTGAATGGTGATACCGACGAATCCGAAGTAACAACAGCTTGTAAGGCAATATACAAAGCTCTGGCTAGGGCACTGGCATCACGTGTCTGTTGGTTGAAGATCAGAATGCGTGGAACGTTTGCACCTGCATTTTGAGTTGCTTTAACTTGTTCAGCAAACCATCGACCAGTGACTTCAATGCTCTCTAGCGTGTGTGCCCCATCAATATGCCATATTACGTTTTTCTCACGACGAATATCGCAGCGGCCTGCCCACCGCACTTGTTCAAGCCCCTGAACAAACTTCGATGGGAGGGGAATGTGCTCGGTAGTTGTGGGGTCTGGAATATCATCATGCCCAAGCAAGCGGAGGTGAATAGCTGCGGCTGCAATTGCCACTGACGCGTTGATCTTCTGAAACTCCGCTTGGAGGCCCAATCTGATCTCGTTGTTGGCAAGCGCAGGGTGCATGTGCACCACATGCAGGCTCTCGCCCTTTTCGGCTGCTCGATCTCGAAGTACAGCAAGTGCCACCTCTCCTTGTGGCACTGAGAGGGCTACGCTACCATTCTTGAATATACCGGCCTTGTGCCACGCAATTTCTGGAAGCGTAGAGCCAAGCATTGCAACATGATCGATGCCTAGACTCGTCACAGCCGTGACGGTCGGTTTGGAGAGGATATTTGTACTGTCATATTCTCCGCCTATACCACATTCAATAACCGCTGTATCAACGCCTTCTTCCAAGTAGGCATGGAGCGCCATGAGGGTCAGATAGCGGAAATACACCGGCTTCGTAGGCACATCGGGGTGTGCCGGCGCCTCTTTCGCTGCAGCTTCCAAACGATCCCAGATCTCGAAAAAATATTTTGCAAATTTCTCCTCGGATATGGGCTCGTTGTTGATCTGAATTCTTTCACGGACGAAACGAAGATGTGGCGAAGTGTATAATCCGACCTTTGAAGGGCGCGGGGGGGTAGTATTGGTAGTCGGAGATGAGTACTGCGCAAGGATGGAGGAAATGATAGCGCTCGTAGAGCCTTTGCCCTTGGTGCCGGCGATATGTATAGGGTTCAAGCGATCGAAGTCAGAAGGCTACGAGATTGGTAAGGACGAATATAAAGGATTAAAGAGAACAAGAGGAGAATATACACACCTTGTATCCAATCTTTTTGAGCCACTCAAGCATTTCGGGTATAGCAAGCTTGTTCATCCCTTTCCCCGACTTCCTTATCGCATCGACGACAGAAAAATTGGACTGAAGGGTGTTGAGCGCTGCCACAGCAGCCTGTAGATGCGGGGTCAGAAAAAGAGCGTCTTGAGGTTCACATGTGGCATGCGTACGGCATAGTCGCGCTTGTCCATGGTGGTGTAGGTATTGCGACGCAATTGATGGATAACAATCTTCGGCCAATGGTTCAGGCTCTTCCTCGCGGCGAACATGGGGGCATAGTGAATTGGTGTCGCGGTGTCGAGATATGTGATGGCTACCTAGGTATGTGATGGAAGTGTGATTATTATTATCACGATGGGATGAAAATGAGCGGACCGTCAGTTGCCGATGACGCACTAAATGCACGGGCCACGGTAGTAGCCTTTGCTGTGGGCGTGTTGTGTACCTACCAAGGTACCTATCCATCTCAGCTCAGTTGTTCTTCACTCCATTGCCCTTCTACCTTCTAAATACTTTCCATCATGTATGACCCTCCATAGAATTCTCGAAATCAGAGGGAGGGATGTCATTTCTTGTTCAATAATGTATAGTAACAACAAGTACGAAATTGAAACAGTGCCTCATAGGATGCCCCTGTGTCTGTGCTATGTCGGCGAATCTTCACAGGAACCGCACATACATTATGCCGCCGCCCCTGCCATGCTCGTTCTGTCCCTCGCTCGGTGCGAGTCTGTTTGAGGTCTCTGTATGCGACGAATCTCGTACATAACCCATCTTCTGATCCTAACTCCCAATTATCGCTAGACATGTCGCGCCTGAAACCTGAAACTTTTGACAGGCCGGGCACTCCGCTTTTGGTTTCCGAAGACCTTTTCCGAAAACCTTTCCGATAATATACATAACCATTGAGTTAGGAGTCAAGAGCAGTCCTGTAGATTATGGCAACATAGTCCAGTCCATTGTATGTACCTCTAGAAACGATCAGAGTGAATAATATATTCACACCCGACCGACATCTCAATATATATCACAATGGCTTCAAAGGTTCTTCAGAGCCAATTTCGAGACACCCGAGGTAGTTGTTATATTTCTGCTTCCGATTATAGTCATGCTGAGCCAAGTTGTGCCGGGTCGCTCAAAGCCGGAGTATTCCACATAGTAGTTGTAACTTGGCAGTTGATGTTCGAACAAAAAATGGGAAAAGCAACAGAGTCACGGTCGGGTGTAATCAACTGTTCAAGTAGCCACAAGACGGTGACAAGGTGGTGGCTGACAGGAAGTTGCGTGCGTTGGCAGTGTGACCAGTTGGGTCGCATCATGGGTTGATCTGCGTTTCACCCGCAACAGCACTACCTTGCAATCCCCATTCACTCGATATTATGTATTGCCCCGAGAAAGCTTTGTTGCCCATCAACCAATTCAGCCCGTTTCCATATGAGCCTGTCCCTCCCGTGCCTTCTTTCACATTGTTTCTCGTTCATTCCAAGTTTACTTCGGCCATGGCAAGATTGGTCGTCACACGGCATGCCTAAGGATCCGTACTATAGCCCTCACAGTATGGCTGTACCTACAAAGAACTCGGTCACAATCACAGACAAATGTCGCGCGCGCAACACAAAGAGGCCGAAGCTGTGCTTTGTCCTCGAATCCCGACGGAATCACTGAGAGATTATCTACGAACAGGTATGAGCACCGCTGACCAGTTTCTTTGTCGCCTCCATGTTACTTTTCTCGTGAAATGTGTAGCTGATTATAGATATGAACTCTTTTTTAGAACTCCACCATTTATCTTCTTGCCCGTGCTTCCATCATTGCGCATAGAAAGCAGCTTCACCACCTCATCTCTTGCGCAAACCAATTCAAACTTTGTGGACTTTACATCAGACACAACATGCGTGTTGCTACGGCCACGATGCTTGCAAATGCGTTTTTCTTCGCCATTGCAGAATGCCTTCCATACCTCCCCCGTGAAACAGCTTCCTATTCTTCAAAGCTTTTGTCCAAACGCGGACTCCCTGGTGCAGTGTACATCTGTACTGATCCCAACTTTCGTGGAGACTGTGGCTGGGTCGCGCCCTCCCAAGAGTGTCGCATCGCTGGCACTGGTCTCCAAGCCCCAGAATCTATCGGTCCAGACCCCGGCGGATTCTGCGTCCTGTATGCAGATGCAGCGTGTAAAGGCAATCAAATCGCTACGCTCCGGTTTCCTGGCATAGGAAGTGGCGTGCCAGCTTTTTCCGCCATCCGGTGCCTCGGCGTGCAGCAGGAGGCTACGAAAACCGCAAACAGGTTATCGAATACTGCACAGGCTCTGAAAGGCGTTACTCAAGACGATCCAAGGCTTGCTGGAGGTGTCGGTAGTATGTCAAGGAAGAGGATCAAGGCTCAAATGGAGCGAATGGAGCAGGATGGATTCAGCGAGGGTTTGATTGGGCTACGACCAGGAGAATATTACTGATACTCTCACGCGCATCAAGTAATATTAAACTTTACCTTGTACATATCTCAGTTTCACTTACATTCTCTCGGCTCACACTCCGTAAAATGGTTGCACATTCAAAGATCCAATATTATTCATTCCAATCTTCACCAAGGCTGTTTGAATTCAACATAGAGTATTGCCCGCAATTCAGCGCCGTTGATCCATCAATGTGAGGTATAAGTTCACTGAATTTTTTAAATTCGTTATCATGCCTATTCAAGTTGGGCTGCGCACCATTTAGAGCAATGAAGGGATAGAGTTTGTCACTACCTAGGTACCTTGAGTCGATAGTCATCTCTATCCTAATTTGTGGCCCGTCACGCCCGTCAACAATCTACGAAGCACGATAAGGAATTATGTTTTATGTCTAGATTACCTATCTACGTTACAGTAGTCAACAAGATATAGAATTCCCATTCCTATCAAGGTCAGGTAGTGTTTGGAAGCGAAAGAACCAACAATGACGAGATATCTCAAATCGCGGTTCAAATCAAGGACAACACCTACATTTCGACTTCACGGTATTATGCAGCTCCTAGTCTCATAGGTACGGGGTTTTCACAATAGGCAATAGTGCACTTGCATCTCAGCAAATTTTACCTTGCATTTGAGCCAATAAGATGATTCGCACTCTCTGTCCTTGGCAGAACGCAAGGGAACACAATCACCTTCGGAAGAATGGAAATTTTACGTCCAATGTAGTACACCACAGCAATGTTTAAAACAACAAAGAACGCTCATATGAAGATCCGCCTTGCCTAAAAACGCCATCACAGTCCAGTACACCCAATCAGCAGTGCAACTCTACCAGGAATCGCCCGCTTCGGTTCAAATCGAACTCCAAAATGGCCAGCTATGGAATCACAACAGCGACGATGAAATGTAGACGACCTTGCTTTTGATGAGGACAATTTAGGCTCCCTGTGGTGGGTCCTTCTCGGGTTTCCAAAGCTGGCCACGCCTCGACCAGAACTGTTCAAACCACTCGCCACAATGCTTATTGACCCAGCATCCGGCAAGGTGAACTAGAAGATCTCCATCACGCCAGCCCATCTTGTCGCCACCCTGGACAAATGCATTGAACTTGCGCTGCGGGAAAATCGCTACATGATCTCGCACAAGTTGATGCTCCAGCATCAGATGTTTAAGAGCATCTTGCTCCGCGCCAGAATGCTCTAGTCCCATAAGCATGGTATAATCTGTCATCATTTCTAGGATCCAGCGCGTGAATGCAGATCGGCGGAAGAATACCGAGCCAGTATTGACCGAGGCATGGTCTTGTGTAATGAGAATATCCATATTTTCGATGCGGGGATCCTTGGGCGTACGTATATGAGTCGGCTTGTCCTTCAATTGCCCATCAAGAATTGGTGTGTCGCGCATTACGTTCCTTCTTATAGCATCGGGACAAAGGATTTGCTCCACGAGATCATATTCTGGGTTCATCAAGATGATATCGGTATCAATCAGCCACACCCACTCGGCAGCAGGATGAAGGTAGAACGCTTCAGCGACAGCAGGAATCTTTGACCACGTCTGAATAGGAATTAGCATTGTCGTTTAGTATTTCTGCACAAGCTTACTCTGTGAGCATCTCCAACATCGTACCGGCTAGTGTTCAACCAGAGGTGAGTGTAGCCATGCTTCTCACAGTAATGTTTGCGGTCATCGATCACGCGCTCAAGGATATCCTTGATTGCGCTATTGTGTCCCCCGCCATCGCTAGCTGTAAGAACGACTACATCTCTATTCCGTGGAACTCTAGCATATCCATCCCATCCCTTTGCAATAGTTGGGACTTTGAAATCCCACTCAGGTTGGAACTTGAAGAAACCAGTTTGCGGTTCGCCATTTTGTGTGTTGACAACCACTAATGGGACATCCGAAGTATACTCGCGGTAGTATTGCATTGGTATATCATGATAGTGATAGAACAAAATGATCCATGTTCCGATAACAACCAAGGTAATAACTATAGGTCTGGCTTGAGGGTCGCAGCTTAGCAAATCAACCACAGTCATGTTTGAACACAAAAAACTAATTAGTCCCCCACTCACTTTCGTATGATCATGTGTAGAGAATCCATGAAAATAATTGAGCACTACAATCTGCTGATTGTGCAGTAATGGTTGATTGGCATGTAATGATGGCGAACAAAAGTCCGGGAGCGAAAAGAGTGTGGTGCAAAGTGGACACGGTAGAATCACAAACGAAGTGCCATGAGATGGGATGTACTGAATCTGGGGGCATTCATTTTCCTATATGCAGAGATCAGTTATCCCTTGAAAAGAAATCGTACAGCCTATGGCTTATTGTTGTCCAGTACTCTGGTAGGACAAGTATCCAAACTGACGACGAGACGTTGAACGTTGTTCTAGGGAGCGCCTCTCCTTCAACGCGTCTGTCAATTACCTTCATGACATGAAACAAGTGATGGTGAGTGGCAGTCCTAGAACGATCACATTCTTGCCCCACTCATCCCTTGCATACTTGAATGTGGTGTAGCCCTCCTCCATACTCATGTCCAAAACTTTGAAGTCCGGCAAAGGCACAAATGTTATTGATCAACATGTCGTCGAAAGTGAATAGGCACTGGAGACAATGTGCTGCAGGAGTCAATTTGCCAATACTATGTGTATATTTCTCGCATACCTTGAGGTACAGAGACTTGGGAGGTCGGGCTGGCCACCTGCTAACTTTACGTATCTGCACCTAAGCGTTTCAATTCTGGAGAGATATGGTAATTGACAACGGGCATACAGCATTGATACTAGTTGATTTTTAGGGTCAGGCCGACGACCAATGGCGCAACGAGGAGGACATCATCAAACAACCGTGACTCGCCATGCTCATATCCCAATGAGGGTTCTATCTCATGAAGCGTGGAGCTCAACACCGATTTGATAAATTTCAAATCATAGTGCAGGCAACGACTCTTTTTCTTATGTTGAAGGTTCAGCCAAACCGGAACATGAGTCAGGTCGCGACGGATAAACAACTCTCCCCTACGATTAATATGTGTGACAATAGTTGTGATTATGGATGACCGCGGTGTCATTATTGACCAGGGATAGATGTGTGATATTTATCACGCCTAGTTATTTACTCGAACCTAACTACTCCATACCAAATTTCCTTTTTTTTTACTCAACATCTGTATCCAGTACTGCGACGCTTAGTTCTGGAAGCTCGAAATGAAAGGCACCATCATCGCTAGCCGTCAGTTCCACCTTCGTTGTGTTGACAATGTTGACGTTGGTGAAGGGACTGTTGTATGCGTAAGGGTCCCCAGCTGAATTAGTAAGAACTGTGAGAGAGGCGCGACTGCCAGACTGGGATCCTTCAAAGTGCACCGATACAGGAACATCGCTACCATCCGTTGTGTTATAAACAGCACCTTTCCAAACGAAAGCACCCTGTCTTGATTCATCCTTTCCAGCTCCCCAGTAAAGTGGTCCATATGTAGAATTTGAAGTAGTAGGAAGAGTATGTGAGATTGGATGATGGGCGAAAAGCGACCAACAATACCAAGTTACTGCGCGTGTTGTTTGTTTAGGATCGGCAGTAAATTGGATGAGTGTAATCGGCCATTGAAATCGATTTTCATTCTTGAGGACGGGCGCGTAGAACGTGCCTGGAATACGGTCGGAATTACGCTCATAACCAATCAAGGATACGGCTTCCCCAACAGCACCGATCCACCAAGGATACTTGTAAAGTGGTCCATCCCAACGTGGCGGTGTCGCTCCATTCACATGGGTAGCGGCAACCTCACCGATTATATGGCCAATATCGTTATCGAATCGATCAAACTCCTGGACAAGCTCGTCTGGTTCGCGATATGGGTGGTAGTCTCCGATGACACCCGGTGTTCGGGTGAAATCAATGCCCTCTTTCGTATTCGGACCCGTCGTGGCACCCTCCGGGGCCGGATCACTCGTTGCACCTGACGCAATAACCTGTATATCCGGATATTTTGCGTGGATTGCCTCGTAGAAGTTCTGGAGTCGATATTGTCGGTATGAATCCCAGCCGCCCGGATAACCTGCGAGCCAGTCCTCGTTGCCGATCTCCACATAGTTTAGTTCAAAGGGCTCAGGATGTCCTAGCTCCGCACGCTTGGAGCCCCATGGGGTGTTTGGATCACCTCTGATGAACTCGATCTCATTTAAAGCGTCCTCGATGTATGGCTGGAGATCTTCCTCGGGTGTGACATCACCATTGAGAGCCAAACCAGCCCAGACTCCAACAACTAGAGCGAAGAACATGTCAGCAGCATCAAAAAGACACGATATACAAGCATACCAATTTGTAAGTCCATATCCTCTGCCCATTCAAGATACTCCATAATTCCTAAACCATGGGTTTGTTGGTACCCCCAAACTCCTTGAAATCCCGGGCGATCTTTCAATGGACCAAGTGTATCTTTCCAGTCCCAATGAGTATCATTGGTCAGACCCTCAAGCATATTTCCTCCGGGGAAACGAAGGAAGTGCTATAGAGGTTCTTAGTAAATGTTCAATGAAATGACTGATACACTCACAGGATTCATTTCAGCAAGTGCTTCTGCAATGTCGACACGAAGTCCATTCTTGCGGTTCTTGTATGTTGGAGGGAACAAACTGATAAGGTTGAAATCTAGAGTGCCATTGCCAGTTGCAGTTGAGTCAAACGTGATTGCGAATGTATTGTTTGAATTTGGAGCATTCTTTTCGGGAATCAGCTCAAACTCATGTTGAACCCACTCATTGGCATTTGTTTTGGCTTGGACTTCAACAGAACCAAACACCTCCGCTGTCAAATTCGACTTGAGTGTTGCTGTGAATGACCCATTGTATGTGCCTTTCACCCAGAACGATCCAGTATACTTTTGTTGCCTTACGTCAATACCCCAGTAGCCGTCATTCTCGAACCCGCATTCTCCAGTTTTGTTAGTAGCGGTAACACGCAAAGATGCGGGTAGACTTTTTGAAAGTGGGTCGTTTAAGAATTGAACGCTCAATTGGGCGCCGTTGAGTGGAAACCAGTGTTCCGTCGATACAGGGAACCTTGGACTATACTGGAACGCGCGGTTCTGAATCAGTTCGGCATATATGCCTCCATCACCAGAGTTGTTGATATCCTAAACCATTAGTTGATGTAGATCTAAACTATCGCTTAGCGGAAACCTACTTCATGGAGGAAGCCGTATCCGTAAGGGTGTCCAAATTTTCCTGTCACATTACCACCAGTCGACTGCACTAGAATCTCGATGGCAAATGCAGGTACGACAGAACAGACTGCGACAATGATATGATTCAAAGAGATCATGGTGATTGTCAATGAAAATCAAGCCGGTGTGGTACACAGGGGATCAGTGTGACCTTTTATACTGATACCTCGCCCCGGCTAAGATACAAACACTACTCTATAAGTGAAGTGCAGTCCCTCGGTTATCATCTTAGGAAATAATGTCAGACGATCTATAGGAACGGGCAACGAACGGATGAAATGCCCGCGATGTTCTTTCCCGCAAAGGACCCCCGTCGAATTCCCCGCTGGTGGGATACCAAGGAACCAAAGATCTTTCATAAAGCTCTATTTGGAAATCATATCAGGCGATCTGCAGGAACGGGCAATGGACGGATGAAATGCCCGCAATATTCTTTCCCGTGAAGCACCTGCCGCCGCCGAATTCGCCGCCGATGATGCGATACCAAGGAACCGAAGATCGTGGGTCTCATTCAACCCCAGACGCATTTTCTGTACTCTACCACTTTAGTGTGTCCAATGCATACGCCATCATCATAGCGATGTAGATACATCCAATCGTCTGTCGTGGCGGTTTCGCCATTCGTGATCTGCTTTGAAGGTTGACGATGCAACCTCGGGATTGAGTCGCTATGATTCGTGGAATTTAGCGAGGAGTCTTTTCGAGAGCTGGGGAAATTAATCAAAAGTTTGTGGGGAAACTCGACTTCATCTACTCCTACTGGCGATTAATCCCTAGCGTTTCCTTGAACATTATTGGCAATCCATATTTCTGGCATAGTAGCTTCGAGGTGGCTCGGTGATGACGTCCTATAATAGGCATGCATATGGGCGCGGACGTTTCTGCAATCACAGTAAGAGATAATTGTTCGTCGTCGTGACCAGAGATCTCCGGTTGTAGGTGTTTCGCTATTTAAGTAGTATCTTGTTCCCTTCCTCAGAGGCCTCACCAACTTCCAATACTGTCTCCTTTGCGTCTCGTTGTGGCTTAAGTGTAAGCTCGTCTCCATGCGCCCAACAATGCACCGAGTAGACGCGTGATTGATCGCTCAAAAATTGATGACTGCTTTCGCGGCTGTCGCGTTTATTCCTCAATTCACACCCCAGCTTTTGAGATCTCTCTTCTGCCCTACGACTTGTGAACGATGAGTGCATGTCCCTGAGGAGCGGTCGTAGGACGGGAATGCATTGCACAATGATTGTGCCGACGATTTCCGATGAATACCACACATTAGAGTGTGCGTTGCGCCAGAAATACATTTCGTCCTTAACGTTGGTCTGGTCTTTCCACCCTGTCCGCACTGCAGCCACAATAGCAACAATCATTCCCTGAGCCATTACTTAGCATCGACGCTTCCTGGAAAAGGGGATGGACGAGTAAGAGAATTGACATACTAGGCTCATGGTGACGCACAAACCAATCTTTTCCACCCTGCGCATGTCTAAATTCCAAGTGATGATCCATGGGAACGTAGCGAAGACGAAATCCATGACGATGTTGTATACTGCTCTAGGTAAGCTTCGAGTCTTGCAAGTCACTGGAAGCTGTAAGCTCACTGTTTCCACCCTCCTTGAAATCTTCGCGGAATTGCCAGCCTAAGCAGAAATCCAGACGGTACCACACGTCATAGCTAGGCTTCTCGCACACCTTTGCCCATTGAAAGATGATTTTGACAACCATGTATAGGTTCATAGTACCAATACAGAACCACAGAATCCACTTGTACCATTCCTTTGTCAGCTTCAACAAGGTCACCGCGAATGCAGTCTTCGTCAATGCTTGTCCCAGCAAAGTTCCGCACGACGATATGTTAATGAGGATATGCATGCGATCGTCCCATTTGTCCGTTACATAGCCAGTGGCATATTCTGCAGATATTATGGCATTGTTGGCAGCTAAAATAATCTTGGTTTTCTTAGCAAATATCTGGTGTACAACGTGTCCATGGATACCTACCCAAGATACCAAAAGAATATGGTCATCGTACCACAGGCCATGACGGAACCTGATCTTGATCCAGAATCGGAGAGCGAGAAAAACAGTTGCGCCCGCAAAAAGAGTCCAGAGTCCAGCATTCAGTTCCTTCGATGGATCGATATACATATGTGGACTCTTTTCATGATTTCGTAATTGGAGCATGTTTACATGGTGGACAAATGCATCGATGTTTGAATCGTTCTGTTATGATAATCCGGCAAATTATAGGGAAAGGCAGGATGGTGGAAGCTCTGGTTAGAGAAGGACAAATTGCAGATACGACAAGAGGTGTAATAAAGGAAGTGCAATAACGAACATGATGAGCCTACCACAAGTAGTGGGGTCTGCACAAAACATGGTAAGGCCGCAAATGATGTTTCCGATTCTAAAGTGCTGATGATAGCCCTGCCGCGCCTTGGAGGTTCGGTGCGCAGAATAGGACGTGTGCTCCGAGAAACTGTTAGGAATCCCCTTGGCGCTTTAGCTGTGTTTAGCACTGTCTGCGGGACTTGAGTAAATTGGATAGACACCAGGAAATAGTAGCGCCCGAACTTCTGGAGCCGTCGAACAATCTGTAACATTTGTGCGACACAAACGGTTCGCGCGCATCCTGGCTTGAAGGGAGCAAGCTGACGACACGGTAACGCCGTAATTACCTAGGTCTTTAGTGAAGTGCTAAGTGAGGTCTCTCCAGTCATTCTATTTGCACCACAGATGACTGAGTAGCGCTCAAGAACGGAGAGGGAAATTCTTCACCAAAAGCTTGTTCAAGTGTCTGCAGATGAGTGGTACGCACATTGGTGGAGAATCGACTACACTGATAATTGCCTAGGACACCCCGCCGCAAGTATAATCCTCCGACAGGTACATCATTTTCTACCATGTGATTCAATAGGGGAGGCCCGTCGGCTCATCCCAATTCGAAATGTTCAGCTGGATGGCGACTGGCATTGATTGCCTTGAGTAATTCCTTAGTACAAACTAACAATGCAATCATACAATTGCTGCGTCGCCTTGCGCCACTGATACGAGGCCACGAAGACATGGTAAGAATCTCGAACAAAACCGTTCAACTTCTATGTATCTTTCGATTGCAGTCCTATAAGCGTGGGTTGGTCCGTATGAGAGTGCACAAGATCAACACGTACCGTAGCATCACTTTGAGTGGAGAGCACTCAGAGCTTGTGATGATATTGCCTATTTCATTCACTTATTGAAACGAGAACATGTTTAGTACGTGGATAGTCGAGATACGATGGTTTCATCACATCAATAAGGGATCAAATTTTTGCTGTATGATAGCATCGCACAACGTACAACTAAGCAGGATGTCAGTTATAAAAATCGCAGAACCGTGGCTGTCGTCTGAGCCGGTGAGTGATGAAACGTAAAAGTGATCTGCTTGCGTGTTTGCTGCGATGTCTATTTTTCCAACATTTATAGGTTGCGTTAAAACGTTTCATTTGAAGAACTACGAGTAGCATTCCAAGGTCATGCGTTTCGTAGTTCAATATACAGAGCCAAATCAAAGAAACAAGAAAACAAAAACTTTGGGCCCGACATGGACGCAAGAGCATCGAACCATCCACTCTCCAATATTACAGTTTCTATTCTAACGACATGTTGGTAAAAGTACTGTACGAGCGGCTAATAGTTAGCATGTGAGCCAAGAGTGACAAGCATGCCCGGAGGCTGAGGCAACACAACATGAGATTTATGGGTCATACACTCTGTATTATGAATTAATACACATGCTATCCGCTATCAACATGACTCTTATAAAATGGCTGTGACACAGACTGCGCGAAGACTAACACTTTAATACTTAGGCGACACTATCAACTCTACGATTACCCTTGAAGACCAACGTATTGTCGGCACCAGGTTGTAGGAAGTGGCCAAGGGTTACCTCTTGAGAGCAACTTGGTCGAAGATTCTTCTACAATACGTCGGCCGGCAAAGCTCTCCCACCAAGTGTTGTTAAAAGTCTCAAGCGCTACTCCCCAGTGCATAAGTATAAGCAAAGACATGCTATTCTCTTGCTGCAATTCATTGCGAAATGGTTGTCCGACCGTCATGAGCCAGGGCACAACAGAGACATCTAGGTCAATGTATTGCTTCAACTGGCAAATAGCATCTTCGAAAAGCCCATGCACTTCTCCAGAACACTCGTCCCTGTTGATACTGTGTAGGCGTTCAATAGGAAATGTGGTCCACGAAGGGACAGAGAGGTCTCTTTCGCGTTGATATAGCAAGAAATGCATTGGCCCATTTCGGAGCCACTGATCGCTAATATCGATTATGGCAGAGATTCCTTTCACACAGACTGCAGCGGATAGCACAATATCTGACACCTCTGGGTTATTGTTGTCTTGGTTGAGACGCAGGAGTGGTTGTACCATCGTGCATACCATGATCAAGATGGAAGATATCGTGATTGCATCGCAATTGGCGGGCGAGAGATCGCACAGAACATTGCTCAAGCCTATCAGAGCCCTGTTCTGGTATTGCAAAGCCGATCGCCCGTAATCAAGCCTACGTGTTACGTCTTCTGAACTGCAAGCAATATCGATCGATGCGAGCGCGAAAAGGGCATTCAACGCGTAATCATGCTGTAGCGCTTTTCTCGCTACAAGGTCTCGTACGTGTAGATTCCGTTTCGTAGAGAAACATACAGAGGTCCGGGCACCCCACCGGTGCATCAGCTCAAGCTCGCGCGATCTAGTAGAAATCGCAAGCTGAGGAGGAGTGGACCCGGGGGTCGGATAATTTCTGGCACTCTGTGATCCTTGGAAAACAGATGAGGAGACATCGGCGGTCAATTGACAGATGTTTCCATGTGGCGGCCTCGGGAAATGAATGCAGTCTTCCCGCGGTCGCATCCTGGGGCCTATTCGAGAAAAGATGCATACATGACCCTTCTGCTTGCACATGGAACAAATGGGAGCCTTTTCGTCGCATTTGACCCGGCGCTGGCGGCATTGGTCGCAGCCAAAGCGGGATTTGGTGTGCAAGCGTTTTTTCGCCATCACGGGACGATTGGCTCGGTGACCTCGCTGCCTGCGAGGGGCAGTGCTAAGTTCAAGTTGATTGATGTGCGAGGTGAGACGATTTTTTGTTCAAACAAGTGAAGAATCAAGTAGTGTGTACGGAGTCGGTAGTTAGACAATAACAGTCATGATCGCAGCAGACCAGACAGGTCGTGTACGGAGTATTACTCGTGAGTCGTATCATATCTTCTGGGGTCGAGGCGTAAGGGGCCTGGCTAGGCGCACGGACATTTGTCGGGCTCAAAAGTGACATTGTAGCTAGTCTACTATCTGTAGCATCATATCATGTACATACTTAGGTACTTGGAGTTACCTGTAACCTGTAAACGCTGTAACCTAACCCAGGTGCCCAGATAATAGTTATTATGTAGTTACCTACCGCTGCGGCTGCGTAATCTCACCCTCATTTCTGCTGCAGTACGGAGTACTCATACCTCGTAGTTCGATACTGACGCGGCAGCCACTTCGGGCAGAATGCCTGATTTCGTAGAGTCCAATTTCAGTAAGTATTAATAGTGCTACCGTAACGGTGTAAGGCGTAAACCAACAAACAAGCCTCTACACGGTGCGTCCACTGTTTCGGTTCACAGTAACTACACTGTAGTAGTACACTGTAGTTGATTGAAGTATATTGTTCATCATTATCCACTACGTTGACTCTTGACTGATCTGTTTTCAAATCTGGACTTGACGTCCTCCATTATACTTTCTTGTCTTGCAACCCAGAAGATAGCCTTAAAAATTTGGTCAAGAAACCATGCGTTGCCATACGCGCCTTCAAAATGACCAAGTGCCGTGTAGTACGATCGCCCACCTTCAAAGTCCTGGCACCATGCAAGTGGATGGTATTTTCCCATCTTTCCACCATGGAATGATGAAGTGTCGCCTCTGAGCAAAATGATCAAATTTTGATTATCCCCTGGATGGTTGCGATAATTATACCACTCGTCCTCCCATTGACCTGGTGCCACAAGTGATTGCGATAGCCAGTGATGCTCGTTCTCCACCAGGACCCGGCCCAGTTCAGGCGGTGGGTGGCTCTCGAAATCCGCACCGAGTAGATAATTATACCACTGGTGGCCTGGCATGCCCGCTGCAGCACCGTGTATTCCTATCACACCTCCCCCGCCTCTCACAAACGCTTTCAGAGCCTCGATGTTGTCGGGCGACAGAAAGAATCCTGTACATTGAAGGAATATGACGACACGGTATCGAATAAGTTCAACAGGCGTGATGCATTGTGCGTTCTCACTTGCAGTCACTTCGAATGCAGTCGTCCGCAACGTAAAGTCTTTGATTGCGGCGATCCCAGCGGCTATCGAGTCATGCCGATACGAGGCTGTCTTGGAGAACACCAGGACTTGGAAAGGCGCAGTAGATCGCATCATCTACAACGTGATTTCTAGGATCTAATTGAAGGAACAAAGCGGAACAAAAAAAAAGTGAGCGCACGGCAAAGGGCCCAAAAAAAGTAGACCCTCAAAGAGGCCTCTGTACTCAGCGCGAAAGTCAAAGACCCGGCTTTGTCATATTTAGCTCAGGACACTCTAGCGCTAAAGAACTTCATGTACATTGTACGTCACCATACATAGGTACTGTTCCATCCGTCAGGAGTGAGTGCAAAAACACGATCAAAGCCAACATCACTGCTTATAAAATCACAAAATAGGATATTCAGACGGACAGAATTATTCGCGGATGAAGACTGCGACTTAAGGGGTAGCTCGTTCAATCAGGCTGATGTGGGATCTCATGGATAGGCACAAAATGCTCTAACTTCTCGTCTGACGAAGCCAATCCACGCCTGGGCTCGCGAGAGCGATAGGTGTGAGTTGTTAAGTGATCTGCTAGCAATACCAATATCATCATAATCGTTTATCTGACTCATGTGATTTTTCAGATTGTACAAGAACAATCCACGCCATGATTGAGACTGTGCTAGCTTAGCCCGTCGTTGTATTCCTCAAGTCTACACCTTGCGCATGTGAGCAACCGTGTGCTATCATGCAAGTTGCTATGGTTTGTACCTTTGTTTCCTAAGTACATATCATGTCAAAGGGAGTTATGAAGTAGTCTCACAGTGTACATCAGCGTAGATCAATTATCACAGACCAGGGAGATTACTAGATACAATCATATATCTATAAAGAATATCGACATTAGTGCTATTTCGAATCCCTTCGAAATCATTTACTATTCATGACCATCCATGTAGTAATACATTCTTAAAATGCTAGGGCAGGTTGGTGCATCTACGACGCTCAGCACACCCCTGACCTATGGTCAGAAATACAGACGCTCTTACAACGTCACATCACCATCACAATCACATAGTATCCTAATCTCCCCCCTCTTTGGCGTACATGCACGTTCAAAGCACAGCTCTATTATTCACCGCACTTCTTGTTTGTGCCACCAGTACATTTGGACTAAAATGAGCAAGCTGCTTGCTACAACGAAGCCTCAAATATATGCGGAAATCACGCGGGTAACCATGACAGGCCTTACCGTGCCTTTGTGTCCGACATGCTAGTTTCCTAGGCCACATTTGAAGCTTTGACAGAACGACCAAGAAATCGTGAATAGGGCCACAGAACAGCTGCAGAGGGTTGGCACGTTGGGCAGGCCACCTCCTAACTTCATGTATCTTCTATACCTAAAGTGTCTACTTAAGAATATACTGTAGCTAGTAAATAATCTTAACTACCTGTGATAAGCCTTGCTAAGGCACTGTTGTGGGCATAAAATACTAGCATGGGGCCAGCCTAACCTGCCAACCCTCTGTAGAAGCTTCTTGGTATGGTTGGATGTTTTCGGTAAAATATTAAGGAACTCATACTTTAGGCAAGCCGAGGCGAGAACATAAGTAGCGGTTACCTACGAAAAAAATTGGTCTATCTCGGCTATAGGGTCTTTGAGGACAAAGATAAGCCGCATCCGGGAATTTCAACACATGCGTATTTCCCTTTGAGGGAAGAAGAATGATCTTAAGATAGGTTTTGTGGCCTTATATTTCTCATCTTTGGAACTATAGATATTGATCAATTCTCCTACACTCGTTGCATCCTTGCTGCGATCAAAGCCCGGTTCAATTGTTGCAGGGCGAAAGTTGGGTTCCATTACGCCGGGTGAACTCGAGCACAGAAGTAACCATTTCAGTCTACGCGTTAACGACGCCTGAGATACTGGACATCGCAATACGAATCTGCTTTTGGTGGAAAGTGATGTCCCTCCACGTTGAAACCCATTTGAGCTGCTCAATAAGGACGGTATGACGTTCCATCTGTCCCGTAGCAGACAGATAGTGTTCACAATGACCTGAAAGTGCGAATACAGGGGAGGAAAGTGAGGTAGCATGTTGTCCATACAACCTATTCTGCTACGGAAGGTTCGCCATGGTTACAGTATAGAAAGACAACGTTGCAAGGTTGGGTTAATGCGGAGTGCATGCAGTCGTAAGCCCTATATGCCCGGAATGGCAGGCCGTCATGAGTTTCTTCATCTTTGTCAATCGATCCTTCTCACAGAGTGATCTATGTTACTGCATTATTATTTTAGACATGGAGCGTTCTGGGCGTTAACAGTTCTACGTGAACACAAGATCGGTATTACACCCCAATACAAGACACGGTCTTGCTCTCAAAGTACCGATTTCCCTTAAAATGATGAATTTCAGAGAACACCAGGTTTGTCCGTATTTTTAGATCTACACATGGCCAATATCGATCAGCACGCGACTTGGCGGGGATGCAGACCAGGATGTTCAAGCTTCCAGCCAAACAATCTTAATTAGTTGCACTATGGATATATAGCCTCTGTCCCCGTTCGATATTTTCTTTTCGTCTTTCTTGCAGCGGTTATATCTCACAGCCCCGGTCTATTTCCGCGGTATCGGAGCCACCAATTGCCCGGTTGGAACACGGTACGTTCCATTCTGGCAGCTGTTGAGGACGCAGGCACAATGCAAAGGAACGCTGGTTGGAAGAGGGAGGAATCGTGTTCTTCGTGTTAATATGCCCAGTGTGAATTGTTTGCGACCGCCGCGTGGCTAGTTCTAGCCAAATGGTGTAGGGGGCACTTGTCAATACTTCCGAGAGGGTCGTAATGTTCATCTAATTCGTAAATGAATTGGTTTTCATCACGAGTTGTATTGCCACTTTCCTTTCGACTGGTCAATGCGGCCATCGACTTTTGCCAGTATAAATGCACTTCATTGCCTTTGCGGCAGTTGGCACTTCTATGTGCAGTAGTGTTGGTGTCTTCTTCAAATTCTTCTGTACAGTCTACTACTCGTCGATTGAATACACTCAAGTAGGAGATTGGGAAAATTACAATGAAGGCGTCACTCTATATTACCGCGGCCTTGGTCGCATGTGTCAACGGCGCAGCTATTGAAGCTCGACAACGACCGCGCCCTACTTCGACTCGAGGTGGCGATGGTATCCCAGATGGTAATGCTTCCCCGGTGGACAAACGAGACCCGCAGATCTCTCTCGGGCCTCCTCGTCCCTCGGTCACATTCTGGCCTAACGACCCCCCTCCAGGAAGTGGTAAGAAGACCGCGTACCACGACGATGAGTGCTAACGTTGATAATCTTCAGTCGAAAAGTGTGGCCTCGACGCTTTCATTGGCCATACCTCGGAAGCTCTTCTTTTCTGTAGCAGTATCTTGAAAGGAGGTACTGCTACCCAAACAACGACGCTCACGACTGGGCAAACCACCACTGTGCGAACTACGGTGATCACGACACTTTATCCTCCTTCGAGTTCCGCGAGACCAAGTTCGACGCCCAGGCCTCCTACTTCCTCACCACCTACTTCTACCCCTCGAGTAAGTCGGTCAATTCTGGGTGTATCCTTTTCGACTAATGATGTCCGCGTAGCCTCCCACGTCTACCCCAAGACCACCAACATCTACTCCTCGCCCGCCGACAACTACGCAAGCTCCACCGTCCTCCTCTCCCTCTCCGTACGTTGCCTTACCACCCTAATCTTTAAGGCTCCACAAACTAATATCTACAATGTAGCTCTCCAACGCCTACACCTAGCCCAGGCACTAGCTGCGGCATTGTCGGTTACACCAAGAACATCGCCGCCTACTACTTTGACTCCAGCGGCACTCAGAACACATGGCAGGTTTGCGGAGCAAGGTGCAAGGCTGATAGCAAGTGTAAATCATTCGGTTACGGGGAGGCCAATTGCATGCTCTTTGACGTCACTGCGTACGTTTTGTCTTGGTTGGAAATTTTCGTTGAACCCGACAGGTTGACTGACAAGTATTCCAGTGCTGAGAACACGAACTACAACCCCATGTCGCCTTATACTTTCTACGACCAGTCATGCCCCCAGGAGCTCCCTGTCAGGAAGCGCCAGGTCAACATCTCTCTCAGCCTTCCGGGTGGTGCCGGCGGAATCTCGTCCGCCTGTTCGTGTCTCATTACGTCGGCACCGGCAGGTACAACTAGAACAACTACAGTTACTACGAGCATCAGGACAACTAAGACGGAGACTGTCACGAGGACTGTAAGTCTCTTGCCAGACGGCCCGTAGTTGGAAGTTGACCCTGTTGAATTGACCTCTGGCCTGAGAGTTTACAAAAGTTTACCCATCTTGGTAAAGAACATATTCCTACATCTACAGTATTTATCATGTAACAGACCTGTTATTCCTGCATACCCTATTCTCAATCCGTCTAATTTGGCATTGCATCATGATCTGAATTCCAGCGTGAGGGAAACTCATCCGCCAATCGTTCATCGCTAATTCTTCTTCGCCAACATGTAATCACCGCCCCGTAAGGCTTTATATACTCCATACACTCCGCTCAGAAATCCATTACGCATGACGAAGCCTTTGACATGCCCCCTCAAGCCACTTTGGTGCTCCTTGCGCTGCATCCTTGGCCGCTCGCGCATCTTCTCCCAGATGCTGGGCAGCGACATTGCGTTCCAGGTCCTTCGCAATTCGGTGTAGCTCCTCTCGTCGTAGATCTTCCAGAACTCATCTTCCGTGAAGAAAATACGTGCATACAGCCATTTTAGCCCACCGAGTTCGCCTACCTTGCCTTCAAGGTCGCGATTTGCTTTGACGTATGCTGCTTCCGAAAGTGGCCTGAAGGCCCACACACCTACGTTTACGTAATCTCCTTGATACTCTGACTTATCGAACTTGCTGTAATAGACCTTAGGATGACCCATCGACGATCTGGCATCATTCCTCAATGGGCACAGCCACAGAGGGTAGATTCCAAACTGGCTATCCACGAATTCGATGAATTCGAGTGTGTTCTCGGAGGGGATAGCGATATCTTGTATGATGTACTTATCCGTATGGCCGGAAGCATGCATGGCGTGATACATGATGCGTGTATGCATGAAGTAGTCCAGTATCAGGCGGAAAAACCAATTCCAGGGCATCATGAAGAATTTGAATGCGTAACGTCCCATCCAAAAAGCACCGCGGTCGCAGCGAAAGAGGTAATCCTCGATGGGAACAAGCTCGATGTGCGTGGCGTTTTGGTTTGCAATATGTTCAGCGTGCAGATAGAACCAAGGATCCCAAGGGCGAGAGAACCGCTGGACCGTATATTGATGCGAAGGAGAGTTGGTGAGAACGCCAGAGATGATGACACCTGCTGTGCGTGAGAATAGAATGCCGTCAACAAACTCGTTTCCGGCTTGCTTGGTTTCTTCCCGAAGTTTTCCCAGTGCAGAATCGAAGCTATTAGTTGGATGATAGGTGACCTGGACATATTTCTTCAAATCAATCAGTCGAAGTTCGACGAGGGTGAGGATGCCAAGTGTTCCAAAGCTTCCACGCAGTCCATGGAAGAGGTCCCGATTGGAAGTTTCTGAAGCGGTGACGAGTCGACCATCAGCAAGTATGACTTCGGCGGATAGTATAGTTCGGTCGAAGAATCCATGCTTGAAACTGCTGCTTTCGCCCGCTGTTCCAACGAAACCGCCCCCAACCGTGATACCCGGGAATTCCATCACAACAGGTGGGAGAAGACCGACTCTCTTAGTCGCTTGGACGAGTTCATCCATCGGAACATTTGGCTCTACGAGAGCAGTTTTCCTTTCTACGTCGATATGAAGAACATGGTTCAGGCTGCTAACGTCGACAATAGCGTCGCGTTGGAAGTTGGCATGGCGTGTGCTGTTGGTCGAGCCATGATAGACACGGAATGGAGTCTTGCTCTGGTAGAAATGTGAGATTGATGAGCGAATCTGTTCCACATCCCTTCCATGTCGACCGTCCATCATTGATTATGGGCGTACCTTTGGTATGCCGGATGTCAACGAGTGCAAGAGAGAAGCACGGCACGAAAGAATAATGGCTGACGGGGGTTTGAGGGTTGGTGAGGTTGATCGGAAGCGCGGTTAGGCCAAAGTGGGGCATAATGCTTGACCTTCAACCAGGCATCGTTTCTTCATGACAATGTCAAGGTCCAGTCCTCCGTGCTGGGTACACTTTCTAATTTTCGATCAAGTTGGACATTGCCTGTACCAGAGTAACGAATTTGATTCAGGCTGGAGTTTGCTGCATGTGTACGTACCTCTAGGTAGGTATGCAAGTAGATGTACTCCGTGCGTGCCTGTGCATGTGCACAACTAACAGTAGTACCGGACGTTTGAGAGGAATGGTTTGGTGAGCCTTGTTTGCCTATGGAATACCAATGGTAATAATTTCTGTTCGGTGTTTAAGCGTGTATAGATGCATAGAAAGCAATTCCAAAATAGTTACTCCGTACATAGGTACGTACCTAGATACTCTACAGTATGAGACTATGAGTGTACGGAGTACTTCTGTTACATTATTAATTACATGTAACGTAAACCCGGATAGCCGCTTTTGGACGATTATGTAATAGTAGACACATAACTAGCCTGCACAGGGATCATGGTCTTGGCAGGGTCTGAGCGCGTCTGCACGTTCATGCAAGTCCAACCTGTTTCCTTTCCTCTTCAGATTTCACTCAAATGAAGGCGTCCTCCTATTGCTATTATTATTATAAACATCAAATCGAATATGAATGACGAAACAACGAAACAGATCCATGTTTCACACATAATATCGCGGAGAGGGCAGGCACGAACGCATTGACGTGATGATGATGACGATGAACAGGATGGGGAAACGCGTTGAGGGCGAGGACGCGTCGACGGATAGGAACGATTGGCGGTGATGACTCGACTGACGTAGCATAATATTCCCCACTTTTATTTTTATTTGCTGCTACTGCCTGTCCTCCCTACTCGTGCTGTGTACAAGGTGTGTGTGCATCTCCCCAACCTCTTCTTTCACTACTCCGTATCCTCATAATATTATCATCTGTTATCCTTCTTGTTCACTTCTGGCTTCAGCTTCATATTCATCTTCCACTTGGTTAAATCCTCCCATCGCCCTTTACCGCCCCTCCGCTATCAACTCACAACTCCCAAAACCAACCCCATTCCCACATCGCGCCTCCTCTCCGCTCTCCAATCCGTATCCGCCTCCCTTTTCTTTCCCCTGCCACTCACACTGGCGCACACATCCAACTGAATCTTGCACTCTCAACTGTGCACAGTACTCCGTACTCAGTCTTGGTATACAATCCTACATCCCTAGACATGGCGCGGCTTAGCGGCCTTGCGTCCGACCAGTAAGTCTCCCCTTCCACATATTCCCATGTCTCGGGGGGCAATAGCTACAATGACAAACGTCTTACGCCCCATCAGTCACGCGCAGGGTCCAGGTGACGCTCCTAGGAGGAAGAGAGGTCGCCCGAGCAAGGCAGGCTCTGAGGAAGTTACAAACCCTTCCAAACGTCCTGCCTCACCTATCCCAGAGGAGTCTTCACAGTCCAAAAAACCCAAACGCACCCAGGTCGACGATCATGACCAGCTTGCACGGGAACTAGAGGAGTCGCAGCACGATGATGCACTCCTTATGACGGCCCCGATTCGCCACAATCGTCGACACTCCGAGCCACTAGTTATTGCGACAGACGATGATGGGACATACACCGAATCCACTCCACCGCCGGCCACGCAGCCTGCTCCTGGCCTGACTCCTCACCTCGATCGCCTCGGTGCTGCTAAACGCGGCCGGCCCACCAATATCGCTCGTCGGGTTCGCATGTCTATGCCTGCGCAATTGCACCTGTTGGAAGAGGAAGAGGAGACCACACCAAGGGAGGTCCAATTCGCCCCTCTGGTTGCGGTATTGGATAATAGAGTTAAACGCCGTCTCCGTCGTAGCCACCTCAGCGAGGAAGTCAATCACATCGCAGACCATAAAAGGGATGATGCAAAGCTCCGCAAGGCATACGCAGAGGTCCGTCGCCAACTCCGCGAAATGGAGGAAAAGTATAAGAACGTCGAGTTGGAATTGGAGGCTACTCGCCTGGGAAACATTGATATCTCACAGGATCAGACCGAGGAACACGAACAGCGCCTTCTCCAGCTATTGGATGATGCCAGGAAGGAGATCGAAGAACTCAGGGCATCGTCAGTGTACGCTGCTAGTTCCGTCGGCACAAGCGAGATTCAGAACAATGCTATTGAAGACGACGATGATCTGATCCTCATCGAGCCCGAGGATCTGAATCTTACACAGGAACAAATGGATGTGGAACCACTTCCAAACGGCTTCTACGCTACACGTTCTTTGGAAACCAGCCAGATTGCATCCAGCCAAGTTACCATGGACACGCTGATTACTATTCCGGAAACTAGCCATGACTCCATCATTACTGCCTCGCAGACGCAGTCGGTACATGTCTCCGACGAGGTCACCAGCGAGGCCACTAGGCGCTACGAGGATGAGATAAGTTCTCTTGCAACGGAGCTTGGTACCGTTCGAGGAGCTCTTCGTATCTTGACGTTACAGCTGCAGAATATGAGAGTCCTTGACCCGGGTGCTGATGTCAATACAATCATCACGGAACTTCGCCGCGTTCTTGTGAACGCTCGTGCTGACTACGAGAACACTTTACAGCAACCGGTCAACGAAATCAACAATAGCGAGTTCATCGCTAAAATGGTACAGGATCTTCAAGGTCTGAGCCGCGAGCTCGCCGAGAAAACCGTTATGGCAGAAAGATACCACCAAGTCGCCCATCTTTTGCGCCAGCAGAACAGCAGTCTCCTCGATCTACAGGCCGACTCGTTGAACGAGGGCGACGCTCTGTCTCACGAGGTGGAAAACCTAAGTTCAACCGTCAAGCAGAAGGAAGAACAGATTGGGGAACTCAACGGACAAATCACTACGCTCAACAGGGCCGTCGAGACACAGGATGCGGCGATCCAACACCAAGACGAAAAGATACATGGCTTGGAGACTGACATCTCGGACAAGGAGACCGACAATGAGCGTTTGCGACAAGCTCTGGATGGCTATAGGGAGGATCTTGAGAAAGTCACCACCGCGATCACTCGTCTCGAGGAACAGCACACGCTTCGTATCGAGCAGATGGAGAATGACCATACAGACGAGGTTCATGAGCTTCGTGCCGAGCTTGACAACGAGGTCAACGCCCGTGATGCTGCTGAAGAAGATGCCCAACAAAAGGCTGAATACATTGACGAACTTGAAGGTCGTATTGAGCGGATTGCTGGTGAATTCGATGCCCTCACCGCCGATCTAGACAATCTTCGTGAGCGCCTAACTGTTGAGACCACGCTACGCGAGTCCGTGGAGGTGCAACGAGATGACGAGGCGGGTCGGGCCTACACTAATGCCGTCGAGGTTGAGAACTTGAGCGAGACCGTCCGTGACCTTGAAAAGCAGCTGGATGAACTAAGTCGGAATCTAGAATCGGAGCGCGATCAATTGGCGCAGACCGAAGCAGATCTTGAGAATGCAACTGCCGATATCGAGGACTTGAATACGCGCATACATGACACTGGAATCCAGGCGAACGAACTTCGTTCGAAACTTTTCCAGGTTCAGCAGGAGAAGGAAGAAGTCATTGCCCAATTGGAGGAGGAAGCCACAGCTACAGCAGAGGAGAATCAGCAGCTTCTCAATGACGAGCGTCAACGCCTTGCAGAAGCTGAGCAGGAGCTCGCTAACCTGGATGATGAAATCAGTAACCTCAGAGAGTCTCTCGCGGAGTCTGAGCAAGCCCTCGCTGAGATGACTACCAGTCGTAGAGTGCTTGAGCAAGATCGGGATGAGGAGATTTCGCATATTGAGCAGCAACTTGGCGAGCTCCAGAAGAAGTACTCTGCCCTTGAGACCACTTCTAATAGTACCATCAACTCTCTCCGAGCCACCATTACCGATATGAGCAACGAAATTAGAGAGTACCAGAACACCATTCACCAGCTCGAGAATGCGGCAGCCGACGCCGCCGAGCAACACGCCACCGAGTTAGAAGAGCGCAATGGTACGATTGATGTATTGGAACATGAACTAGCCGAAGCTCGAGATGAGAACGACAAGCTTGTCGCCGAGAACGAGTCCCTGGCGAAGCGTGTTGAGGATGAAGCCAACGAGCTTCTCAATATCATGGGTTCCCATGTTGAGGAGTCGACAATTCTCCGGGAGACAATTGCTACACAGCGGGCCACTATTGAAGCTCTCCAAACAACCGCGGCGGAACGTCTCGAAGAGCACGCGACCCAAGTCAATGATCTAGCGATGCAAATCGAGGAACTGCAGATCATCGGCACCGCTCGTGCAGAGCATATTGCGGAGTTGGAACTGCAAATCGAGGAACTCAAAGCACGCTTTGCGGAACAGGCAGAAGACTCCCAAAACACGATCGACGCTCTCTTAGATACCAATCGCCAAGCAATCGTCCAGCAGGAGCGTTTGGCGGATGAAACAAGGAGGCGCACCGCGGATGCTCTCAAGGTTGTGAAAGAGATGAAAGTGAAAGGCATTGAGATTAGAGGCAAAGGCGTCGATTTACGGAAAGTTGTCCATGGAAAAGTTACCAAAGTCTCTGACAACGTGAAGATCTCGAAGAAATCCAAGAGATCTGGTTTGCGAAACGCTGACAAGGTCAGAGACTCTGGCTTTGTTGAGTTGCTGAGTGACGGGGATGCAGAGGATGACCAGCGAGAGGCTTTCGTTGCGTAAACTTCCACCTTTCTCGCAAGTGATGACGTTGAAAGCAAAAATATCTACGGCACTTGCCCTTCCGGATCCATATCAACGACCGCAGCTGCTGTTGTCTTATCCTACGGAAACCCTCCTCTGGATACCATCTTGGAATAACGGTTGCTGGATAAATTGCATGGATTAGTTCTATCTGACCCTTCATAATGCTCGCACTTTTTACGACCAGCGACGACTTTACGATACTCCCTGTGCATCTTTAGATTCTACATCCAACGATCATGTACATGGGTTCTGGGTTTGCATAGCGTGAGGCGTTCTGTATCTAGGGTTGATCTGGACTAAAGTTCGAACCAATATTATGATAAATGTTTCATTGATACCCATGTGTCTTAGTCGAGGCCTCTTCCTAATTACTCCATGTGCCAGTGATGAGTTTTCACTCATCGATCACTTGTTAACCTTGTTAACCGCTCTCTTCTCCTTGCTCTGCGCCCGAAACCTTTACAATAGTCTGATTCGCTCTCTATTTCAATGTCCTGCTCGGCACAATACACTCCGCGTCGAACCTCCGGTTTGTAGCTTCATGCTCGAATGGACGGTCTGGATGTTCACATGGAGTCGACTGAGCTGAAGATAGTTTTCTTTACATCTCTCTCTTTCAGAATGGGACCACAGTAACATGACTAAAGACCTGGCTGGTTTCCAAGGTTGTCCAATGGCATGAATGGAACCATGTTGACCAATCAGCGGTCGCATATGCGCTCGGTCTAGAGTTCGCCCGGGTTTCCTCTTCTTCCCCTTCTTTCCGTCTTCGAATACGAATTGTCCCCGCCACCCCGTCGTCGCATTCGTCAGAAAAGCCAATAAATATTCAATAACGGGTTCGTATTCAAAGCTCCTATCTCGTACATCTGGTCACCAATTTTACTTCTGGAGGGGATATAATTATGACTGTACTCTAGCCGCCCTGGCTGTAGTTATTTAGGTACTTAACTGCTTTGTCGCCATTCTTGTCTTGCGATAATTGAAGGCCTATTTTTTTGCATCCTATCCCTCATGGCGCACCAGGCGCACGCTCTGCCCTGGCAGACCCTCACTGACAATTTCAAATTCGTCCATGCCAACACACGATTCTTGGGAAGGACAAACCTATACCCCAGGTCCAAACCTGGGCAGGCAAAACAGCTACAGCATTTCGCAAGAGTTTTTGCACGCGTGATAGACGAATACTCAGCAATCGAGCGTAAGAAGTATGGCGATGAGCATACTCCACCAGAAAGCGGAGACGAAGTGGTTATTTCCGATGAAACCATGAAGAAGATCCACAACGTTGTTAAGGAGTATATGAAAGAATACACTAGATGGTACCCCGATAGTGACCGCAACCTATTCGACAGAACCGCAAATGCCTGGATTCGAGTCAGTAACGAGAGGAACGGCCACCCAGATGAATGTCTTCTATCCATGGATGAGCTGCTTAGAACACTGATTATGTTTGGCGAGATGGATACCCTTTTTTGTCTCGCAGCACACCCGGAAATTCGATTGCGGGACATGTGGGCGCAGGGCAACAATTTCCATTTCGATTTGGGTGGCCTTGGACCTAGTGAGCTGAAAGAGGCTGCATTGTTGGCTTATATCTGTCTCAATGTCTTCTATCTTAAGCCGGAGCTATATGATCCTGCGATGCGGGAACAGATGCTCAAGGAGAGAGCCAAGAGAAATGAAAAGACGTGGTCACCAGAATTGTATGATTACCGACTGACTGCCGCGTACCAACAGATGCTGGTATATACTACTGGGACGGGATACCCTTACCCTCACTTCGGTGCGCATAAGATCCCACACCGCGAATTCTATGGCGTGCCTTTCGGCATGTACACTTCGCAGGTTGCCTGGTACTCCAACATCAATCTACATCTTACCCAGAAATATGGCACACTTCCTCTCCAAGATCTAGTCGACAAAGACTTCCCCCAGAAGTATGTCCCGAGCAAAGGCGATATGCCCAAGGTCCATGACATCTTCCGCGCCCTCAAACTCCCGACAGAAATCACTCTCGCAATCCTCGACTTCGCAGATTACACGCCCAGAGGCAGACTCAACACCCATGCCGATCCTCTGCATATCGATAATGCTTCTGAATTGAAGAAGTACCTCGCGTATTGTTGGAAACTGCTCATCAGGGTCGATATGCTGATGAAAGCTGCTGGCACGCACCTTGACTGGGAGCACGAGGCCACAGAAGCTATTTACAAGCTGTTTGGAGTTCCATATCCTCAGATGTCCAAGGAACATAATAGGCCGCAAGAGGATGAACAGTACTATCCCTACGAGTACGCAAAAGGGAAGAAACGGGAATTCGTCTGAGATCCTGGTCGGCCCGTCGGAAGTATAGCTGTAACGATAGGGCCCTGGTGGAAGGATCGAGAACAATCGCCGATTAAGCAGCGTGTTCATGAAGCTTGACTCGTATCATTCGCTCATCGAATAGAGAACCGCAGCCTGGTAGTCCTGCAGTCGTGTTCCTGCGCTACCTTCAGTCCCATCGTTACCGGGTTTGTGAAAAAAGCTCTTCAGCTATCGCGACGAATAACGTTCAACTCGTGCTTCAAGAAGGGCTTTGCAGCGATTGCTTAATGATAAATGGCCTGGAGCTGGCAGGAGGGTGGAAAATGCGCGCAACAGAGGGAGCCCAGCTCTGGTCAGGTTGTCGATCACCTGTCGAGAATATTCGTGTGCATCTTCCCCATCGCATGTGGCCATGCACCAACGAGGAAAAATTGCTCAGCTTTGCCCTACTCATCCAAACCTCCTCTTGACCCTTCTAATCACTTCTTCACTGCCAATCAATGTTCCTCCCGTAGGATGCACGGCACTGCCCATTGTGCTGCTCCTTCTAACACCCCCGATCATTTTACCGTCCTCGGCGCTCTCATCAGAAGGCGTGTTTTGTTCCACCACCACTTTTGCTATCTTCCATAGCGCCCATGTTTGGAATACGATCGTCAAGAGGAGGAGGAACAGAACAACCAAGATGCCGAAGAGAGTGAAGAGGAGGAGGGTTGATTGTTCCGCTTTTCGGGACGAGTTGTCGTTGTTTCCCATGATTGGTGGACAGATTGACGTCGATCCGCAATCGTTTCCTTATTGGATATCTTGGGCCTCCGTACGATTGTTATTTCAAGTCAAGTTTTTAATGTAAGCGCGACGAAAAGGGTTGAACGGAGTGAAATAGCATGTGGTTGTGGCGAGAGGTGAAGGCCCTGCTTTCGATTATCAGGTGGAATTGTGGATGGGAAGAGCAAAACTATCCAAATGACACGACGAGAAACTTTGTATTTACAGGCGACAGCTCATGTATCATGATTCTCTGTGCCATCTGAAATGACATGAATTAGGCTACGCCAAGCTGTACCAGGTACGTTTCGTATTCATGTGACTACAGATATGAGGATGCGACAACAAGTTTGGGTTGACCCCCATTGTCTCACCTCCGCACCGCTATATCAGTTCATTGTTGCATTAATAGAGGATTCATCATGTCGCTTGAGCAACTCGTTTCTACTTCTTCAGTAAGAAATCACTCTGCACAAGAAGACCTTTCGTCGCACTCGCCACACCGTAGAGTCCGCCTAATGGCCAAGTCCCCCAGAAGCTTCGCTTCAACCACTCTGTCCATGTTTCAGATTTCTGTGGGCTGACACCCCCTGCTATCCCTTTCAAATCGACCTTTACCTTATCGTAAACGGAAGGTAGCGACTCAGCATGGTATTTATTCCTTAACTTATTGTAAGCATCTTCGTCGTATATTCGCCAGAATTCATCCTGAGTGTAGTAGGCATGGGCATAAAGACACTTCAGTCCACCCAGCTCTTCCACCTTGCGTTCGAAGTCTCTGTTCAACTTGATAAACTGATAAGGATCTTTGGGCCCCATTCCCCAGATGCCGATATCCAGCTGCATTTCAGGTCCAATCTGTTTACCCATCGAGAAGCTCTTCTCACCCTGCGGAGATGGCTTGACAGGGCACAACCAAAGTGGCCAGAGTCCAGTTCTTTCATCTGTCCAGCGGATAAAGTCCTCAGCTTTTTCGTATGGTACTGCTAGGTCCTGAATGATGGCCTGTGAGGCGAGACCTGACCGATGTAATGCGTGAATCATAGTCCTCGAATACATGAATGGATCCAGCAGGTATCGTGTGATACTGTTAAAAGGTGTGGCAAAGTAAGAAAACGCTCGAAGTCCTGACCAGAAAACACCTCTATCGTATCGAAATAGATAGGAATCCACAGGAATGCTCTCCTTGAAGCATACCTCGTCCCCAAGGTGCTTTTCCAGAACTTGTTCGGCGTGCATATAGAACCAAGCATCTGTAGCACGGTTGAATGTTCGTGGTTCCGTGCCTGGTAGAATATTTGCGGATAGTCGCCCGAGCATTATCACACCTCTGTCCAAAGCGAATTGAATGCCATCGATGTAATCTACGCTCGCATCTTTCTCGGCTCGCTGGAGGACTTCAATGCTTTCTTGTATGCTGCTGACTGGAACGTATTCCAGTTCGACGAATTCTTTTGCATCTATGAGCTCCATCTGTAACGCTGTAATTACCCCCAGGCTACCGCAGCTTCCCGCGCAGCCGAAAAACAAATCTCTCGTTTCGGGATCCTCTCCACTAGCTTTTATAACATCGCCATTGCCAAGCACAATCTCTATACCAATGATTGTTCGATCGAATAGACCATGTTTGAATGAACTACTTTCCCCGGAAGTGCCTGCAAACCCTCCTCCAGCAGTAATATTTGGAAGCTCCATTACTACTTTTGGAAGAAACTTTACTGCACGAGTGGCACGGACAAGGTGGTCCATCGGAACATTCGGCTCCACCCACACGCGTTTTTTCTCATGATCAAAAGAAAGGATATTGTTGAGACTCGACGTATCTATGATCTGACTTCGTCGCCGTGCAGATGTCCGTGTCGAAAGCGTTGAGCCATGATAGATGCGAAAGGGGATTTTGGCTTTGTCAAACTCGCGGACTTGCGCGGAGATACGCTGGACGATAGTGTCGTGCTCGGTCTGCATTGTGTGAATGCGCTATAATTGCGACAAGACCAGAGAAAAGATAGTTCGTCAGTAAATAGATGAAACAAAAATCGTAGAGGTAGAGATGGAATTGATGAGAATTCTGTCGCTGGTGGAGGGACCTTGAAGAAGATGTGTCGTCAGCCCTAAGCGCTTGTCATTATTGCCTGCTCCACTTAGAATGAGGCTTGAGCCCGCACATCCGGGTATTTCCATTTCCGTCACTTACTGTATGGTGTCTTTGTGCATGACGAAACACCTGAACTCGTGTTACCTCTGCCATTGCGAATCTATACTCAAACACCCTATTTATCTTTCAAATCGAATCCCCGACTAATTACTTGATCGAACTTGACCTCTTTGTTGTCGTCGGAAATGGTGGCTAGCGGCGTTTTTAATCTTTTTGCCGAAACATCCGAAAGGTATAGGAATACCAAATTCTCCGGGTTGTTGGAAAACTTTAGAGTGCCTATGTGGCATAGGACGACATAGATGTCGTGAACATTGTAGTGGATCTGCGGCGAAATATAGATGTCGGAGGTAATATTACCTCGTAAGATGTACCAGGACGCTGCAAATTGCGTAGTTCATTACGCAAAGATCATTTGGTCAATAATTAATATAGTACTCTCTAGCAAATGTGTTAGGCATTTGAAGTGATTTAATGTATGACTGTTCGAAACGGTAATATCATTGATCCAATAACAATGAGGTGTAGCAGGAAGATTGTACTTCATGGACTCTTCTAGAGGAAGGACCATTGATTCATTATGCTAGGCAGGTATGTTGCTAAAAAACTTCCCAATGTTTCACCAGAAGGCAGTTGTTCCTGGTGCTCCTCTTCTATTATTCCTGGAAGAGTCGGAGTTTCCGCTAGCCCAATTGCAACGTCATAGTTCATGGTTTCTCATAATCTAGAAGGCGATTTGGGATTCTCCATCAATCAGGGTGCCATTGTTGACAGCGGCAGCGTGGCCTCGAGCGAGCATGCCATAGACAGGCATGTAGCGGTCAAGATAAGGCAGGATCTCTTTGGCGCCAGGAGTGGCCCTCCAATCGCGCATGAGATCACAGACAATAGCGAAGAGAGAGACCATCTGCACACCAGCCTTCTCCATGCGGGAGTTTGAGGCATCCCTGATAAGCTCAGTGGTAGTCCCAGATCCCTCAATGTTGGCGAAGACGCTATATCCCTCGGCACGAAGAGAGAGAGCAAGGAAGGCGGTGCACACGTCGGTAGTGATACCTGCCACGATGATTTGCTTCTTGCCAGTGGCTTTGATAGCGTCACGGAATTCTTTGTTGTCCCAGGCACTGGTGTACGATTAGCATTTCGTATTGCTAAGGTTGACGGGATAACACTGACTTAACCTCACCCTGGCGGTGAATGAAAGGTGCATCAGGGTACATCTCTATCATCTCCTTGGGGAGAGGACCATTGGGACCTTGGTCGGCGGAGGTGGTCAGGACAACAGGAAGATCAAAGATCTTGCCGAGCTCAGCATGAGCCATGATATTGTCACGAAAGAGAGTGGCATCCCAGTCGCGTGCGAGCTGGTAAAGTCCAACTTGTAGGTCAAGAATCAAGAGCATGGAGTTGTTCTTGTCAAGACGCTCCCACGGAACAGCTGCATGGCTGTCAGATCGTTTGTATATCAAACTTGAAAGTGACTGCTCTTACCATCACCACGAACGGCGCTGAGGAGGCTCATGGCCACAAGTGCGATTGTAGATCCAAACTTCATGTTGAAAGTAGTCTCAGGTCGTCGTCAAAGGTGGTTTGATGAGAAGAGAGGCTTGAAGTCGATGGCCGCGATGTGTCGATTCTAGAGGATACCACGCTCCTCTTTATACTGCATGCCAACGATCGTGAAGTCGCTAAACTCGCCCGTTCCTAGTCTAGACGGTCCAAATTTGCCCTCCACTATTCTCAACGGCCACTGCCGTAGCCCCGTCAAGTGAGGGTGTTTCACGAGCAACTGTAGGCTACAGATGCTTGGCACCGGCACACTTCACAAACCTGGGTTTGAATCTCCAGGATATGGGTTTGGTCGGGCTACCATGGTTCACGATTGTTGGATCACTTGGCCCGAAAGCTCTGGGTTGCGTATCCACATCCTACCATGGCATGCCATGGCACGCAGCAATGCGGGCTTACCTACTGCCAAAAGATGCTTCCTGGAACCTTACTAGGGCAAGAATTTGGTCCTGTGGATAATTGAGCATCTAATAAGATATTAGTAACCACTGCAGTGTTCAATAGGCAATATGCATGACACGAGCGATTGGTTATGTCGCATGCGCTTTATTCTCTCGCCTTCTGGCTGCCGTTGCGGCAGTTTTAGCTCCCGTATCTTCTCATCTAGGCCGTCATTACGATCAACCTATGGCAACGTGAAACCGAAATCACACGACAAAAGCATTGAGAGCGGTCTCACTGGATCGGAGCCAGAGTCGAGGTTTGCCCAATATGGTTTTTGATAAGCAGCCACAACTGCTGCGCTCGAGCACAATGTAGTACATACGAGGTAATTAGTGTGTGGTCATAACGCATGCTGCAGCTGACTTTCGAGTAGCGGGCGTGGCGTTTCGCTTGAGGTGGGTGGTCGGGGGAAAACCCCAGTTCCCTTCCTGCAAATAAGCAACGGACTAATCTTACTCATCGAACTTTCATATATCTGCACAGGGATGGAGAGATTACTAAGGCCTTGCTAGTATTTTGATGACGATCGTCCCGAGCGATGAACGAACTTCGTTATGGTGATTTGAGGACGAGGGTATCGTAACGGCAAGCGGCCGGTCGCCCCAGATTTTCTGAAGCGTGCCGTAGACCAGGACAATCTGCCGTCATAGGAAGTTCGAGCAATTGCCGTAGCATAGCCAGTCAATTGCAATTGCAACAGTATTTACGGTTCAAAAATAGGTATACACATTGACGAATAAGAAAACAAGAACATGAGTAAATAGCAAGCCATAGCGGCAGCAATCTATTTGCCAAGTTGGCAGCACTTACAAGCACGTTACGTCCAGGTACAACTGGTGAAAGCGTTACCGCTATTGTTACCTCAGACTCCTCCGAGATATCCAGGTCGTCTGTTCACCGTCCCCACCTTTCCATTAATTAACAGCCATATCCTCGGCACAATAAGAATGCCAAAGTCATAGTCCCGGCCGAGTTCGATCTCGGCGGAATCTTTGTAGAGTGGATCGACTTCCTTGAAATTGTTGTAAACATCGTTACTATGCCGTCCTTGCATATTGGGAATGGACAGACACCAAAATTTTAATTGTTTTCTGCAGCGAGGGGCTATGTCCCCATAGCATATCTTTCAGCGTGGATTCGATTCACTCGGACAAATCATTCTTGCGCTGTACGAAATGTATCGAAGCATCAAGCGCGGGAATGGTGAATGAAAACGACATCTAGCGAATTGACCGGTCCGTACGGTGAAGTGGAACACGCAGGATATATGGGCTCCATGAATACGTATAGGCACGACAGGGCTGCTCCAAAATTCTATCATGAGTTGTCTGGGTAGCGTTACTTTGCCCCAGCATGGATTGTCAAGGAAAGTTGCCTGATGTTGTTTAGGGGCGAACTGCTAGGCCAAAAGACATTAGGCAGAACGAGCTGGCGTTCGGTTGTGTTCTAACCTGACTGTACATACTTCCAAACGTACTGCTAAATCCAAAACCTCGTAGAACATGTCTATGTAGTATTATTGCGGCACAAGCATAGTGTACTTTGACGATACCTCCAACACTATCCATATAGCCCAAAGCCACTGCATTCCGCACGTGTCGAGGAGTGCTTTCGCCTTGCCTTGTCAAGTATACTCTTCTCTAACTCTTTTACATCCCCTGTGCTTGCTGCATTCATCGTTGAAGTTTAGCATATTAGACGATTAACAAAGCCTAGTGACAAGGCATTCTGGAATGAAAGCACATGATCATGGTTCTATGAATGGAGAAACACTTTTTTCGCATCATCCACCGATTACAATTCCACCTTCCAGGACGAATCGTTATCTTGGCTTGACATGACAAATCCACCATTCCTTGTGAGCCTAGTATTGTACCTCCAAGGTCCGAGATTTCCACTCGGGCAATTTCCTGGAAATACCATATATCGCATAGACGGGTTGGACAAATCCTCAATGCTCGCATTAGGATCATACAAACAACCCGGGACCTAAGTTGTTACATCTACCCAGGTTCTAGATTCATAACCGAGATGCCCACTGCCAGTTCCTAGACAAGATGCAATAGATGATCGCCCTGTAGGTATGAGTAAAATAACAAGGTCGTATAATTCGATTGTTCTTCCAAGCTGGCCGAGGCCTTACGTAGGTGGGATTCGTGAATCTGTAGGGGACAAGGTATATAACAAGGGCCTGTGTTTGTACAACGGACCTATTAGTTAGACTACTTGTACAAGTACTACCTCTCGACATGGTCTTCACAAGCGAGGTTGATCCTTGGGCCCCTGTCTTGGACGGATCGCCGTTGAAAAACTGCGGGATTATTCAGACACTTTCGCGAATGGGAGATGCTACGACTGTGGCATACACAATACAATTTTTCTACAAAGTGGAGCTTTATCCCTAATAAGAATAAATGTGCCAACGGATTCCCAAGGCTACCTGCACCCGATCAAGTCACTGCCGTTCACTCCGACAATTGGAATGCAGACTTCTCTAATTTTGTTGAGACCAAAAACTCTTCGATTACTATTGATCAACCACAGCTACCTTGTAATCGGCAGCTATTGGCGATTATTCGCAGCTGCACTAGGCTGGAGCGAAGCCGTCGCCAATCGGAGAAGACGGGTGAGATCCTGTTTCATGTCTATAACTGCAGCTTAAGATGACCGGCGACCGTTTTCCCCAGATGAATAAGGCTCGAACGGCTATCGCCCCTTCTCGAGTCTTAACATGCGCACTGAAAAGACGAGCTAGCAATGCAATAACTTAGCGTACGCGCTCGTTTAACCTTGATCCCTGGTATCCGGGAATGTTGCAGTGTTAGGATGTATGGTACATACTTGTAGGATCTATAAGCTTAATCTTCCTCCGTAGTGCACCTGATCAGCCTGGGCGGCTTTCTTAAGAAGGTGTGCAGACCAGGACACGCATCAAGATGCGTTCATCCACCTAACGAAATATGGTATTGTACCTGCCACTATGCAGAACTGGGTTCGCGCTTCGCACATGTGCGTCAACTTGACAAGTGATTGGACAAGGTGACGAAAGATGTTGCATGTGAACATGGATATCGGCGGTTGCATTACATGCGACAAAACATCACGGCCGACATCCTTGCGATATTAACTTTCACGCTGTCTAACACGATCTCAGGTTCTCCAGCTTCCTAACCCATCTTGTAAAATGATAAGTTGACATTTCTATGCCTATCATCTACGAATAATGAGGCGTATTGTGCAGCGTGGAGAGCAGCAAAGGACGTTCGGCACGGAGCGACAGGGGGGCGATCAACCGTCACCGAAAGAGGGTAGGCGCTCACATTCATCTAAACAAAACCAAATGACAAGTGGTGTTTGATACGAGTAGTGTTGTGTCGTGTGAATCATTGCTTTCTTTCTTGTTCTGTCTTCAAGATACGTTGCCGTCAGGTTAGCACTCGCAATGTTCATTACTAGCGATGGTTTAAAAGATTTCACAGAAATAGGACGATCTGTATACAAAATTGATTTAGAATTCATATGTACCTATTTGTCTGCAGCGTTATTTGGATTGCCTCCGTTGACGTGAGTAATTCATCGATTTTGGAGGAAATTTCCAAGGTGGTAGAACGAACGCTCACCAACCTTTCTGCGCCGTTCACATCAGACTCTGTAAGGTCTTTCGCTATTTTATCGAGATCTGAATTGAAGGCATGGACGCCGAGAAGAAGGGTTCTCATCACTTCTATCTGCTCATTTAGAAAGCTCCTCGTACAATGTGGTAGCGGAAACCAGATTTCTCTACATATCGAACAGAGATGAGCATAAGAGCGCTTCTGTCGCATGGCTCTCGCCAGACCTTGGTGGCCGAAAACATGAGCACATGACCCACAATCAGTGATGCGCACAGGATACTCTATGTTATCGGAGATAAATGCATGGTGTGCATTTTCTGACCCGGATGTACTGAATACCTCATAGCATATCGAACAGCGGCATGAAGGAGATCTAGCCCGACTAGATAGAGGGACAGGGACGGTGTGATTTGTGAGAAAATTGTGAAACACAGCTTCGGGTGGACGATTAGGCATTGATCTCTGACTTGGGGCGTCTGCTTAGATAAATTTGTCGTTTTGATATTCCAGATTTGTTCTACCAGTCTATTTGAACCGATCATTCCTATACTCTCAATGGTTAAGAAAGATTTCGTGTTCAGGCATTAGTGCGATCACAAAGGAGCAATGGAGAGAGCGACTGTTGTAATTATAATATTGGATTTAGGTCACTGTTTTGTAATGATGTGAATGCCCAAGTGATTCTGCGGCTTTCAATAGCATGCTTTCTGTACTGCATAACTATCATTCAAACAGCGCACATGTGGGAGAGAATCATCCCCTGCATTCCAGCGCATGCCACAGAGCTTCAATCGCTAACTCGACATCTTGGACCCTAAAGGAAATGGACGGATGATCGTCATCGATGTTTGAGGTAAGAAGTATGCGTTCAAGGAACTGAACTGAGCGGGCCACCTTACCCCGGTTTGACAGCCCTTCCATGTTAGCCATCGGCGTCCTCATCAAATTCCTGCCAACGCCACCAACACAACCTCCACAACCTAAGTCAATTTTTGGTGCTTCAGATTCTTTGCAGCTTGAATCGCTCAACTTTGGTTTATTCTCGAGGGAAAGTGGGGCTTTATCTCTGGCATTATCTCGTGAAGAAAGATTCGAAGTGAAATGCGAACCGTGATTATCGCCGCCATTGTCTATACGACCGTCCGTGGAAGTAAATGGAGGAGTTTCATCTTCTGGGAACCACTCCTCACGGCATGTTGGGCACTTGTTACTCCACGGACCAGCACTACGAATGTGGGCCTCAATGCAGTTATGGCCAAAAGCATGTCGGCAGGTTGAGCCAGGCCAGCAGCTCCGGACTCGAACGGAGATCTCTGATGCGCCTTTGCTTGAAAGATCCACATGTGCCGAGACCTCATTCTTTGGTATGTATGGCTCGAAACATATGGGGCAGACCTGCTCATTGAAGGGAAGTGTGCAGTTGGGGACTGGAGAGGTTCGCTTCAAGCGGCATTGGATTTCGACTTCGTCAAGCATGTTTCTCTATCTCAGTGGTGGTAAAATAGACGACCTAATGGAAGCAACGTACGTAGCTAAGTTTATTGACTCAGATAACGCTCAATTAAGTGACCTTGAAATAGAAACCTTCTGTGCCGTATTGTGTTTTAGTGGGAATTTAAGCACTTTATAACCATAATGACTTAGGTCACATGAGCGTCATGTAAGGGGGCGAGTGAATCTAGGCGTTGAGTTTGTGAAATGACGGAGCGGTTGAATATGTTTGCAATTCTGTGGTGCTAGGGTTGTCGTTTGGACGTGTCAATGCCCACATGCACCACCGTACAGATGCTCGTAGTGCTTGATGATAAAATTCACTGCAACAATTATACATGTCAATTTAAGGCTCGATATGTTTATTTCCATCATAACTAGTCTCGATTCTCCGCGGCAACCTTTCTGTGAATGTTTATCACATATCTAACATCTCTGCTGCACATAGATCTCGTCGTGTCAACATAGTTGTGTCCAATAATTGTTCCTAATTCTAGATCCAATACATGATAGGTAATTCCTCAAAATCAATCTAATTCATTCTACTACCTAAAAGCATGACCACGTCGGCATCTTCATCGGGGCGACTTTATTCGGTTAACACGTGGAGCGCAAGCATCAAACGAAAAACATGCCCCGCCTATCTCTCAACCCTATCAAGATCTCGGAGCCGGTTAGTGGCAATCGATTGCTCAATCTGCCATCATGCGGTTCAACAGATTAACGATCGGGAGGCCCTGGGGACCTTTTATCTAGTGACCGTGGTTGCTAGGATGGGGATGGTTTTAGATGAAATTGTTGATGGTGGCAACCTGATTCCGGCACCGAGTGAAGTATGATCCCACAAGTAGATGCTTAACCCAACCACTAGAGACGTTCACGTACAACCGAAAGCCTTCTACAGGAGATAAAAGTCCTGAGTATTTAGCCTGTATGGACAGATCAAGTCCCTGAGTGAAGCCAAACGTGGAGGATATTACCTCGTTGTGTGACTTCTTGACTTCTCGCTTTCCACACTTATAATCGAGAGTAGTCCATTCGCAAATCACAGCATATGTTAGAATTTACAATAACATGATGTTCTTACTCTCCTTCTCTCAGATATGGGTCTCTGCAACATGCCATCCCCAGGCTCGCCCAAGGCTACCGCGCCCAGTTCGTTCATTTGGATCATCGTGAGCCAATTAAACGCGTGGAGGGTGATGCCAAATAGGACTAGTGTGGGTTTTCTGTGTAACAACTATATTTCATAATTACCTACCGACTTCGCTTTCCCTCTCTCACCTTCTGACCTCTCCCTAGTCATCCAAAAAAAAAAAATCGTCCCATTCGATCGCGTCACTTGAATAAAGAACCCAAGCTTACGATTGCGCAGATACAATACCCGCGGCTTGCCTCCAGCCTTCACCGTTCCACCGTCTCGTCCTGCTAGACACTCAGGATAGCTGATTACCAGAGTCATGAGTGAAGCACAGCAGAAGTATTCCCCACCTCGGGCAGACAAGAATACGTTTGCAACACATGAAGATTTCTTCCAGTCCATTGAAAGCGGTGCGTTGACCTCCGTGGACCTTCTCAGAGAAAATGATCGCAAATGTGCCCATTGCTGGAAACAGTACGGTGAATCGGATCCAGGATTGAACAACGCAGAATCTCCAGTAATGTTCAAATGTGGTCACGCCTTCGGACAAGAGTGTATGAAGGACCTATTCAAGTTGCCTCCAAAATTTACTGTTAATCTCAAGGCTCTCGCATTTGAACCAGGATCCGGCGGCGCAGATTTTGCCGACAAAATACGCCAGTTCATCGACTTACAACGGCCAAGAAGAGATCCCTTTGGCCGTATCGAATATTGGAACTCAAGAGTAGACACCGCACCAGGTCAGGAACAGTTGCTTGCCACACAATCGGAACATATTCGAAGAATTTGCAGGTTGCTCTCACATGAGCTCCGTTCACGGCATCCATCGGTATCAAACCTCTTTGGTCCCTGGGTGGAGGCCATAGTGCAATTATTTTCGAGAGCTGAAAAGGTGGTGAGGATACACTTCCTTGATAATGGGATCGTCTTCGACGCCCTTCATGGATCCTCGTTCGCATATCTTATGGCACCTTCCATGGCCGACGATCAAGAAAGAGAGAGGATCGATAACTTGCAGAGAAAAGGTTCGGTACCCGAATTGATATCCACAAATCCCTTCAGTACCACTTGACTAACTGATTCCAGGAGTGAAGGCGAATAACGATAGTAACGAAGAACTCCTGGCTGTTGTGTTGTATGAAGTTTATGACGCTTATCTTCAGCTTAGGCGCAAGAGCTCAGGCGCTGTACCAAGCACTGCCACCAACACACCGAGTAATTTGCAGCAAACACTTACAGTTGTGCACCCAGAGTCATCCACTTGCGATGTCGTAACCGAAGATGTCCGTATTGGTGAGCACAACATTGGCTCTACACATTATGAGATCAAAAACCCTCATAGGTTCCAAAAAGTCCATCATCTCGATTCATCGGATTCGGAGAGCGGTCTCCCACAGTCAGAGCCTGCTCCCAGATATATGGTCTCCTTGCGAAGAACTTTCTTGGGACTGACGGATAAGCTGGATGAAGTTGACACGACTGCGCCGGAGGACGCCATGATCCGATTAAGTGCCCAAAAAATGGATAGCATGAAAGCGAAAGATATTCCAATGGCTGTACGATCTATTGGATGGGTGGATCGTCGTGAGGTGCGCAACACTTGCCCAATCTGCAAGAAGGTTCTTTTCTACATCGAAAATGTCATAGACGACTAGTCGCAGCGTACGGAAAGTTTTCGTCCTGGTTGTAGCTTTCCGTAACGGTTCGACTTGCTTGTCCGGGTATATTTTAACTTCGTTCGTGATTGGGACATGGGGTGATGGGAATTGCTTTTCGTTAAGGATAGGACGAACGGTGTTCACTTGATCAAACTTCGGATTCACCAGGCGCCAGGCTACTATTGTAGATTCACCTCAAAAACATAGATTCAAATTCACTTCTTTTTTTATTGCACGTTGTTTGACCTCGCAGAGGCCTTTCTATATCTATAATTTCCGCTGTGAGCACCACCGCTCCCCACAACTTAATCCATCACATTCTCTCCCCTACTTCTCTCTCCCCCGCCACCGAAAAGCCATTTCGCTGTGCCTATTTTACTCAGTAGTCTCCGAGACACGGATCCCATTCCTAGGCCAGTCAGCCTACACTGCATAAAGACATTGCGGAGGCAGAAGAGAGTAACTCACTCCAAGACTACCAACAGCCCAGAAGCTTGTCATCAAGTTTGTTCAGGTACAATCCTGCCAGTAACAATGCAAAGCGCTGGCCATCCCGCCTCGGTACTAGTCGAATCACCCACAAAGCCAATACAAATACTTGATCCACTACTAAAGTACGTCGATAACCTACTGATGCAAAATTTACAACTTCACGATAAGCCTTTCCTTGCCGAAGCATGTCCAGTGTGTAAATGCACGTCGGATTTCACCCACGATCACAGCACGTTCCTCCCACTATCACCTTGCGGCCACTGGATCCACTATAACTGTTTTGTCTGGCATTGTACGCGTCTCGACCCCTCGCGATCGCAATGTCCCGTTTGCTCGACTGGACTATACCACTGGGATGGGATTAATGCCCTTACTCTCGCAACCCGTACATCGATTGAGATGGAGATGGGTGCCTTATGCTTTCCCTACTACGACCAATATCTGAACCTCCCCATCTACAACGACCGAAATGAATATGAAGCAGACTGCACTGTGATCGAGGCCGAGATTCAAAGGGCATATGCAACATGGGTCTTCCGTAAACAACAACACAAAGTTTTCAATCTGCCTTCTTCGATGCCCAATGCCGTTCTTCCAGAAGAAATTATCGACCCAAGAGATGGTTCCCCGAACCTTATAGCTGTTCTGCACGCCGCATTACGATTCATTCGCGAGACAGGGCGCCCCAAATCGAAGTGGTTGAGTTGGGATACGTGTCTAGGGTACCTACTATTCACTACGTTAGTCTGTATCAAGTTGAAAAGGGTTATGAAAGAGACACACTTCCTGGTTGTGGACTCGCACGGGTGGGCGGACTTGGATCAGGAAATGAGGGCACTGCAGGCAAGGATATTAGCTGAGATTGCAGGTAAAAGTGTGGTAGTTCAGTCAGCGGTGGACGAAAGTGAACCAACCACCCATCAAAGTGTACAACAATGATCATTTCCCAGTATTATTCTACGTCAACGAATCAAACCAGGATGGCTGGATCATTAGTAATACCTCATAGGCCCAGAGACAACATAGGTTGCGATTTTACATTCGCGCAAAATTTAAAAAAACAACAGATCCACCCAGATCGTGTTTGGGTAGCATTGCAGGCATAAGTGAACTTCTCGTAGGTGTTCCTTTCTAAGTCACAGCAGGTATAGTTGAGTGTAGAAGAATAGGCAAGGCTACTCGGGAATCGCGTGTAGAAGGATAGATCGATCAGGGCAGTCGAGAGGGACCGAGGCATCGTCCACCTACTCTAGAGGCGAATTAACTGTGTCAGATATCTATGTTTTCTACCTATCCACCATTGCAGGTCGTGCCTGTGATTCTCCCTACTACAAATGAGTCAACACGTGATAGAAACTATCGATAGAATAATGCATCAAGCTCTGCGAGCCCAGGCATGAGTTGTTGTAAGTACAAACTAGTTCTGTAATTTTTTCGGCCTCGAGACCAATTCATCTCAGCATGCGTCGACCGAGTCTGTAACCATTGTTTATAGGTTCTAGCCCACCACTGTCTTGTTTTTTCAAGCACTCTTCATACATCATGGTGAGCATTGTGAATTCACAACATAGTATTCATAATAGATGTGGAGCTCGTGGACACCATTTGAGTACACAGAAATTGCACTGAGCTTTCCTAGGCACTCTATCACAACTATTAGGTCACTTGGAAGAGCCAAAACAAGTCTAGCGAACATATTCACGTTTCAAATGTCTGGTCTCAACCACACCTCACCTTTCAATGGTAGCTGTAGCAGCTGTGACGTCCCGCGTGGTGCCCAGCACTTTCTAATTCACCATGTGGTCTTCGCTGACCCATCGGTGGGCAACTCGGAATGCATGGTCTGCCGGGAACTGTATGGGTCGATCAATCTAGAAATGGAGATGATTGATCCTTGTTGCAAGGTCATCAACATTCCCTGTGGTCATTTCATAGGTCACTGTTGTTTGCTTCGCCTCATCTGACTCGCTGAGATGAAAGACACACTAAATTGCCCCATGTGCCGTACACCCTGGTGAAGCTTTGGCTCTGGTAGGCCAGAGGATCAATGGACATATCGGAAAGAAAGTATCGAACAGTTTATGGCTCTCACCTCCATCGATTATGCAACTGCGCGGTACTGGCTCTACAAACACCATCGTACTTTTCCTAAGCAAACAGCCGATTGATAGCTAATCTTCCAGGTCAATTGTTCCTGCTTGCTCACATCTGTCAAATGCTCCGCAATTGCACCGTTGTGTTCCATATAGTGGAGAGAATGCGAGAAGAGTACACGAGCGCCATCGATATGCGGTACTTAGAACCTTCCACGGAGTCATTCTACCTCCAGTAGACGCTTTCGATCTCCAAAATTGGGAACGTCTTGATCTTGCTGAATCGCTCTACAGAGCGGCGATTCCTTTCAAGGGAAAGCAATTGTACGACTCATTGAAGCGTTTTGTCACGCAAAATTCCCAACATCTTGGTGGGAACGACGCAAAAATGTGGATCATTACCGCCGTAGAAAACGATTGGTTTGCGAGACGAATGTCAGACGTCATCACCTTGATATGGTCAGGATTCTGCTCCTTATACTCTGGCCGCTTACTTCCGAATTGAGGAATGACCTGTTCCTCGGCGGTTCGCAAGTCCAGGATGCCTCTGATTAGGAGCATGCTAATATCTCTAGCCAACCTCTGTTCCGTTGAACTTGAATATGGCTAATATGTTTAAACCAAGTTCTGTTCGAATCAAAATATAAAACAGAGGTCGATGGTTCAATCCCATTGCTCCCCATTGCGAATGATCTTTCAAGTGTGCTCTGTACTTTGATTATACATCATCTACGAGGATCGACGATGACCACGTTGGTGATTCACTAGGGCTCTCGAGCAAAATCTTCTTTCTACGGTATCACAAAGACTCTTAGTCTTTCTTTCATGAATGCATTCCATCTCGTGCGAGTTTGTGTTGAGATGCGACGCCCAAATATGAATTGAACTACTGCAAATCGCATTTTCTGAGAATCTGGAAAGGCCATTAACAAGAGTCCTAAAAAGTAAACTTCTAGAAGATCAAAGCGACACGGCTCAATATAGATATGCTTGATAATTTCATTAGGATGGGAAATATCTGAGGAAAGGGTTCTGAACATGCCCCCAGCCAGTTGTCGCATGCAGACGACGATTAGATGCTTATGGCTGCGCTACAGGTACCATGTTCGATCGCAGACCTAGGCCAGTAACACTGCTGGCCAGAGGTGATTTCGGTGGACAAAGCTTGCATTCCGCAAATCAACGGTATCGCTGCCGGTCAGGCTGAACAATGGCCGTTAGGTAACGACGGTGTATACAACCTTCTCCTCCAACCTCCAACAGCCCCCGGGCGTCAGTTGTCTTGAATCCTCGCCAATCTAAGACACGTCAAATGGCAATATCGCTGCATATAGGGGAGTCTTATTAGCCGTGGTTGCCTTCACTGCGAGTTTACTACTGGGTATAACTCAGATCACAGGACAGAGAATTCGAAAGGCACATTGCATTGGTTTTGGTCACCTCCCACACTTGTTCCGGATTCAGATATCTTGTTAGACCATAAAGTAGAATCATTGTCATAGTATGGTTTACTATAATTTTGCCACTAGAAACAACCTGAGTACGGAGTATCGTTGGCATCGTCCTCGATCGCCTGTGTCACAATGATAGGACAGCTCTAACAGAGCCAAGGGTTGCACGCCCGTTGCACAGAGGAGCAGATCAAGCCGAAAGAGTAGTGGTGTTCTTATATGTCAATAGCTTGGAAATTGTGGCTTTAGTGATGATGAATCGAGACGCCAGGGTAATATCCCTTCTAGCAAGCTTGAGGTCTTATGTTTGGCGACACAGCGTGAAGAGACGAATGCTAGTAGACCGTTCTTCAAGACAATGCAGCCGTCACGCCAACTAGCCTTTCACACCGTCACTTTGAGCCTATTCATGTTCTCTCCAATGACATACACGAGTTCATGGAATCTCACGAGCAAATCAGTTGTTGGTAGGCCCAGCCCAGTTTACCACCGATCACATAGCAAACGGTCTTGTGCACTCCTTGTGCTACATAGGGTCCGTCTCAATTATTCCTTCTAGGAATGCAACGGTCGCCAAAACATGTTTCTCTCACGTTTCTCGTCCCGTTCTGGCAATCTTGACTTGATCCAGCAGTCACCGTGCTAGCCAATTTTGACCATGTTTCCCGATATAATCTACTGGCTTGCTTGATATCAGGGAATAGTTGTTGCAGGATAACAACGCAGACACGCTCAAATCTTCACATCGGAACATGGATTCATACGACTGTTTGATGTTACCATTCGATCGTCAGTCTGCTAGTAACGATCAATAGCCCACTAGACAATCTGGAACTTTGCCGTTACCAGTTCACGAAGCTGTCGCAACCAGTCTCTGCGAACATTGTCACACTATCCGCCACGCCACCTCAACGCTCTTGAACGATTCTTCGCTATGTTTCTAAATCAGCAAACGGCCGACATGCCAATATTTTCAGCCGCCACGCTGTGTCCATGGTAATTGCTGCAAGGCGAACCGACGTGAGGCGAGATGCGGCGCTCGTTACGGTATTGCGGCCACCTGCAAGGGCGATCGTGAACCACTGGAAGCCCTTTTGGCATAGTACCACGAGCAAACATACTTCCCAACCTCGTGGATAGTGCAAATGGTGTTCCCTTGAGAAGAATCGCGGCGGTGAACAACACGCAAGCTGACGGATCACAGAAAGGATCATTTGGAAGCTGAAAAGTATAAATCTCGAGGATATTGTATAATTGATCTCAGTTGTCTGAGTATTGAAATCTCATCAGACCTCTCATCTCTCTATTTTAGAGATCAATTGTCCACATTCATAAACACGGCCGTTCGCATCCTTCTGCCTTTTGGGGCTTGCGAATCAGAATGCAGTTCACACTACTTCTTTCGATCTTCTCCCTTGCCCTCTTTACTTCAGCGGCTCCGCAGCTTCGACCTGAACCACCATCACCAACCACCCTTACTTTCCACCCAGCTTCTACATCTATTCCCCTTTCTACATCTACCGCAGCGGCCAGTCCAGAACCTTTAGCGATTTTCACTGTGAGGGATTTCGTGGCCTTTGTTGCCGACAATGGCACCGCATCGACTGCAAATTACGTCAAGTTCTACTTCATTGATCCGCGACCCGACTTTACGCTAGCTCTGAACTGCCTTCTCAACGGCACTATCTACAAACCGCTCTTTTCTTCGTGCGAAGGAAGGGGCGCCAAATTCAGACTAAATGACGGGCAACTAGAGATCAAGAGAGACTGGCATGTCGTTGAGGATCGGTAGGTCTAGCTCCAGCCCCAATCGTCGTCGACAGCCGTTTACTAACATTGTCATAGGGCATGGATTATCGGCTTCGCCCCACAAGGCACGTACTGGAAAGAAGGAGAAGGTGGCAACGTGACCAAGGTTGAAGGTGGTAAATTGTACACCAGAACTGCTGAATGGCAATTTCCAATCAAGTCTGCAATTGCCAGTTGGGATCCATGAAAATTGCAACGTACGCTAGACGAGACTTGCACTGTTCCGGATAGTGGTAGATACGAGACTGTAAATTAACAAACAAAATAATCATAGACTGGCAGCGGCGGGGGATGGCGCGCTTAAGATGTATACACTGGGGGGAATACGAAAGGAAAGGCGGTCATTATGAGGAATTAATTGTCGAGTAGCCTCGAATATCATCTCTTAAAAAAACAGTGCCATAAAGTAAAGAACCTATACTCCAAGCAAGACCTTACAATGCCCACGGTTAGAAAAGGCCAGACGTGTAACACAAATGATACTAGCCTGCCACGTAGCAGTCTATATCTGTCGCAAACTACTGCTCTCGGATTGTGATGGCTGGGATGTTTCTGCTATTTTCTTCTCGGTACGTTGAGAATTGGCTATGATAAGCCTAGCAGTTGCAGCCTCCAGGTCCTTGGGTTTGATTGGCTTCCGGCCTGAGATTGACTCCCTGTCGTTGTTGACCGGGTCGCAAATTTCTTGGACCTGCCTGGTCGAGTGGCAACTTCTTTGCGATCGCGGTAAACAGGTCTCGCACATTTTCGCTGGTCTTTGCAGAGGTCTCGAAGAAAAGCAGTCCGGCTTCCCTGGCGTACTGTTCGGCGTCGGCGGTGGGAATTGCGCGCTTGTCGGGTGACTCGGTTACGAGATCGAGCTTGTTCCCGGCAAGGGCAATGATTATGTTCTCATTAGCTTGACGTTGAAGCTCCTTCACCCAGGCCTTTGCCTTATCCAGGGACGACTGTTCTTTAGATCAGTATACATCCACTCGCACTTCTCGGAAGTCGTGATACGCACGGCTTGAGTAATATCATAGACGACTACAGCGCAGTTTGCGTTTCTGTAGTACATTGGGGCCAGAGACTTGTAACGCTCCTGTCCTGCAGTATCCCAGATCTCGAATTTGACGGTCGTGGATTCATCGAGAGCGATGGTCTGGGTCAGGAAAGCGGCTCCGATGGTAGACTCCCGGTAGTCATCGAATTGGTCCTGCCGACAATATTAGCACACCAGTCCTGGAGTTAGAGTTGGAGTACCTCTCACTTTAACGAAACGGAGGACTAGGGACGACTGCATGCGCGATTAGTTTATATATCTACGGCTGCCTTGGTCTTCGGACTCGCACCTTGCCAACAGCGGATTCTCCTAGAGTGGCATTAGCAACAGAACTGAAGTAGCATCTCGAGTACCGCCATCCTTACCGAGGAGAACTAATTTAAACTGTGCAAATCGAGATCCTCCAGGCCGACCGCCTTGTTGTACTCTTGCGGACATGATAACAACTGGATGCGGGTGACGCGGCCGCAGTTGAGGGGATGATCGGATGTGCTGAGGGGCTCACTGGAGAGCGAATCTTATGTTGATAGGAGGCTCGAGCCTTACAGCGTGATCTTCTTGAACAAGTGGATCGATCTGGGCGGAGTGGAAGGTGTTTAGGCAGGTCTACAGATACGGGTTGGATGGTTCAAAGGTAGAGCGTGACGATTCCAGGGGCTTGGCACTGGGCGCACGGACTCCCGTTTCGTCATGTCTTCCCGTCCGTTTGGGAGAAAACAGATTGCGACAACACTCGACGACTTTCATCGTTGGCCGATCCTCCGTTGCACTTTCGCTTCCATCTATCCGTCTTTGCGAGTACTTATATACGCCTGTAACACTAGCCTCATCGGAGGTCCTACATCCAAGATCCTCGATCAATCGTCTGGAGAATCCGTGACAATGGCTGCTGTGCTCCCATACCGTGATATCAACGTTCACTCGTCGCCGTCGCACTATGCTTTCTCTTCACCCTCATCCCCCTCCGCACCAACACTCGTAGTGGACCGCCCGTCCGGTGACATTCGCCTCCACGATGGGAAATTATTGGGCTCTAAAAGAGTCTCGAGCGTTGCTGGTATCTTGGGTATCATTAAGCTCCGCCTAGGTACAAGAGACAAACTTCAGACGGCTGGGACAGCACTGCTGACATGTTAGCAGATAAGTACATAATTGTTATAACCAAGGCACAGCCCATGGGTAGAATCAAAGGCCACATGATCTACAAAGTCATCACGACCGAATTCCTACCATTGCGAGAGCGCCCGCTGCACGATGCCGATGAAGATTCCTACCTTACACTGCTCAAGGGTCTACTGAAAACGTCACCTCTGTACTTCTCGTACTCTTTTGATATTACGAACAGCTTCCAGCGACAAGCACATCTTGATCCAGCGATTCCACTCTGGAAAAGGGCCGATGATCGGTTCTTCTGGAACCGTTTCATCCAAACAGATTTGATCGACTTTCGAGGTGGGCTAAGTGGTGGATATGGCAGGCATTCGAGTGGTCAGCAGCCCGAGGTAGATCCCTACATTCTGCCAGTCATGTTTGGAATGATGGAAATCAAGAATACGTCAATAAAAGGAAACCCCCTCACGTTCATTCTCATCACAAGGAGGTCTCGATTGAAAGCAGGCACACGATACTTCTCCCGCGGTATTGATGAGAACGGGAATGTGTCAAACTTCAACGAGACTGAGCAGACGATTATTCTGAACGACCATGCCTCCGGCGTGACGGGCGGTTTCGCAGGTGGACAACAGAATGGATCTGTGGGAGGGAATGCAGGCAAGGAGGTCCAAGTGCTTGCCTATGTGCAAACAAGAGGAAGCGTGCCTGTCTACTGGGCGGAAATCAACACTTTGAAATATACACCAAAATTGCAGATAAGGGGCATAGAGAGTGCCGTGACGCCAGCTAAGAAGCATTTCGCTGAGCAGATCCGACTTTACGGAGACAATTGGCTAGTCAACCTTGTCAATCAGAAAGGTCGAGAGCAACGAGTCAAGGAGGCGTATGAACAGATGGTCAAGGTACTGGTATCTTCGCCAGCAGAGAACGCTCAAGGTGACAATGTCACCTCGGAGAAATTCCACATAATTGAGCCCGAACAAGCACAGACGTCTTACGATCGCATTCACTATGTATACTTCGACTTCCACAGCGAAACAAAGGGGCTGCGGTGGGACCGAGCAAAACTTCTATTGAATCAGTTGGAGGAACCAATCCGCCAGCATGGGTACTTCCGAGGTGTGGACATGCCAGGGGATACAGGACGTGTGGAGGTCAGGAAGCACCAGACAGCCGTCGTGCGAACTAATTGCATGGATTGCCTAGATCGTACAAATGTCGTTCAGAGCATGCTTGGTCGTTTTATTCTTTCTCGCATGTTGATCGACCTAGGACTCTTGCGCGAGGGCGAGAATGCATCCGATGACGAGGCTTTCGAATCTCTTTTCCGCAATGTTTGGGCAGACAACGCAGACGTTGTCTCACGTTCATACTCAGGGACGGGTGCTCTGAAGACTGACTTCACACGTACAGGCAATCGTACCAAGGCTGGTGCATTGCAAGATCTCAATAATTCGATCACACGCTACTTTCTTAACAACTTTATGGATGGTCCACGCCAAGACGCATTCGATCTATTCTTGGGCGCTTATCTTCCTGCCGGCTCCGGGATCGGAAGCCAATATCTCTTCGCAGATCGAAGGCCTATCTTCATTCAGTCTATTCCATATATCTTCGCTGCAAGTGTATTTCTCATCTTTGTGGGTAGCTTCACCCGCCGTGGAGAAGATGCTACCGTTTGGCCTTTCCGCCTCCTCATGTTCGTTTGTCTTGGTCTCGCAGCTGCCTGTGGCCACTTCATCGCTGCCAACGGCACTCTTTACGTAAGAAGCATATCCCCTTATCAATCTCCAGTCACTCTCGCTAACGAATCACAGGTGAACTGGCCCAGACTTAACCGCCTCCCATGGGCAATTGAATCAATGCAAGATGCCTTATCACATGTGCAACACAATCCTGTTGTCGGGTCACTTGTTGGTACAAAACATGAGCGTGGCAAGAGTGATGCAAGAGTGGCATACTTAGAGGAGGGCAAGAAGAGGATTGAGTAATTTTATTCCATTTAGACCTAGTCTAGTATTTAGCATGGCTAGCGATGTACGAGTAGACGCAGGTCACGTTGCTTGTGTTGCCGATAGCGAGAACATCTTGTAATGACGATATCTTTCTTAAGACATCAATTTAAGCCAATTTCTACATCAATAACCAAGTATGTACACCGTATGCCATTAGTTAATTCTTGGGAACGCCATACTCTATCTTCCCACCGAATTACATCTCGATTGCCACTTCTCTCTGAGAACACCTTTCCGACAGAAATCAAAACGCTCTCTTACAAGCGGCGTGGAATCCCGGTTGAAAAATCCAACCTCGTCAGTTCCTGAAGCAAGGAAGGTTATACACTTAGGGACGTTACAGCGGTTGTAGTACATGTACCTGGGTATCATCAAAACACCAAACAAAAGACAATTACTCTGCGGTCCAAGGAGAATGAACCCCCAACCAGATCTCAACCATGAAAAGCTTTGGCCCATGTTGCTTCGCTAGCATCGTATCGAAAAGACAATGTAATGAGTTGTTGTGAAGAGGGTGGTGGCACGCTAATTATGACATTAAGAAACAGAGATGAGAGGAAGGGGCAGGACCACGACATCGAACTCCTCATCCAGGCGCTCGCCTTCGTGGAGGACCTGGTTACCGTACGGTGCAACCGGGGGGATATCTTCTCCGTATTTGCCACCAACGAAATCCCACCCATCGCCCTCGAGCTTGCGTTTCAGGCGCTCGCGGTTAGACCTGACTGCCCTTTGGACGAGCGGGGTCAACTCCAAGGGCGTACGCTCAGATCTGCTGGACTCCTTTTGAGATGCTGTGAGGACATCGCAGGCATCCCCTTCCGTTTCCCATTCTTCGAAATCTGGCAATATCCATAGGTCTGATTCGGTGCTGTTGGTGCAGCTCTCGTTGAGGATAAGACATGTACTCTGATGGAGCTCGATACGATTTGTTTGCCGATGCTGGAAGGCCCCCGCTTTGCTGCCTAGTGAGGCAGACCAGGCTTTTCGTTGACACAGACTGGGTTGAAACTTGAGAAGGGTTCTTCTTCGTTCGCCGTCTGGGTGATTGCGAGATTCGTAGAGACGTCGTTTTTGGAGTGGTGGACCGCAGAGGTCTGAAGTTGATAAGGCTAGTGATGGGGAAAGATTATTGGGTTGCTGGTCTGCTGATACACTGGTCATGCTGAGTTGAGATATCGAGATTCCCGATATAGGCCGCGAAGGTCGTCAAAAGTAAGCCGCGGCTGCAAGAATGAACACAGATGAAGATACTGAGATTATCTTGAAAGATCTTCTTCAGAGAAAAGGCGGGTACGGAAACGAATAGTTGTATCCAAGACGCAGTACTAATGCAGGAAAGGGAGGGAGAGTGCTGGATCGTGAATTAGATATCGTTGAAGGTGGTGTTCACATGCTGGATATTGTTGCCTAGTGGACATGTACATTACTACATCCACACACGCGCGCACGAGTACCGAAGTAGAGTCATATGGAGATGACGTATGGCAGGATGGCGGAAGGGATGTGGCAACGGATGGTGTGGTGAACGTGGCTGTGTATGGTTTGTTCCACATCAAAACATCGTCTTGTGCTCGTCTTCCTGCAGCTGGCGAACGTCAGGCACAAGGAACTACTACCTATCACCCTAGGTACCTAGCCTATGTAGGTACATAGTTAGGAATTATGATCAAAGCTCCTTGATGGACCGCTATCGATGGATCTTGGGTGTCCGGTCCTTTACGTGGCATTCACCATGTTCAACACCGTGTACCGTAGATGACAATACGCGTAGGTACAGAGGGTTGGCACGTCGGGCTGGCCACCTGCTAGCTTCATTTGTCTTCGAAACCTACAGTATCTATTTGAGTACACTGGAGACAGTCTTGATTCCTCGCAACATAGCCTTGCGAATACACTGTCGTGGGCATGGAATACTAGGAGGGGGCCAACCCACTGTACCTAGGTACCTAGGTTTTTGGGTATACATACAAATCCTCGCGTGACCATATACAATGTGGCCTTGGCGCTACTGTATCTTAGAAGGCTTTGTATGGTGTATGTGTGATCAAGTTACCGAAGAAGTAATTATCTAGATATGATGGATCGATAGTTAAATGAGACTCTACATTTTGTCCCTGATCAACGCGCCGCCCTCAAATGGGTACCTAAACTTGGCGCTCTGGAGTCGTAGGTGAGCGATGGGAAGTGTAACGCCATCCGAACATCAAGTCAGCGAAATTAGATCTCAGTAGAAACCATCGTTCTGGCATCGCTGTTCAAGTTGATGTTTACCTACCTAACCTATGTCAAAGTCAAAGGTGTCGCTGCGAATGGACGAATGGACGAATGAACATCCGATCTGCGCCGAAGCTGATAACCACCACACCATTGAGTTGTTGGTCCGTGCACACTGACGATGCAAGCCTTCATGAAGCTGTCCGACGACATATCAACAACCGTTCATCCCCATCCGCAATTGCCATCGTTCATATCCGGGGTCCGCTCATCATGTTGCGCGCCTCTATTTTGAGGGCCCGGCCAGCGCTGCGGTCAATTGCGCCTGCCGCTCGTCCGCAATGGCGCGTTGCTCAACGCTTCTACGCCGATGAGAAAAAACCTGGCGAGACCGCCATCCCTAACCCTGCGCCAACAGTCCCTCCATCAAACCCAACTGTATCTGATGGCATCTCCAAGTCGTCTACTGTCCAGACAACCTCTTCCTCCCGTACCGCTCCGGTCGAGCAACCCGCGACTACTCCCCCGACTGGTCCTGGATCTGCCAGCGTAGCCCCCGACCCAGTTCAGGCCCCGAAGCCGAAGAAGAAGCGACGTATCCGCCGATTCTTATTCCAATTGATTCTTCTGTCGACCCTTGGTTATGCCGGAGGAGTCTACTATTCACTGGTGTCTGATAACTTCCACGACTTCTTCACCGAATTTGTTCCTTTTGGCGAGGATGCGGTTGGCTATTTCGAGGAGCGTGAATTTAGGAAACGCTTCCCTGGGCGGGCTGGACAGCCTCGACTACATCCCCAGGTGTCAGGCGAAAACAAAGTTACAATTCCTGGCAAGTCCGGACTCTCGTCGAGACCAGCGGAGGCAAGCGGTAGCGATCTCGCTGGTAAGGGTCCCCACGTTAGCGCAGTCAAGGAAAGCAAACCAGTAGACCCACAAACGAGCGCTGCTGGTTCTGCTTCTAAGGGTGCTCAAGAGAGCAAGAAGGAGGCGGGACATAAGGAGAAACCTACCGAATCATCCTCGCATGATTTGCTCCCCAAGGGTTCCTCAAAGGCAAAGGCCGAGTCTAAGGCTGCGACTACCCCTACCGCTACGGCTTCGACCCCTATCACCCAGCTTGATCATCTTAGCGTTCCCTCTGCCAGCGAGCCCGTTGTTCAAGACGTCGTTAAGATTGTAAACGACATCATTACCGCCATCAATGCTGACGAATCCCACGGAAACAAGTACGATTCCGCTCTAAACAAGGCCAAGTCTGAGCTGTCCAAGGTGGTCGCAGACATCAATTTGCTCAAGGAAAGTACTCAAAAGTCAGCGGAGGAACAGATCAAGGCTGCGCATAGCGAATTCGACTCAGCGGCGAAGGAACTCGTGCGCCGTTTGGATGTGCAAATGCACGACCAGGAGACCCATTGGAAGGAGGAGTACGAGAACGAACGTGAGCGCCTATCAGCAACTTACAAGGAGAAGCTTCAATCCGAGCTCGACGCTGCCCATAATGTTTACGAGCAACGCTTGAAGAATGAACTTATTGAGCAGAGCATCGCCCTCCAGAAGGCCTTCTCCGCCTCTGTTCGAAAACAAGTCGAGCAAGAGCGTGAAGGCCGTCTCGGCAGGTTAAACGAGCTTTCCTCTTCCGTTGCTGAGCTGGAGAAGCTCACTGCTGAGTGGAATTCGGTCATTGAGGCTAACCTCAAGACGCAACACATGGTCGTTGCGGTTGAGTCAGTCAAGGCCGCTCTCGAGAATCAAGTTGTCCCTAAGCCTTTCACTGGTGAGCTTGCTGCCTTGAAGGAGATTGCTGCCGACGATCCGGTTGTGAGCGCTGCTATCGCCAGCATCAACCCCGCCGCATACCAGCGTGGTATTCCCAATTCTGCACAGCTCATCGACCGTTTCCGACGTGTCGCTCACGAGGTTCGCAAGGCCGCTCTTCTACCGGAAGATGCAGGCGTCGCATCCCACATTGCTTCCCTCGCCATGTCCAAGGTTCTCTTCAAGAAGTCAGGCCTTGCCGTGGGCCAAGACGTTGAAGCCATCCTTGCCCGAACTGAAGTTTTGCTCGAGGAGGGCGACCTGGATGCCGCTGCCCGAGAGATCAATGGTCTCCAGGGTTGGGCTAAGGTTCTAAGTAAAGACTGGTTAAGTGATGCAAGGAGAGTGCTCGAGGTCCGACAAGCTTTGGACGTCATTGGCACAGAGGCTCGGTTACAGAGTTTATTGGTTGATTAGATTCTAGGACTAGACTCGGTGCATTCTCACAAGACTTTCGAACAGGCTTTTCTTTTGTGCCATATGTAGCTGTACGTGTAGCTTATAAAATGAGTTTTCTTTTCAACAGTCAAACATGTTCAAAGACACAGATGTTCAATAACGTGAGGAAAATGAACGCCGCCTCGAAGGAGTGAAAAATGCACGATAAGGGCCTTCAATGTGCGCAAAATCCACCAAAACACAATCCTGAGTCCTGATACTGCCTAGAAGTGAAGTGGCAGACATGTGTGTACATACCTACCTAGGTACGTGAATACACAAGGCCTAAACCGGTTACAACGACGTCTACCTCAGGCAATATCCCCAGCAGTCTTGGTTTACGGAATAGGCTTTCGGTACTACTATGCTTTGATGTTTCGTCGATTTCGTCAGCTTCGACCTGTACCTTTGTGACAATACGGATCTCATCGACATCTTGACCCTCGTAGCCCAGCACTTGCTTTAGAGAAAGCACACCGAGAGCAATCCTTTGGTTCCTATCGAAAACGGGCAATTCCGACAAGCGCTTGTGGGGGCTTTCCTCAGACAAGCTGTGAGTGTAGCCATGCGTACCGCGAGTGGTAAAGAATCTGGAATGTAAACTCGCAAGGAGGGGACGTGGTGTGGGTAAGCACGCTCCGATAATAGCGACGTTGATCTCGACGACTGAAAAGATAGCCGCACCTGTAATATCATATGGTGGATCTTCCGATGTAACTATGATCAGAAGCGAGTGGAGGTGCACGATGGAGATGGCACAAACGCTTGGAGGCCATAATCAGTCAGACCATTGTGTATTCTGGTTAACAGATTGAACTTACATTCCGCCGAAAGCGAAAATGCCCATGAGCAACCGCTTTTGCCTCCTCTGTAGTTGCGTCTGCTCACGACTGGCATTGGTACAATTACAATTATATGTCGGTTAAGATCCCGATGGTAGCATTCGCGAACCAAGACCAAAGCGAACTTGCAATCCGATTACAGCCACCGTCGCAGTGAGACAAAGCTTCCACGATGAATTAGCGGCGCTGACTTTCAAGTCTGCAATGCTAAAATATACTCAAGAGGTTACAAGACCTAAATCTCCCCACCCTTGTGAGCGAACAATTTGAAATCTAGTCCAGAGCCGGAGGCCGACAAATACTGAACCTAGGATGGAGAAAAGACTGATGACGATAGTCATCTGAAGGCCTCTCTGACTATCCATCATTTTGATGTAAATGAATTTCCTGTTTAGTAGGATGTGCTCAAACTATAATTCACTTGATGATGGTAATAGTGGCAGGTTGACGGACACTTTCTCATTACATCCAACAGCCTACTTCCATCATGGCAATATTTTGTCTCCGCTAACCATCTCCTCTCGTTCCTTCCCTTTGATACCTAAGCTATTTGTGAACTCAAATGCTTATTTGTTCATTCACGAAGGATCGTAACACAAATCCCGGGAGCGTGCTCGGCGGCGGAGCTGTGTGACAATTCCAGCAGATGACTTATAGTTTCCTTCGAATCGAGTCTGCCCTAAAACTGACAGAGAGCTTTTGGAATAGTATAAGGCAAGCTGGAGATTCACTATGTAGCAATCTTCTCTGCAGGGGCATGCTTAAATCACACGCGTAGCTGAGCACAGCCGAATTTCGATCGTCTCGTGCTCCATATGTCACCGATTTCGTGTGTATAGGACCTGAAGAATAGGGGAATTGACCTCTCAGCTCCCATTCACTATGTTGAATAGGGTGTGGTTGATGTTCTGAATTTGGATATTCCAAGGGCATATAGCTATGGGGGAGTATGGCATTCACACTGGTGATAGATATAGAGTGGGTCGCCGCGTCTTATCTATGCGGTGAATGCTAGTCTCAGTCGTTTCCACTTTACTTGAAGGATAATTGAGCCATGAATCAATGTTCTATCTAAACTAGTTGAGCGAGATTATGGAGATTATCTCTCCCTTGAATTCCTCGCGTGACGAACATCTGTGTGGGTTGACATGTACTCCTACCCGACAGGACCGCTCAACAAAACAATCTGCGAAGTTCGGAACATTTTAATAAATGGTGGCCTCATTGTAAATTGACATTGGTCTTTTACAGTATCGACCGAAGAGATATTCAATATTTTGAATAATTGCAATGGTGACTTATCTAAAAACAATGTAATATCGAGGCATTGTGAGAGCGAATTGAGGTGAGTTAAATAATCCTAAATATGCAAGAACACAGCTTTGAAAAGTACTACGAGCAAAAGATAGAGAATATTTGCTTGTAATTTACGGGAGGTGGAGATTTTTGTTGGGCTGCAGGTTAGCTTTGAAAATCGCGGGAATATACATTGAGTGAGTCGACGCCACTACCAAGACGCATTTTCGTGGGCCCTCAGGATTCCGAGAACTGCATGGGTCTTGAAAAGCCATTCAGATGTGATCTAAGCCATAATTGTAGCCTTGATTTCACGAAGTCTCCATCCTCCAACTTTGGCATCTAGGACATTGTGAAGTACACATGATTTCCGCCATGCTGGGATTCATCATGCAGGGAGGGCCGTCCCATGCTAGAAACAAAGTTGGGGACACAAACAATCAGAATACTGCCAGAAAAGGCACACTGCGCTCTCTCACCGTAATCAGCCTTTATAGGTGCACATGGATCTCTTTGAGGGAATCACGGGAAAAGTGTTAAGACACGTCTAACTGGGAGCTCCCTTGAATTTGCTACTCTCATATTTACATCACAGTTGTTTGACTATTGAATGCACTCTCTGCCAATCAGACTCTCGGAATTGCCTGCTAATACAGACTTTTGACGTTCGGGCCATTGAAGGTATTTCTCATAATTCACCTCAGGTACCATTAGAGGTTGCCACATCAGGATTTGGGTAGTACCAAGAAGCCACTGCAATGATGACATAAACGATCTGAATATGCAGTTAGCAAGCGATCAAATAGTCTATTTGATAGATGAAGACGTACGACCAACAAAGCTCCCTCAAGATAATTGCTTTCACCATCCCTGAGGAAATTTCCTACCACGACGATGGAGAGTACCAACAACACGATCATGAAAATCTCAAAGTTGAGATCCATATCCTTTCCCATGGCCCAACCTACTAGGACCACAAGTGGAGCGTTAAATAGGGCAGTTTGAATGCTAGGACCAATGCAGTGGAAAAGTGCGAAGTTCATTTGGCCGTCCCAGGCTTCGTCAACGGCAGTGAGATGTTCGGCTGCTTTCTCAACGAGAGGAAGAAGGATAAGGCCTAGGAACTGATCTGGAACACCGGACTCAACGACTTCCTCAATCTGCTCGACCAGAAATACAGCGAGGAGTGTGACAAGAGCTAAGGATAGTGTCAAGGCGGCGAGACATTCCGTGAAGGTAAATTTTGGTTTTGCGAGGTCATCGTGTCGATCGAGATCTGCATGTTCATCGGCTTCCAGTACGGAATCAAAGATAGAGTGTTGAGTGTGAGCATTGTAGTAAACAAAGCTAGATGAATTAGCTGTCAAAACTCGCGCCCGGTTGCTCTAAGCAGACGTACATAATGAAAGCAATGATGAGTAAGACGGATGTGATTTGACTAATCCTCAGAACATTTTGCTTTAGTATCTTCTCTGTGAACGTATGATGCCCAATTGCCACGGGAACTGCGGATCCTTTGAGAGCGGAGTAGTATGCGCTGGGAATGAGAAGTCCAAATCCCGCAACGCAGAGCAGCCCGCTGCCGACTTCGCTGATGGAAGCATGGAACTTTTGACTTTGCTGTCGCAAGCCACCGACAAAGAAACATGCGCCTAGGCAAAGAAGCAGATTGGTAAGAATGGAGCCCAGGATTGCGGCCTGGATAACGGGGATAAGGTTGCCGTGCTCAGAGCTTCCGTCACCGGACCTGTGCTTCGCGATCAAGATCACGAAGAGTATTATTTCGACGATACTTCCGAAAGCGGTCTCAATCAGAATTCCAGAGACTTTGGGCATCTTTCTTGCGAATTCCTGGCCTGCAAAACCAAGGAGATTCGCAACGGGAACCATCGCAATGTAGGAGAACGCAAAGATGGCCAGAGGCTTATTCGGTGTGATGAAGTGTAAAATGATAGCCACTGGCACGAAAGGCCATAGTAGATTGACATATTTTGCAACCTTACTTCCGCTTAGCCAGGAAACACGAAGGAAGTGCTTGATGCTGAAACCAGAGCGACCGCTCTCGCCATCAGGATGGATGTGCTGCGGAATTATCTGATGCAGCAATGGGGTAGATTCTGAAGGCATAACGGTGATGCCTGGTAATACCAGGGAGTAAATAGTAGCCTTGAGATAAATACAATTGGTTGAGATGAAGCAAAGGATAGTGGGTGAACTTAGATGTCGTGAAGCGTGCTGTGTGGTATGTCGCAGTTTGTTGTTGTTGTTGTTGGCGTGCGGGGGCTGGGGCTGAGCAATGACATCGGTCCGTCTTCATCTTTGGTCGAATGAGCTTGAATGGTTTACGCCTCCTCCGATCACCACGCTTAACCACAATCATAAATGGTCGTCGGACCTGAAGCAAACAATAATACAATAATAATTATCCTCCGCAATGAGTTCGGCTGTACTTTGTGCGACTGCAGACTCTAGAGTTTACCGGAGACTAACCCTCGTTGTGGCGATCTTTGCATTTATATCGTTCATGTGAGGCCACCGTTGACGTTATCGTACAGAGGGCTGGCACGTCAGGCTGGCCCCATGCTAGTATTTTATGCCTACAATAGTGCCTTAGCGCAGTTTATTGCAAGTAGTTAAGCTTGTTTACTGGCTACAGTACATTCTTAAGTAGACACTTTTGGTATAGAAGATACATGAAGTTGATTTCATGTCTATGCCTGGCGATCTGCATTCAATATCCCGCCGCAAATTTATCCATCGGCAAATCGAAAAGCCATCAATTAGATGGCTTCAATCATATTCTTTCCCTTTGCACTAATTGATGATCTGGAAAAATGTTATGTGCATAAACTACACCTTAAAGTACACCAAAAACAAACGTTTGTGCCATTTGAAACTCGATCACCGGATTCGAAAATGAAGCTCCATCGCGTTATACTGAACATACTGGTTTGGGCAAACATCGCAGCAGCCACCGACAATGGACTCCAAAGTGTGGTTACGTGGGATAATGGTAGTCTTCTCATCGACGGCCAGAGAGTTATAATAATGAGTGGAGAATTCCATTACCAACGCCTCCCGGTCCCCGAATTATGGCTTGATGTTTTTCAGAAATTCAAAGCGAATGGTATGAATGCTGTCAGTATCTACTTTTTTTGGTCATATCATTCGGCGGCAAAGGGACAGTACGATTTCACTACGCCGGCGAAGGATATCCAGCGAATGTTCGACCTGGCGAGAGAGGCGGGGCTGTATGTGATTGCGCGACCTGGACCGTACTGCAATGCTGAAACAAACGGTGGAGGGTTCGCACTTTGGACGAGTGATGGTAGTGGAGGTAAATATCGAACCAGCGATGAGACTTATCGCAGAGCGTGGTCTGAATGGATCACGGAAGTAGGCACGATAATTGCAAAAAACCAGATCACCAATGGAGGACCCGTAATCCTCGCGCAAGTGGAGAATGAACTGCAGCAGACAAAGTACGATCCACAAGATACACTAGTAATATACATGGAGCAGCTGAAGAAGGCGTTTCATGATGCAGGTATAGTGGTTCCTATCACCCACAACGAAAAGGGAATGAGGTCAAAAAGTTGGTCATCTGACTACAAGAATGTGGGTGGAGCTGTGGATATTTATGGCTTGGACAACTATCCTGGAGGAATGAGCTGCTCTAATCCAGATACTGGTTTTAACTTGCCGAGAACCTATTACCAATGGTTCCAAGAAGTATCCTTCACACAGCCAGAATACTTGCCTGAGTTCGAGGGTGGATGGTTCCAGCCATGGAACGGCTATTTCTACGATCAATGCCAGGCAGAACAAAGTCCCGAGTTCGCGGACGTTTTCTACAAAGGAGTGATTGCACAACGTGTCACACTACTTAACATATACATGGCTTTCGGTGGGACCAACTGGGGCCACAGCGCAGCGCCGGTTGTGAGTTCTCAATGAATTCTGGCATTTGCAAGTGCTAAATACGATTTAGGTCTACACGTCGTACGATTACGATGCTCCGCTTCGAGAGACTCGCGAGGTTCGTGACAAGTTTAAGCAGTTCAAGTTATTGGCACTTTTTACCCGTGTCAGTAAGGGTCTCCACAACACTATCATGGAGAGCAACGGCACCCAAAATGCTGTTGATAGTTCCGCAATCTGGACTTGGGCGCTCAAAAGTCGTGACACCACATCTAGATTCTACCTCGCTGAGAACAATAACACCAGATCGAGGGCAAAGACAAACTTTGCTATCACTGTTAGTACTTCATTGGGCAAAGTCTCCATCCCCACCATGCAACTAGATGGTCGGCAAAGTAGGTGGGTGGTCACAGATTATGATATTGGCAACGAAACATTACTTTACTCGTCGGCCGAAATTATTACCTACGGAACTTTCGATAAATCTGTTCTTGTCTTCTACCTCCGAGAGGGACAGATTGGTGAATTTGCTTTCAAGGCGAGTGGTGCAAATGTCACCTTCGAGACATACGGATCCGCAAGTGACCTCAGAAGATCAGACGTCACAGGGACGACGAGACACACGAAATTTGTCTATACGCAAGGCAGAGGTGCAAGCATGGTGCAATTATCTAACGGAGTATTGGCATATCTACTCGACATTCCCTCAGCATACACCTTTTTTGCCCCATCAACATCTCCCAACCCCAATGTCCAGGCCGAACAACAGGTATTCGTGCTAGGTCCATCTTTAGTTCGGGCGGCTGAAGTCACTCATAATAAACTTTCACTTGTCGGCGATACATCAAAAACAACGACGATAGAGGTCTATGCTGGCTCCAATATCACGACTTTGCTCTGGAACAATGTTTCGATACCGTTTCAGCGTACAAAGTACAACTCCCTCACAGCATCGATACAGGGCCCGCAATCAAGCACGATAAAACTCCCAGAGCTAACCAACTTCAGATCCGCTGATTCACTCTTGGAAATTCACCCAAACTACACAGACACGCATTGGATCATCGCAAACAAAACGACAACCCCGAGTCCAGTTACACCTCTCACCCTGCCCGTTCTCTTTAGCAGCGACTACGGCTTCTACGTTGGCGCAAAAATCTATCGTGGACATTTCTCCGGCAAGGGTGCTATGTCGCTCAATTTGACTGTACAGGGCGGATCAGCTGCTGGATGGAATGCATGGCTAAACGGCAGACCTTTGGGGCATCATCCTGGAGATGCAACACAATCAGCCACCACCGCCGTGCTTGCCTTCAAGGGACATGCGCTCAATGAAAAAGACAATGTAATTACCATCTTGACAGACTACACAGGCCATGATCAAACGAGCGTAAGACCCGCTGGTGCCGAGAATCCAAGGGGAATACTGGGTGCACAGTTACTTGGGGCGAACAATGAGAAGCTCAATTTCGACATCTGGAGGATCCAGGGAAACGCGGGCGGAAGCAATAATCTCGATCCCGTAAGAGGACCAATGAATGAGGGGGGTTTGTATGGCGAGAGATTGGGGTGGCATCTTCCCGGTTTCGATACCTCCAAGTGGGAGAAGCGTAGCCCACTAACGGATGGGGTCAATGGTGTAGGTGTGCAGTGGTACGCAACTACCTTTGGGCTCGATATTGACGGAAGTCTCGATGTGCCAATTGGAATCGAGATCGGAGCAAGCCCAGGCACGGTTGCCAGGGTTTTGATCTTTGTGAATGGGTAAGTTGGGGCACGAAAAAAAATCCGAGTGGCATGGATGTCTGTCGACTTGGCTGATCATTTTCGACAGATACCAGTACGGGAAATTCCTCCCACATATTGGCCCTCAAACACGATTCCCAATACCTCCGGGGATCCTCAATACGCAAGGCTTGAATACTTTGTCTATTGCTCTGTGGTCGCAAGCAGATACTGGTGCAAAATTGAACACTTTGCAGTTGATTGAATATGCGAAGTTCAGGAGTGGGTTCGGCTTTGGCAACATTGACACGAACATATTGCAGCCAGGCTGGAAAGATAGATCCAACTACGCATAACGACTACAGCAGCTTTAAGGTTGATGGTTGCAATCATTACATCTCTACCAAAATTATCAAAGCCATCTGTACATGCACAAGTATTTGGCACAAAAATGGATACATCATTTACATTTCATTTCACGATTCATGACTGATCATTTACAAGAAATGATAAACCAATCTAGATCTTGGCTCCGGCAAGCTTAACGAGCTTAGGGAAATCCGGAGTACCAAAGCCAGTGACTGGGTCCCAGCCTTTAGTGACGGGGAACCCCTCCACATTGCAGCCGTAGCTGAAACCCTTGGTGATGTCGGTAAGACCTTTGTAACCCTTGGAGTACAGCCAAGGGTTGAGCCAGCCCAGAGGCTTCTTTCCTTGGGAGATAAGAGCGTCGTTGACAAGAGAGAAGATACCTGCGACGAGAGGAGTGGAGGCCGAAGTACCAGAAATAGTACCCTCGGTTCCGTTCCAGAAGTAGGCAAAGTAAAGACCCTGGCCGGCAAGATCGGGGTAGGCACGACCATCTAGATTGAATTGATTAGCTTATAGGTAGAATACTAGTGGATAGAGACAACATACCCTTTCCATAAAGACCGTCATATGCACCATCGAGGTCCTTAACATACTTGTCGACCACCTTCTTCTGCCATTGAGGACGCTCGAAGTAGTTGCTGAATCCGGCACCGCTAGCGTAGAGGTCCCTGAAGGTTCCGTTAACGGTACGTGCCGCCCGATAGGCAGACTCCTCGGGCTCGAAGTTCATTGTTGCGCCAACAGCAGTGACGTAAGGGCAAGTAGGAGGGAATCCGGGCAAGAAACGAGTGGAGTTCTTCCCATCATTAGAAAAGCACTTGTCAGTTCCACCAACACCGCGATCACCAGAGCTAAAGAAGAGTGTTGTGCCGCGAGCGCCGACCTGAGCGAATTGCTTGCAGACACGATCGGCATATGATCGAGGAACGGTCTGCTCGGAATCAGAGTACGAGGTGCTGATAACCTGAGGGATCTTCTTCTGCGACAGTAGCCAGTTGACCCACACTAGGTAGGGCTCATTGCTATTGTCAGGCGTGCTGATATCGGGATTGAATGGTGGCTCTCCAGCAGTAGAGAAGCTAACAATAGGAACTGGCCAGCTGATTCCAGCGATGGCTTGGACGTCAAGATTGGCCTCCTTGCTTGTGCCTTCCGCAGATTGGTTCGCAGTGAGCGGGCCATCCTGGACGGGGCCACCGTTGATTGAGAAGGCCTTGAAAGACTTGGCAGACTCCACAGCCTCAGGGCGGTACTTCTTTAAGAAAAGCTCGGCATCCGGTCGAATGGGGACTTCACCAAGGAAGTTGTTGAAGCCGACAGTGTTCTTGTCGCCAGCCTTTGCCTTGTAGCCCTTGGTGTGGTAAAGGTTCGCAAAGCACTCAGGGGTGACCGAGGTAACATTGCAAACACGAGCAATAACGTCATCGGTAGGCTTCTTGTAGCTTTCGGGGACCTCAGCGGGAGCATTGAAGTAGGTCTCCTCGTTGGCCGCAGCGCGGAAGAATGACGTTGTTGGTTGAATAGCATCAATGTGGTTGTGCAAATGGCGAGGAAGAGACCAGCTGGTAGTCCTGGCAACAACCTTGTTACCATCCACGTGCTTGTAGTTGTGGTATTCAGTGTCGAGAAGGCGCTCCGCAAGCTCCACGGGGACATGGATGGTGATCCAGTCTTTAGCAGCGCTGTAATGCAAGTCTTCAATGCCATTCTCATACAGCCACTCGTGGACAAGGTCGCTGGTCTTCTTGGTAGGCTTGACCAACTCATTCACTTCGTCTGCACTAAGGTGCTGACCATATCGCTCGTGTTCGGGATCAGATACTACTCCAATTAGCTACTCTGTCGTTACAGTGTCTGCAAAAAACAATGTTGTGGGTGAACAGGGATGCCATCACCCGTATGATGTAAGACAAACATGAACATCCTAGGGTCTCCCGAAAAAGGTGGTTCGCGTCAACGTACCTTCGTAAAGATGTCTCTCCAACTCCGCAAAGTTGCTTTGCTTGAGGGCGATTTCCAATTGAATGTATCGGTCCCCGGCAGCACGGTTCAATTTCTCCCAACCATGAGGTGGAATGTGTGTCTCCTTCACACTGTAGGGCGAGCGAGATCGGAGAGGTGTTGCAAGCGAGGCTTGAGCAGCCAACGCCGCGGACAACAGCGAAGATGCGAAGAATCGCATGATTAGTCCCAATTGGAGTGCGGTCAAGAAGGATGGGAACAGGAGCGGTCGAGAAGATGGGAGAGGGTTGATTAGGAGTGGACGCGCCTGAATCTTCCCAAGAGGCAGAGGGGGACCACGACCTTTTATGGTCCATTTGGACCAGGTTCAAACCAACAAGATGGTGCAATTGAATAAGGCAAATGATTTCTCTGCCGCTCATTCCATACTCTACATGAGCCTGTCCACTACTGGCGGGGTACGAAAGTCTGTGGCTGTAGCTGTACTGGTTGTGGAAGGTGAACAGATTAACTGTGCATGGTATTCTTCGTATTTACTGGAGAGCTTGGCTGGGGCCCTTGCAGATCTTGCCAGTTAGGAAGCTCGTCGGATGGCATGGCGATAGCTTCGGAAGCTTGGTGTGACGACGCGGTCGCAGGCCATGATTGAGGAAAGGTACGAGTGAGGCAAATCTATGGCGCCGGCACCCGCCATGGGGATGATGCTGCAACCCAGCCCGTGTGCCCAGGCCAGGTACTCGTAGAAGCTTGTTAGGACCCTGAGCTTCGATAATTGGAAATAGAACGTCAATTGGAAGATGTTGGCGTCATTGGCTGGAAGGAAAATCTGGGAGAAGGGGGGGTGGGGAAATGATTGAAGCTGAATAGAGGAGGATTGGCGGCTGGTGAGATGATTGTGGTGAATTGCGATGCTGATTAGCCTCGGAGGAGGATGGCAAGCTAACCCGAAAGGGCAGGAGATTCAACGATAAACGTCATCCGTGAGTCGATAATAAGCAATTTGAAGCCGTTATTTGATCCTTCAAGCTTCGCTTGGAGAGGCTTGGTATTACTTGTGATGTCCTTGTTACTCGTATCATTATCATTACTTATCATTATCATCGTGTTGCGACCGTTGGCATTGGCGTTGCCGCCGTCTACACACTGCCACCAACACGGTACATACCTAGGTAGGTATAAATTACTTGTGTAGCGAGTAGAACTATCTACCTACTTTGTAGGTATGTTCGTACAAGCGATACTACAAGTCTAGATACGTACTGTTCCGCTCCTCTTCTGCAATGCAGCCAGCTTTCCAACCTACCCGTATCCGGATGTTCCGTCCCATATTCTGGTCGTTCATTTAGGTAATCCATGCATAAGGTACCTCACCTTAGGTACAGGTACAGGCCGGAGTTGACGATGGACCCACCAAACATTATCGCAGAGTCAGCGCTGCGGATTCTGCCCCTGATCAGGTCGATAGATCGTTGGAATAACTGAGAATAACAACGATCCGGTTAGTCGCGCCAATACGCATCTCCAAGACTTGTTGATTTGCATGCGTGTTTCCAAGTGTAACTTCATAGCTATTTTACAAGTATTTATACTGAACGAGTACATCGACGTCGGCCTCAAAGATGAGCAATCTTCCGTTCCGGATTTGGACCAATCCCTGCCGATCTTGCATTTAACAGAGGATAGGGTTGGCACGTCGGGCTGGCCACCTGCTAGCTCCATGGATCTTCTACACCAAAAGTATACGTTGAAGAGTGTAAGATAGCCAGTAAACAATTTTCAAACCTGCGAATGCACTGATAATGCCAGAACTGGTATCAGAATTACTGCAAAGGTTGGATGTAGTTCAATCGCTTCCTCAAACCTTTGCAGTAAATGTATTTCCCGTGGTAAACTTCAAGATGGCATAACAGTAGACGCTAGCTAGTCTCAAAGTGAACAATACAGGAGATGGCAACATAACGCGTGGAAAATCGCGTTTCACGTTTATTCACATTGTTTGTACACAATTTTGTATTAATAATAATGCAGCAAGGGACTTTGCGAATTGGAGACAACGCTCTCTGCAATTCAGGCCTCAGATGAATACCTAACTCATAGACAATGCATGCCACATGGGCCAAGTCATCGCAGTAGGCCAGCTCCCGAATCTATCTCAAGATGCTCACTACTGTCCGTAAAAAAACGGAATTACTCAACAAAACACAATGCCAGTCTCATCCAAGCAAGAAATCCTCAAGAAATATTTGAATGTCGACAACTCGCAGGATGCATCGGACAGCTGTAGGATCGGTAACTGTGTCGTCAAAGGGGACAACAATCATATACTTTTGCAGGAAGCAGAAAATCAATTATTTCTCCAGGATTTCCCTCACATTAGGTCGCCTGGGCTGTATGCTGTACTTGTACATAGGCAGGAGGGTGAGCACGACTGTTATTACATCGTTTCGGATTTTATTGACGGGGAAGCTTAAACTTGTAACATGGGGTCGGCTCTGGCTACCCGTTCGCGCAGCATGATCTGCGCAGATTTTGCCCGACAATTGAAGCATTTGCAATCTATCCCATCGCCTGGGTCCTTTAGCCGCGTGCATTACCAAGGATTTCACCCTTGGGTCAGAATGTGACAAATGTGTGGCGAGGCTATGTGTGGACCTTACCACACTTATCACCGGTTCCTCACAGCTTTATACAATAGCGCGGAGCTGCAACTTGCTACAACATGTTTCGGCGATGCATTTAGTCAACGTGATATCAGATACTTGTAGGAATTCCTACCAAGAATGGAAGCAGCCAAGGGACAAAATCCTGTCTTGACACTGCTAGACCCTAGATATGAGAATCTAAGTAATCAGCCTATCACAAAGGAAGGAGAAGTCGTTCGGTAGGAGGTCACTCTCATGAAATGGGACACTCTCGGAAGTTTTCCAGAGTTTTTCCAGATGGCCGCAATAGAAAACCTGGTTTGCACATACCATGAGGGAGATATTTCTTTGTACACAATGTGTTTTCACATGTTGAGGAGACCTATTCGTCAGAGAGGAAGTTTCTCACGAGTGCTGATGGTGCCGACAAATGGGATATGACAATTTGATGTTGCAATCGATAATGCGCTCGACAAACCAGAGTGTGAAGATTGATTTGGGAAATTTGTTATAGCAATGTTTACCTTCTAAAACAATGACCACGTGATCCACATGAAGACGATTCTGATATCTAGCGAGCCAAACAGTCAGCTTTGTTTCGGAGTCTTCTCAACACATTGAGTCTTATCTAATACTGATACTGTCTGGCGGATTAGAATACATGCCTTTGAACAATCTCAGAATAGAGCTTGGCAGAAAGCGGAAATAAGGGGTGTCTGAACGCAAACAGAGTCAAATGTCTTGGTAGATAAGAGTCCACGAAGCAGTGCGATGAAATTGAAGGAGACATTCTTGAATGATTTACGAAAGGGGTTTCCTTCTGCAAGCTTGCTGGAAAGGGATCTTAGGACGATTGAATCACTATGAACAATTTTGTGAAGCTTTGGTAATTGTTTAACAACATTTAATGCACGTGTAGCCAATAAACATTCATGATCAAAGACAATTGCGACAGGTCCCGTGGCATTGTTCATGAAAAGAGTCAGGAGGCTGCCGCTTTAGAAGTACTGAAAATCAGACATGACACATTCATTCATTCATATTTTCATGGTCTCTCACTAATGACATAGCCATGAGATCTGTATTGAACAGCGTTAATATAACCACCCCAGGAAGTTACAAAAACACATCCTCAACTATTGCGTCTACAAATATCTTCACAACTCAATAAATCGCCGGCCTACATTCTTTCCTGAAGCAAGCAAACGTAGAGCAGAGACAACACTGAAGACTCCAAGCAGGACATTATAGCGCAGTGACACGATCCTAGCTCTCAGCGACAGAGCCAGGTACAGCAGGAGCTTGGATGAAGACCTGACATGTAGTTCTGGGATTCTTTACTTATAATCTTTGATCGTCTGTCATTCGATTCCCGGAACCGCAGATCGGTTACTGTCACACAGGTCGTGTTTTCTGCTTCCTAGCTGACCGTCTTCGCTGTGCATAAACCATCTATCTCATGATAGATGGTTTCTTTATCGCTACGATTCTCCACAAATATTTAAACTATATTAAAAATTCTAGAACAAGTATATACGTACTTGATAGCCCGTGGTCAAAACCTCCAGGTGCGAGATGCGCCGTATCAGAGGAGTCTGCTTGTCGAAACAACTCGGAAATAACACAAAGCTGTGCATTTTTGCCGACTTTGTGGATTATCACTTTAAGTGGATTGATTCACCTTCAGGATGACCTGCACGCTATGTCACCGCAAAATTGGCGATGTATGCCCTTTCATAAGGCGCAGCCACTGCAGTCCAGATACAAAACTAACTGGAATGCAATGACATACATAGCACCACCTACTTGAAGCAAATTTAGCTTTAGGCTCCTCATCACAGGCTCTGCTAGTGGAATTATGTCTTCTGAATGGGGCATACTGGTTTTTCGGCTTGGTTGTATGTACGTATGCTCATTCACTGCATGAGCGAGGAGATGTTTTTATCAACGTAGGAAAATACTTCTATGCAGATTTCAACATGGCTTGATATTCCTATTACATGATAAGAAATGTATTCAGAATTAAAGCCGTACCCGCGATGCTACATGATTTTAAGGGGGTTGGGTGGGGGGAGTTCAATCAACGCAATTCTGCGTGGAAGATACGAAGTGGAAGAATTGCTTCGATGTTCATGTTTCTATGTTAGGTTATCTGCGATGCCAAACAGCTGCAATCCAGAATGATGTAGTTTTCGAACTGCTCTGCTGCCTTTGGTTGTTACAATCAATTCCCAAAAAGCAATTGCGACTGGCTTTGAGAAATAAGGCGTTTTTCGCTCCGTGGTACGTTATCGTTGCGAAGGATTCTAAACTCAAATGACTATAGTCCTGACGCATTTATGTGTAGGATTTGAGACTTCGAAAATGCAACCTGTAACGTCCATGTCTAGAGTTCCCGGTGATGATTGTAGTATGGGCTGAGGTTGCAATGGCCGAACATGTTCTGGACAACCCAGGACCTTACATTCCTATTTATACCTGTATTTTTGGTGCATACACAGTATATGTAAAGAGAGTTGCTTCCCCAGCTCACCTTGTGCGCGCACAATGCTCTCCAACCCATCTTTTCCATTCGAAACAAAAGACTATTCCGCCCGTGGAAGCCCAAATTATTTTGGATTCCTCGACCGGCACGAACACACATTGCTCCGCGCCTCGGAGTCAGTGCATTGCTTTCAGGTCGCAGCACCGGACCGACCAGCCGAGGGCATTGGCGAGATTGGGACTTTAATCGGCGTACCGTCAACAGAGGTCCCAGTAGCACTATACATCACTATACTTTATTGATACTACCGTCCCCAGACCTCTCCAGCTAGAACAAACATGACCACGGTGCCTGAGCCTCTGAGGCGCGTACGTTGATGATTTATTCCGGACGAGCTCGCCTGCTGTCCGAACAGCCGACCGCTACGCGAGCCAAAGCATCGCGACGTGGAATGATATTTATCATGGGAGCCCTGGGAAACGGTCGCATAAGCCTTGGAGGCCTCGAGGACTTTTCCAACTCTCCAATAAAAAGGTTTCTGAATTGCGTTCATCTCTGGGGCTGAATTTGCGTCTCTGAAATTCGGATCAGAATCGTGGAAGCCATCTGCACATCTCTCATTCTACACTAGACGCGATCTAAAGACACACACCGGAACAGAACTTCTCGGGACGTCATAGTTAGAAAGAATAGGAGTGGGAAAAAACATGGGGGCGACGCTATCAAAGCTGTGGGGCGCTGTAAGGACGGCATTGACGGGCGGTACGAATTCCAGCAGCTCAACGTCGAACGACAACACGGGAAACCAACCTAAAGACGTTGAGAACGGTCTTTCCACGACAGACACACCTGCTAAACCCCCGACACCTCTGCCAAACATGAGCGGAATAAAGAAGTACGAAATCACGGAGGTATGTTAGCATTCGCATCCCAATTCCTATTCCTATTGTCCTTCTTGGAGGTGCGGACTTTGGTAGGGAGGGGTAGCTCCTGGCAGTCTTTCCCCACTCCCTCCGACATCATCGCGAATTGTTGAAGTTGAGAAAGAACAAATAACAACTCGCGAGGAATTGTACCTTCTCTATGACCAATTGCGATGTAGAGATACTGTAAAGACCTCATACTGACTCTGTGACATTGTCCAGCCATGGATTCGCGACAACTGCGCTCTCGGCGAGGGCCCTTTCTGGGAGGAGAAGACTAATTCGCTCCGATTTCTTGACATTGAGAAATGCGAACTGCACACAGTAGACCTCAGCACCGGTCCTTCCAGCCACAAGACCATCAAAATGGACATCTCAATGGGATCTACTGCCGATGTTGAGGGCAACGACCATGAATTCATATTCGGCGGCAAATACGGTTATGGCATTGCCAACCGCGACACCGGAGCTTACCGATGGATCAAGCAAGTCTGGACGGATGAGGAGGTCGCTGCAGGCAAGCCTGACCGTATGCGAGGAAACGATGGCGCCGTAGACTCACAGGGTCGGTTCTGGGTGGGATTCATGAACGACCCCATGGTTCCCGGCTTCTCCGACTTCCAGCCCGAAGGTATGATTGATTCCAATGCTGACCACAGTCTTTGTGCGCCGACGTTGATATCTGTATAAACAGGAGCCCTCTTCCGTCTTGACCCCGATGGCACTCTCCACCGAGCCCTCGACAAGATCAAGATCCCCAACGGCACGACATGGAACAAGACTGACAACACCATGTACTGGGCCGACAGCCCGTTCCGTACCATCTACCAGTTTGACTATGATCCAGCCACCGCCAGCATCACGAACAAGCGACCATTCTTCACGATGCCGGACGACAAACGGTATGGAGAGGATGCGGTACCCGATGGCCACTGTCTGGACGAGGAGGGGTACATGTGGACGGCCCTGCACGGCGGATCGCGCGTTCTACGGATCTCTCCCGAGGGCGAGGTGGTCGCGGAGATCAAGGTGCCCACGCTTCAGCCCACATGCCCCTGCTTCTGCGGCGACGACCTCATCATTACGAGTGCTGGCGGAACGAGTGGAGAGGGCGGCAAGGGGGTAGACGAGTTCGCGGGCAGCGTATTCAAGATCAACGTTGGAGTTCGCGGACTGAAGAAGTTCAGATTCAAGGGCGGAGTGGCTGTAGAGGGTGGGAAGGTGGACGGCAAGATTGTGGGAGAGTAGGTCACAAAGGATAGTGCGTGCGGCTTTATTGTTGTTGTCCGTCCCTTGGAAATCCAGAAAAAACATTCTAAGTAGGGGTAAATTGAACGGTTGACTTCCTCATATCGCTGGATGTCCATCATTGGCTTGCTCTGTGGTGTTTTCAATCTGTCCAGACACGATCCTTTGTACGACTGATCCCGCTACCCCGCACCAACCACACAGCATTCTCACTCTCATTGCCCCCACGTTACCCAAAAAATGACGCACACAGACTCAAATTACCTTCACGTCACCACTTGTACGCTGAATTATCCTTATTCCGCCTATATATTCTAAGCTGCTTTTGAAAAACGTATTATTTGCACAAGACACGATGGCCGGTTCGTACAATCCCCAACTCCAATTCTCCCCGACACTCCCGCTAACGTGACTCATAGAGTGGTCTAAGGCGGTGGTTTTAAGCCAGTTCCTTGCATTAAACACCACTACAGAAATGTGCGTGGGTTCGAACCCCACTCGTGTCAACATACATTTCTCATCGCAATAATACTTTTTTTTTGCTTTTTTTTATTTGGTTGTCGGATGCGATCCGTCATTCTTTGGGACGGGGTCGGAGTGAGTGGGCACTGTGGGGAGAGGATTCGGAAGGCGGATCTGGTGGGGAAGGAGAGAGCAATTGCTATCTCTACATGCCGAATTCTTCTGCCTGGGTCAGCGGGGATTTTCTATCGCAAATACAGTTTGTTTCTCTATTCTTTCTTTTCTGTTTTTGGCCTCGTGCCGACTCTATCCTCGGACAGAGTCGTTACTGTCGTGAATGCTGCTCTAGACGGTCAAGATTCAAAGTTGACCATTTGATAAGTAGGCAGGTAATTCAAGAAATCGATCGGTCAATGAATCCGGCTTCTGTTTGACGGTAAACTACCTATTTTGCTTCGTGCTACTTCTTATTGTTTCCTTTGCTCGTTACTCGTCACCCCGTAATGTCCGCACGACCAAATCGGTCCCGATCTAAATTGGGCTTATATATCAGGGCTAGAAGTGTAGGCAAAACCATATCGCGGGGTAAATCATGCCGATCATTTGTTTCCGTGCGGTGTTTCTTACCTTATGGATTGATTATAGGTGCAGGAATCTGCAAAGTCCGTCCCAGGGTCATGATCTGCAAGGGGGCTTGCCGCAAAACTCGACAGGCGAGCGTTTGACAACCCATTACGTGCCATTAACCCATTCACGCTCAATGAAGTCAACTTGTCCCGGTATTTTATGTAAAAGTACAGTAAGATCAATGCGATTGAGAGTGTGCCACGAAAGAAGTGCTTCTGCAATGGAAATCGTCCGTGGTAAAAGTTGGTATCTCAATGTTGACTTTACATCTTATGCATCTTCTACATAGTGACCTGTTTCGCCCAGCATACTTACTTTGCATCTCTTCCCTTATGGCGAGTCCGTCCTAGTGTTTTCCCTCTGGCTGGCTACTTCATCCATCTATTACCTAGACTTAACAATCACAGTATGAATAGTAGCATTTCATCTATTTTCACTACACGTTGTAAGCTCTTCGAGACTTCGCGGGTTTATTCATTTGTCATTGTTCTGGAAAAACGGAAAGCTCCCGCGGTCCAATACTGTCATGCGGCGGCAACTTGGTCCCGTCGACATACACGACTCTCTGAAGAATGGTTTCATGCCTCAAATACTAGGTTGAGGATTTATCCCGCCAGTTTCATTGGTCTCATCTCCGGCGGCCATTATGTGTGTACATTCATACAAAGCAACCAAGATGGGCTAAGAATGGAGTTGAGAGATTCACGGAGTGTCAGCGATGTTACCAAGCCGATCCACTTCTCGGATTGATTCCATACTTTGAAAATACCACATGGTCTGCGTGGTAATTGCAGGGGGGATCGGTATTGGTGTGATGGAGGGTGAAGTGCGGCGCAGTCAGTTGGTCGAGTAGCGAGTACTGCCGGGTTACCGAACGAGTTTGGTAATCTGACATGTGCGCACATGTAGGGATTGGAATGCACTGCTATTGTTACATTGCCGGCCAAGAACATGAATTATGGAGCATGCAAATGTATGCCTCAGCGAATGTTGCATTGAATTTTGTTGCATTGCAGTGACAACTAAATAGATGATTTGGTAGCTTTCTCGCAATGGATAAACTCCATGGAGACGGCATCATGAGCCCGCGCCGTCGTCCCAATCTTTCTTCAAACATTGGTTCCTCGCATTCAGATACTTTCATCGTGTAATGCAATGCACTGGGCTCAAATTGGGATACTTACAGGCTGGAGACTGCTCAGATTCATTGGTGCCCGAAGGCAAAACACGAGGTGTAGATGTCCGATGAGAGCTTCAGACCGGATCGAGCCGAGAAGATGTGACCCAAGAATAATCTGATACAAGCCTAGCTAACCAGTAAATATAAGGATACGACGGAATGCCAATGTTGGCGCTGTTCTCTAGTTATCTCAAGAGTCCGCTCATACGGGCCGAATCTATTGCCGAATAGATACCAACCAGTTTCGAAGTGGGTGGATTGAAGGCTTCGTCTATGATCAACTATCAATGAATGACATTCACATCATGGTGTTCAGCACAAGTTCGAGCAATGTGATCTAATGGAATTATTGCATTCGGTCAAAAGGCAAGCTGATTTTGGAAAACCAGAATACTCAAGGCCTCAGGCATTGCACTACAATTTACCACGCGCATATTCCTCCTGCGATCGAAAGGAATCCATTTTAGGTTGTAGTTATTAGCCCACGTTTAAGTTTGGGTAACCCCGTCGTACCTTTTCCATACTGCAAGCCACAACCGCCCCACGCTGAGGACGACAATTCGCGGGCGTTTGCATGATCCGGGGGCGCCCCAAGACCGACTACGGACATTGCTCAGGGACCGTGGCCAAATCGAGCATCTGCTCTTCAGATCAGTTCACTATATGGGGAAGTCTCTCACGTGCCGAGTAGCCGCCTTTTGGAAATGAAAGTCCGCATGATGAAACTTGGAGTTACTTGGAGGTAGGCTACGCTTGGCGACGGACCCCAGTCAAACAATGGTGGCCAGGTCGTCCCGAATGGGTGTACTACGATTTATGTAGAGTTTTGCAACAACCTCAGAATCTGAAGCCATTTGCATTACGAGACGGGTGCAAAATATGTTGCTGAGTGATTCGTGGAGTCCGTAGAACGCTTGGAATACAGTTTTGTACTCGAAATTTTACTTTGAGTTAAGGTTGGATCTAAACAACAGCTTGAATGGAATATATAAATGAGGACGATCATGTCCAAAGAATTGCTCACCACCAACCCACAACAGTCTTTCTTTCCTTTCCTACATTCTTTCGCTTTCATTTGCTTTGTTTCTTACTAGATCTTTGAATCTATTCACTTTCGTTCACGCCGAATTCAATCACCCTCACTTGCTTTCATCTCCATATCAAGATGCATTCCAGCCAGCTCTTCCTCTCCTTAGCTGCAGTAGCTATCAACACTGTCACTGCCGACTCCGCCAACCCCGTTGGATACCCTACAGACACCAGCGAGACTCGTTGCGATGGCCTGGTCCGACCAACTTGGGCCGACTGCCATCGACTTCGCGACGGTCTCGTCAAGAGTGGCTCCGAAGTCCCCGCTGGGCCAGGCTATCTAGCCGGAAAGGTCGTCTCAGACGGAAAATGCCAGTTGCGCCATGTGATGTGCGAACAGAGCAGCGCGACCTTCACAACTCCGGCCAACAAAATGGGGGATTTCATCAACCTGATCGAGAGGACCTGCGTGATTGGCGACGACCTCGTCTCCGGTGGCGCTCATCGTTACGGCCAGGCTTGCATCATCATCGAGGACCCAAACAACAAGTACTCCAAGAGGGACGGGGACGACACCCTAGAGTTCTTCACTACCGATGGGACCTTCGACGACCAGGGAAGGCCAAACCTGACCCCCGCCACTAGGGAAGACGTCTTCCTGAAGGAGCCCATCGCCACCAATAACGAGAAGAAGGAAAGCCGCGCCGCAGTCCCATTCGGAGACAGCCTCAAGTCCCGCCAGTGCAACCCGCCCAGCGACCCATGCGGCACCTACACCGAGCTCACCTTCATCAAGAACTTCCGCGGCTCCGCCCACAAGGTCTGCAACGACGTCCTGCCCAACGGCGCCATGTGCGCGGAGGCCAACACCCAGACGATCACCGAGGAGACAAGCATGGCCACCACACTCCAGGCAAACATTGCGGAGGTCATCACTGTCGGCGGCACTTTCACCCAGTCGTCCGGCAAGCAGAACAGTGAGACTCTGACCACCACCATCGTCGTCAAGGATTGCCCCAGTGGTAAGGGATACGTCGTCTGGTACCCTTACTTCGAGGTCAGCAGGGGCAAGTGCGGTCAGGGCAAGACCGGCAGCTGCGATGGCACTTGCTACGCTGAGATCAAGGACGTCGACTGCGAGTTGAGGAGGCCTATCCAGCCTGGCCATGGTGTGTTGACTGGTGAGTATGGTGTCCAGTGCATCTAGATTGGCGCGAGGGACTCGGACGATGGGAACTGTTTGGAAGTCATAGCGGGAGGTGTTTGGATTCTGGTCTTCTGTCTTGGGTGTTCCCTTTGTTTCAAAAACGCCATGCCGTTCGTTTTGTCTTTTGTTTGATCATTTGCTGTTTTATCAAGTCTGTCTGTTTGTATGCTTAGCTGTTAGAAGTAGATGTACTTTAGGGGAGGAAAAAGCGCCAGTAAAATGTATGCCTTTCAAGCCTTATATTTTATTCATTTCGGGTCCAATTAACAACGACTCTCGACCCCCTTCCTACTAACACAAAGATACTTGACCCCTTTATACGGCGTCACGCCCGCACCAAGCCCTTTACTTCTCTTACTATCAATTGCCAGGCTCTCCACTTTGATGCCACTCGGCAGCCAACCTTTTACTGAGAAGCTCACTGTCACACAGGATGGCATGAGTACTTTGTTGAGTTTGATCCGTCGCGCATCCGAGTCTTCTAGACTATTGTTCTTCGAGAGAACTGGGTCGGATGGCGTCTGGTATGATGAGGAGGCATTGGCTCCCTCTTCATCGTCATCATACTCGTAAGGATTTGATGTGATTCCAACAGGACCGCCCTCACTAGCATCCTCTTCATCGACACCTACGACTGTACCGCGTAAGGTCGCTGTGGCACCCATCCCTGAACCTCGGTCCGTGGACATCAGGCTGTTGACTTCTCGCTGGCTGATCCTCCACTCGATGCTGCGATCTCCGGGCGCGTATCCGGCGTCGCCAGCACCTCGTACGATTCTTAGGTCGGTGACGTTCTTTACTCCAGCGGGAAGCGGGATGTGGACGACGACTTCTTCAATGCTAGGCGCGGCCGTCGTACCTGCGGAGGCTGTGCCGCCAAATGATGTACCTCCTAAGCCTCGACCTATAGCACTACCGCGGGGAAATGAGGACCCTGTTGCGCTAGACGGTGTGCTCGATTGTCTGCCGGCATAACGTGGGTTTATCGTGAGACGAACTTCGAAATCCGTACCACTAGGTCCCATAGACGTAGCTATCGAGGCTGTGGCGGGGATTTTCAGTTTGGGCGCAGAACCTGCTTTTGAAGCCGTAGAGAAGGAATCCAAAGCTCTTGAACCAAGAAGGTCGACTTCGTATCCAGCGAGTACGAATCGACCGTCCGGAGGCACAAAACTGAGCTCGCCTGGTCTCTCTTTCCATCGGTTCAATCTGACGCAAGGATGGAATACGGGAAGGGAAACGGTGTTCAAGATCCCACCAGGTGATCCCAGCAACAGTAGTAGATCCGGTACTCCAGATACTTTCGCGGTGAATGCTATTGTGCCATTGGCAATCGCGGAGAGTGGTCGTCCCGATGGCGCTATCGTGACTTGTAACGTCTCGACGATATCGACATACATTTCGTTGGATGTGTGACGGACATTTGCGCGCCGCCAGGGCACCGAAGGTGCATTGTTTGCTGGATTCGAGGTCGGTCGGCCCAGGGAAGGTCGCGAAGTGAGCGAAAATGGCGTCGCGGACGGCGTCAAAGAAGATGGTGCTGAACTAGGCAATCCCACTCCTCCCAGTAGACTTTTCATGAAACTCGGTGTCTCCACTACGTCCTTCAGTGCGTTGGGTTCAGTGCAAGATATCACACCTCCGTCCACCATCTCGTTCAACAATTGCGCCACAACATCGTAATTCCCTTCTATTTTGCTAGCCAATAAAGGCGATCCTAGGAAGTCTTCAAGAACATCTGCAACCCTGTGAAGAAATTCCAGCACCTGTAGCGGTTCTGTATCCTTGGAACATGGAGCTAGGAAGAGTAGCTGGTCCTGGATTATCGAGTAAAGAAGCGTCGGCGGATTGGTATTCGGTAGATATATCAGTGAAGGTCTCGGATCAGGTTGTGAGAGGAATAGTGGGAGTAGAATGCTGGCAGGCGGCGGTCGACCAGTATAGGTGTGTTCGAGAAGAGGTGTGCTGTGTGAAGATGATTAGCTATGAGCTGCGCAAGGCCCGCTAGATTTTCCCACTTGTGCTCATCGAATATATGGAGAGCTTCTATCACACTCATAGCTCCGCCTTGTGACTTGAAAGTACGTCCATACGTTGATGGAAAGATTGATGGTAATTGTAGTAGTGGGGGATGGGATGGCGGGGATCGGAGGTGATTGTTGGAGTGTCCTGGATGATGCACACACACCAGACAGATGCAGGGATCCCCCAGCCTCGGCGTATTAGGGTCCGTCTTCCATCTCGACCTTCTGAAGACGGTGGGATGAACTCTCTAAATTTCTAAGAGCCTTCAATAGACCTGACAGCCTTTGTACAGTTCTTATTTCCTATCCTCCAGGTGATCGCCGCGAATTATATACGTTCAGCACACCCATTCGACAATTCTACCCCGTCACAGCCTTGGTCATGGCGAAAGACTTCGTTCCTGCGCCAGCGGCGCCCACGTTCAAAGAAGCTCTGAAGGAGGACAAGTATCAGTATGACGACTGCACACCCTGCAGAGTGATAGGTGAGACCTAGGAGGATTCCCCAAAAATGTCGTCGCTGAGCACTAACTCGTCTGGTTCATAGGGAGTGCAGCGTTCATTGGACTCGGAACATTCACCTATATTACCGGACACTCTCAACTGAAGGCACAAGAGAAGGTGATTCTGCAAAGTAAGAGCCTGTTTGGGATGCGAAGTCGTAGGATGGGCATTACGAGCATGGCGGCAGGCATGATCGGGCTGGGGCTCTATCGATGGTTCGCGTAGGGCATTCACGAGTGGAAAACCTGGACCTCTTCGCGGATCCAAGAAGATGATACATCGCATAGGCATATGCAACGAGGGATACATTTGGGCATAGCGAATGGCGCTTCTGTTCGGGACGGTTTCGTCCTCTACCTCTCTACGACCTGTAACATCACTGTACAAAATGCAAAAACTATCACGAAATACACGAGTTTATCGAGCAATATCTGTCTCAATTAAATCCGATAGACCATGAGCCTAACTCGGCATGCTACCCTTTAATAGATTCCTCCCCTTGCCGTTCCCTAAAACCTTGATACTGAAGTAAGTCTATGGGTATCAGACCCTGTCGAAACAAGCAGAGTGCAGTGTACAGATATAAATGCTCGCGCGTGTGATGCCTGTTGAAATATTCTCCCGATGCATGAACCCACCCTTACAGGGTATATGACGCCAGTAATATGATGCAGTGGCCGTGATGTCGTTCTCTCTCCACGCCTGTCTGTCTTCCTCATGACATTCGTCCGCGCTTGCTTCCTCCACCACCGCCTCCCCCTCCTCCTTCCCTCCTATCGTTGAGACCATCAATATTGAAGAAATCCTGCATCATCCTACGTTTCTGGCCAGCTCCGTTTCCCAGCGAGAATATGTTTTGGGCAGCAGCGCGTTGCATACTGCGATTCGTGCGGGGTGTGCGGCGTGGAGTGGCGAGTGGGCGGCGAGAAGCGTCCATGTTGGGGGACTCGGAAGCAGGAGTAGCAGGCCAAACATGGGGGGACGAGAATTGAAACATGGACGTAGGAAGGCCTGATTCGGGATCGGTAGTTGTGGCTTCCATGGGAAGAGGAGGTGGTGCAGAGTCGGACCGATGGACAATATCTGCATGAGTTGATTCTGATGCGCGCGATTCTTCTGGGCTCACATTTCGTTCCAGGGCCGGCGATGAACTCCGCACTCTCTTCTCTTCCTTCTCTTCCATTATCTCCTCTTCGCTGTCGCTGTTGGAGTTGCCTGGTAAGCTGCCATCTACCCTTTCGGACACCCAATTTCGGATCCTCGAGCCTTCGCCTTCCCTAGCACCTAGATTTTCACGATCCATGAGGGCAAGAATATCCTTCAGCGCTTCTTGGTATCCCTCGGCATGCGACTTGTCGATCTCTGCCATGGCTGACTTGTAAAGGTTCGTCACGGTCAGCGCCGCGGCTCGAAAAGACTGTGTGACATCGGGTTGCGATGCCTGGGAGAGGGATTTGGTCTTCGGTAAGGACCTATTAAGGCTACGCATAGAATCCATGATCAATTATGGGTGAGGCACTCTCAGAGGAGCTATTTGGAGAGTAAGCTTGGTGGTCTCGAGGGAGTCAACGGGTTGTTGCAGGGGAGTGTTGCTTACCCGCCAATGTGTGGAAGCAGCGTCAGTGCCTGGGAGTCGAACAAAAAGTCTTCGATAGGTGGTTGCGAGTATGAGTCTCCAGATGCCGTCGACGTCAAATGGTGAATAAAGAGTGTGTGTGTCGAAGTTGTGGTAGCAGTAGTAGTACAGGTGACGTGGTACTGGAAGAGGGTTGTAGGTGACGAGCGGAAGGTCTGTGGATGAAGTACCAGATGATGAGTTGGTAAAGAGCACACTGAGACATCCACTGGCAGAGAGAGAGAGAGAGAGGGCGCGGGGTGGTCGCTACTGCACCCTGGCACACTCGATCTGGGCATCTGATTGGCCGGTTGGGCGACGCAGGGCATCAAGCCTCATGTCAAGTCTTCTCCCCAATAATCCCGTCCGTGCGTTATTCCATAGGACATTGGAAAGGATACAATATGACAGACATTATTCAATATCCAATACTACGAGTACTCATGATTTTAATCTAACATTCACATTACTTCGTACATTGTAAAAAAACACAAACAGAGTGATTGTCGTGCTAGAAGCAAAGCGTCCATCCTCCTTCAATTGTACTGTTTCCGGTTGCTTATTCTTCTTACATTCACTAATATCTCATCTCATTCACTAAGTCGTGTGAGCATGGCTGTAGCAAATCTTTGACCAAAATAACTCTCACCACATTCAAGAGAATTGCAGTCATAAACCGAGACCCTTACTCTCTTTTTTAATCATTCCAAACAGATGTTCTGATCAGCCTCAAACTACCATGTCTGAACTCTCATCCGAGGGCGGATAAGTTATTTATTTTGATTGCCTGGTAATGAATACTACACATCAAGGGCGAGAATATTTTTAAATGATGGGGGAGATTGCTGTCACAATTGTGACTACGCAAACTACTATATGTCTCGTTCAACGGCTGATCTATAATTATTTCAAGAAGTAGGTATTGTACCCTTTGCAAAAAGGGGCGTTTTATCACCCAGCATAAACCTTCATACATTTGGAGCAGGATCTACCCGACAACCGTGCTGTATTGTCATATTTATTCAATTACGCTTTCCCAGACCTCCAGTCTTTCTGAATAATCCTTGGTTTTCATGAATCTAAGTCGTAGCTCAGAGGTATTCCATCCCTACCGCTGCACAACGGAAGGCCTAAACATGATAACGAAGTCCTCCTTCTCCCCAACTAACTCCGACGGCACTTCACTATTCTCCAATTCAGCTCTCTGTAGTCTGTCCCGACTTTCATCTCGTCGTCTCGCGTCGTGTGAAGGTTCCTCCACCGGCTGCTCCGCTTCCAGCTCAATTGGTGAGACGCACTCCGCCTTGTCCCTGGCTCTCCGTGCCATTTTTCGTTCTTGATGTTGCCAGAAGAGTACCGATAGACCGATTATGATACCCATGAAGAACAGGATTCCAATCACTATCGCGATGATGACCTCGAGTGAGGGTTCTTGTGGGTTGTTGCGGGATGATGCTGATGAAGCAGTGGCATCTGTGGATCGTAAAGTCGTCGGGGGAGAAGTGGATGTGAGAATGATGGACGTTGAGAATGACGTGGTAGCCATTTTAAATGTATCCGAAGAGTGAAAGGTCTCTGGAAGGGGTTGCGTGGAACTTTGCTCTAGAATTTACATTTTTCGCGGTTGAGGCTGCTATATCAATACCTCACCGGCTTATTACCCCCACACAAATATCGGACGGCACAGCCGCCCAACATCGTTCCCTCATTCGTCCAAGGAGTCGTGAGAAGAGCGTTTCAGTATCAGCTTTTTACTTGGGTGAACTTGACCTGAAGTTTCGTTCTGATGTTTGAGACGTGGAGCGTTGGAGCCCTCGGCTCTGATTGGTGGATGCTTGTTCAGGCGCGTATAAGGCATGAATTTCGAGAAGTGTGTCAACGACATGTCTTAGTTAGAGTTACCGCCAGTCTGGCAGTAATCAAGATCTCGAAATTATCTTCCCCCTATTATTGAGCTCACCGATGATCCAACGGCAATAAGAGCCTTGCTTTGACCAATAGTGGCTCAGCTACAATGCATTGCGCTTGTCTTCCGAAACCGGATTGACCCGTTTTCAATTGGACAGTATTTCGCCCGTTATCCCTAGCATATTATTCTACGAGCACTGTGTAGACAGAATCAACGGAGAGGTCGTGCACTGGCTAGGTCGTCGTCATCATGCTCACAAAGAGTGCCTGAAGGACAAGCTGACAACGCCGGAGCGGTTGCCCTTCTAATTGTCTCGTACGCATGAAGACGACAATGTCGAATGGTAACCTATTCCAGTCAATGCAACTTGAACACAATGTACTATGTGCAGACCTTTTATATCAACCTTGGGTATGTGATAACGACCAACCACATCGTTCCCTTACTGGCTTAGTCAATCCAGCGTGACGAGTCATTCGAGTTGTCACCCCATTTCTCTACAGTCAAATCAACCACTGACACACAACTTCCGAGCTGGATTGGGCGCCTGCTCTAGAAAACCGCCTACACTCGATAAAATGCTAGACTTGTCCACTGGTGCGCCAAGTCATTGCGATCGATACTTCACGACATAAAGCTTCTTCAGCACCGGCTCGAATATGAGGAATTGCAAGTAGAGCGCAAATCATGAACAGAGGAAAATGAGCTTGAATAGACGATAGTCCGTGATTCTTGACTTGGATTGTACAGGCTTGCCGATCAAAGCTCCGACCCCTCCTATGATACAATTCGACTCTGCGGTCCGAGCCTGTTTCTATCCATCCATTCCAGCATCTGACAAAAGAGATCTTGGTTCGCAAAGAGTGGAAGTTTATTTCTGGCCAAGAGCTGAGGCACGCTCGTCCTCGATCTTCTGGTAGAAAGCGTCGCGGTGGCGGACAGCGGGGACGTGGTAGCCTTGAAGATATTAGCCTCAGTTGTTAGAGTTTCTCCTCCTCGAATAGTCCGTAGGTCGTAGTAGCGGGAGACGGGCGTGGAATCGTTCACATACCGTACCACCAGCCGTAGCCAGCAGTCGTTCCGAGACCTGCATGCACATTAGTCAAGCTCGCTCACATGCAAGGAGCGTCTGCGAAGCTTTCTGCAAGCTTCAACAGACCGCCATGCACTGATCTGGAGGTAAACGCACCCAAAGCAACGGAGATATCGAGCACGACGGATCGTCGGATCATCTGTCAAAATATGGTCAATCGCATGCCCGTCAAGCGTCCCTAGGACTCAATTGCAGCACATACGCCAGTGATAGGTTTGACGGCCATTGTAACGTCGGTTTTCGGTGAGTGGAGAGCGTTGAGTCGTGGGGTGCGGTCGGGCGAGAGGTGGTGAAAGGACAAGTGAGGTTGAACTTGGATGTTGGTGGTCTGAGGAAAGAGCGTAGCGTGAAATCGCTGACATAATACGTTGTTGTTGCCAAGACTTTCTCCCTCGATGAAGCGCATCGTCTGCCGCCTACCTAGCATTTAGAGACATCGACAGTAGGACTAGCGAAGGCAGTCTCACTCTGTCCGACAACGCGCGCCATCTGGCGAAGTTGAAACTATCTCCCGCTGAACCGTACTCATCCCGCGCCTTCAAATATAACCGCGCGATCCTACAACTTCACCCGATCGATCCTCTTGCTCACAAACACGCCGCCCTACCACGTCTGCCTCACCGAAACCTCCATTCGCACTGGCGACGCGTAACTGTTAGGACCGACCTTACGGTCGGCTCTTTGTCTCATGCCCGGCATGAAGAGGTCGAATGTCGAAACGACGCTTTCCGAACCACATGCGAAGAAGCGCAAGATCGTTCGCCAACTTCACCACTTGCAACAAGCACACGTGCCGGAACCTATCAGCGCAGAACAAGATCCCACCGGCGTGAACAGAGATTTCTTCGACCAACAATTACAGCGCGCCATAGCCATAGAATGTAAAGCAATAGGTTTTGACGGCACAAGGCCCGATGCGCTGGAGATGTTCCGGGGCCTTGTTGATGGGTGTATGCCTTAACCAGAACTGTTCCTGTACGAATCTCGATGCTAATAACCAACGTATAGTCATGCACTCCTTTACAACCCATGTCCGCACATCTATGATGAGTGCGCGGCGCACATCGACCGTAGCAAGCGACTGGGTACACGCTCTTCAAGCCGTAGGCATCAAGGGCTCATCAGTTCTCGAGCCGCATCTTGATACTGGCGAAATCCCTCCCTCTTTCTTACAGCCAGCCTTTGAGCCTCCGCGACCAGCATCTCCGCCGCCGCCCGACCTCGAAGGTCTGCTCGGGCGCGACCTATCTGGTAAAACAGACAAAGAGCAACGCAAATACATCCCGTCCCATTTCCCATCATTTCCATCGCGACATACCTGGAAAGCGACACCGGTCTTTACTCCACGTGAAAGCGATCCCCGGAAAATCAGAGAAAAAGCGACCGAGGAGGGCATTCTGGCGGAGCAGTCCCTACGGAAATTGATGGCCGCACAAAAGGCGGGTTTGCAGGGCGACAAGGCACGGAAACAGAGGCGATCGAAACGAATCAAACAAAGCGATGCACTGTGGCAGGATGCTATGAAGGACCTCCAAGGGCAGGAAGAAGAACGGGAAGAAGTTGAGAGGAGAAGGCCGCAATTTGATTTCGGTGATGACATGGAAGAGGACGATGATGCATGGCGAAGCCAGGAGCAGGCGCGGATGAAGCCCCCACGACTGGAGAAGAAGAAACCCACAATCCAGGAGGGCGTGCACGTTAATTACGACCAGAAGTTTTGGAGAAAATCGGCGAGAGGGTTCTAAGGAATGCATGAAAAGATCGTGGTTACATATGTTCCTTTCCAGCTTTTGACGATTGTCAGAGCATCATAGCGAGGCGTTTATTTCGGATTTGGATACTACCTCAGCATATTACGCGGTGTTTGTACGGATGCAAAACAGGGCTGAATGAGGCCTGCAGTCTATTCTTCTGTAGTATTACATTTTATTTACTTTCTACTGCCATTGCTGCTATACCCAGCAGGCAGGGTCGAAGCCATCAGCTCAAATGCTGGGTTCGATAGATCGAACAATACTCATACAATTTGTTATATATCAATTTTTATCTTTACAGTGGTATAGTGCACATTCGAACTAGAGCCATAGGGTCACCTGTCATATAATCGTGTTGTGTTGCAGTTTGGCAGTGTTCTTTCAAGCTCAAGATGCTTCCGTAGCGGAAACCTCTGCGGTGCGCTGCTTCTTTTTCCACGACTCCCAAGACGTCGTCTCAATCAACCTCCCATCATCGCATCTAGCAAATAGCAACTGTCAGCTAATCTTCAATCCATAATTTCATCTCCCATCCCGTGACATCCCGCCAAGCGAATCACCATCCGGCACCACCATCTGATCATCACCCGAACATCAAAGAACAGAAACATATCTGTATCAAGCCCAAGAAGCAAAGCGGAGAAATTGATTGATGTCGACTTACTGCCTATAAAGCCTGACCACGGGCACGCATTTGACAATTGGACCTGTCCCCTTCTCGCCGGCCACGATATCGCAGCGATATTGCACGAGCTCCTTCAAGGGCAGGGACGCGAGGTCGATGGGCGGGGAGCGGGTTTTCCCGTGAGGAAGAGCATTAATTTCGGTGGCAAGCTCGGAGACGTGGATCGTTGGCACGACGGGCGCCATTCGTTTCTTGTTTATTATTCTTAATGAGAGTAACTTGCAAGATAGGAAACCGCTGTTGTGATGGATGGTAGTAATGCTGGTGCGGAGAGACTGGGGGAAAGGTTGTTGGGTGAGGTTGAAGTGGAAGGGTTGAGTTCGGTAAGTCGAACTATGTTATCAATGATGGGTAGTGCACCACGAATGGATAGATATGCTGATTGAAAATACAGTTGTTTGCTTCTCTGAGACGAATCATCGAACCTGATGAAGAAAGACAGTATTTTGGAATTCCCGAAATCGATGCTCTCTTCCCAACACCACCGCCGCCTCCTCCAGCAACCCGCGAACAACCACAGAACCAAAGCCATGATGCCGACAATTCTTATGGCGATGGCCATGGCGATGATGATAACGACCTATGGAATCCATCTTCGTCGCCCTCCAATCGGCCAGACCAAGCCCAACCAAATCAACCCTATATCTCCAACCAAGTCACAATCCCACCACCACTTCCACCTCCTTTAACCCCATCAATACCAATCCTAACGATCATCTCCTCACCATCATCACACACCCCAGCCTCCTCAGGGAAGACCTCACTACTCTACCTGATTCTCTCCCGAGCCCTCCTCCCATCCTCAATCTCCCTCTCCATCCACCGCCCCCAACCCCCAACAACGATCCCCCTATACGGTCAAACCCGCACAATTCTCCTCTTCGACCCCCTCTCCCACCTCTCCATACGCCACCTATCCCTAACAATGACATCCGAAATCCTGACCCGCATCCTCACCCACACCCATCTGACCCTCCCCGCCCTCTCAACCACCGTCCCAGACCTCCACACCGCCGTCCGCTCGACAGTAAAGCAGTCCCTAACGCACCTACACGTCTTCCACACACAAACTTTTCCCTCGCTGCTCTCTACGCTGGACGCTGTGCCGGCGTACTTGGCGAACGGGCAGCGGCACAGGAGCATGGCGAGGAGGGTGCACAGCGTCGTCGTGGAGGATTTGGACGCTTACGTGGTTGGGATCAGGGGCACTGCTGGCACGGTAGAGGACGCGGGGGCTAGGCTGACGAGGGCGTTGGTGAAGGCCGCGAGGGAGTTGAGGTGTGCCGTCGTGGTTACGTCGCAGTCGCCCAGTCCGCTGACTTCGAGGACGTCGTCAATGGGGCTTTTGCGACTGGCGATTCCGTTGGCGTGGGGGAGTGTGGCGAGGAAGGGGGAGGGGGTTGAGGTTAGGGAGGTTAGGGTTGCGGTTAGGAGGGTCGAGGTGTTGAGGTTTAAGCCTGGGATTTGTGGAGAGGAGGCAATGGCGGAGAAGGCGAAGAGGTGGGATGTTGTGAAGAGGGGGAGGCTTGAGGTTTGGAAGGTTGGTGGAAGTGGGAGTGGGAGTGGGATGGACGCTGGGAAAGGAGGTGGAGCTGGATCAGGGAGAGATGTGGAGAGTTTTGTGTTTAGGGTTGGGGAGTCTGGCGCTGCAATTGAGAGGGAGGAAGAGCAAGCCTGACCATGGATGGGTGAATCAACGGAGGGACATTGTTTACGTGATGATCATGACATCGATGATGATGCAAATGACGATGATGAGATGAGTATGATGAAATACATGAATCAATTCCATTCGATTCAATGTTGATATAGTCATGCATGCGTGCACTTTATGATACAACCGAGTTACAGGATGTGTACAGTTTTTTGCCAGCTCTTGCCAGTTCATTTTTTTCTCTCCTGATCCGACCTGATACTGCGGACGAACGCTGGCGTATAAACCGTACGCGAACAAGTTGGTAGGAGGATAGGCCGTAGCAAATGAGTTTCCCCCAATGGATACCGTAAAAAGATTTTACACACATATCGTACAACCCATCTCCCATTCGATCTCATTTCGTAATCCCACTTCTCGGTGTCGCGAAAGAATTTTCTGTGTCTTAGTCTTTCGTCAAAATCTCTTCGTCGACCGTTTTGATCCCCCAAATCAATTATATTTCCCTCACACCAACGCATCACCTCTCATGTCCTTAAATTATGCGTGAGAACAGTCCCTCTAAGCGTCCTGTCCCCAAAGCTCCTTCCTCCTTCCCCGATCCTCCTTAGCCATCCGCCTCCTGGTTCCCCACCTCTCCCTGGCCCTCTGATGCTCCTCAGCAACCCTTTCAGACTTCTCGTGGTTCTTCGCAACCATGCCCACGAAGAATTGACTGCACTTGAATTTCTCCGCTAGACGCACTCTGGTCCAGTAGACTGGGTCCTGGGCGCGGAGACTCCGGATCTCGGCGATGTCGGCGTCGGTGAGGTGGTACTTCTTCTCGTAGGGGGTGCGGATGGGAGGTGGGAGGTTGGATGATGGTTTGGGGGGAAGGAAGGCAGTCGTCTGGAGGGGAGTACCCGGGGTTGAGGTCGTGGGCGTCGAGGTGCGGTGCGCGAATTGGGTGGAGTATTTGACGGCGGCGGCGTAGAGCTTCTTCCGCGAGTCGTCCTTGGGGAGAAATTTGGAGGGGGTGTGGTATACGTTTGGAGAGGCGGAGGGAGGATTGAAGATGAGAGTTGGTTCGCTGGTGGTGGAGGTGTAGGACGGCGATTCTGGGAGGTGGAGGAGCTTTTTATGGCGGCGAGTTGTCGACTCGTGGCGGGTCTGGGTGAGAGGTAGATTGTTGATGCGCTGGCATTGCCGTGGCAGCGTTCGGAAGAGGGGTTTACATGTCGACATGGCTGCAATTGGGGGTGTTGTGGTTGAAGATGTTGGAGGCAGAACTGTTGTTGAAGAAGAGTTGGAGAAAGTTTGGATGGGCCGGGGGGGAATTGTTTTTGTGGGCTGAGCGAGGTCTGATTGGCCAACTTTTGTGACCACCAGCGCGGAGTTGATACGGCGGACAATACAGATCACGACAGAGAAGAGAATTTACATCGTAATGAATTCCAGTATTTTCTTAATCTAACTGGCCTTATAATTGAGAGTACAATTAATCAAACTGACGAAGTAGATTTCGGTATAGACTAATATCTACTACCCAGGTAGGTGTTTGCTATCCATCTCAATCGGATAAGATTCTACGTCGGCCTACAGCTTCACACACAATGTTCCAATCCCAGGCCCGGTTCGTTGCGTTATTCGTGGTTTTCCATTTATTCGTATTCGTGGTTTTATTTTTTTTTTGAAAAGTGTACGTCGCTTTCTATCATTCCAATAGATTCGTCTATTTCAACTCGCCAGCAACATAGTGAAGATAGGCACCGAGCAACTTGGTGCCCTCGATGTAGTTCATCTTATCCAATTTCTCGTTGATGGAGTGTGCAGCATCCGTGGAGCTACCCATGGGGAGCAACAACACGTTCTTGCCCAATTGCTCCTGGAAGGTCAATGTGACGGGGATACTTCCACCCTCGCGGGTCATGTCTGGCTTGACGCCGAAGACGCGTTCGACGGCCTTCGCGGCCGCAGTGTAGTTGGGGTGGTTAGGGTCCTCGACCCACCACTTTCCACAGTGCACGACATTGAACTTCATCTTGTTCTTGGAGCCGAGCTTGGCCCATTCCTGGTTCACGTGCTCCTCGACGAGCTTTGTGACTGGGTCGATCTCCATGTTGGGGACGGTTCGGATGGAGAACTTGCCAATGACCTTGGCGGGGATGACGGTCTTTGCGCCGGGGGTGTAGAAAGCACCCTCGATGCCGTGGAGAGAGAGAGATGGGTAGCGCATCTTATGCTTGAGGGCTTCCTCTTTGGTGTCGTGGATAGAAACCTCGCTGCCCAGGGACTGGTGGAGATCCTGCATGGTGAAGGCGATGGGTGGGTAGAGGGCTGCCTCCTGCTCGGTCAAGGGGGCGACCAAATCGTCGATTCCCTTAATCAGAATCTTGCCATCGGGGTCAACGAACGAGTTCATGATGCGGATCAAGTCGGTCATGGGCTCGTGTGTCATGCCGCCGTAGACACCGGAGTGGAGATCCTGTCCGGGGCCAGATACCTCGACAGAGTAGTAGTTGCAGCCACGAACACCATAGGTCAGGCATGGTTTCTCGGTACCCAACCAGTAGTTATCCGAAATGCACACAACGTCGGCATCCTTGAAGAATTTCTTCGCCTCCTCCGCGATGAGCTCGTCAAGACCCTCGGAACCGTTCTCCTCCATACCCTCGAAGCACATGATCAGGTTGACTGGGAAGTCGACACCGGCCTTTTGGTGGGCCTCGATGGCGTTCAACCACCCGAGTACGGGTCCCTTGTCGTCGGTGCTGCCTCGACCGAACATGCGGCCCTTGTCGTCGATGGTCAATGTGAAAGGATCAGTCGCCCATCCATCCGACTTCTGTGCAGGCTGAACGTCGTAGTGACCATAGACGAGGATGCTCTTCTTGTTGGGGTCGTTTCCGTAGCGGCCGAGAATGCATGGAGGGAGGTTGAGGTGCTCGTGGCCGGGCTGCTTTCCAAGCTCACGGAGCTCGACCTCGCCGCCGAGGGCTTTGATCTGGTCGGCGAGCCAGTGGCCCATCTAGGATTTTACTGTTAGCGACAGATGCCTTGTAACCGTGAAAACCGCGGTACCGCATGGCTTCACACATACCTTGACGACGTCCGGCCTCCTCTCATCCTCGGAACTGATACTGGGAATGGCGACAGCTTCCCTCAGTCTCTGGATGAAGGTCTCCTGAAGGCCATCGACCTGCTTGAAGTATGGGTCGAGATGCGGCATCTTGTCAAAAGGTCTGTATAGGTAGGGCCAAACTCTCTGCTGTGTGTCGTGTGAGGGGGAGGAGGAGGAGGAGGGTATACGACGGCAGGTGCTTGTAGAGAGGTGGTTTTGGCGGGGGAGAGGGGAAGAGATAGGACGAGGATTGCGGAAAGATGTAGGGATAATGGATGTGTTTTTCAGATACGGTAGTGGTGAAGCGGCAACGCTTAGTATCGGAATAGTAGAAGAGGCGGAAGTGGTGGTAATGGTGGATACACGGGTACGGGTAGGTATGTATTGGGAAGGTGGAATAAGAGAAGTACGAATGATATTACGGGTAGATTGAGGCGCAAACGAGCGTCGCATTATTGGAGGAAGAGGAGAAGAAGGAATGGCACAGCTTGTAGTGGCGGTGGTGGTGGTGGTGAATTGGGTGGTGGGAGGTCGCGCAAAGCGGGGCAACATATGACCACATCAACCTCTCCCAGTCTTCCTACCCAGTTATTGCTATTCCAAGTAGCAAAGAAGCATCGACTAGTATTCGTAATAAGCTTTTCACGGACAAACCGGAATAAAATAATTCATATTGAAGAATCAAAATATGTAATTCAACTCCGCGACCTGGCCCCATCAGGCTCAGGCCATCCATGTCAAAGCTTTAAAAATGTCTCTAGCGGCCAATGAGTGCCGAGGCATTCGAGAATTTACCTCCTAGTAGAATATCCACAAGTTCTTTTAGAGCAGTAGTGGACACAGAGCAATAAATATTTCACCATTAAGGAAGATTCTGTACACGAATGAGGGACGTGTATAACGTTGTCATATACAAATAGGCCCTGATTCCAAGACGCTGCCATGCTACGTCAGGCCTATCCTCTATTTACATACAGCCTTCTGACAGCCTTATGACATCGTAAATACAAGGTACTCATGCAGGGGACCAAGGATAAAAATATGTAGAAATAACACCGAAGGGCCTCTAGAGGGCTATGCTTGGTGGGTATTGAAGGAAATCGATTTGCACAGAAGTTCGAATATATGCCGATGCAGGAACCGGGGTCGAGGAATGCGACCTAATAGTACAGCAGAGAGTAGTCGATAATTGTATGTGAATGAGGATGTCAACGTATAACACAAGAGATCAAAGAGAGAGGGGAAGTGTCCTACAGTTCGAGAACAAGTGGCATGCCTGTCTTCTGGGTAGAATGAACCAACTCGCCCAATGGCGTGAAGAAATCAGGTATAGCACCGAGGCTGGCAGGATGTATGATGCTGGTTCCACGAGATGGAGATGCGAACTCCATCTTCCCAGATCTAAGTCCTCGTCTCGGTTGGACTGAGGACTTCCTCCGCTCGGAGGTCGCTCGCGCCGTCCGCACCAAAATCTGGTTCTTTGAAGACCGGCTTATTGCTCGTGGTGGCTGGATCCTCCTTTTCCGGATCTGGTTCCTGCCTCTTCGTATCGATTACGCCATTACCAGCTGAGTCGTGACTTGGTTTACCCGCAGTGGGCACGGAATGCTCCGGTAACTCTCGCAGTGGGGCTTCTGTGTGAACGGGTGCTTTCAAATGTTCAATTCCCTCGAGGACCGAAGATCGTTGTAGTTGGTCGAGTCGTTCTTCCGGATTCTTTTGTTCGAATTGTGAAGTCAGCGTTTGCAAGCAAGAGATGTGCCATGTTTTTGTAGTCAAGCATGTTTTGTACAATGCTCCGACCATGCCGGAAGTGATCAGGCCTGCAGGTCGGTGATATGTGTTGGATGCGAAAGCAAAGATGGATCGGTCAAGGATGCAAGAGGCGCACCACGGCGGCTTATGCCTTCTTTGTATCTTGCGAAAGACGCTGTGAGTGGATCGATTGGGGTTTTGGAGGGCTTTGCCTTTGGCAAGCTCGTGCCGGGCGTAGTCTCTGCAGCTGTGGTGATGGTTGTAGTGAAAGCAGGGGGTACAATTGCTGATGAGGTAAAAACAGGGGACGATTGGCGTGGAGCACTCTTGAAGTCTGACTCGCTAAGAGAAGAAAACCCGCATTGCGGACATACCCAGTCGGCCTGGTCTGGCACGCCTTCTGCTACAGGTAGCTCACCTGCCTCATCCCTCTCCTCTCCCCAGAAAGTGGGCCGCCTGATCGGGGCTGGTGTCACGGGAAGACTCGGTCGATCGACGGCGCTCGGGAAATCAGTGATGATGAGACTCTCTCTCCGGCCCGGTCTGACCGCTGACGGGGACAGAATCTCTGTTCCTGGCGAGTGCGGTTCGTTAAACGTCTTCGTCTTTCGCGTCTGGGCGTCCATGATTGCGCGGACGTAGTTTGCGATGGATGGCACGTTGTCCCACGCATTCACACTAGTCTGCTGGAACTCCTGCCACGATTCGTCAGCGGTCTTTGGAGATGTCACCCGTTCTGGGCTAGAAAGTCCGCTAGCTTCTCCTTGCCCGTTGTTTGTATTAGCATTGTTTTCATCGTAGTGCACGGTAGAGAATGGATGCGTTGGTATTGGTGCAATGGGTTGGGCAGCAGGTGTGGGCTCCGGAGGCAGGTCCTCGGCGAAGATACGAGTAGCTTTGGGTCGATCAGGCTGTTGCTCCCATGGGAAAATCGGTCGCGGCTTCTCTGATGGAGTTGGTTTTGTCTGAGGAACCTCATACCACATGTCCTTTGGCGGTTCGGGATACGCATGTGGCGCTTGGAAGAGCTCACGGCTCTCATTGAATTCGTACACCTCCGAGGGAAAGTTGGCTGCTTCTGGTTTCGATTCCGTAGGGGGCTCAAACCTAAACATATTAGCATCCTATATCTGTGAACTGATCATGAGCTTACCGGGTCGCGTCCCATTCCATCTGCGGGGCAGAGAACTTTCGTAACTCAACCGTCGGGGTCGGCTCTACGATACCCTGGTCAATATTCTCGGCCAAATCACCAGGCTCAGTCAAGGGAGCCTCAGTAGAAGTGGGAGGGGCATCGGGATGAACGATGATTTCGGGCACGTTTGCGTTATGCGTTGACGAGGTATTCGAGCTAGTACTCGTTGCCTCACCTTCGCCATGAGAGACGCCCGCAGCAGTAGCCGTCGGTCCTGACAACCGTGGCTGAGGCCCATAAGCATCGGACTTGTGCCTGTCGTGTACAGCCCACCAACGAGCTAGAAGCTCATTGTACACTCCAGGACCCCCTGAGCCAGACGGGCGAGACCACGGCTTATCCTTGCCAATGAAGTGGACGGCACTGATATTCGACTTGTAGTATCGGTACGCAGGTTCCCATTGGTATTGCGCATTTGGTGTGGTATTGTATGTGAAACTCAGACGATGCCAGTTGCGGTTCTCGTAGTACTGGTTGAGGAGGCCTTGATCAGCTCCATCGAAGCTGTCCCCAGTCGCGGCCAACGTTTGCAATGCCCAATAGTCTCCCATGTTTGGGGTCAAAAGCATGACCCCAGAGTTGAAGGCATCTGGCCAGCCAACATCTGGTGCAGCAGCGAATGGAACATCTAGGTTGAAAAGCTCATCTAGCGCTCGTAGAGCCACCACATCTGCGTCCATATATACAATCTTTCGAAACTGCACTTGTCGCCATAGTGCAATCTTCGTAAACGCAAAGGACAGGTCGGGACGGCCCATAAGATATAGGTTGGAAGGGTTGGGGTTGGATATGTGAGGGACGGGTATCAGGTAGTCATAGAGGGACTAAAAGAGGTGTTAGTAGGAACTCCCGTTTGACCATGCCCATGCCCATGCCCCATGTGGACGCGACATAGCGTCAAGGGATCGCGCAGACATACTTTGAGCTTTGTGATTGTCTCTGCAGAGAGTGTTTCCAAGGTTATGAGTACGGCCAATTTCTTCGTTGTTCCTGCATCTCGAAGGGAATTGGCGAGGACCGCGGCACCTAGGTCGAGCGGTCAGTGTATGCTCCATTTGCAGCACAGTTGGAGGAGGTGAATACCCGGCAGGTAGGAATCGCTCATGAGTAGCTAGAGATTGATAGTTAGCAGGGTCGGGTACTGTATGCGACAGGAGCAAATGCGAATTACCGTGCAGTAGACATCTTCGAGAGGTTGCGCCATGGTGGCTAGTGATGCGTGGGAGAGAGGACTCGAGGTCTCCAGAAGAAGAAAAGGAGGAGGGAGGAGAAAAGAAAGAAGAAGGAGAATAAAACAATGGTCACACGCTCACACGCAATGTACTGCCGTGACGGTTGGACCGAGGGGAGGGGTGGAGGTGTTGTGGTGGTGGTGGATGAGGAGTAGGAGGAGGGAGTGGAGGTAAGTAGAGGTAGGTAGAGGTAGAGGTAGAGGTAGTAGGGTAGCTCGGTTTAATGTTGTGCGTGCGCGCGAGAGGAGAGAAAGCTTTCCCCGCAGACGTAATTGTCACTAGTTGTACAGGATGAAGAGCTCTCTTTGCCGATCACAGGACCTACCACCCTACGTAGCTCGTGGCTCGTAGCCCGCAAGTTGGGTAGATGATGGCTCCGAGAGATCATCCACTCCAATTACTCTTTACTGCACTTGAACTGCACTGCACTGCACTGCACTGCAAAGTACAATGCTGCACTTAGGCTGGCTCCAGGTAGCTACCAGCCAACCAACCAACTTAAACTCTATGCAGCTCTCTGTGCCACACGGAATAATTTGGCGGCAAAAGCGGTCAGCAGGGCACGAACAATTGCTCAATTGACATGCACGGCAATGCAATGGAGGGAAATGGGCAACGCGTCGAGAGGTCGAGTGAGGAGAGGATAGATGAGGATGAGGATGAGGATGAGGATGCGAACAAACGAGAGGGAATAGCAATTCGTATGTACCTCCGTACTCGGTCGCGGTCTGTCATTCTGTGTACAATCATAAATCAATAATAATGATAATCAATGGCAGGCCTCGGATGGCGTACCGTACCGCACCGCCGGCTGTCCCGTTTTGGGGGGTTTGCACGGACACAGTCGCGTTTCAACTGATGATGTTTACAGTTTTGTTGAGTTGGATGATTTTATTGTTTACACTAGGTAATCAATTACAGAGCTTCATTTCCACCACCGACCGGGATCTGACGAGAGAAGATGGTGTTACATTGCGCGTGGTGTCTCGCCTTACACAAGCACAAGTACTCTGTGGAGGCTCTCGTACCATCATCTTTCATGTCGTTTCACAACGAAACCACAACGAGAAAATTCGTGCAACAATATCAAAGCACATCCAGATGGTAACCTTGCTACTACTGGATATGGTTTGAGCAACCGAGCGTCATTGTCACGGCCTACGAGGAGCGGCACGAGCTTGAGCACGAGCTTCCAGGAGCTTTGACAGTGAACATCTCCTAGGCTACCTAATAAGGTATTATAGCTGACTTTTTTTTTTCCGCAGTAGTTTGGTTCCATTCATTCCCGATTGATTCGGGGTCAATTCAGGGCAATTCAGTTCAGTTGAGTTGGTGGATCGAGGCCAATCAAGCCGAGACCTGAAACCAATGGCCGGAACCGTTGAAAGCCACAGCAGAAAACGGCCCAAACGATGAAGCAATCGTGCATGACTCGATCATAAGAGACAAATCATCATCACTAAGATACCTACAGCTCGTCCTTTGAGGTATTGTTGTCTAATGCAGCTAGCCGCCGCCTCCATCCTAGTCCCTGCAGACATCGCGAACCGAACCGCCTCTACCTAAGATTTTGTTGAACCTCCGCCCCTTATTGATTTTGATATTGCGTCCCTGCCGCGTTCCTGACCTAACTCGTACTATTATTAGTCGAGGGCATACTCCGTACACAGTACGAGATGCGTACTTGTAGTCTTGCACTACATCCTAAACCTGGCGAGAAATTTGAGGTGGATATATCGTGTAATTGGTTACTTCGTATACTCTTTTGTCGCTGAAGGGAGAGCACACTTGAAGAATTTTGGGTCTACCCAAAATGTCCGATGGCTGCATCTGACAGATCTCAAGGGTCCAGATGTACGAGAATAATGGCAACAATAACAATCGTCTCCTTATTACTTGTAGCTGCCTGCTGCTACATGCGAGAGACGCGAAACGATGACATGCATGAACCCTAGTGACTGAAGGTAACGGTCGGCCCTCCTATCCAACCAATGAGAACCATGTGGTATTCAAGTCAGATCTCTCCAACTTCGTAAGAAAGGCTTTGCGCACAAGACCTGCTACCTCTCTCTAATATTTCCTTTAGTAAATTATGAAGAAACGGCCATTGAAGCAAGGAAGAAACATTAGTATACAAACAAAGAGGTTACGCGTAGGTCTAGATCTCATCCCGATATTCCACATTGAGCCTAGCGACAACCTTATTCGACCAATCTATGACACCATCACCCATTTCCCATCTTCGAATCGACACCAGGAACCAGACACACAGACATTGTCATACATACGACTACCTTCGCTGGATCCTTATATCAATTTATGGTATCTCTCCCAAGGGTCTGAAAGAAACCATGAAGCGTCTTCCTGCATTCGATTCCTCCTCCACTTCCTCTTCTTTCCTCCCAACTAACAATCACGACCACATTCCACCCTAATACAACGACAACCCATCATCAACAATACATGCCCAACTAAACAGGAGGAACAGAGAATAGAGAGAGCTCCACACAATGCCACCCAAATCCACCGCTGCCACTTCTAGTCCGAGGGTAATATACTGGTTCCGGACCGACCTGCGCCTACACGACTCCCCTGCCCTATCCACAGCACTTTCCCTGTGCAAACCTCACAAATCATCCGCCGTCCTCTACCCAATCTGGACCTGGGACCCTCACTACGTCTACCACGCTCGCGTCGGACCCAATAGATGGCAGTTCCTGCTGGACTCACAGTCCGACTTGTCGGCATCACTGACCAAGTTGAATCCGAAGCAGAAGTTGTTGGTCATCAGGGAGGCACCGCAGACGCTGTTCCCGAAGCTATTCAGGGAGTGGGGAATCACGCATTTGTGCTTCGAGAGGGATAGCGACGCATATGGGAAGGGGAGGGATGATGAGGTAGTCAAATTGGCGGAGAAGGCGGGTGTGGAAGTAGTGACAGAGTATGGTCGCACGCTGTGGGATAGTGACGCTCTTGTCAGAGAAAATGGGGGTAAGCCTACGATGAGCATCACTCAAGTCGAGAAGGCCGGGGCGAAGATTGGGGATGTTCCCAGACCGATCGAGGTGCCAAAGAGCTTACCGGATCCTGGGGATACTAAGTTAGGCTTTCAGATGGAAAAGCCAGGAAAGATTCCAGACTTTAATGAAAAGCAGAGAGATGGGGAGGATCGGTCGTATGGCGAGTTAAGTGGACCGAAGGGCGACTTCGCAGTACCAACAATGGAGGAATTGGGAATGAAAAAAGCGACTACTCCGCACCGTGGAGGAGAGACAATCGCGTTGGAGATGTTGGATGAACTCATGAAGGATGTGGATTATGTCGCTACATTCGAGAAACCAAAGACTGCCCCCACGGCCTTCGAACCACAGGCCACCACACTATTATCACCGCACCTACATTTTGGGACGCTGAGCGTACGGGAATTCTACTGGCGTACCCAGGATATAGTAGACAAATACAAGGGAACAGCTTCGAAGCCACCTACGAGCCTTACCGGCCAACTCCTGTTTAGAGATATGTATTTCGGCGCACAGGCGTCGTTGGCCTACGCATTTGGTCAGACGTACAACAACCCACAGTGCCGCTTCATTCCATGGCACCTGCCCTCCGAGATAGACGAGAAAACAGGTCTCGTCACCGGCAAGTACCTTGTCGATTCGGCGGAAGCAGAGCAATACTTCATTCGGTGGAGAGAGGGCCGAACAGGGTTCCCCTTCATCGATGCTCTCATGCGACAGCTCAAATCCGAAGGTTGGATTCATCATCTGGGCCGACATATGGTCGCTTGTTTCCTGACGAGGGGAGGCTGTTATGTCGACTGGGAGCGGGGCGCAGAAGTGTTCGAGGAGTGGCTCATCGACCACGAGGCTGCCTGCAACATCGGGAACTGGCAATGGCTTAGCTGCACAGCCTTCTATGCGCAGTTCTATCGGTGTTACTCTCCAGTCGCGTTTGGCCAAAAGTGGGATAAAGAGGGGAAATTTGTAAGGAGATTTGTACCGGAGCTGAAGGACTTTGATAAGAAGTACATATACGAACCGCACAAGGCGCCCGTCGCGGATCAGAAGAAATGGGGATGCTTGATCAAGGGAGATGGCACAGAGACGGAGGCAGACGGAGGCAAGTTCCAGATGTATCCAAAGCCCATGTTCGACTTCGCGGAGAGAAGAGAGATTTGTATACAAGGAATGAAACGGGCGTATTCAGTGGGTCTGTATGGGAACGATGAGCGGGTTCTGAATGGTACTTGGAGGGAGCTATTCCCTGATGATGCGGAGGGTCCAACAAGCGGGAAGAAAGGTCCGCCCGGGGCTATGGTGGAGCATGAGGATGCCGATGGGACAGAGGAAATCTCTCATCAGCCGCCGGAGTTGTCGGGACAGGAGAAGAAGAAAGCGGCAGCGAAGAAACCTGGAGGACACAAACGTGATGCCAGTCAGGGGACTCTTGATGGAATAGTCACCCGGAAGAAGAAGAAAGAGTCTGCTTAAATCATTACATACAATCATGATATCTTAGTGCTAAACTCTGACCGTAAAGAGGCGCTGAATTTTATGTGTTCTGCGTCGTACCAGTCTCATAAAGGTCAATATCTGGGCTCAATATGCAATGTATACTCACAAGGTGAAGTGGCCGAACCGATCCCATGGTACTATGGCCCCGAAAATCATTCCTTCATTGTATATGCTGAGTATCTGACAACTCATTTTGCCTTTACCAGCCAACTCTCTGCCTCAAAATTCAATTTTGTTCCCTGGAATCTCGGAGGATCCACAAAAGTCTTCATTCCGATGGACCGCAGGGTCAGGTTGTACACCCTGAAGATGACATAAACTTGAGAGGGATGGGCCCGATCGACAACCATACTATGCATCTACGAGTGCGATTAGTCCTGGTGCTAATTGATTGTCTGAGCTGCGTATACGAACCCGTTTGTACTGTACATCGCTCATGTAAAACTTCGTCTCGTACCGACTGGGAGTGGTTTTGACTTCCAGATAATACTCGATGGGATGAGCAACGTGGTTATGATCCAACATGATCTGGTGAGGAAAGTCACCTTCACAACAACTGCGAAGGTAACGGGTGAAAGCACCATTGTCGTCTTTGTACACTATATCGGCAGTCTCGAGGCCAGACCAGTTTCGCAGGTCTGAATAGCGAGCATGATGTTCTGTAAGCGTGCCGCGTATTGTGCTTCTCCAATTCTGTCGTCCAAAATGAGGTAAGCCAAGTTTCGCAAGTGATTCAAAAACCTGTTATGTTTAGTTAAACACACTTGCTGTCCACGCTATGTTTAACTTTAGCTGACTTACAAATGCCTCTCCGGCTGCCCCAATTCGTCGATTGTATGCAAACTCATTGAATTGTCGAAGACCAAAAGTAGACTCTAAGTCAAACGGTATTGACGTGATGTTGTCTGGTGTTGCTTGAGTGTTGTTTTCTGCCTCTCGCATGGCGCACGTTATGATCTGCTCAACTAGTCTACGGTATTCTGTTGATATCCATGTCCCGGGTCGGTGATCATCTCCTGTAGAACTGGGAGATTGACTAAGATAGTGAGGTTGGCTTTCCTCGCGATTGAAAGGTCTTGGTATTATGCGTGGACTGGGTGCGAATTCTCTACCCACACTGTAGTTGCTTCGAGCGCGTTCAACAGTCACCGACGTTGTACCCTCGGCTTCTTCATTTGGCAACACATCAGTATCATCCTCCCTTATTATCTGCTCAGAAAGATCGATAAAAGGCTTCTCCAGCCAAGATACATCGTAAATATCTTGCTCAATCAGAATAGTGGCCAAGTCGCACACTTCGCACCCGAGTATGATAGAGATATCATGTATGGCTGCGGAGCCGATGCCAGTTAGAGTAGCCAGGAGCTTAGGCAGTTGCGTTCGGTAGCATGCTCGACGTCGTTGGCGATCTTCCGGTATGAAAACTCTAAGTTTACCATCAATAAGGTCATGGTGAATTTCCGACCTGTCGCTCTCAACCTTCAATGGTTCGTTTGCGCGTTGAACCACAAGATATGTGGATATTTTCGTAGCAGAATAGATCTTTGCTGATTGTAGTAGCTCAAAAATATGGCGGTCGCCACGAAGAGCCTTACTACTTTTATGTTTTACGGCGCAACTGGATTCTGTCAGAAAGCAACGCTGTAATAGCATGGAGTCAAATCCGCGTGTGGGGAGTTAACTAAAGCTACCATTCTACACATTTGCCATCGTGAAGCGTTGTATAGCATACGATCTTTTTGGGATAGGCATAAAGGGTGTCATTCAACTCACCAATATAGCGCATATGCTTTGTTGCAAAATTCGTTCGATAACTTTTCCTCCACTTTGATCTCGTCTCCTATGCTCGATTCTTCGGCCACAACCTCAGATAAATACCTATGAGCAATACCCAGGTTCCTGAACATCATGTTCATGATTTGTGTCTCCTCGATATCAAATTCCAGTAGGAGATCATGCATTGCTAGTGCCCTCCCGTACCTTTCGTGATCCAGAATGGCATAATCACCATCAACCTTCAGCAGTATACGTTTGCCGTCGCTCAACTTTTGAGGAAGAAATGCAACCTTCTTGAGATCACTCAGAGGGCCTTCAACATTCAATGCTGTATGGGAATTTGCAAAGAATCTCCCGATCTGAATGAGCCGTAGCTTTATTTCATCAATGTTCTCTGGATGAGTCTCGGCCATCTGTCTTAGTTCGTTGATGAGAAGTTCCGGGGTGGCTGTTTTCACACGCAATCGCTGCGTGAAAAATGTGCGAAGTTTCGGATAAACAAGCTTCAAGTCCAGGTAGCCTTCTAGTGGGTATGGACTATTCCACAAGCATTGATGGAGCGTGTACCATACTCCCCCTTCTCCGAGAACCAATGGCTTGGTATTAAAGGCGTCTCTGAACACTGTCAGTAACATGCCCAATGATGACCGTTCCAATGTGTAGGACCCGCTCCTTAAGCCTTGTAATACTCGCGTGCGTAGCACCATGAAGTAACACTTCAGTGGCTGCCAGGACGTAGCAGAGTATTTCCGAAACGACTGTATGTATTTTGCTGAGTTGTAAATGGGGTCAGGCTTACCTAACTGCCTGCCATTCATCGAGCTGTACGGTTGAATCGAGATAAAGATACACCTCCTGGGATAGATAGAGATTGATCGGTTTCTCAGGCTCTTCATCTGCGCCCCAGCATTCTAGCTCTTCCAGAATCGTGTTTGTCGTACAGTCCTTGATGCCAATGGTGGTTTTGAAAAACGTCTCTAACAGTGGATCGCCCCCATACTCGGTTTCCAGGATGCCAAAATAATCGAGGAAGTCTGGGCCCTTCCATACACAATGGGCGGTCGTCCACCAACCATGAGCCGTCCAGGTGTACAAATACAATTTGAATAGTTTCCTATTATAATTGTAAGCTGATATTTTAACCGATAGTAGCCGCGGTACTACCGTAAGATAGGCTGGTCTGCCAGAGTCGTAAGTTCGGCCATTGATCTGTAAAGATCCTTTGCACAGGATGCTTCTGCAGGAGCACACAGAGTTGTAGTAACTAATAGATCCAAGGCATCTTGGTAGAAGATAATATCTGGCTTGAGGTGGACGCCAAAAGACTCGAGGAAACTCCAGCTACTGTTTTGATTGCTTTGAAGCCACCCCTCTGGCAATTCAAGAATCTTGATCATATCATGTTCTTTCCCTAGTATCTTGTAACTCTCAAGTTTTCCTCTTATGGATTGAGTAGGAAGATACGTTTTCTCCAATGGTGCAGATGTTCTAGACATACAAGGTACTTTAAATTGGCTGAGTTGCCGTTGCAACATGGTTGCAGGTGTTTGGTATACGCTCCAGTGCACTTTTAACATGCTGAGAAATTTGGATCCATTGAATTCTCTCACTGCGTTGATGTGAGATAATTGGTCTGCAAGAGGGGCTTTCTGAAGAAATTGTGGTATCTTTTGAGCCCGTAATTCAATGGTTAGCCAATTGATCCAGTCTTGGGACCTTATCGAACCTTGAGGGTAGTCCCATTCCATAAATGATTTTGGTAATACATTGAGGTCGAGTTCTTTCGAAAGGCGCACAGCTTGTGGAATGAGTTGGTTCAGACTGTACTCTTCACCCGAGGCTATGTAAAAGCACCGTGACACTTGTACTTGCTTCCCGGTGTCCGTCGGAACTAGCAGCCAAGGCTTGAGATCAGTGATATCACACTGAGAATTGCACAGAAATTGTATATGATCTTTAAGATCGAGCTTTGGTTTCAGTGCCTTATGTGCTTCCTTTATCTTGGCCAAGACCAAATCCGTAGGGCATGTTCTCACACCCAAGGCCTCGTAAAAGCTTCTCCTGATTGGACTTTTTGAACCCTGTATGTTAAGTAATTGTATTCCAAGGTCTTCCGGGATTTTTGATGAGCCGATGTACGAAAAGTATATCTCTTTAAGAGCACCCAAGCTTATTCCCGGTGCGCCTGTCCATTGATTGGGATTGGAGAGAGGGATAATAGCCAATTTCTTGAAGCGATGGATGGTTGAAGCATCCTTTGATCTTAGGATCTTCTGCCCCATTTCGGCAAATTTTATATGCCAAGCATCATCAGGGTTTCGAGACCTGAGTTTCGAACTATGACGTACAAGGTCAACCTGGACACGGTCTACAAGTTCACCTAGCGACAGAGTTTCAACTCCTAATCCTCCTCGAAGATCTGAATCACTGATGTGAGCGTTGTATTCTTGTGCAAGGTAGATCTCATCTGACAGATCTGGAACGATAGGTTCACCATTATACTTTGCAAAAGGCGGTATTGTGCGCAACTGAAGCGGACTTCGAAGGGTGTGGGTCTCCAAAGTTTCAAGAATCGGCATGGACTTGAGTCTCCCCATAATCATTCCGTGTAACCCTTTCCAGGGTGCTTGGAGGAAACGATTTGGCAAGAATTCCAGCCATGAATATCTTAGTGGATCGGTCCGAGTCGCAAACTGTTCGATAGCCCGTACGAATGCATCAGCAATTCCTGAGCAGATGACATCGTTCCACGTGCAATCTACTACACTCTCACGACTTGCCGAGGTGATGAAGTCTGACTGGATCAGAAACTTTACGAATTCATTAGACGGATTTCAACTTGTAGCCTCTGATTTCTTACTTGTATCGGTAAACGCTGAATAGGCAAAAAGGCAAAGACGTGCCTACTACCAAGCGCGTCTATTTTGGGTTTCCCGGATTTTGGCATAACAGGAAATGCTAACTTTACAGTTGCGCTTATAGTATGCTTTCGACGGTCATCTTTGGGCATGCTGCGAATGACTACAGAGAACTCTCGAAAATGGCTTTCATCGCAATGTTCAGCGTCGTCTATCTTTTCGTATCGGTTGATTTTGGTATGCGTCTTCTGTTCCAGCGGATACTTTTCAAGGGAAATATGAACCATTTTCCCATCCTCGCGAGCGAATTTGAACGATATTGACTCCAAGTTCTGGAGGAAGTATATAGTAGTGTCAGGAATCTCCCTAATAGCATCAAGAAGTTTCCGGTAGCTATTTTCTGATCGATCTGCCAAATTTAGAGTGATCCTAGTTGTCACAAATGCCGGCAATTCTACCTTTGGAGCTTCCAAGGGAGTCACCATGCCGAGCCCGTCTTCGCCCCTGCGATGTCGAAAGCGGAATGACCATAGTCCGGACTGGATGTGTACGTCATCAGCAATAGCAAAGACGGCCTTGAATCCGAAACCTTTTTCACCAATATGTTGGTCTTCCGCTTTGGCCTTTTTAGAGCTTTTACCAGTCGCGCAAATTGCGTTGATGTTCTCTCGCGTGAAGCCAACTTCATTGGTCTCAACAATGAGGTTTTGTTGAGAAACAGTGAAATGAAGAAAGGGAACTTGATCTCTTGACAGACTAAATGATTTCCGATAGTAAGAATCGTCGGCATTCTGTATCAGTTCGAACAAAAATCGGTACTTGGATGAGTACAACTGTTCTGAGATGCTGCGCGAGTTAGTGCAGGAAACGATGGAGATGAATTCCATACCTCGTGGTATAAGCTGCCTCAATCGCTTTGTGTCGTTCGACAAATCCCAAAACAGTTGCTCGGCTTGACTCTCTAATGGAGTTGATATCGGATAGAGTCTGCTCATCTAGGTATCCCTTTTCCAGCCTGATAGCTCTTAGGACGGCATTTGCCTCGGCGGCTGTAGATGGCTCTCTGTCTCCAAGTCGCTTGAGCTCTTCCATGTGAATACCCTGACGCAAAATGTCGTCTGTTTGTTCGGTCATCTTGTTATCGAGAGTTGCGGCGCACTCGCAGCATCAAGTGAAAGGGCAACACATTCAACCTAACTTTCCGAATTTCTGATTCTTTTGCAACGCGCGGGTATTGTACCTCCATTTTATGGTGTGGTATAGACTAGATTGCGGCACAGCTTCTCGGCGCCTAACAGCTGTCGTGATTGGGCACCAAGTCCTTGTTCCAACAATATTGCATAACATGCGTGGGCCTTAGTGTAGTAGCCAGTCCATCAGATTGGATAGGAAGATGCATACCCGTTCCGTACCATGCCGCCATGTTCGTACTTGAAACCTCGCAGTGCTCTTTTATTCAGGTGGATAGACTTCGAAACGGTGGACACAGGCTCCCGCAACCTAAACCCTTCAACCTTCACCATTTACCATTAAACCACCCCACTCGGATGCCCATAGAGAATTAGCAGTAACATACATGCCTTGAGAAAACTAATAATTTGCATATTTATCTGTGCTATTCCTCCATGAACTAAGCTGCTCTAGACAATGTTCTCAACTTGACATCCCCAATTCACCAGAATAGGGAAGCTTGATTATTGTGGTGATCTGCATTCATTTTATGTCTCTTGTGCATTTCTCAGATGTACTTTGTACGCTTTTAGATTTAACCCCCACGACGGTATATGACGAGTTTTGGGGAGCGTTTTATTCTAGTAAAACATACACCTTGCTGTTGAAATATTTATCAATCCGTCGGATTGCCTAAGCCAAGTTCTGATGGCACTTCCGGACCGAAACCCAGCAGCAAGGATAAGAAGCCTAAGACCATCGAAGCTATACATAGTAGATAATAGAAACGTGTCATAGTGCCAAATTTGAGGCATCTTGATTACTGATAGCAAATGTAACAAAAGTGGGCAACTGGTAGGCAATCAAATAATAGTTTTAGTAGCATTGAGCTTGCATATATAATTGCGCTCGATCAACAAATTCAAACTAATAATATTCTCGACCGGAGACTCAAGCAACTATTACCAATTACACAAGCACGATATCACGGAAACCTATGTTGTCCTCGGCAATTTCACCCCCCATAATGCCATGCACATATCTGTAGACATCGCAATGACTTCAGTATCATTCTGTTATAGTTGAGTCACTAGATTTGACTTACGTTTCACCAAGAAGTTCAAAACCCTCTTTTCCCGTGGTATACGTAGCGTCAGATTCTCTGAGTATAAAAGGGACACACGCCCATTGAAAGACAACTACCATGTCACCTATTCGAGCACCCCTCGGGACTAGCGCGAAATACCCTTTGGTTGTGACTGCGAATCGACGCTTCGCCATAGCAGCTTCGAATGCGACTCGTAGATCTGCTAGTATCTTTGCTGGTCTCCTCCTCTTTAAACTAGCCATCGTGAAGAGCTCCTTTACGCGTCTGGGACCATAAGTTTGGCCTGGTAATGAAGGCATTTGGCCTGTTGAGGAGTCCAATATCAAGCTAAAGATCTCTTCATGATCTCGAGAGGGTTTTTTCACACCGGATCCATCACGTCCGGCGAGAAGAGTTTGCCAGAAAGCATCATACAAAGCCACACTTATCGTTGCATACCGTGCTACTGCCCTAGCTAGCAAGGCTAACTCGGTGTAGCCTGCCCATGCTTGGTTTTTCGCTGTTGGGTCTTCGATATCAAGCACTGGGTTGTCTACAACGCACCCTATCGCCGCAATTGTGTCAAATATCTTACCTGACAACGTAAGCTTCAACCCATCTTCGCTCAAAGTGCTTTTATATGACGAGCCCCGATAGCCTAGGTGGCCCCCTCCTGCATGATATAGTGTCCAGGCCTTGGTTGAATACCCCAATGCTTGCGTTACGCGGGGGGTGCTCCAATCCGGCACCCATGAGGGGTGAAGGGGTTGGTCGTGGTCGATGCAACTCAGTATCCTGTATGTGTTTTCTGGCATCTGGGATACACATGCCTCACGAAACACATCAAGATGCGATTTACTCAGTGAGTAATCGGGCTTTATGGTCAATTCGGTCAGGCCCAGCAGCCCATACACCTTATCTTTCGGATCAGACACCAGCCCCTGGCGTGTGGAAGCAAGAGCCTCGAGAAGCATGGTCGGACCTCGAGTCCGCTTCATCGCGCGCGTTTCCTGAATGTAACGAACAATTTCGCCTTCTCCTACCCTAGTAGCTGTTGATGGGGCCCAGAGTCGATTGATCTCCTCGTTCGTGCGCAGCCACTTCAACAGACCGGACTCTCTCAGCGTCCAGAACCAAGTGATCATATCGTCCCAGTTCTCAACTACATCACCATATCCAACGAATAGCGAGTTGGCAAGGCATGCTTCTTGGATGGTCCAAGTTCTCCGTGTCCACGGATTGCTCATGAGACGCTTCAATTCCCACCAGGAACGGTCATTACTGGGCGGCAAGTGTAAGCGCTCAAATTCCCCCGGGCCTGTCTCTTGATCGACAAGCTGTAATCGCGAATGGATATCTTGCATGATTTCTATTGCCAGTCCTGGATCCGCGTGACCACCTTCGTCGCCCAGCCAGATCAATACATTGGTTGCATGCGAATAGATAGCTCCCATGAGTGGTATCTGACATTCCTTTTCCCGCACATCTCGTTGGTTGATGCAAATTTGGTCAATCTACAGAAACACACTGTTCGTCTTGGAGCGCAATTGCTGAAGCGCTGAGGCTAAACTGCCAGTGATCCAGAATGAAATGTTATCGATGACGATTTGATGGTCAAAGACGTGTGGTCCCCATACATAGGATAGTGCGGTGTACCATACCGGCTCGGATGAGTCTAAATTGACGCCATGATTTGTTTGTCTTGCCTGATTTATTCCATTCTGTTCCGACACAGATGGATATTCAAAATCTATGCTCACGACTCGAAGGGTACCGCCCATCTTCTCGTCTCGTGAACCTGGGTACAACTCCAGTACGCGAATTTCTCCCTGTCTCAGATGCTGGAACCCATGGCGCTGTTTTTGTCCAGCTTCCGGCTTCTCACGATGAAGTCGACGTTTCTTGTGAACGAAGGCACAGACGAAGTTGAGATCAACATTTGTAAAAGATTGATCCGATGGTGTATCAGCTGTGGCAATCTGAAACCGCTTTGCCTTTTTAACAAGAGCCGTACATGATCCTATCTCTTCTTGTGAATGATCATCTTCAAGGAAGTACTAATAGAACTATTACTAGATGAACTCCTTTGCGAAAGTCATTCTTACATTTTCTTTCGGCTCTGTAGGAGCAGCAGAATCTCTGATTACCCGTATATCAAGCATGGGCTTTAGGATTTCTGAGGGTATGCTTTAGAAAGCGAATCAATCAATTGTAAATCAAAATGGCATTCATATTAATTCATGGTACAAGAACTGGGGATTGTGAGCGTAGAAAAAGGTAGTCAAGTAAAAAAATAGATTCTGGAGTGTTTTATACGCTCGTGTTTCCCTCATTTCGATATTGAAAGGACGCTGAATGATATCATCCAATTCGATTCAAGTCTCGAGCAATTGCCCTTTCGGTGAAATGCATTGGTACCAATTCCTTTCAATCTGCCTTTAGAGGCATTCAAAGAGTAGGAAAGAATGGTTCCAACTAGCGAATGTTCCAATGAATCCTATCAGCGCTCATGGAAAGATTTGAGATTATGTTTGTAGGCAAGAAGATCTTCGGACCATAAGCCATGCCATCTCGTAAAAATAACAGCTCAATGTTTGCGGTCATGACGGCAAGTCTAGGATTTGATGAACATCCCTAAAATCCAAGATCGAAAACGCGAAGAAGCAGGCATTACTAGACTCGTACATATTTTGCGCAGCTCCTACTGGGAGAGGTAGCACCCCTTGCGCAAATAAGCCACATGTTTGCCTATTCCAACGCAGCAGCCGACTGAAAGCGTAATTGCAACTGATGATCAATGCCACAAGGCTGGATGACAGGCTTGTGGTTGCTCGCTTCCTACCGCATCATCGCCGTTTATGATATGCGGGGGGAGCGTGACACAACATTTGACTTATTCCAAATCGCAGGTATGAGCAATAATTCCAAATTATGACTGCGCGGCGAGTTAAATCTTTTTCTGGATGCATATGTAGGATCATACATCGCAGAAGTATGTCCGTGTTTACGGTTTCCAAGCCTTCAGCACCATGTAGAGGGACACTGGCAGGCTGAATGAAGTGAATTCGATGATACAGAGAACAGCTCTTGTGCTATCTTTCATTCTACGCAGATTACTGCATCAGAATGACAAATAACAAGACTAATACGCTTGAAGTGAATCTTGGAATACGGCAAAGAACTTCGTAGTGATTTTCGGGAGATGGAAAATACGCCTGGAAGGAAATACCCTAACATGGGCTAACATCTTACACTCTACTATCTTCTGCAACAACTTTGCTAGAATTCGATCCTAACGGGAGTTTACACAAGCGCAATACGATTACTACTTACTGCTTGGGTTTCATCTGTTTGTGATTGGTAGTAATGATTTTTTGCCAAGCTACTGTGTAGTCTGTCCAAGTTCCCGCGGGCAGCATGACTTCAAGCCCTAGAGCGTCGTTATGGTCTGGATCGGATCCTGAGAGCCTCGGAGCGGAGAATGCGGGCAGTAGCATGTACTCAAGTGGTTACTACGGCTCGGGCGCTGCCCTCCACATCGCTTGGCAAGGAACTTTCAATCCGACACGCATAATCGTGATAAAGATGCACTTGACAACCAAAGCTGTTGGGAGGCCAGTGTATGCGAGTCAGTGATACATCATCTTTCCCCCAGTGTCTCCACCATCATTGACGAGGAACCGACTTTTCCACCTGCACAAGTAGTTGCGGAAACATCATGGCTTGCCCATTTGCAAAACCCAATCGCCTCTTTGAAGATCTAGCCACGACGCGGCAGCAGTCAACTCTGCCATTCAGCAAGGAACTCGGTGGCTATGTCGTATCGCGATATGACGACATAGTCTCGGTTCTCGACCAACCGAATATATTCAGCTCGAGACCTACAGTGCCAGAATTTCCTCCTCCTGTCAAAGGGATTTTTGCCAATAAAGTCCCCGAAAAAGGGACATTGCTTGCACACGATAACCCTGACCACGATCGATTAAGGAAAAGCGTGGCATCGTTCTTTGTGCCACGGAGACTCAGACGTTTCGAGCCGCTGCTGAGAGCCACTGCACACGACTTGATCGACCAGTTTAGTTCCAAGGGGGAGGTCGAGATCAAGGAAGCATTTGCTTTACCTTTGCCGCTGCGAACAATTGTGCATGTTGCTGGACTTGATCCAGAGCGGTGGCAGTGGATTGGACAGAGCCTTGCTTTGTTTGGCGGAATCACGAGAGTCGATGCTACCGTCAGCATTGAAGAAAAGGTTCGAGACGTGCTCGATCTCCATGAATATATTGCACAGGTGATCGAAGAGCGACGCAACGATAGACGGGATGACTTGATCAGCCACATCTGGAACGAGCGCGACGCGGGCAATGTTGAAATGACAGACTTCGAGCATCTGAGTATGATCCCAGGGTTGCTCCTTGCAGGTCACGAGACAACAACCAATGTCTTGAGCATGGGCATTGCACATCTGCTGCATCTGGGGTTGTTTGACGAGGTGACAAAAGACGAAATCTCCCGAGCTGCTGCGATTGAGGAGCTTCTGCGCTATGAATCAGCAATCACGGGTATGCCGCGAAAGGTACTTGAAGCTACGAGCATAAGCGGCACAACGCTAGTGCCTGGTGACCAGTTGTTTGTCGCCTACAATTCAGGCAGCAGAGACGACACTAAGTTCCCCGATCCGAATCGCATTGACACCAAACGAGGTCGAAAAGTACAGCATCTAGGCTTTGGGCGCGGTGTTCATGCCTGTCTTGGAGCTCCCCTTGCGCGGCTTCTCTTGAATGTAGAACTGGCCGTACTCAAAGAGAGGCTACCGAACCTCAAATTGAAGACGCCGTATCACGAGATTCAGTACCATCGCGTACACGAAGGTCGAGGTGTGGCTGGAGTCACATTAGAATGGGACAGCACCAGGGCCACGAAGGCTTCGTCAGACGGAAGCTCCCGAAGTGTAACTCGGCCTAGGGTACCCGCCCAGCCACAGGATATGGATTTGATAGTCGAAGAAGCAAATCTTGTTGCAGACGATGTCCTACAGTTCAAGCTGCGCTCGCAAGATGGAAACCATCTTCCAGAGTGGGCACCCGGAGCGCATATAGACGTCAAGGCGGGTCCATTCGGCTATCGACAGTACTCAATCTGTTCAGACCCAGACGATCGCAAATGCCTCTCGTTTGCTGTTCTTAAGGAAACAAGCGGACTCGGTGGCTCCAAATACCTCCATAGTAAAGTGCGGCCGGGGAGTATGCTAAGCATACGAGCACCTAGAAACAACTTTTCATACGAACCCAGCAGGAAAAAGACGATCTTCATTGCAGGAGGTATTGGTATAACCCCCATACTTCCAATGGCTACAGATGCACGACGAAGCGGTATGTCGTATGCGATTGTCTACCTCGGGCGCTCGCGACGTAATATGGCGTTCTTGGGCAGACTCGAGAAAGAGCATGGCAATCATCTGACCGTATGGGCAAAGGATGATAATGATGGCCACCGCTATGATCTCAACGTTCTCTTCGCTGACGAGCACATCGACGACCTTCGCGTGTACTGCTGCGGTCCAGAGCCACTCTTGACCGGACTGCAAGACATATTATCAGATGCTCCGCCTGGTGCTCTACGGATCGAGCACTTTTCGAACCCTACGGCGTCTCTGAATGCAACGAACACCGCATTCGAGGTTGTTTTGGCGCGTAGCAATCGTACTTTCCAGATACCCGAATCTCGCTCGCTTCTAGAAGTCATTAACGAAGCAGGGGCAGGCATTCTTTCGACGTGCAACAAGGGCTTGTGCGGCACGTGCGAAGTGTCAGTTATCGATGGTGTGCCGGATCACCGTGATATGGTGCTCACCGCTGAGGAGAAGATGGACGGGAAGCTGATCATGCCTTGTGTCTCACGCTGTCGTGGTACGAAGTTGACGTTGGATCTATGGTAGAATACTCGGTACAGTAGGCTACTATAGCAAGGTATTGACATAGAAATAGAACAAAAATCTTATTATGAGTGGTATCTTTGGGTTTTGTGAACGTAGTACTACAAAATGTTTTACGGAGTACATGAATAGTTTTTGAAAATGCCCCCTTTCTGACATTCACAAATGATCCACTCACGTGTTTGTAATTAGTATGTATCTTCCTAGTTTTACTGGTAAGTGCACAAAGAGGGGGTTGGCAGTCAGAGTAGCCCACTTGCTAGGTTCATGTGTCTCCGAGTCTAAAGTATCTATTTAGGGGTTTGCGGTAAACAGTCTTTGAAAACTTGTGCTAAAACCTCGCGCATGCACTATTGCCGACATAAAATGCCTGCAGGGGACCATCCCGACGAGCCAACCCTTTGTACCAGCAGGTCGTAGGTATACCTATGCACTTACAGCTACTAGATACGATGCTGTAACAGTACTCGTACCGACCATACGGAATAAGTCCGTTGGGGTTCATGCACGGTCCTCAACTCTAGGTTCCAGATCGTCGGGCCCAGAACGTCGGGTCGGTACATGCGGGCTGACTACAGTGTTCCGATCCGACTCTCGTCACTGCTTAGATCTTGCAATTACACGGGCATCTGTGGGAGGACTCTCGTAAATCCCCGCAATTCACAATCACAGAGACCTGTTGTACATGGATACGAATAAGATAAGCGAGGTATTTCCCCGGAATGTGGAGGCATAATCTACTCTAATCTACTCCCCACAATACGTCCTAGATCCGGGGTAATAGCCAGCGCGGTATACATTAATAACCCCATGTCTGCTCCGAAATCTGAATGCTTTGAACCCAGACTTCGACGAGAGTTTCTAACACCGCCAGCAGCGCAAGATATGACTCACGCATCCAACATGTTGGACGGCAAGCACGACGCCAACATCGACCACGTCGAGGAATTGAAGATGCCGTCCGGCACTGGAGAGAACCATATTGGGGGCAACGCTCTGCTCGTCCATGAGGATGGCGCAGTTCGCAAAATCCCTGTTCCTTCCTCCAATCCCAATGATCCCCTCAACTTCCGCGGCTGGGAAAAAATCGGTATCATCTTCTGCTGCTGCTGGTTTTCAATCATGGGTCTCGCTATGGCAAGTGGCCTGGGCGCTATCCTCAATGTTTTCTTCGAGATGTACATGCCACAGGGATACAACGCTGAGCAGATTGTATTTTTACTTACCATGCCATCTCTGTGCATTGGTCTAGGTATGCTTTCAGTCCAAAAGCAGACAAGGCAGGCTGCAATATACTGACGATATCCTGCTCAATAGGTAACTACATCATTCTACCACTTGCGCTCGCATACGGAAGACGCCCGGTATTCCTAGTCTCCATGGTTGTTCTGCTCGCGGCTACGATCGCTGCTGCGGTGCAGAACTCGTATAATGGCCACCTTACAGCACGCATTATCCAAGGTCTAGCAACCGGTGCCTCGGAATCCTTGCTTCCTCTTATGCTCACCGAGGTCACTTTTCTTCACGAGCGTGGCCGTGTCTTCGGCCTGTACTGGACGATACAGAACATCTTGAGTTCCACGATCAACCTGGCTTCTTCCTATATCAACCACGATCTGGGTTGGCGATGGTACTACTGGATCTTCGTCATTACGGTCGCAGTAGGTTTGGTCATCGCCTTCTTCTTCGGCTTCGAGACTCAATTCGCTCGTCCGGCAGCAAGCGTTGATGGACTCCTGGTATTCACAGACGAGTACGGAGTAACGAACATCATTCCAGACTCTGAGGCTCAGGATTATCTTGCTCGCATGTGCCGAGAAGGTATGGAGCTGCCTACTACAGGCGACACAGGAAGCGATGTCCCGCGTAAAACCTACGCCCAAAAGCTCCGCCCATGGTCGGACGTTCAGAAGCAGCCGGTTAAGATCATGCTCCTGACCTACCTGCACATGCTGCAAAGCATGACTTCCCCTGGCATAATCTACGCGATTCTCACCTCATCCGTCGCCCTTGGTTGCGGAATTGGCATTTCTTTAACCTACAACGAAGTGCTAATGGTCAACTATGGCTGGAAGCCGCAGAACGTTGGTCTCATTAACATCGGAGGTGTCGTGGGCGCTTTACTTGGAATGCTCTATTGTAACCTACTTGGCGACAAGTTCGTGCTCTTTGCTGCGCGCCGCAACAAGGGTATCCACAAGCCAGAGCACCAGCTCTTGACTCTCATTCCACCGGCCATTATCGGGGTCGCCATGCTGCTTCTATACGGCTTCACCGCTGGCGGTGGTGTGACATGGTGGGCGCCGTATCTTGGCTGGACATTCTTCCAATATACATTCACAGCTGTGGTTATTGTGTCGACGACTTTCGCATCTGAAGCAACGGTGCAAAACCCGGGCCCTGCGCTGGTGGTCGTTGTTGGCACAAAGAACATCGTGTCGTTTGGTGTTGCGTATGGCCTAACGCCGATGATCCATGACCATGGTTACAAATGGGCTTTCGGGGTCCTAGCTGGCATTTTCGCTGGTATTTTCCTGTTGGGAATTCCAGTGTACTACCTCAATCCCAAGTGGCGTGCTAGGCAACACATAAAGAAGGCCTGAAATGGTGTGGCGGCACTTGTGATGAATGTGTCTAAAATGTGACTCAAAGGGGATAATGATCTTTCTTAAGTATATAACGGTCGGCTTTTGGTTTTCTATAAGCCATCAATCAATCAATTAATTGCTTCATCAGCGGCTCATTGAGTTGCCTCGACAGTCTTTTAGACAATGGATCCAGCGCTGTCTTATCCAGTATCGTTTTGGTGGTGTATGAAGTAACCATACCTTTCTGTCTATCACCTTAGTGATGGGCAGCTAGTCAGAATTGAGGTAAAGGTCCTCGTTCACCTAGGTCCCATTCGAATTTAAACCCAGAGCACCGTGACAGCCTCGTAGTAGATATTGCAAGATACAAAATACACCTAGAGAGGAATATCTTATCATGGTACGGTAAGCCTATGATCAGATCACCTTGCTTTATGTACTTTGCTGCTAATGCGGTTCAACAATCTTGAGGTGATACAACCCAGTAAACAATGGATCGAAAGACAAGTTTAATCGAGTAGATGGTATAGCTGCAATCAGGAGGAATAAGCAAAATGTACAGTAAGAAAAACACATGACAACCGAGATTTACTAATAGTTATCTACTTAATTAATACTTTATTGATATAGAATGTAGTACTTTTATTATGTTATTGCATAAAGCTAACAATCCCCATAGCAGCTCCGGCTGCAAAACTTCCTAGGATAACCATTTCAACGCCGGCTCGAATGTATTGTTTAAAGTTTTTTTTATGAATACTGGCACATATTTCCTGCGATCCGAAACCTTCTTGATGTGGCAAAGGTTCGTCTGATAACAGGTGCATCTTCACAGCGCCGAATGCAAACAAAGCCATGACCATTACTATACAACTCCACCAGAATGCTGTGTATACTGTGGAATCCTTTCCAGCTAAGACATATGGCAATAAGGGAATAGCTCCACCCGCGAAATATCCCAATCCAATAGTCATGGCCGAGCGAATAGCCCGGTCGGACTCTTGGGTTGACTTTTTGTGATGGAAGTTCATGATGAATTCAACTTGTAGATTGGCAGGTAGCGAGATGATATGATCGGCCAAGGAATCGATTAGATGTGATGGAAGCGCATAAGGCAAGAACATGTCATGGACAAGCAACGCCGTGTCAGAAGGGCTATCATGCACAGTCATGGATGTGCTGCGGATAAGCGAATGGTGCGCATCGCTGTGGAGGATAATTAGCTTGGCGTTTGATAGGAAAGCAGCTCCCCAGGCGCTATAGGATTGAACTGTGACGAACCTTTCGTGTTTTCCTCCAAGGTAACCCCCAAGACTCATGCTGATTGCTCCCGCAAACAGCTCAGCTAAGCCGCCATACACGACGACTTGCGGGTTTCCGAGCGCACTCAGCCCAGCAGTGAGAGCGAAGGGCACAGTCAGTCCATCAGCAAGTCCCACTGTGGCATCTGAGACGGTTCTCGAGTCAAACATGTTCGGTCGCGTAGCCTCTCGTCTTGTCGAAGGTGAGTACAAAGTGGTGATATCCTCCATCGGTCTTTGGTATGTACTTGAGCTTCTTCCAGGTAGAGGATAAGCTGATTTCTGGATATCTTGGAAGCAGGGTTTCGACGATGTCTTTCCTTGCTTGACGCTTCCAATTGGCAAAGGTAGTCGTTCGTCTGAATTAAAAAACAATCTCTTTAGAAGTCTTACTACCATCTTACCGTATTAAATTAATAGCGGCAGGAATAGTGATATTGCCAATACGCATCAGCTTTTTCATGGAGCAGAGAAGATTTGGTTTTTAGTTGCAATGAATATGCAAACTAATAACTTAACGAGATAATGCTAGAAGTAAGAACTCGATACAATTCTATAGCTCTTATAGGATGGATCAGCGTGGCCGCGTGTGCGCAAGGTTGGAGGAGGATCTTGGACCGAAGATGTTGCTCGATGGATGAGCGTCTAATCAGCCGTAGGCAGCTAATAATCGACCAACCACATAGCTGGAATTGACCACATGCGTTTAAATATGGCGACCTTAGTGTTACCACGCAACGGTGCAAAGGCACAATCGATTTTAAAGCTTCCTACGGATACGACAACCACTCATATGGCTTGTATTCGTCATATGAAATTGATAGTTTTGAAGCCGGCTTTTTCATAGGGATCACGGCCCACATTAGTGCAAAAGGCTTGGACGAGCTTATTCCCACCTACACCCAAGACGACAAGCAAGGCGTCGAAAGCTTGTGAAAAGCTTAAACATGTGTCTTTAGTATTGGCTATTACCTCAACTTCCTGATTCGAAGCTCTCCGGCGACTTACGTATTGCCGTGATTGACCTAGGCGATAGTACAGAGGGTTAGCACGACGGGCTGGCGACCTGCTAACTTCATGTATGTTCTATACCCAAAGTGTCTATGCAAGAGTGTACTGTAGCTAGTAAACAATCTTAACTGCTCGCGACAAACCTTGCAAAGTCACTGTTGTGGATATAAAATACTAGCAGTGGGCCAGCCTGATGCACCAACCCTCTGTACATACCATACTCGGCATTAGAAGTGTGACGAGAAAAGCGCTCGAAATGGATTTATAAGTTCAGGCATTCCGCCTACCTTCTCTTGACAATCACCTTCGCTTTTCATCCATCGTTCATTTGAAATGTATTCTTTGATCGCTCTAAGTCTCCTTGGCAATACACTCGTTAGCGGTGTTGTCAATGCTGCCAATGCTACCAGCGATCCCGCGATGAATAATCAGATCCGTCTTGCGTATGCTGGCAGCACCGGAATGTTCATTAGCTGGAACACCTTCAAGCAGATCTCCAACCCCACCGTTCATTACGGCCTTTCTGCCAACTCATTGAATATGTCATCTTCTTCGAATGTGTCCATCACATACCCAACTTCGTTGACATACAATAACCATGTCAAATTGTCCGGCTTAAAGCCCGATACACTCTACTACTACTCGCCAGAACAACTCATCAATACGACCTATACCGCTCCTCTCACGTTCAAGACGAGCAGGATTGCAGGAACGTCAAAAGAATTCTCAGTCGCTGTCGTTATCGACATGGGTACCATGGGTAGCAAAGGCCTTACCACTTCTGCTGGAAAGGGAATCTCTCCAAACAACATCTTGCAACAAGGCGAAACCAACACCATCGAATCACTTGCGCAGCACGCAGATGCCTTTGATTTCATGTGGCACCCTGGCGACATTGCATATGCTGATTACTGGCTCAAGGAGGAAATCCAGGGATTTCTGCCCAACACTACGATCGAGGAAGGCATCAAGGTTTACGAATCTATCCTCAACGACTACTACAATGAACTTGCCAGCGTCTCAGCATTCAAGCCATACATGGTTGGACCAGGCAACCATGAGTCTAACTGCGACAATGGCGGAACGACTGACAAACGCTACAACTACACTTATACTTCTGACATCTGTATGCCGGGCCAAACTAATTTTACTGGCTACAAGAATCACTTCCGTATGCCCAGTACTGAAAGCGGCGGTACAGGTAATTTCTGGTACTCTTTCGATAACGGCATGACTCACTTCATCCAATTGGACACTGAAACTGACCTTGGACATGGCTTTATTGGTCCGGATGAAGTCGGCGGTTCTGAGGGTCAAGGCTCTGGGCCATTCAACATCACCATGGACGCCCAAACAACCTGGTTAGAGGCTGATCTAAAGGCTATCAATAGGTCCATCACCCCTTGGATCGTTGTTGCCGGTCATCGCCCATGGTATTTGAGTCATACGAACAACTCAGGAACGATTTGCTGGACCTGCAAAGATGTCTTCGAACCACTCCTGATAAAATACAATGTCGATCTAGTTATCTCCGGCCACGCCCACGTATACGAACGTCAGGCGCCTCTTGCCAACGGTGTTGTCGACAAGGCAGAATTGAACAATCCCATATCTCCTTGGTACATTACCAATGGCATGGGCGGACATTACGATGGTCTTGATGCTTTGCAGGATCCCCGCCAGAATTATTCTCGCTACGGATTAGATACCTCGAACGCGACCTACGCCTGGAGCAAATTGACTTTCCACAACTGCACCCACATGAGCCACGATCTGATTGCTAGCAAGAATGGAAGTGTTGTGGACCATTCTACTCTGTTCAAGAATCGGACCTGCGCCAGCAAGACTGAATCAAACCCCCCTCAGACCTCCACGAACGCTGCAAAAATTCAGACAATCAGCGTAACTACTATTCTAAGCTCGGCTTTGATCGTTTCGATGGCTCTTTTGTAGCAGTAAGGTCCTTCTTATTGCTGTGGCTGTGATTATGCGCCGCAGCGAGTACTGACTGGCTTTAGTGGTTCGTTTCTATACGAAGAAAGCGATCAGTGAATAGCAATAATCCAATACGAGTCCAGTCTCTAATCTTTAGACACTGTTAAAGCGAACGTGCATTGCAATTAGTGTTTGTTCGAAATACCTATAGTTAAGAATGAAAATTCTTGAAGCTGCTGCATGTCTAGGTACTGATGTGTGGCCCAGTTCTCAAAGTCAGACTTGTATTTCGAATGCCCACGCTGTTTTAAGATCTTCTCCGTATTGATGAACAGGGAACGTCACCTCATTGTTGTCGTAAGAATACGTAATAACCCCTCTATCAGAGGGCCGCAACAATAGCGTTTCCGGAATCACATACGTGAATCCCCAAGTCTGGATTCCAATCTGCCCAGAAGCAGGCAATCCAACCGCGTCCAAATTCTTCACGGTCAAGCCCCACGTGCCTTCCCTGACTCTGACTCCGGCAAGTACTCGGACTTTGTCGCCGACGGTGGCATACACGTCAAGTTTGCGGTCGTTAGATCCCGACGTAGCAACACGGTGGCCCGTCATATTCGTCTTGTAGTATTTAAGAGCCTGCCAATCACCATTGGGATGATACGGAAGCTGGGGATCATCACGCCAGATAAGACTAGCCAGGAAGTCCCGCAGGTGGCTTCCGTTGGGCCCGCCACGCCAGTTCGCGCGCAGGCCAGGTGTATCGTATCTCTCGAGTCTTGACAAATGCCATACCGTAGCAGCCGGATTGAGCTCGTCTCCTAGATTCAAGTATTCGTTGATGTTGATCTTCCGTGCGGGTGCCCCTGCGGCATTGCGCATTCGATCAAAGGTAGCAAGGCTGTTCTGCAAGTCGTTTGCTGGATTTTCAAGGGATTCAATATGGTGCCATGAGTAGTGGTCCGGTGCAGTTCCGTTGGCTGCAACATATCTCAGGAAGTTGGTCCACCACGTGTTTTCTTCACTTGGAGGTAGGGACAGGGAAGGACCAATGATAGGAATGTTATTCAATTGCGGATCATTCCTGTGAGATTTGTGAGTGACTAAACAAGCTGATTATATAGATTGCTCACCTAAAGCGATGGTATGTCCGACCGAACAGGTCAAGCCATTGGGACTGAGGCCTTTTCCAGAATCCCCATTCGGGCTCATTCCATATGTCGATGTGTAAACCGGCAGTCATCTCATTCTGAATGATGTTTTCGACGATTCGATCAAGAAATTTGTCGTAGTCCGACCAATCGCCATCATCACCTGGCCAGTCCATTGACTCATCTGCGTGATCTGTTCCCCACAGATTGTGCAGTAGAAGCTGGAATTTACCGTCGTATTTACGAACGGTGAGGTAATTGCTCAAAGCTGACGCCCACCGTCCATCAAGTTCACCCCACACCCAGCCACGATTTGGCGCATCCATCTGTGCACCACCAGCTCGAAACCAGTGTAATCCAATATCAGTGTAGAAGGAGTCTGGAATCTGATTTGCCGCATCCAGAATACCGTAGATGATGCCACTCGCATGGTACTGAGGAGGACCTCGTGCTACAGCAAGGTCGACCACCGCTACATTGTCAGGTGTCCAACGCGGTGACAGCCGTGCGACGGCGATCATAGGCATGAGAAAGAAAGCCATGATGCAAAGAGCCATTTCAAATCATTCACTCGTAAGCTTCCCGAGAGCGATGAAATGAAGCAAGGACCACTGAGCACTCTTTATACGTCATTTCTAGCAGGTCCCTGCAGTCTGCGTTCTGTGGGTGCAGAATGTAGAGCTTGGCCCAGGTATACCCACCCGGTGGGGATGTCTGAGCGCAGATTTACCCCGGTGGGCTCTATCCGCCGGGCTCTACATTCTACACCCACCGGACGCAGGCTACATGATGCTCAGTCCGCTCCCCCGCTCTTAGAATTGTGTCCCTATTGAATACGCTATGGGCGCATGGCTACTGGCTGTTGGCTGTTGGCTGCTCGTTCCAGACATGCTTCTTCATCGCGAATGCTTTCTCGGCAGCCTGAGTAGCGAACTAGCTAGAAGCCTCATTTCTTGACCTGGCCACAATAGCAGGTATCCAGTAGACTGTCACCGAGTGTTAAATGTCGTGAGCTTCACACCGGATACCAGAGATCTCTGGACAACTTATGAACGCCCTTTCAACTATCCAGATGCGAAGCTCCAATCGTGGCAGCCGACACGGAAGATCTGCTGCCGGTCGCTCAATGGTTTTTTTCTCGGTCGATCCTTGGACTGCTACGGGTGTGCATGGCTTTGTACTCTTCACACTCATGGACGATGTATAAATGTTTGTAATTTTTGGTATTGAGTCACGGCATCCAACCCTTGCGTATGATGCTACCATTTGCAGGAATATCCCTGATCAAGGGCTTCAGTAGAACGCATATTCCTCGAGAGTATAATTCAATATCAGGCTGCAGGAAACACTTGTTCGAGATCTTTGATACAGGGATACGCATGGTTTGCTCATGCGGAACTGACCAAATGCTGGAGAATGATACCAACACATGGTTGTCGTCAGAATTTTCCGACTTTCACGCCAGTAAGGTCCATGCCACAATTGAATTTGACGTTGAGAGGTTCCTCCCGTACTGTTTATTCGTACAATACGCAATTGTTCAATGAGTTGTAGCATTCGCAGTATGGATAATCGAAGCGTGCCCCTCCTAAGCACTTACAGTCCTTCTGCTATCTATTAAGCCTGATTCTTTAGTTTATAACATCTTAGAGTTTATTATCCCTTATGTCACGTTACTGGGTACCTGCCTAGCTGGTCCAGACTCTTCATCTAGAGTAGAATTACTCGTGGCTCGGGTTAACCCCCTGATGATTGGTTGATTGAACAGTTGAGGCCTGCCCCTCCTGTTTGAATCGTAACACAAGCCTTGTGTTACAACTTACAAGCATTTTTTAAGCTTTGGCCTGGCACCCATCAATACTTCTTCTAGCTTAGTTTATCCCTGACCTTAAACATCATGCAGTAGAAATGGCCAGGACTACCTTCTGGCTTAGGTTCTGTTTGAATCGTTGACTTAGATTCTACTGTCGGTGTAACCGCCTGGGAAGGGCTGGCACACTTGCAACCATTCAAAGCAAGCGAAACAAGACCGAAGAAGGTAGCAGTCGATGGAACTGAAACAGCAACCTATCCAACTGCTTCAGTCTACGCCACTAGGGCAAGCGAAAGGAGCAAGGATACAGATATGGCTGAGATTCGGATTAAAGACGAAGCAGCAAATCCAAGACGTCTTTATTTCTGCGCCCAAAGCCGCGTGGTAGAATGGTCTCGCTGGTACATATTGACACATAGACACAGTCACGATGCCAAGTACGAGCACAAAAAGAGGCCATGGAATAATCATCTGGAAGTGCGCGAACAGTTTCGCATGTAAAGCCTGGGTTTCGTCTGAGTTCGCAACCTCGGGAACGACGATGGCGAACGTTGTGGCGCCGAAGAGAAGAGGGCACGAGGGGTGCGGGTAAGTGTAGTGGCACTGCTAAACTGAGCTCCAGTCAAAAGCTGCAAGGGCGTAAGCCAATTAGATGCTCTGCCTACGTCCGGAGTCTCTGTGCGTAAGCCAGTCAGGTTGCCTTCTTTCCAGACTTCATTACGCACCGACGATGTAGACTACCCAGGCGTGCGAGGTATTACTTACAACCTGAACCGTTGCGTGTTACAGCATCACCTAGCTCGTATACCGCTTGCGGTGACGTTTGGAGCCTTGCCGATTTTGTATGTTTACGAGATCACTATTTCCTTTTTCGTGTTAGTAACCGCCATTTTGGGTAGCCGACATATGGTCCTTGACTCCTTGTCGCAAACATAAAACCACAACGTTGGATACCTCACTGAACCTCACCCATCTCAGTAATTAAGATTACGGAGCAATTGCCTCACGATCGCTTGTACGGCACCGACAGATAGTATTAATATGAATATGATTTCACGCTCTTCGAACTCAGTGTCCATTCAAGCTTCCCATTCCATTCCTTGAGCTCTCTTTCGTTCCGGCTAGTTCGGCTTCCATTCTTTTGTTCTTCTATACTCTCATTCTTTTATTCTTTTATTCTTATCAATATGCTTTCTAACATTATTCTCATCGCGACCCTCGCATCAGCAGGCCTCATCGAGGGAGCCGCATTGGATGTCTCCAATCATTTCAATCTAGTAGCTAGGCAGCGTGGAGGTCAACGAGGCGGCAAGCAAGGCGGCCAACAAGGCGGCCAACAAGGAGGTCAAACATGCTTGAACAACAACTTGATCCAGACTGCCAGCACCCTTACTGGTCAGGAACCCGGAACTGAGGGTATCAAACCCGGCCAAGCACCTTCTGCTGTGTAAGTCTCTGTAAAAACTTGATAGCTGTCGCACGTGCTGACTTGCCAACTAGCGATAAAGCGAACTTCATCAACTTCTGCGAAGGTCAAGAACTTACCAACGGCATGCAGATTCGGACGGGGTCCTGCAATGGTATCCCCATGGGCAGGATCCCCGCCCAGACCAACATGATCACGGCCGTGATCACTAACCCTAAAGTCGGCGTCCAAATCCCCTCTGACACTACGTTCAACATCGAGGTGCAGACAAAGCACCTCAGCGCCGGTTTCTTCACCAACCCGACAACCAACTACTACACTGCGCCACAAGACCTGGACGAGAATGGCGACATCATCGGCCATTGCCACGTCACAGTTCAAGACATTGGTAACATGCAAGCGACTGAGCCTCCGGACCCGACCACATTCGCCTTCTTCAAGGGCATCGACGATGCTGGAAACGGGCAGGGTCTACTCAAGGCTGTCGTCACAGATGGACTTCCTGTCGGTATCTACCGCGTTTGCACCATGATTGCGGCACGGAATCACCAGCCGGTCAATATGCCTGTTGCCCAGCGCGGTGCCCAAGACGACTGCACCAAGTTCGAGGTGGTCAAGTCCGGCAACCCGGGGAAGAAGCCTTCGTCGAATGACAAAAATGGCAATGGGAAAAAGAACCAGGACAAGGAAGGTATCCTCAAAGACAAGGGAGCCAAGGGCAACGGAGCCAAAGGCAATACAAATGGCAACGGCAATGCGAATGGCAACGTCAAAGGCAATGCAAATAGCAACGGCAACGGCAACGCAAATGGTAACGCCAATGGCAATAGCAACGGTAACGCCAATGGCAATAGCAACGGTAACGCCAATGGCAATAGCAACGGTAACACAAATGGCAACGGCAATGTAAATGGTAACGGCAATACAAATGGCAACGGTACCGCAAATGCTATTGGCAACGGCAACGGCAACGGCAACGGCAACGGCAACGGCAATGGAAATGGAAATGGCAATGGCAATGGCAAGGGTAATGGTAACGGCAACGGCAATGGCAACGGCAATATAATTGGCAACGGCAATGTCAACGGCAACGGTACCGCCATTGGCAATGGGAACGCAAATGGCAATGGGAACGCAAATGGCAATGGGAACGCAAATGGCAATGGGAACGCAAATGGCAATGGGAACGCAAATGGCAACGGAAAGGTCGGTGGTGAAGGCAAGGTTGGCGGCGAAGGCAAGGTCGGCGGTGAAGGTAAAGCGGGAGGTGAAGGCAAGGTCGGTGGTGAAGGTAAAGCGGGTGGTGAAGGCAAAGCGGGTGGTGAAGGTAAAATCGGTGGTGAAGGAAAAGTTGGTGGTGAAGGAAAAGTAGGTGGCGAAGGCAGACGGGGAGCAAGGTTTAGGCGCGCGTCAAAACTACAAAGGTCGTGGTAGATGGACTTGCGTGGACGATGCGGGAGGGCAAAGGATTAGGTGCACTGAGTGAATGGCTGGTGCAATTGGCGGGTATGCAGGTTCTGCATGTACATGAATGACGTTGGAAATGTATATATCTTCTTGGTATGGTCGTGTAGACTTGTAATACAAGTGTGTCTCGTGTGATTCTTACACAGAGACACGAAATGTGCCCTCTGGGTTGTTTCGCAAAACCCGTGATGAACTGACCCCCCTGGGTACGAGAAGATCTGAATTATTTAGTTGATGTTCCTTATCGGACTACACTCAAACAAAGTACCTGCTATCTGCAATAACGAAACATATTAATGGGCACCTAAATCTCACTTGACCCCCAAATTTCCCTCATCCTTCTTCCCCTGCAGGTGCATGATACCGAGGCCTTTCTCCTTGGTGCCGAAAGCCGCTCCGTATTCCTGAGAATACGAAAGGGGTGTTGTAAGCCATAACGTTACAGGACCCTGTACCTATTAATTCAACTAGGTATGTCTACAAAGATAAAACTGCTAGACTAGAATACGTAAATTTGATAGAGTGATCAGAAGCAGCTGGAAGTAAATTAAATTCAGGGGTGCTTAAACTGTTCTTTTACCGACTACGGAGTACAGGTACATTATCTAGATAGATGCACATCATACACTTGAACGCACCACTCCAGTCTGAAGAATCATAGCATTGGCAGTGCGGATGATTTAAGTTATCGTCTAGCAAGGCCTTGAATATTCTATAGGACTTGTTCTACGAGGACGTGGACTTAGAAAAGGTTTGCTGGCGTGGGGAAGGTAGAACACTCATCAGGATACAATCGCACACATAAAAGCAGTCGGTATTCTGATATGCGTACTCGTACAAGTAGTATCGCATTGAACGAGGGCTAGGCGGGATGGCAAATCATTACCTGGATATATCCATGCTTTGTTGCGCATGGTCTAGGTTATTTACTGAACCAGACAAGCCGAAAAGAATCCCCCCCAACACGCAGCGTTGTATCTCATAGGATACGAAGAATATGAGTTGCCTGATTATGCCTAAAGTAACGTACCACGACAAGATAGGAAAGTTTGCTGATCAGAGACGGGCCGAAAAGCAAGCGCGGCCACGCGACCCATATATCTTTCCAAACGACGTCAGCAACACATTTCGCACATTTTGTTCCCTTCGAAACCGTCCCCAGGCATAGACTTGTAACTACTCGTAACCATCGCATTCCATGCTCCTACCAAATCTCGTAACCCTCCGCTACCCAACTACCGCCGAGCTAGGCCCCGAAGACATCCTCAGCAACACATTAAGTTCTCTGTACCCGGACGACCTCGTGATCCAGCATGGCGATGACCAGGACACACTCGTAGTGTATCACAACAGGGCTCACGGACATCTCGAGTTCCACACGGCCGATGTGAATGGCGAGGAGCAAAGGAGGAAATTTGCGCATTACGTTTGGAATGCGAGTGTGCTGATGGGGGAGCTTATTGGTGGGAAGAAGGGGGAGCAGAGGTTAGTGGAGGATGATCTTGAGGGACTGGAAGGGAATTTTCGGACGGGCGAAGACTGGTGGTGGGTTGGGGACGAGGAGGAGAAGAATTGGAGAATTGATGGAGAGACGGTGCTGGAGCTTGGTGCAGGTTTGTGCATTCACTGTCCTTCGTTTGAACTCACATGAAACCATAAATGCTATGTGCCGTGAAGTACTTTGGGAGGATGCATGGGCTGATGGATGATGATTCTCTCTGTAGGAGCTGGATTGGCGGGGATAGTAAGCTTGCTCTCGGGCGCGAAAGAGGTAATGCAGGATGGTACAGCATGAAAATCGGATTGCTACTAATCAATGGCTCGACAGGTCACATTCACAGACTATCCCGCGCCGCCCATCATTGAGACAATCAGGAAAAACGTCGCGAAGAACGTACCAGATCATCTCAAAGCTAACATCTCGGTCGAAGGACACCAATGGGGCGAGTTGGACGGACCCTTCGCAATGGCCAATGCCCACAAGTACACCCGAATACTCGCTGCGGATTGCCTGTGGATGCCCTGGGAGCATGAGACTCTGGCTCGCTCGATGCTACATTTCCTATCGGATTCGCCGGATGCCAGGATATTTTGCATTGCAGGCTTTCATACCGGCCGCGCGAAGATGGCGCCGTTCTACGAAGAAGTCGTCCCCTCTGCTGGCTTGGAGGTGGAGGAAATCTATGAGATGGATGCCAGGGGAAGGAGGCGGTCGTGGAAGAGGGAGCGTGATGGTGGGAATGAGAACGTCGGAGAGCGGAAGAAATGGCTCTCTGTTGCAAGACTGCGGCGTGCTGTCAGGCAATAGGGTATCTCATGTCGTTCCAAGCATCGTCAATGTTGTTTTTAGCCACTCATCGCAACACAACGAAACACATTTCAACATCTTCAATCCTTTCTCTTGAAGCATAACGTGACCACACTCGACCCCGTCTTCCCACCAAATGTAAAACTCGGATACTTGACCGAATCCTCAAACACAAACGAACTCCCCTCGCCTTCAAACCAACCCAAAAGTTCCTCCTTCGTCCAGTTACAACTCGTGATCAAGAACCTCCCTCCCTTCTTGACCAACCCCTCCACCCTCTCGCTATACCCCTCGCAAATCCTCCTGCCAGACCCATCCGTCTCCTGTGACAAGCATATGGCATCGAAAGTGCCCTTGTCAAGCACGACATCGAACCCACCCTCATCGCCCAACCACGTCCCAGGTTCCTGGGACAAAATATCCCATTCATAGAATCCAATATCCTTATACTCCCCCTCCACATCATCATCCCCATCTTTCGAATCCCTGATCTCCCCCGCCAACCTCACCGACTCTTTCGAATAATCCACGCCCACCATCTCCCCCTCCCACTCCTCCTCCCTCAACGCAAACAGCAAATGTCCGTTCCCCGTCCCCAGATCCAAGAACCTCGTCCCGCCGGACGACTTGTCGAGAACGCCCTCGTCGGACAGATCCTCGAGGAATTGTAGCATGCGCTCCTCGGCGCCCGCGTCGGAGAACCATATCGTGCCTTGGTCGTCGGCGTTGCTGGAGAAGTTGGCGCGCTCCGTCGTGTAGGCGGCGTCCCAGTAGGATTTCGTGCCGAGCTCGGAGGGGTCGAGGTGCGTTGGGTGGGCGTCTGTCATGTTTGTTGTTCCTTTGGAGGAGGTATCCAATTTGAGTGATGTCAAGGTACAGCGGCTGTGTGGTGGGCTTGTGATTGTGGTTTACTCGTTCGTGGGTGTACCTAGGTACCTAAGGTAAGGACGAGGAATGGGTGGAAAAAGTTCGCTGTCAATGCGGAATGCGCGCGTGCGAATAGGCGAAGAAGAGACAAAATTGAACACCTCGTGGTAGGAATAAGCTTTGGAGAATGTGTTGTTATGCAGGCTCGTGGCACAGTAGTAGTGGAGAGTGGATCGCGCTTCGTGCCGCAAGGAGAGAACAAAGAAAAAAGTCGTGGGCGTGGGTGAGTGGGGGGCAGATTCCGAGGGTTGAAGGATCTCGGAAACGGTTCCTGACGCTAATGGTGGGATGATGTCTGGACTCGACTCTAGACTAGTACCGTACGGTATTGTGCTACATATGACGTCGATCATAAACAACTTTCATTTTCATATTCACACTTAAAACCTGTCGCATCGCATCAATCTAGACACACAATATCCACTCCTTTTTCCATCTTCAGTAAATTATTAATACCTACAGCCTCCAATACATCAACAACAACAACAATGGCAAACCTCATCTTCGTCCCACTAACACTCACAACCCTCCTCTCCGCCTACACCCTCAACCTCGCCTACACAAACATCACTCTCCTCCAACGGTACGAGCGCCAGAGCGAAAAAGCCGCAGAATGGTCATCCATAGCCGCCGAGCGACTGCGCAAGACAAGAACGACGCAGGCCAGTGGCGCCGTATCTGTACGTTTCCCCCCCCCCCCCTATAGCGAGATCCCAGAACCAGCGCTGACCAGAACAATCAGATCGTCTTATCCCTCATCTCCTCAACATACCTTATCTTGCACCCCATTCTCTCATCCGAGAAGAAACAAAGCGACCATGCGGTCCTCATCACGGCCGTCAACATTGTCGCCTCGTCCGCTGCGAGAGTGCACATGGCTGGGTTCTGGAATGAGAAGGAGCAGACGCGCGTGCCGTTCCTCGAGAAGTTCAACGATGCGGTTAGGGGGAGCGAGAGGGAGAGGGATCTGGTGTGGGGAATTGCGGGGTGCTGGGTTGCGGTTGGGTTGTTTGCGTTCTGGTGAGTGGGTGGGATGAACGGGGAGTAGGAAGAGTGGAAGTGCTTTGCATAAGTGTACGATAGGGGAGTTGTAGATGATACTCGGAGTAAATGGTAAATTTTTCGATTATGATGCATTGGTTATATGTAGTTCTAGTATTGGGGGGGTATTCAAGATATGTGCACGCATGCAATGAAACAATCAAACGGCCTTAATACATCCTTTCCATCTCTGTCGCCACGCGCAGACTCTCGCTTTCTCGGGTCCAGTCCTCGATCCTCTCGGCCACTTCTCCAACCAGTCGTTCGTACGTGTCGCTCATGAAGAACAGCGTCGTGTGGGCCGTGACTTCGTCGACATTCTCCATGAACACGCGCACCCACGTGGGATCTTTGTTGCCGTACGCATCCTTCGGGGGGAGCATGCAAAACTTTCTGAACTTCTTCTTCTTTGGTGGTGCGTTTGGATCTGTTGGTTGGGAGGCATTTGTGTCCGTGGTCGTAAGCGTGTGTGTTGAATCGGCGTATTGACTTGAAGGAGCCATGCTGTCGGTCATAGAGGTGCGGTCGTCTGGTTCGGGCTGAGATAGAATCGCACTGCGAGAAAAATCATAGTTTGCATATGGACCGGTACTCGTGTCTTGGACGTGGCTTTCCGGCTCGAGTCGCATGGCGCTGACACCCTCGGCAAGGTGATCGGACGAAGTGCCACTGTCGGCCTTGCTTTCGAGACCATCTGATACCGAATGCCTCTGTTTCTCCTTCTCCTTCTCCTTCTCCCTCTCTTTCTCGTCCTTCCCTTTCTGCTTCTCCCATCTCTCGGTGAGTTTCGTCCTCTCCTTGATGACCTTGTTGCGTGCTTTGACCTTTGCCTGGTATTCCTTCAGAGCTCGCGAATGCTCCTTTTCGGCGGCCCTCCGTTCTGCTTTGTCCGTGAATTGTGCAATGTCTACGAATGGTGGTTCTTGGGGTATCTCAGGTATTTCTGGCAAATTTGGTGGTTGCGAGTTATTTGGTACTGCCTCCGATGAATTCGACGGTTCAGGTTGTGTGGGCAGCTCGTGTACTTCATTTTCATCCAGCATGGGCTGTGGAGATACGCTTCTGAGGTCATGCTCCTCGTGTTCCTCGTGTTCCTCGTGTTCCTCATGCTTCTCGTACGCTTCAGACCCAGGCAATTCGGCCTCATCTTTGGGCGTAGTTGCGGAGGGTGGTTCCTGTGGCGTCACGGGCACTATGTGATCTCCGCGATGCTCATCCACTGATATATGTGGGCTCGGGATTGTTCCTAGCTCCGTAGTATTGGTACTTAATGCCAGCTGTGAACTTGATGCGAGGTCTGTTGTGCTCATCGACTGTTGCGTTGTCAATCCTCGGCTCGAAGGACGTGAGGGTGATGGAGACTTGGGCGACTTGGGCGACTTGGGCGACTTGGGTGACTTGGGTTTCTTCGGTCGTCCCGTGCTTGCTGTATAGTAATTGACGAAACGAATCCTCGGCGGCCATTGCACTTCTGGATTGGCAGCCCTTCGTCTTGCAACATCGTCGACTTCTAGGGCGCGTATACGAGCATAACGGGCTTTCAGTTCGCTATAGTCAGCCATGGCACCCCCAAATTCGAGATGCGACTTGACCAGTCCCTTGGAGGCTTCGAGCAACCCGTTTGAATGCTTCTTCATGAAATGAAAAGCGTTCTCCCAACCCTTGCGTATAGGTAGGTGGACATCATTGCCGTATGATGGATTATAATGGGGGTCCGACGGCTTGGGATTGAACAAGGTATCCATCCTACTTGGTTTCGATCCTGGCGCTGCTGCACTTCCCTGCTCTTCTGGCGTTGGCCAAGGTTTGAAAATGCTTGTCAGACCTGCTTTCACAATTCCTGGATGCATTCCCAAAAATGGCACATCGAAGTTCACTACGCCGATTATGCGGTGACGAAATAGTAGCGCAATGTCTGCGGCAAGAAGACCTCCCATGGAGTGGCCCAGCAGGATGATGTCCGTTTGTGGGGTAACGTTCGGTGTGATCCTGACCCGACCGTTAGCCCATGCGATGCGCAAGACCATCATCAAGTCCCTCGCCATGTATATCACCGTACCAGTTTGAGAAGTCGTCCCGCGCGACCTCAATGGCATATCGAGATCGATACTTTGGGTAGATCTTCGTATGAACAACATGCGACTCGGCCATGGTAATTGTCACGAGGTTGTGCAGATGCGCTGGGAAACTGCGAAAGCTAGTTTCGTCGCCCATGAAGCCATGTAGATATACAAGCAGCAGTCGTCGCTGGCCTGTATGATCGATCGAAGGGTCGGGTACTAATGATTGGGTCGACGAATTGCGCGGGTCGTTGGTCGCCATGGCATTCATGGAAGGATCGGGGCGATAGCCGTTCTCATCTATCTCTGAATAGCGAGGGGGCAGCGGCGGAGGTGAAGGGCTGTGATATCCATGGTGGTTTGGTGTTGGCGACGTCATTTTCAAGGTGGGCTGTGTGTGGCTATTTGAAATGAGAGACGAAACAAGGTCCACCAAACAGATGCGCAGGCCGAAAGGTCTTAAACGAGAGGCGATGAAAACGCAGCAGATTCTGATGGTATCAATGAGGCATCGTTTACATCGTAATTCACCGTAACGCAGCAGGAACAAGAAGATGCCCAGAGAATGAATATACGCGTATTCAGTGGATTACGCGGTCATGGCTAGATCTTGGAACGAAGGGTTGAGGAAGTGGGGAAACTTGATGGCGGAGGCCAATTCCCCTATTGGGTTTGGGGGGAATGATACCGCCACGTGAGTCCACGTGATGAACGATATACTCCAAAACAAGTTAGATACAAACGGTACGGGGATGATCCAGGTTGATTGCTGGAGGCTGGTCAGTTCCCCTTGGATCTCCTTCGAGAACATCCACGTCCACTTCTCTGGCCTCTCGCAGCTCACCCCTCTCATCCCGTCTGCCCTCCGTGCCTCGTCTCGTACCTTACTCATGTCTTATCTTGCATCCGCTGGGGCAGGTTGCAGGACAACACAATCTAGAACAAGAGAAAAACACCTACGCCAACACATCGCTACAGCAGACGGGTCATACGAGTAGGTACGGAGTACTCCGTACAGTGGAAAGAAAAAAAAAGGAAAATGACGGCGGCGCGTTGCAGGCTGCATCCATTATTGAGTGGCACACCCACCTGGACGGGGGCGATGGGTATGGTTCTGGAAGAGGCAAATTGCGGCCAGCAGTCACCCGTTCAATCAGCGCCCACCACGGGATTCCGGTGGTAGGGTATGCTCTCCCTCACTTCACGCCGTCCAACAATAAGAAAGGGGTCGATGATGGTTATGATGACGGCGATGCTAAAGATGGTCATGAGGGTCATCTTCAGCTTCGAATGTCTAGGGGGTCAATCTGACGAAGGATAGCCAGGGAAATGAAGACTTGCAGTCTGAGAATGACAACAGAGTGGCAGTCACCATCGTTGCAACACTCATAGCAAGTGTCCCGATAATGGCTAGATGGTATCATCTATTATCTACGGTAAGGTGAGAGGAGGAAATTGATGGCTGTGGTGGCTGCTGCAGGGACGGGACGGCAAGATGACCGAGGGAAGCAGAAAAAGTGAAAAGACTCTTGCCAAGCATCCCAACTCACAAGATACGATTCCAGCCGTTTTGGGACTCGGAGTCTGCATATCCATGGAGCTGAGTGTGGTCCAGGGCTACCTCGTATGTCTCCCAGCTCTTGGTGCCCGGATGACAGACAGGTGCAGGTGTTCGTTCAATAATACCTGCATAATGTGTATCTATGTATCTGTATATCTGTTTTGCGCTCGCTCCCCTCTGGACCGAGAAGAAGGGGCCAGGAACGGTATTACAGCAACTGGACTGTGGGTAGAACCACACAAAGTTCATGCTGTTGCCTACTCACCTAAGTACCCATCTCCAGAGAAATTACACAAGATATCCATCTGATTCCATGAATGCTGTCGTCACCCTAATTAAAGAAGACCCGACTACTGGAGGGCTAGCCTTCACACCACACAGTGTCCCGTGATTCCCGTCGCATCACCAGAAATATACTTTCGTAGAAATACACCCACAAAAGACCCACAACCGGCCGCCATGGATGGAATAGGATAGCTCATTGAAGTAACGTGGACGGTCGTCATATCACTAAAGGGACTAGAGAGTACTAGAGAGGACTAGAGAGAGAGGTTAAAAGGGACCAAGTGGACTGGAAGGAAGAAGCCCGATCTATTCAGAGCAACAACACGAAATTACTTCTTACTAGTATTACTCTAGTACAGGAACTCTACCCAGTTAACCTAGACTCCACTGGTATGTTACTAGTTAGTTATACCGGGGCCCTGGGGGGGGCACTGGGGGGTGAATGTTCAATGAGTATGAGGTCGCAAGGGTTGTTGATTGATGGTCCTTCCATCGGGCCAATCACGGATCTCCAATGTTTGTTCGTTCCCGTCTTCTCTCCCCCTTTCGTACTAGACTTGGTCCCTCCTGCAATGAGCTAGTGCCCATACGGTCTAGCCTCAGATTCCCACAATTGGAGATACCCTCACATCCTCTTCTTTTCTCTTCCGCTTCTTCTTCCTATTCCTGTTCCTATCTCATCCTCTCTCTCCCCCGAGTCCCCCCCCTCTCCCCATCTCTCTCCCTCTCTCGGTCTGTGTGTGTGCGTCTGGCGTGTGTCTGTGTTTTTCTGTTCCTCTCGTCTGCGTCCGGGGGTCTGTTCTCGACTTCTATCCACCTGCACTTGCGCTTGTGCCTGCATTGTACCTGTGCGGGTGTCTCATGCTCTCTCTCTGTTTTCCTCTCTCCCCTACCCACACACTCAACCTCACTCACTCACTCTCTCTCTCCCCCAAGAGTGAATCCCTCTCCTCGCCCACACGACCTCCGCTGGACGTCGTGGACAATCGGCTTTCTCGCCTGGAGGAAGTCTAAAGGAAACCCAGCAGTTTCAACCTGTCATCGATCCGCCGTCAATCGCTCACCCGAACGAGATCCGTGGTTCGTCTCGCGAGACCTGCCCCCGTATCGCCGCTACCCAGACGCCCGCCCACACTCCAGTTGCACCACCACCACCGCGCACTGCATCCTGTCTCTAATAAGGAACTTTTTCGCTTTCCATCGCGCGCGCGCATTGCCCAGTCTTCCCCATCGGTCGCGCACAAAATTCAGAATAATTACATCGCGAATGCTGGTCAATTGATCCCTTTGTTAAAGGTGTGTTTATTTCGTGATACTAGTGGCATTATATCTGGTACCCACGACTTCATCCGTTCGTCATATCATTGGAGTGCTGATCCTCGCCCAGGTCATTTCCCTCATTGCCATCCACGGCGTCCGTTCGTTTCTCACGCTCCCTCTACCACCGTACATAGCTTGCCATCCATTGACTGGACAAACATCTTTCGACTCAAATCGACGTCCACTCATTCTTTATCGCCATCACATCGTTCCCGGATCCAACTTACTACACTCCCTCATCCATGCTGAACCCCAGCTCCGTTGACTTTGCCACCCACACTCGGAGAGTATTATTTGCGCACTAGCTGCGTCTGCATCGTCGACAAACCTGATGGAGACTGTCGTCCGACGGTTCACGATATCCAGGATCGATCAACGCTACCGCCATTCGGCCGAAGACGTTTCCCACCAAGGAGAGAGCGCAGAGGTACGACAGAAAGAGGCTGCAGAGAAAGAGGAGGGACTCAGGAAGAAGGACGCGGCCGCATCAGCATCATCGAGTCGCAAGAGGACGGAGAAGCCCATCATGGGGAGGTCACATAGGATGTTCCATCGCCGGCAGGAGCCCCAACCCGCGGTTCTGACGGCCATTGTCCGTGTCGTTGCTACAGTGGACGCCAACAACAATGTCATAGGAGTGGAGACATTGGCTCCCGCCTTTCCTTCTGTCCCCGCGATGCCTACAGATCCCATTCCAAGCGTTCCAGCCGTACCTGCGTTTCCGAGCGACTTGACCGTTCCAGCGTATCCTTTTCCGGTCGCAGAACAGACCGGGGTGCCTATATCAACATCGCTACTCGCCATTACTACTCCAACACCTGAGCCAACATCGCTCCCAGAACCTACAAGCCTTGGCTTTAATTCGACTATATCAAGTGGGTATATGCGAAACATTGACCTTCTATAAATACTCACATGACATAGGCACAATTTCGAGCACAGCATCATCGGTTAGCCTAAGCACCACTTCAACCACTACAACGTCTTCATCGTCACAATCGTCGTCGTCTTCGTCGTCTTCAGCCAGCTCGTCTTCATCCTCTTCCTCGTCGTCCATTTCCTCGTCTTCATCGACTTCGACATCCTCGTTCTCGTCAACTGCTTCCAAGGTGGCATCAACGTCCCTAGCTGGAGGTGCTGGTGGTCCTGTGCCGACTGCTCCGGCTCCCACAGAAACAGCTGCTGCTGGCACTGCGGCATCCGGCGGCAATAGCTCCCCAGCCACTCCTACAGTCGTCGGCAGCGTAGTCGGCAGCATTGCGGGATTTGCGCTCCTTTTAGCCCTGCTACTTTTCCTTATCAGAAGGCATAAGCGCAAGTTGCGTGGTGGTGCCCTCCAGCTAGACGACAATGATCCCAGCGAGAGGCAACTCCCTGCCTCATCAGGACAGCAGATGGCCACTCGTAGCAGCATCGTTCCGGCGGCGTTCATGAACCGATTCTCCAGCACTTCCAAGTCCACGATGGACACTACCGCTACCGGCGAGAAGGGCTTCCAACGAATCTCTGGCCGCAAGCTCCCTTCCGCCTTCAGTGAAGGTATGACCTCTGAGCAATTCGCTCGCGGAGAGGGTACTTTATCCGGATCCTCGTTCTACACGGACGACCAAGGTTTCTACGGTGGAGCCGGGGCTGCCATGAACAAGGAATTCGGAAAAGAGATTGGTGGATCGGGTGCGATGGGCACTTCAGAACGGATCATGCCTTCGCCTGCCCGGACACCTGTGCTGCACCACGCCGGCGATGCTCCCCAATGGGGTACCAGTCGCAATGGTGGTAGTACAACCCTAAGCCCTCCCGCCAGCCCCAACCCCGCCATGATACCACGAGGCACTTTGGGGCGGAGTCATCCCTCGCATGATGGCTCACGAGGCTCTCGCTTCACCGAAGACGTGTAATGACCTTTCCATTATCTTCCATTGTACTTCTTACAGTCGCTCCCGCACATCCCTTTACGAGTCCGCTACGACCGGCGTGCATAGATGGCATTTGTTGATTTCAGTGTCCATTCTTCCTTGACTAGCGACTCCGGCCGTTCTAGTCCCAATTGTATACCTCTCGGGTTGGACAGGGTCTCCTTGTCCTCTGGACTCTTTTTTCCTTGACAAAACCAAGAATGCTTCTCGAAGCAAAGAATTGCGTCTACACGCACCACACTCCTTAATTCCGACATTGCAATACCTGCGATGTCGTGACTAATGTTTTGTGCCTCACCCATCATACCTACCCAGCTTTTCTTTTATCCTGTATCTTTTTGATTCTTCATTCCTTTCTCCAAAAGACACGCTGGATTGGAAAATTCTGCGTGTTTCATACCCCAGGCGGGCTGCTTGCGACGGATTCGTCCTTGCACGCCCGCCGCTGTTTTTATTCTTCTCTTGGTGTATATATTACCAGGCCGGACCAGGAACTCCATCCTTTCGTTGTGAACGTTAGGATGGTGTCGCTGGGTTTGTGCATATGTTATGATGTTATTATGTGAATGCATTTCGTAGCGTGGAGATGTTCCGTACAGGACAGGCTCCGGGGAGGAAGAGGAGGAGACTTCAGGTCCTTGCATTTGTGGGGAAGTCAAGCTGTTTATCATATATGTAGGCAGAGGGGAAGGGGTTGTATAAGAACAAGACCTAGGTACCGATCAATATCAAGTCCCTAGGTTGGAGGCGGGGAAGAGCTCATTCATAGGGCTCTTGTCTCGTTCGTCCATTCATATATCCAAATGGTTCATAAAAGTCCGTATCAGATCCGCCTTTTGACACCCTTTCTTCGTGAACGACATGCTCACAAGCTTTCCATGTAATATTTAAATTGCCGAGTCACTTAGAATATCAAAGCCTTCTTGTTGTCCTTACACGTCTACTTGACAACTAGATCATAGATGGTCTAGAAATGGCATGAACTTTCTACACATATCCAACTTGAATCTAGACGGCATTTGAAATACCTGATGTTTACACACGAAATGACTATACTGTCGCAAAATGATGCTCCTCAAGGAACAGAGAAAGTAGTGAATTTGTTTTTCTAAACAATTGAATCATCCAGATATCATCCGTAAAACACTTCAAGGTAGGATGTTCTGCTGCCGTCAATTCGTCGGTTTCGGGGCATCTTTTCCCCTGTTGATATTTTTAAATGGTAGTGATTCCTGTTCAGAGGTTCTTACGAGTGGTGTTGATTGATATTCGTAACTTTATTCCCCTTGATTGTATTTTGTTGTTGTTGCATGAATCCCAGTCATCGGATAATTAGGTAACCACTAAGATAAACAGTTTAACGTATTTCGAATCTCACCAGAATGCTTGACAAACACTGATAATTACTCTATCTGGGTTCGAGAACACTCCGCGTTTATTATTTAGCTACTCATGCCCCATTCGAGTAGTATCTGAGAAACCGTGGCCTTCATGTTCGATGTCACATCGAAGAATGCGAAGTAGCCTAATCGCTACTTCAAAAATCAAAGTTCTGGCAGGTAGCGGTGCCTCTTTTATATCAAGAGTAATACTTATTGAGTACACTGTTTCTAATCGACATTTTTTCTATTGGCATGGTTGTACAATTGGGAAAGTTTGTGGGCAAAGCGTGAAACTATTTGGACGTGAACTCCGAATGACGACAGATCTAAGAGCGATGATGAGTTGTTGCGATTCTGAGTCGCGAACATTCAACCTGTCTGTCTATAGAGACAATAATACAATCCTAATTGATTATGTTCATAGTGCTTACACATCTTGAATAATTCAAAAGCTATCTAAAGATAATATGTTCCCTCCTTGTTGGTGGTGTTGTGCAAGTTCGCCATGCCGAGTACCGGTAGGTAAGGTCCGTCCCACATTACATCGGCAAACGCGTGTCAAGTCCGAATACGCGTGCGTGTGCCCTGCATATCCATTTGCATTTCCTTAAAGTTTGTCGTTCGGAACTTCGGATGGGAAACGATGGCGGGACAGTAGTGACAGAGCTACGGGCTACAGGTTACGGGCTACGGGCTCGGAGATGGAGCTACTCGTATGTAGTAACTACCTCGAACTTGGACTCGTAGATATCGGGTCGAGGGCAACTTCAAGCGTGATGGGAGGGAACATGGCTCGTGCTGTAAGTACCTGCGACTGCTACTGTAGGTAATTAGTTAGGCAGTTACAAAAGCAGTTAGCATGGAGTGGGCCCTGATTGAATCGAGTTTATGTGGGGCAAACGTCCAAGTCGTGAGCTCATCATCGGATGTGATCAACATCAACCCTTGACCACCTCCTCGCTGGTCCGAGGTTGATCGTCCTTTGCGACAACATCTCGACATTTGGTGGCCTGATTGACGTCTCTGCTCCTCACCCTCTTCTCCAACTGCTCATCGCAGCGCTGTCATCCTGCGTATCTTCCCACTACATCGATTGACTTCAATTCCACCCCCCGTGCAAAACATCACGACCTCAGAGAGACAACGACAACAATGTCTTCTCTCGCGACCTTCAAGAACCCCGCCACATACCACATCCTCAGGTACATCCTCCCACCTCTCACCTCCAACCATTCTCCAATCTAACCACCAACCCCTCCAGCTACGGCACCCTAATCGGCAGCACGCTCTTCCAGTCCTTCATCGCCGGCATCATCGCCTTCCGCTCCCTGCCTCGACCCCAATTCAGCACGCTGCAAAAGAACACCTTCCCCGCGTACTTCGCCCTCCAGACCGCATGTCCACTCCTCCTCGCCCTGACCTACCCTCGCCCCGGCGGCGCATCCTCCCTCCTCAGCTCATCGCCAGAAAATAAACTGCCATTCTACCTCATAGCCACGATGTTGCTCACCGGCGCCGCGAACCTGCTGTACGTGGGCCCCAAGACAACGCAGATCATGAAGCTGCGCAAGCACCAGGAGACGCGGGACGGCAAGAAGAGCTACGACGCGGGTCCGCACAGCGAGGGGATGAAGGAGCTGAATCGCAGGTTTGGAGTGCTGCATGGTGTGAGTAGTTTGGTTAATCTCGTGGGGCTGGGGGCGATGGTGTGGTATGGGGGACTGTTGGGGGAGTGGTTGGGGCTGTGAATTTGCTGGGGGTTGGGGGTGTAGATATGTAGATAGGATATGTGTATATAGGATTGAATGCATGAATCATGGTTAATGAATGATGAAGATGTATTTGTAGATCTTTTGGGACAACGCCAATGGCTTTGAAGGCGGAAAATAAGGCCTGAGGATATCTGAAACTGCGTCAATGAAGTGAATCGATCCTGAATTGTATCAACAATTTATCTTATTGTCAATGAACCTTGTTTTTTTTTCTATCATCTTCATGCGAACCGTTTGGGTCAACTTCTATATTCAAATTCCACCAAACCAGATGACAGATAAATTGTTTTGATATATTTGAGAGTGGTAGTGAGGTTCGTGAAATGGTAATTATGAAAGATTGGACGTTACCCTGTTCAACATATCAAATCATTTCAATCTCTACACAATGATCATACTCATCTAGGAAATTAAGTAAACCAGGTATCCAGGAGGTACGCGGCATATAGCGGGCATCTAGTCAGTATTGTTCTTCAGTAAGTAAATTCAGCTAGGAAACACAGCGGGGAACATTCCTGAATCAAGACACATACAGACGGACGAGTGTACAAAGCGCGACATCGGGGGTTGAAACACGATATTCATGTACATTGTCTGGTATATTGGATGTAGGTCTGCTCGATCCCCGCGATAAGCGGTTCCACTAGGCTTTCTCTCAGGCCCTCCTGGATGTGGTGATCTATGAAGGGGGCGAGCGGTATTCAAGATATGCAACGATATGACCGCCCCAATCGTTTGAACTCTTTATAGACGATTGAGGTACCATTAGTGCTAGAACACATCTGCCGTGTCCGAAAGAGTCCTGTGAAGATGAACTGTGTTCTTGGAAAGCTGAGTAAATCCCTAAAAGTTTCAAGCTTCGTGACTAGCACGCACATGACATCGTTCTTGCTGCAGGGTGGGCAGTCTTGATACAGACCCCTAAAGAACTCCTTGAGGGAACCACTAAGCGTGCTTCCGTAGGTAATAGCCAGGGAATGGCGTTGAGTTATTCACCTGCCAATTTTCTGCAGCATTCAATACTGCTGTCTTAGATGTCTCGTCTGGACTTGCTGATGACCTCGCCGATGTGCTCAAGGAAGATGTTGCACCGCTCTGCATAGCTAGCACAACCAGTAAGTATACAAGTACATAGACACAAAGCTGTCGGTGTGATGCTTACCATCTAGCGCAAACTGATACGCAGGCACTCCATTGTCCATCCTGGCAGCAGTTTCATTCCGAGTACCCACAGAAGCCGCGTCTGCCTCTTGCTCTGGGATCTTCCTTTGACGTTGACGATTCGGCCGCTTTCCTCGCTTCCCTCGCTTCGTCCATTTCTTCTTTCTCTCTGGCAAGGCGGCCTTTGCGCCAGTGTTAGTGTTTACAGGGGCTCTGTTATCGTTTATGTGGACGCCTTTCGATTCTCTCTCACTATTGTGCGAGGCGAGGCTCGAGTTGACAGATCCATTCCCGCCGACGTGTTGTGCTCGTTCACTGCTGTGCGAGACAAATCCCGGGTTTACAGGTTCAGTTCTGCCGCTCTGCGCTCTCTCACTGCCGAGCGAGGAGACGAGATTCGGATTGACGAATTCGATCCTGCTGATTTGAGGTATGCCTTCACTGTCGCGCTCGACTATGTTCGGATTAACGAGTTCGATCCTCGCCACCTGCATGCCCGCAAACATGAAAGCCGCGCCGGGGAAGGAAGAGTTCGCCATAGTCGCTTGATGCTTTACCTTGTGAAGTTGCTAGCTGAAGCGAAGAAGCAGGTGAGAGGGTCGATAGCTGAAGAGCAGAGGAAAGTCCGTGGGCGGGTGGAGGAGAGCAAGCAAATTGGATCAGCGGTGGAAGTCGTTTGTGTTGTGTTGTCGTCGAGTGCACCTTCCTCTTCCCAAGGTCTTGGCACTTTTCTGGTGGACGTTCATGTCGTTAGTATTTTTCTGGTCTGAAGGTGAAGGAGGCATATAGGGCTGGATGTGATCGGACTGAGGGTCAGTGAAGATTTGTCCCGTAGGTCAAGTTTGAAGGATACCGCATGTGAATCTGGGGACGTTCTGCTACAAATGCGAGGAAGCTCAATTGATGCTGTATATAATTTTGAAGAAGCTTAGGAATCAGTCGCTTCAATGTCAAGGAAGTTGAAACAAACTTGCAAGTACTTATAGCGAGTAAGACTTTTTCTGCTTTGTTGAAGATGATTGATTCAAATGTGTCAGTGACGTCCAGGAAGAAATTCTCTCACGCAATTTCTCACAAAGAAATAGTACATTATATTTCGAGGAAGCTCAGAAAATTGTCGCTACACGTTTAAGCCAATTCGAATAACACTGTCGTTGATTTCAAGAAGGTCAAGTGAGTTTTGCCGTACGTTTTAAAGAATCCCAAACACGGCTGCATATACTCCAAGAAGTTCCAGGGAATGTCTCCTACACACCTGCAACCCAGAAAGTACAAAGCATCACTACTACTGTTTCCATACAAGCACAGACATTCAGCTCGTAGAATCCTATACCTATACTGTGTACGTTGGAGGGATCCCGCGTACATGCATTTCGCCGCACATAAATACTCGCGGCTACATTCGAGGTCGCAATGCATGAGACTAGGGCCGCCCTCGACCCTCGACACTCGACACTCGACACTGCACTGGGAATTCGGACTGGGGAGTCGGGACCGGGGGGCGTAGGCGTATGGACCAACCTGTGGTAGCCTCATAGGTGGCCCTCTCTGTCTCTCTGTCTGTCTGTCTCTCTCACTTTCTTTTGGCGCTGGTCCTTTTTCTTCGCTTTGGCGTTTTGGGCGTTTTGAGGCAGCTGGGATTGGACAGGGTTGGTTGTAGGGATGTGGGCAGGGCAGGGCAAGGGGGGGAAGGGAATTATGGGTCAGGGTCAGGGTAGTCAGGGTAGTGCATCTGTCGCCACAGTCAGAGAGAGGAGGACCTGAGTTTGTAGGGCAGGGCAAGGCAGGGCTGTGCGAGTAATCCGTGGTCGTATTTGGATGTTCAGGTATACGTTGACTGTATTATTAGCTCTGTATGGAGTATACTTGGGTAGGTAGTCAGTCGTTCTGTTGTTGTACGAGTAGCATTACTTGAGATGGGTAGATGTAGGGTAGGGTAGGGTACTGGTGATGGGTGTTACTGTGTAGTGCGTGCTGTGTTATCGTTGGTTCCCCCAGTAGGCGAATGGGAGGGGGGAGGGAGGGAAAGAGACGGGAGGCTGCAGTTGTAGTGCAAATTAGTCGCGTGGATGGAAAGACTTTTGGACCAAGCGTGAGATGGTTTGATGATGGATCCAAGAAGAGGGGGATAATTGTTTTGTGTATCGCATCGCGCACCTCGACATGATGGATCATCCAATTCATTGTTTATGTAGACACTCGACACTGTTACTGTGCAGAGTACGGAGTGCGGAGTAGTCTTGGTAGCAATAATGGTTCAGTGCTGATCTTGGGTTGAATACGGGATGGGCTGGAGGGGAGGGGAGGGGAGGGCGAAGGAGAAATAGCGGACACTAAGCCATTGGGCCCTGGATCGTTTCTGGTTCCGCCAACTTCTGTCCATTTCAGTTCAGTTCAGTTCAGTTCGGTTCAGGGTACAAACAATACTCGTACGTATGTATGCACATATGGAGTACTTTGTATGGTTCATGGTTGCTCGTATGGTAGGGGATACTGTGTAAAGGGTTTATTGGGTTGTACTCATTTAGTCGACCGAAGAATTAATTAATCAATCAATCATCACTCCTCCGTACTGACTCCGCGAGAACTGCGCTTTTCTACCAATCTGGGACCTGAGTAACCCCAACGGCTGATGGCTTTGGAACCACCACCACCACTACTAGTTTAGTACACTCTGTACCATCACCACTGGGGGTCCAGAATCTAGATTAGTGGTGGAGGAAACTCTAGACCCAACCATCGAGGTAGGTATCAACAAAAACAAACAAAGAGGAAACAAAAGGAATACCTCAAAGTCCGGAGTACCTGGGTAGGTAGATCATAGATGGAGGACAGGACATCAAGGAAGACGAGAGGGGAGAGGAGGATCCCTGAGATGGAAGGGAGGCCATGCAGACGTGGTAGAGACCGTAGAGACCGTAGAGACCGTACTGTGTAGAGCAGAGTACTCAGTAGGGAGTAGTTAGGGTAGAGGAGAGTTGGGATTAGGACAGGGGAGGGGAAAGAGGGATAGCGTCGGGGTTCATGTCATGGTGGGGGGGGGGGGGGGGGGGGGGGGGGGGGGGGGGGGGATGTTCGGAGTTGGGTTCATGGCCTTGTTCTCTATTGTACCAACCGTACCTATCATCTACTGTAGTTATTGTAGGTATCGGTACTGCACTGCACTGCGCTGTGCTGTGCTGTGCTGCGGTCGTTTCCTCTCGGAGGATTGATTTCATTAACAAGAGAGAAAAAGAGGAGAAGGTGTCTATTTTTGCGATGCGACACCGCCGAGGCAGGGGGGTTCTACGCAGTACACAGTACTTGGAGAAACGGAGGAGGCCGCCCTCGACATCAATCATGAAGGACGGCGTGATCGGCGCAAAGACGTGTATACTGTACATGCGCAAATCTGAAGATCATTTGTTTGCCATCCAAGAACAGAGAGGGGAGAGGAGAGGAGAGGAGAGGAGAGGAGAGGAGAAACACACAAGATTTGATGGCGTCGATTCGTTGATTGATTGGGGAGAGATGGAGGGAGGTGGATGAGGTGGACAGAAGGTGGATGAGGATGATTGTCTGGTTCTGGTCCCTGCGAGGGTTTGGGTGGGAGAGGGTGGCCGCATTTGGATTAGCTTACACTCCCACCCCTGTCCGCTTCCCACCATCACAAAACCACTTCAACTCTTTCTACTCTTCAACTGCTTCGACCATGAATTGCACACAGTACGAAGTACATACAACACAGTGCAGAGTAAAGACACTGATCAGTAGACAAGAGAGTGAAGTCTGCAAGAGTAAGATGGTAGATGTACCGATCGATTCATCATTCTCACTCCACCGCTTCCATCACATCCCATCCTCGAATCCATACCCTGTCCTGTCACCAGATGTCCCGTCGCAACCCAATCCGTACTAGCACATGCTTCTCTTTCCGCTGCATCCCATGGCCATGGCTGCCATGGGATGCCATGGCGGACAACGCATTCAACATACAATCCAGTCACCGTCAACTACAGTGAGAGCATGAGAGCATGAGCACGAGCTTGTCCACCTGCCAGACACACCTCACGATGCGAGCTGCCATACAAGCACGACAGCCGCGCCCAGACCTTCGAAGCCATACATAGAACTGGTACGGAGTAGGTTTTATTGTATTCAGTAGTGCTTTGTGCGAGTGTAGTAGTAGTAGATACTACTCTACCTCGCAAGTTGCAGCAAGTCGTAGTCTCGTACCCTAATACCCGGCCAGTAGATTACCAGACCATCCCGGTGGACCCAAAGCGGGCGCGCGGCGACGGCGGCGGCGGCGACGGCGTTGGACGAGCCTTGAAACGCCATCGAGACGCCCGGATCGCATCGCATCGCATCGCATCGCCTCGCATCACATCAAGCAGTGCAGTGTAGGTAGAGTACATACCTACAGTGCAGCACTGGATGGGATTTAGTATGCGATGCTGATATTAGTATCAATGTGTTCACATTTGATCTAACTGCTTCTCAATTGTCGGTGGAAGAGACTACGGCGTAGATTCAAGTATATTGACATGGGGGAAGTGAGGCGGTCAATGCTAGAGAGATTCAACAGTCGTACTAGTCATGATAACGGTGAACGGAGGACCAAAGGAAGAGAGAAGAAGAAAAAGAAAATGAGTGAGAATGGAAGTGACAGCAGATACAGGCTAGCAAAGGAAACCAACCCGTTCCCGTGGTCCATGAATGATGGGGATGCTCGGATGCTGGGGCTTGTGATGATGGTGATGATGATGCGGATGATGATGATGATGATGATGATGGGTGAGGTGTGGATGGGATGTGGACGAATTGGGTAGCGCAGACCCATGAAGGCCAATGAAGGCCAATGAAGGCCAATGAAGACGAATGAGGACGAATGAGGACGAATGAAGAGGGAGAGGATGATGGGAGGGATGGGGTTTGTATTACTTTCGGGCCACGCACCATCCAGAGGAGGACTCAGTCAGTCACTCAGGGCACCGCCTTTTTGCACTCACGCGCTCTCTCGTTCTCTGCCTACTCTACTCCGTACCCTCTTTCTCTCTGTGTGTTTCTTGCTTTCTGCCTCATTCTGTCCTCTCTCGGCCTTGCTCTATTGTTGCCTGTTGTTTGCGCATTTGCCTTTTTGCGCCCTCCCATCCTTTTTCCAATGATTCATTCCCCTGTTGCTGGCCTCTTCCTCTTTTTTCTTTCTTTCTATTTGGCCCTGAACCTATCAACTAGTAGACTGACTAGTTTATGCATAACTAGGTCCTTCTTCTTCCCTCCAACTACCCCTGTCAACCGAGTCTGTACAATACAAGTATCTAACTGCAAACCGTGTTTGTACTGTACTGTAATTACCTACCTAGTTACGCGGAATAGTTGGCTACCTGCACTTGGTAGGTAATTACTTGATAGTTGATAGGATTGCTTTTTGAATCTTGGCGACCAACCCTCTGCCTCTGCTTCTGCAAGTCCCCACTAATCATTCGTCATTCCTCTCACCATTAAACTACACCGTCAATCACAGATAGTTACCTTTTTTCCCCACCGTAAGTTAGTCAATTTTGTTATTTCATTCCTCGAGGAGAGGGTTCGTAGATTCATGTACATGTGTTTTCCTAGTGTGATTATTCTGGATAATTTGAGGGAGGGGAAAAAAGAAGGGGGCATGGGTGTGTGGGTGGGAAGAAGAGCGGCTGTAATAGAGTTGTTGAACTAAGAAAAGAAAAGTAGTCCGCGCGTAGTCCGGTGTGTCCACCCACTGTCCAGTCCACAGTCCACAGTCCACAGTCCACAGTCGAGTATGAATGGGCTGGGCTGGGCTGGGCTGTGGGAGAGAGAGAGACGAGAGAGACGGTAAGAAGAAAAGAGAAGAGGAGGGAATGCAAATATGAGTAACACCCAGGTATTGTCTTATTGTCTTATTGTCTATACGGAGTACATAATTGCACAGTTCGATTGTGTGAGTAGGATGTACCTATACATGTCGAGTACCTGAATGCAGGGTATAATGTGTATGGCTGCCTATGTAACTATTGTGTCTGTCCTATGTAGTCGCATAATCGGATGTACTCGGTATTGTACTGTGCTGTATTGTATGTATCTATTGTAGTCTGTAAGCTGCTACAGTACTTGTTGCTGTGCTGTACTGTGCTGTGCTGTGCTGTACTGTGTTGGTGTATGAGAGATGGGAGTGAGAGAGTGAGAGAAGTGAGTGGGTGAGCCAGTGGACGAGTTAGGGAGCGCCGCCTCTCCACTCCGAAGCACCAACACATCCACATACACCTCAACCTGCCCTGCCCTGCCTACACCCTAACCCTAACGCCCGCTCACCTCTACCCTCTACACTCTCTACACTCTACCTCTACCTTCTCCCTCTCCTCTCACACTTCACTTCCACACTTCACCACCACAACCATCACCACCACCACCACCACACACACTCCCTCTCCCCCCCTCCTCTCCTCCTCTTTCTCTTCTCTATTTCGCATTCACATTATTCGACATTTTGCACTCGATAATACCCATATACCCATCCTCTCGCTCCTTCCCGTCCTTCTTCCGTCTCTAACTACGTGTGCGGTGTGTGTCGTGTAACTTTCCATCGCTCCTGCCGTACGGGGTTCAACTTTCCCTAAACCCGCCGTTTCCGTCACCAAACTACCGCCGGTACCCAACAACGCCAACGTCGACAACAACATCTCTTCTTCCTCCTCATCCTCCTCCTCCTCCCCACGATATTCAATCCACCGAACCCGCATCTATCCCGCATCCATCGCTCGATCGCCGGCTCCTCACATCGCTGCATGATTGCAATCGCTACCGCTACCCCTACGGTCCTCGAACCGGCTTGACGACTGACGACGACAGCGACGACGATAGAAGACGACGGACGACGGCAAACGACCACCACCCACGACGCCGACAACGACAAGGACGACGACTCACCCTTCCCTCCCTCCCGTCGCGGCCTAGGTCGCTGTCGCTCCTCTCGCGATGAATAACCCAAACTTCCCCATGGCTGCTGGGCAGCGTCCCGGCCCCAACCTGCAACAGCAGCTCATCATGCACTTCCGCAAGCAGGAACAAGTTCGACCCCCAACACAACCCTGGCAGCAATCTACCGGCGCCGAGGAGCGCGCCAGCTTCGCCATCCAGCTGTCCACCGCCTTCAGGCTGGCCAAAGGCGAAGGGGAACACAGCAAGGATGCCGTCCAGACCGCCATCCAGATCGAAGGCACATGTTTCGTGACCGTCCAGAGCAAAGAGCAGTATGTCAACGCTATCAAGAGTAGACTGCAACAACTGCAAGCGATGCGCCAGCAACGCGTCCAAGGCCTGCAGAACAACCTCACCATGAATCCCGCCGCCCAGATGGCCATGATGGGTCAGCCCCAAGCAGGCATGCAAGTCCCTCGACCGAATCAACCGCAGCTGCACCAGCAACAGCAGCAGCTACCCCCAGGCTTCCCGAACCCGCAGCTGCAGCGTCCGATGCAAGCCTCGCCCATACCTATGGCGCATACTCAATCGACCATGAGCAACGGCACCGCCAACGGCATCAATTTCCAGCAACAGGGTCAGCCTGCTCTCCAGGCACCGAGCATGCAACAGCAGCAGTCTCAACAACAGCAACCGCCCCAACAGCCCCAAGCGGCCCCGCAGAACGATGCTGCCGCCCTCACATTGCTCGCGAGGAAAATGATGCAGCAGTCGAACCCGGAGACGCTGGCCAAGTTCCGTCAAGACGTAGAGACCTGGCCTCTTGACAAGAAGCAGCAGCTCATGAGCCGGGGGATCGACCCCTTGTTGTTTAGGTTCCGCCAACACACCGAAGGCTTGTTGAAGACGGGCAAGATTGGTCTGAGTGCACTGCAACAGGCGCGCGCGGCGACGCAACAACAGGCGCAGCAGCAGAACCAAGGGCAAAACCAGCAGATGAACGCGGGACAAGGCCAGCCCAACCAGAATTTCGACTTCAATGCAATCATGAACCAGCAGAACGAGGCCCTTCGCGTGCAGGAGGCTGGCCAGCAAGTCGTACCCGCCAGCAACAGCGCCAATGGGAATCAGATAATGGGATTCTCGGGCCAGAATGGCCAACCTGGACAGCAGATGGCACAGCGCCAGGCACAGGCCTTCCAACAGGCTAATTTGCAACGTCAAGCGCAACAAGCCCGCGCGCAACACCAACTTCAGCAGCAGCAGCAGCAGCAACAGCAACAACAGCAACAACAGCAGCAGCAGCAACAGCAGCAGCAGCAGCAACAACAACAACAACAGCAGCAGCAGCAGCAACAGCAACAACAACAGGCTGCTGCTCGCAACGGTAATCCCATGCTACCGCAAGGCCAGATGGGTGGCATGAATCTCCCACCGAATGCTCAACAGCCAAACACGATAAGCATGCTAAACCGCCCAGTCGGTCAGCCAACTCCCGCAACCCCTCAACAACGCCCGCCTCAGGCACATGTTCCGGTCATGACCCCCCAGCAAGGACAAGCCCACGTAGATCCTCAAGTCGCGACCCAGCTGATTCGCGAAGCACAACAAAGGGCTGTTGCTGCAGGCCAACCTCTGACTGAACAACTTCGACTGTCACTGTTGCCGGCCAACCTGGATCCCGTCATTAAGCAGCGTCTTCTAGCAATGCCGGAGCACAACTTCCGCCAATTCGTTGCAAACAACTCGCAGGCCATGCGCCCGAATGGTGGCATGCCCAATGTCCAGTTCCCACCTGGGCAGATGACTCCTGGACAGGCTACCATGATGATGAATCCGGCCCTACAGCAACTGGGGGGTGCCCAGAACCCGATGATGAATCCCGCAAATGTGGCCAACATGGCTCGCACAGCAGGCATGCCTATGGGCCCCCAACAGCCCAATGGCATCGCCAATCAGCAAATGCTCATGGGCCAGCAACAGGGAGTCATGAGCCAACCGGCACGATTGGCGGCTGCCCGAAGTCTCTTACAGCAAAGTCCAGGAATCATACAACAGACCGACAATACACATTTCCCGCCAACCGTCCTCAATCCCCAGCTTCGCCAGTCGCTGCCTCCTGATGTTACGACTTGGGCACAGCTTAAGCAGTGGGCCGGCCAGAATCAAGCTCTGGTCCCTTCACTTGACACGAATAAGCTCGTGGTTCTCCAAGCGCTTCACTTCCAGGAGCTTATGATGCGACAGCAGGGATTGATGGGGAATGCACCTCGCCCCCCGCAAAATGGCCCTGGCGTTATTCAGAATGCTCCTGGCGCTATGGTGCCGCAGGCCCCAATGTCGGCGAGCCCTGCACCTAACCAGACTCCCCAGCAGCAGCCTAACATGCCCGTCATGCCTCCGATCACGGTCACGCGCGAAGATATCTTGAAGGCACGACAGGGGCTTCCGCCGGCGCAGCAATCAGTGGTAGGGGATCATCAGCTACATCAGTTCATCTTTAATAGCAGGTTACAGCAGAGGAAAAACCAACAGGCAGCTCAGCTGAAGATGATGGAGAATCAGGCACAGCAGCGGCAACAGCAACTGCAAATGCAACAACAGCAACAGCAACAACATCAACAACAGCAGCAGCAGCAGCAGCAGCAGCAACAACAACAGCAGCAACAACAACAGCAGCAGCAGCATCAACAAGTTCCTCAACAACAACAAATGCCAGGACCACAGCGTCAACCTCCTCAGCCGGCCCAGCCTCAGCCAACCCCACAACCAAAGCCGGCTGCCAAACCTCAGCCAGCCAAACCTGCCGATGGGAACACTCTGAACAAGGGGGTCAAGCGACCATCTGAGGACAGCGCCGAGGCAAACAACAAGGCACAGGCGGCGAATATGGCTCCACAAGCCCCCGCTATGGTGCCGACCAAGTCTCAGACAGGTGTGCCGAACCTCACCCAGGAACAGATATCGAAATTGCCTCCAGATGCACAAGCTCGCATGCGCGCCCAGCTCCTCAAAGCGCAAGAATCCTCCAACGCAAAACCGCAACAGAGGTCGCCGCCCGGATGGGCCGAGCTCAGCGCAAAGATACAGCAGCCAGAACAGTTCCAAAAGTTCCGTACTCTGCTGATGGATGAGGAATCAAAATCGCCCCGCGGGCCTCCTGTCCCATACTCGCCGGAGGCCAGAGCACGACTGCAGGAACTGGTGAGCAACAAGCTCATGCACCTTCGCAAGGTCGAACACGCTCTGCGCATTTTCCACGTCGCCTATCCCTCCGATTCGTCTGAAAGCATGGCTCGCGAAATTATGCGGTCTCGACTGCACTTGCTGCGGAACATCAATCCCCAGACAGGGAAGTTGAACGACGAGTTGACAATCAGCGCCGAAGATTTTACAAACAGCATCAAGCAGATTCTCAACTTTGTCGGACGTATCATGTCAAAGTTCCAGAATCAGGGCAACAATAATGCACCCCAAGCACCCCAACAGCAACCGCCGCAAAATCAACAGCAGCAGCAGCAACAGCAACAGCAACAACATCATCAACAACAACAGCACCAGCAGCAGCAACAACAACAACAGCCGCCGCCGCAACAACAGCAGCAGCAGCAGCAGCAGCAGCAGCAACAGGGCGACGGTAGACAACCACAGCTCAACGCTACCAATTTGAGAATTGTGGACCAGCAGCAACGTCAAAACAAAGCCCCACAAGCACCAACTGCTGAACGACCTCCCTTCCAGCTTGGCAATCAGTCTCCGAGTGGCGCGCCCAAGTACTTCGAGGGAGCACCGAAGGTCACCAATCTTCATCTGCCAGACAACAAGAAGCGCAAATTGGACCCCTCGAGCCAGACGCCGACACCGGGAGCGAAGGCATCCCCGCGGACCACCAAGGGCGCTTCACCAGAACTCAAGAGGACTGCCCCGCCCGAGAAACCTGTTGAGCAGAAGCCGACGTTCAAGTGCAGGACTGCGGACTGTGATTACTCCATTCGAGGATTCGATACCCAAGCTGAGCTCGATGCTCATATTAAGGATGCGCACGCTAAGATCGACGATCCCCTTCAGTACGCCATCACATCGTTTGCCGATGCTCTGAATGTTGATGCGAAGACTGGGCAATTGAAGAGCGCCCCTGGTGCAAAAGCTAGCGCGAAGCCGGCTCCTGCGGCGAATAAGACGTCTCAGCATCCTCTCAAGGCCGGACAAACACCAAGTGTCGCACCCAACGTCGCAACGCCCGCGGGAGGTCAAGCTGCAGCCACCCCAATGACCCGTGTCCCAACGCAGCCAGGCATCAAGAGTTCTCCATCTACAAACCTTCTGAAGACTCCCCAGGCAGCTGGTAAGGCTCCGACTCCAAGCAGTGCTCCAACTAAGGCGACGCCTTCGGCCAAACCTTCTAAAGAAGTCGAGCCTGCCGTTACGGCCACCGAGGAAGTGGAGGAGTTGGAAAACCAGCCGTTTGCTCTATCTCTGTTTGACTGCTCCTATGATGAAATCTACGGTGCTCTCGACGCCAATGGGCCATTTACTGTCCTGGATCTCAAGGATGAAGATACTTCGTGGGCTTTGCGCGAGTCTCCAATGGACACACCGGACTCGTCATCCAAGGACACGCCGTCCACAAAGAATTCGGACATCTCGGAAAATGACAATCTCCAGATCAGCGTGGATGTGGGTCTCACTGATATTCCTGACGCTTGGTTCTCGGCTGTCCAAGGAAATCCCTTGCCTCTGGATGCACAACTATCTCAAGATCTTCAGACATTGGGTATGGCGCTTCCGCTCATGGATAACAATGACATGTCTATGTTCTCGGGCGATTCTTTCCTCATGGACCTCGATTCCATCGATTCCAAGGCCGTCGAAGGCATGACCCTGGATCCGTCCCTGTTGGTCTGATCACGAAACGACTTCTACTTTTTTGCACCTATTCGGAAGATTACAACTTTCTGATCTGCTGGCTTTAATCTCTGGTTACCTTCACTATTAATACAGCTTGAAGGTGAATCACTTTATCTTGTTTTTCTTCTTTTCTAATAGTTGGCGTCTTGCGGCATTGACGCAATTGGTTATTGTCGGCCATGAAACCGAACTTGCGGATTTATATATTGCTTTGTTTGTACGGTGTACCACCGTGCAGTACTGGGTTATGGGGATTAAAAAAATACCACGGGTTATCATCTGCCATTGGGTTATGGCAAAAGACATGGGAAGGTTACCATGTCTTTTTGGGCAGGAGTCAACTTGGGCTTCATATTTTGCTGTTGGATCTTTCTTGCTTGTGTTTGCGCTTTGTCGCGCTCTTTCTATGCTGTTTTTGCTTTGCGGATTTTCTCATTGTTCCCAATTACCTATGCACCATGTGGATTTGTTCATGGAAACCCCCGATTCCGTTTGGGTTTCCCTGACCTTTTAAGACCTATACCCCATCTTTTATCTGAACCTTTTACATTCCATTACATATATTCCCCCTTTTGCAACTCAATTTCCATCTTCTCTGCGTGCTCTGACGTCCCTGGTTTGCTTGCCGTTTGATCATCGTGCATACACACATACATGCCCTAGTTGAACCCACTCTGCCATCGCGCAGCCATCTCAATACACAAACTTCAGATGCCAAACCCATTCCCAATTGCTCAAATCCAAGAGGGAAGTCTGCTTAGCCATCCGTAGTGATAGAATGAACGACTAACTAAAACCGTGAGCCTTTGTGAAAATGACGTGCTCCTTCCTCTCCGTCTCAGAAATCACATGAATCCGAGTTGAGAAAGTTGAGTGTGAATGGAATTGTTTTGCTCAAGACAGAGAAGCCACACTGTTAATTCTGGAGTGCTCAGCCTTGAATGATGAGCGCAGTGCGAGCAGGATGGGGATATCATTTAATGTCACTTCACTGGTAGGTAGAAGGGACTATTTGACGCTATCTCACTCTCACTATCACACTCAAACGAATCATTTAATTGAAATAATTGTATTGGTTAAGTTTGCCTAACCTTCTCTATACCCGGTAGGCGATGTATGAATCACGAAATACACGATTGCTCTTTCCGCCCTCTCTTTTTGAATAATATATGTGTGTATGAAGTATGTGCTTTACGCCGTCAAAACAATTTCTCGCGATGAATCCTCCAATTGGTTTATTTGTTCGACTCGATGCTGGATAGCTCAGTCGTATGTCTCTTTTCAGGTGTGTGGATGACTGATTGGCTTAGGCGTCGATGTGATCGTCGGGGTGATCGAGATCCATTTGGTTGCCGATCTGATAATTATTATTGATAAGGGTCTGGAAGTGTGCAATTGCATCAAAGTCTTCCAGATCGATAAGATCTTCAACCTCATCGTCATCTTCGACCTCATCGTCATCTTCGACCTCATCGTCATCTTCATCGTCAGCGTCGTCACCTTCAGGGGCGTTCTGATCTCCTGCCCAACCACCATGTTCCTTTACTAAGTGGTCATAACAAGGCCTTTGTTCTTCAAATAACGCCATGCACTGCCAGCAGATGTGTATGCTGCAACCTGCACATTGCATGTGATTGCACCCATCCCTTTTCTCGATTGGAGTCCGACACCTTGGACAGTCACGAATGTCCAATTGTGTCTTCACGCTTGAAAGTGCCTCTCTACCCCTCGTGACCTTGTCCTGGTATTCCTCGCAGGTATCCCCACCGTGCTCGGCGTTGCATAGTGTGCAGAGACGCTCGAAGCATTTCCTACATGTGTAGGAACCTGTGGATGGCTTGTTGGGATCGGGGCTCCGGTACACGGAGTCACAATCCGGCTGCGGGCAGTAACGGAATTCGCCAGGACGTCTCTTGACATACTCCTTGAAGGAGCTTTGAAGGAGTTGCTCGAAGGCCCGGGAGGTCAAGTGGCCCTTCAACTCCTTCAGCTTGAAAATGGCAGGGCATTTTCCGTCGGCACCATAGCACCCGACTCGGAAGGCACCATTGCTGTTCGACGCCGCTGCCTGGCAGTGTCCCTCGAAACAGTCGAGGCAGTAGCTGTGAGAACATGATACTGTAATCGGGTTGTAGGCTGGTTCAAAACATATGGGGCAATCGCTGAGGTCGAGCCGATCATCTGAATCATCGTCCGGACGATTAAATCTGCCCTCCAAAATATCCAGGGCTCTATGATAGTCCTCCACCGTGCCGCGTATCACTATGCTACGCGATAGTTCATCGACGACAACGGCGTGGTCGCCAAGCTCATTCGCTACCGTCCCAATGCGGGCCCGCGTCCCCCACGTTGACTGCTGCAGGTGGCGATCAAGATCGATCTGGTATTCGTCAAAGTTGCGAGCACTGCAGACGCGACTGATGTGATTGATTGCTTCGTGCATCTTATTGGCTGGTCCGTAGTATTTGAGTTGGCGTTCTGACTTGTCCCTGTTAATGACCACTTCCAGAGTCTCTGCGATCGCAAGGATAATCTGGTAGGTCGTTCCGTTGCCGCTAAGGGCTGGATGCCAAAGAGTCTGACCACCGCTCTTGAGGACGATTCCACTCGTGATATCGTGGAGAGTTCTGCAGGCGTCGGCGAAAACCCTACCTTGGCCACCCTCGAGTTTCAGGGTCACAAACGGTTGCGTGGGATGCATGTACGTACGGAAAGATAAGTGATCATCTTTCCAGACCTGCACCCTCTCGTCAATCGTGGCCTTCAGAGCCTCGTAGACATCGCGGGTGATCTTGACTTTCGCCGATTGGACCAATTCAACAGTGATCCTTCCCTTGTGCAGGACTTCGAGTACGCTGTTGTTTAACGACGACGAGGCTGAATTTGCATCCATCTCATCACGGAAGATCGCGGTCGCTTTGCCGCGTCTTTTGCCGGGTGTGTGCGCCAGAGAGAAGCTTTCCAATGGTCCATGGGCCTCCAACGCCTTTTGTACCGCGTCTTTGACCTCCGAGTCGTCAGCGTCATGCGTACGCAATCTCCCCATTTCTATGTGGCGTGGCTTGTCCATCGGCAGGATGATACACCGCTCGACGTCGGCGTAGGTCGCATGGCCAGGCACATCGCTCAGGATGACTGTGTAGGCGTTAGGATTATAGCTTTTTCGATTCACCTCTTGGAACTCTGTCCACGGTCCTGAGCATTGAATCCGATGCCCGAGGCACTTGTACGCGCCACTTTCGAACTTCTTGCACACACTTAGCCCTGTCTCCGCGCTTCCAAAATTGAGCCACACGGTTTGAACGGCCTTGTGCCAGGATATTCTGAGCTTTCTCGAGATCGCTTGTTCGGGGTCAACGGCTGCTATGCTAGCACGAAGACTCGAGCCTTCTTGTGCGTCGAGTCTGTTGCACAACGCTCTTGCAAACGAGGGATCCTTGACCTTGATGTTGGCTGTCGTGAGATTATCGGGGTCGTCGTCCTTAAGAACGCGCACACATTCGACTGCGATGTTGAAGCCTAGACCCTCGAGGATGTTGACCACCGCGCCGGGAGTCCTCCTTGGTGGAAGGCCAGTGATGGTGGCGCACGAGTAGTCGGTGGGGAAGGCGACATCGCGGATATGACCGAACTCGTCGAACTGCACCGTTGCTCCTGATAAACGGCGAGTGGGATCTGACTCGCCATCCTCCTTCTCCCAGCATTCTCGTCAGTAGAGAACGACTCATTGGATAGTGCTAACTTACGTCGACATCTTCGTTTTCGAACATGGAGTGGTTGCGGACGTGGTTGTACGGACATAAGGTGTACCGGCAGCCCCCAGGACGTGACATGTATCTGCACTGAATAGCAGAGCGAGGGTCGGTGTACACGCTTGGGGAATCGTCATGAAGAAAGGCGCAATGTTCTCCGTTGCGGCAGTATCCGCGCGCGTAGAACCTGCATGGGATTGAACTCGCCGCTACCATGATCGCTAGTGGATGTAACTTGAATGTAAGAATGCAAGCTATGCGGAGTAGAAGAGAAACCCTCTGTCATTGTGATTGCTCTGGTTGCGTGAAGATATGGGGAGCTTGTCAGCTGGAGAGAAAACCGTGAGTAGAGGGATGAGTGGTGTCGAAAAAGAAGGAAGACTCAAAGTGGGCGTTTTGGAATTGATATAGGTCAAGTGAAAGACAGTCTGTGCCTGTGAAGGGTACCAGTGTGGGGGATTTGATCACGTGGCCGCCCACCGTCCAGCCTCCGCCTCCCCAACGTTTTCCCCAGGGGGTTTGGATTGGTCACAAGAGCCGGAAGGTCAATGGGGAGTGGGAACACGTGTTGAAGTGTGGGTTTGATAGATCGTGAATGTGCGGGTCACTGTCCTCCCCCTTGCAAGAGTCAACACTTGATCAATTTGGTTTGATGATGTTGCCCCTGAGAGATTTGGATCTCGAGTCTGCTTGTTTTCGTGCAATCTTTTGATGTACAGGGCAAGATGGAATGTAGCTATATTGCAATTGACTTGACCTCGAGAAATACACTCTATACGTGAACGTGGAAGCAAATAAAGTTGCACCTCTTCCAATACTTGCTGAACCAGGGAAAAAGGTGCAACCAATAGAAAAATTCTAACTGCTGAGAAGATGTCCAATAATATCAACCGAGAACGACCAATGGGATCGTAAGCAAGCGGCCACAGGTATGCCAATAGTCCCCCGCCACCCAGAAATCCCATTCACACACAAGACCAAATTGTGACCCTATGACTCTTCAGCATCTCAACAGTTTCAAATCCGCCCTGTTGGGTATTGGGAGGACCCAACCAGCTAATCGAGTGTAAAAATTGTTGTTGTGGGGGAGGGGGAGAGGCGGGCCGGTGGCCGCCCCAGAAAGTGAATGATCCTGCCCTGACCATGCTGCCTGCCACGAAATGTGATTCGTCGATACAGCCTTCAGCCCTAGGAGGCTCTGCTTCTAACTTCCTCTAGCGTAGGAGGCTTGTGGGGGAGGGTTTTGGCGAAATGCTAGGCAGGAGGATAGTAGCTTTGACCTCCCTGTCACTGACCGATTACTACCTGTACGATAGACATCTAAGCTTGGAAATAAGAAGGGATATACTAATAAGGTATGCGTTTATTCTATTACGATGCTATGCCGCATGACAGGATATATTGATTTGTGTTTAGGTGGCAGAGCTAAGATCAGTGCCAGAACGGCGGGACCCCGGGCGAGAGAGGGTGCATCCAACATCGCGAAGATGGACAAGCCCATCTCCTTTGTTATATTTATCGATTTGACGGTTCAAAGAATACACTCCGGTAACATTGAAGAAAGAGGAAACCTCGTATTGTTATGTCCTGGCCACCGCGGCGAGGAAGTGGCCACCTGGACCCTTCCTTTGGAGGACTTTTATCTCGATTGCTTGAAGCAAGGGCTCGTTTATGCATAGGATACACATGTTTAATATGATAGCCCTCCTGAGAGGGTAGACGGGTGAGTGATACTTCTGACATTCGGGACTGACACTGGTTACCCTAGGACGTTCACCTCGATTCTACCGCATGCATCGCTCGTTTTCGAAAGTACACAATGAATTGGTGGAAGGAGAATTCGCTTGAAGTAATGGGCAAGTGGATCTTGAATCAACATGCTCAAGGTAGATGCGGTCTACCCCAGGTGTTGCTATTAGAGTCTATATGTAGATGGGGGCTACCTGGACGAATTGGGAGGTGGAGGAACACCACAGGCAGGCTCTCAGCGTAAGGGGGAAGTCGGAAATAGTCCTAGGAAGGCCCGTGAGGCTATTTAATTGACTACAGATACTTTAGAGGGCAGAATAATATTATATTAAAAATACTTTTTAAGGCTTTGTCATATTACTATAAAATTTAAATACTAAATGCTATAATATTATTTATTAGATATAACGGTGCTTGGGTGGTGATCATAACAAATAGTGGGTGGCCAGGACTATTTCCGACTTCCCCCTTAGGTTGAGAGACAGGTACCATTTGTGTGCAAAGGAGGGGGATAGATGAATGCTTCCACCCTCTAAACATTCTAACAGCAATATATGGATAGTCAGCAGTGATATGACTCTACATAAATCGATGTATGAATGTCTACAGTGATTGATTTAAAATCAAAGATTCTACAGCCTACAGACTTCTGTTGCGAACACGCTAATTTATTGTGATGAAGTATTTGTGCCCACGAATACCACCAGCACTGCCGCATAGGCTGCGGTAGTAGACAGTACTGCGAGTGGACCGCCCTCAAGTTTCCAAGCACTCGCCATGCCCCACAATAACACTGCTACCGATGTGGTAACGAGGGCAGTGTATCTGGTGTTGTGGAGCACCATCAGCCACATTGGGGCAACGAGGAAGATTCCACCTATCACGGAGAAAGCCAGACGGGTGAAGAACTCCTCTGTCCTTTGTTTCTGCCCTCTCTCAGCGCGTGTTCCTCCGATAGGCTCTGGTCCTGTTTCGACTGGTTTCGCAAATGAAGTCACCCGTCCATCCTCGTCCCAGAGTTTATCCCCTTTGCGTTTCTCTGGGGGTACCATGTCCAGCAAGGTCTTGAAAACCTGCGCATCGATCCATCTTTCAGATATTACAACAAATGGATCGTCCAATTTTCGATTCACACAGTTCCGGATGTAGTCAGAGTCTTTGGAGGCTTTGACTACATGCCAATATGAGCATTCCCGTAAGAGCAGGTTCATGGGGCGGCAATAAACTTACTATACTGTGAGAGCAAATCTTCCCAGCCCTTGGGTTCTGTTTCATGATAACGCATATGTATCACTTGTTGAGCGAGCTTAACTTGTAGCTTTCGCATACGCATACGGTTCAGGCCTGCCAGGTTGATTCTCAAATGCGGTCGTTTGTCTTTCTCTGGTCGTGTATCCCAGTGCGCATGGAACAAATCTGACTTGAACTGATTGACAAGCCAAGCACCTAAGTGAACATCATCGGCTTCCTGAACAGCGTCAGGTCGAACTGTGGCCTCATGTCAGCACGATGGCCAAGTGATATGCCCATCTGAATTGAGAGCCCATACTGTCAGCTAGATCTTCGCGAATAATGGGAGGGTCGGGTTCTGGATAGCCCTCTCCTTCTTTCAGCGAATTGGGCCGAGTGCCCGGTGGAATGGATTCGGTATCGTTCCGATCCTGTCGCGAATTTCTGGGTCCTGTTGCATTGCTATTCAAACTATTTATGGCGCTCGTTGGCCGGGTTCCAGGAGCGGACTCGGGTTGGCCTGTCGATGCAACCCCTGTGCCTACCCGAGAAGGGGGAAAATAACGACCTTCGTCTTCTTGCTCGTCGACTCCGGGAATGAATGTCCCTTGTCTATTTGGGGCCGCTGATGTAATCAGAACTTCATGGTAGATGAAGGCTGAATCTCATGTACGTACCGTAGTCCCTCACATCGACGTTTGCCAGCCCTTTTTCCTCATCATGGGCCATAATTTAAGGCTACAAGAAATTCAATGCGCCCGCTTAGAATCTAAAAAGATCGAATTGTCACGCCCTAGAACACGCGGAGGTAGGGAAATCAATCTTTAGGAGAAGCGAAATATGAGTGCAAAATATCGAGGGAGCTGAGCGGACCACCACCCAGGTGGCGTCCGGGACTACTGGGGGCCAATATATACGCTATCGCCTATCTACCTACAGAGGGTTGGCACGTCGGGCTGGCCCCATGCCAGTATTTTATGCCTACAACCGTGTCTTAGCGAGGTTTATTGCAAGCAGTTAAGATTGTTTACTGGCTACAGCACATTCTTAAGTAGACACTTTAGGTATAGAAGATACATGAAGTTAGCAGGTGGCCAGCCCGACGTGCCAACCCTCTGTAGCACCTGGGTACTTGTACCTATCACGAATGGAGGCGCAGTGTCGCTTATGCACGACCGCCAATATTCAGGTGAGGGGTGGTGCCTATATAGCCATCAGCTAGATAGCGCCCAAGGCTGAACTGCCAGAGAACCTCATTCATCATTTTTTTTTTCGTTTTCCGCTGGAAGCATACTATTCAAAAATGCCACCTCCTTCAGATGCATCTTCTAGTGGTGAAGTCAGAGTAGGCGTATTCTACGACTTAAGCAGGAAAGAGCTGCTACTGCGCTTCGATAGTAGTGCATATGCGCGTGCCTATCAGCGTAAAAATCCCGAAGCACGCATCCTCGCCGACAATAGAAAAGAAGTTTGGCTCCCACTATGCGATAGCATGAGGACTCTCCGAAGCAGCGACACGTGCGGTATGGTGATCATCTTCCGGTCGAAAGAGGATCGCCGACTTTGGCTCGATCGGTCGGTTCTAGGGACCGATATTAATACCAGCGATGGGGAGTATGGGGTTCGATTCAAGAGGAGCTGGTCTCGGAACGAGATTGAAAGGGCCCTGGACTATGCTGGTGCCTCAAGAGATAGCTTGGGAGTTCCCCAAGACAAACACAATCCTCATTCGCGCCCTGGGTCAAGGAATGGGCAGAATACACCGCGTCATCCGCAGTATAGGCCTGTCGAGTCTCCACCAAGCAATCCTCCTCCTCACTTTGAGCCTGTCCAGTCTCCTGGAAGCAAGCCTGCCTATTTCCCAGTGGATTCCAGACCTAGCGCACATAATATATGAGCGGATGGAAGGTCCTCAACGTTATGCGCCGTCCGTTGCAGTGTCCACACAGGACTACCCATCAACTAGTTAATTTGGTCAATAAGAATCGAAATGCTAGGTGTTATCGTCTTTACCAATGATCCAAAATCTCAATTCAATATAAAATGAATTCGTGAAGCTAAAGTTCGGTCCAACTGATCCGTGATATTGCGTATTAGAAAGACAATATGAGCACGCTTACAAGTTCGAGTTTCCGGTTGCAAATCCCTCGAGTCGAACTATCACCAAGAGAGTTCGAGGTTTGCATCAGCAAACGTGACGAGGTTGTACCCTCAACCTTGAAGGATGAATCTTCGTCAACTGATGCGGGGGCCGCTAGATGAGAGATCAGATCATATTGCTCAGTGTGAGATCTAAGCTTTTACGGCTTCAATTGTTGTATCAGTGGATGCTAATTTTGTAAATTAAATTATATCTATTTCAAATCTATCGAACAGGTATGCTACAAGACAACGCTGAAGCACAACAAAGTACACTATTACATCTTGTCTATTAATTATATTTTGGACTTAATTGTTCTTAGCCAGGGATTTCTCCAGTAGATTCCCCTTCGCTTCTGTTTGACTGGGTGCTTCTTGATGAATGCCTCTTTCGGTCTTGATTGGGTTATTGATTGGGTTATTGATTAGGTCATTCATGATCGACGTCTTGTTGATCGACGTCTTCTTGATCGGATATCTCTTGATCGGATTCCCCTGGACCAGGGTATCCTCTGCCAGGGCTTCGTTTAATCAAACTAAGCGGGCGAAGGACATCATACCTATCGACGACCTCTACGTGCCTTAATTTGATATTATCCGTTGTCCTTGGGAACCAGTTCGGTGGCGCACGGTCGAGACTGAACTTATAAGCATCACTCTCTGCATCATTCCCCATTTGTTGACCCTCTTGATCGGCTCCTTGGGGATTGGGCTTCTGTCGCTTGCTGGAAGATGCCTCATTGCTTTCGTCGCCATCTTCGATCTCCTTAAAGTGGCGCTTGTAGTAGGCCTTTTCTCCATTGTTCAATGGATATCCTTTGTGGGCCAACTCCCTTACAGTCTTCGTTGTACCATAGAGGTCATCTTGCCCAATTCCACCCCAATTCCGGATGCTGTGCGCCAAAACGGGTAGTTGTGGCGGGACAATGCGAGACTTGTTGGCTGACCTTTTGCCTTTTTCGTTGGAGACATGCTTCGTGCGATAGTCAAAGTATCGCCTGGGCTGGCTGTTGGCACGGTTGATTTTTACGTGTTTGTTTCCCCTTTCAGCCATCTCCTCACGCTTCTTGTCCTCGTCCTCGTTCTGAGAGATGTCTTTTGAGGCAGAATCACCAGAGCCACCAGAGCCACCAGAGTCTCCAGAGTCACCAGAGTCACCAGAGCCACCAGAGCCACCGGAGTCATCAGAGTCATCAGAGTCACCAGAGCTGCCAGAGCTGCCAGAGCTGCCAGAGCTGCCAGAGCTGCCAGAGCTGCTAGAGCTGCTAGAGCTGCCAGAGCTTTCTGGGCGGGAAGAATCAACGTGGAGGTTTCTGACATCAAGCTCCTCGTCGAAGTTGTCGTCCGAGTCGTTGCCTCGGTCGTCTTCATTCAAGTTCACGCTGTTGCGAACTTGGAGGCGCAGAGTTAGGTTATTGCGGTCTGACTGACGGCGACGGGCGTAGGTGGCGGTGAAAGCACTTATAACGGGATCACAAACTGCCACTGTTTGAGCGTTCCAGCGCCCCACTGTCAATTCAAAATCGAGTAGCCATGAAGTGTCTAGTTCGGACCTGTACATGTGCTCGCAGAGTTGCTCGATCAAAGGACGTTGAATGAACCGCGGAACGCAGAGTTGCTGCATAGCATTATAGACATGGATCTTGTCCTTTAAGGCCTCTGGAACAGTAGGCCTGGGAATAGCATCCTTGCCTAAAGTTTCGCTATGGCGAGCTGATGCAATGGCATTTACCCACGGGATGATGATATCGATAATCGGGCGGGCGGAAATGTGGGCAATAAAATTGTACGGCCGAGAAAGATATCTCTTCCCTTGCACTAGTGGGTAATCACTTCTTTTACAATCTGGCGATCGAGTATTCAGATGTTTCCTAGGATATTGGACCGGAAGGTGCAAAACCTTGCGGTCTGGATACCACGTGAAATATTGTCGGGCCAGTTCCGAGCATTGCATGAGCGCCACTTTGTCCACGCCACCCTCTGGAAGGCGACCTGATCCGGCAAACTCTTGGTCGAACAGGCGGGGAACTAACCCCCGATTTCGGTTTCCATAGAGACGCGACAACTTGTGAGTATCGATTTCGATCCAAACCCGCCCATCATTCTCTGCGTGAACTTCCTCAACCTCTTTCGCTGCCTTGCCTTTCTCACTCTTGTTCCCCTTGCCTCTCTTATTCTTGTTCCCCTTGCCTCTCTTATTCTTTTTGTTGGTTGCCGGTTCAGGCGTTTCTCCCTCTTCAGGCGTTTCCCCCTTTTCAGGTGTCCACTTTCGCTTTTCGGCATGTCTTGCCTCCCGAGCTAGCCTTGCCTTTTCGACCTCAGGCCTTCCAAAACCTGGATCCGCGAACTGTCCTTGATCCTCATAGCGATTAGATACAAGGTCAGCTTTATCCTGTGCCTCTTGTTCGAGGTAGATTTCATGTCTCAAAAACGCCTTTGATGGTTCTATTGGCTTAGGTTCTGTCCCATTTTGGGGCTCAGTGTGCGGTGCTTTTGGAGCATTCGGACCTTTGTTTTGTGGATGAGCCTTCGCTTGAGCTCGTGTGACTCGTCGAACGTCGTCCGCCATCGTATTATGGTAGTTGTAGTTGTAATCGTAGTAGTTCTGGGTTGTGGCCGAATGAAGACGGCGTGTTCGATGATTGTGATTGTGATGATTGGAAATGAAAAGTGAATCTGGGTTCTAACTGTAATACTTCCAAATATGTACTCATCGTTTTCCTGCTCAGGAAGACATTGCTATAGTAAGTCGAGGGACAAGGGAAGTACACAATGCGATTGTGGCAGGTGAGTGACAATATTGTTGTCTGCATAATGCCTTTGTGGTGCTCGGAACAAAGACATCCCGGTATAGATCTCGAATAAAGATCTTTGATCTAACGAGAATATCAATAGCTTAATTCTCAATGAACATACTTCAGTACCACCATCTTAATCCCAAACTGCAGACTGCTGCAACATGTTTGAGTAGAGAGGTCGAGCAGTAATAGCCCAACCATCGAAATGGGAATCGAGGAAAAAGCAATTGGCACAAGACGCACGTACAGCACTCAGAAATAGTATCGCCCTAGCTTGCAGCATTATGTGCTATGTAAAATTGATCCTATCCACTATGCAACATCGATGCAAATCAAACATGACTACGTACGCCCAAAGGCGATGAACTCACTCATCATCATCAAATAAATCGTCAAAGACCTGGGCACCAGTGCCACCGCATGCTCGTTCCAAAGTAAGGAATGCAAAATGACCACCAACGACGGGACGAGCAAAGAAGTATGGATTCGGGAACCCGCCATCGCCTTCCGTGTTGTAAAGATCGGTGAAGGCGCGATTGGTAGAGGTTTCGTTCAGCCATAACGCTACACGGTCGAGGATCTCCGAGCGGACGCTCTTCGAAGCGACGGCAGCAGCCTCGAACTCCCAATCGGACTTTGTGTACAAATGGCGCGAGTCAAGGGGAAGGCCATATTTTTGCATGACTGCCGAGTACCACTTGGACTGGATCTTATAAATGTGGGAAGGGATGAAGTTTTCTGTGATGGGGCTACGGCCATTCGATCCTTTCGCAGGAAACAGAGGCTTCTGGTCGCGTTGACCTCCAGCAGCAAAAGCTTCGGTGTTGTTCGTAATGTCGGGGTGAAAGCACAACAACGCATCCGCATAGAGGGAGTAAAGCGTCGTCCAACTTCCATACCAATCATATGCCAGCTTGGCATGGGTACCATCGCGGGAAATTCCGTACTCTTCCCATTTCTTCACGTAGGTCTCAGAAATATTCCGGTATTCCTCAGCGTCGCCGGTTCGGTCGAGTAGGTCGGCCATTTCGCTGAAAGCTTTGATGCCAATGATACCTTTCAGGGCCAGGTTGGTCTGGAGGGCAAGCCATCCAGCAAAATCATCGGTACAAACTATTCGGATTTAGCTTTGAGAACACATTCGAAAACCAATTGGACACTTACGCTGGTTGTGGGGCTCAAGACTAAATTCGACCAAGTAGCCGGTCCACTGCTTCCACAATCCATAGCTACCCTGCAACCATTTCTTAGCTTGGTTCACACCCTTAGCACTGCCACCCCAGGTATCGTCAATATGCTCAATGCCGTTGTGCGCTCCAAGATTAGTCAATGGGAATGCCTTCTCGCTTTGTGTGCTGAAGTCCTCGGTGTCGCCAATTGTCGACCAAATTGACTGAGCCTCGGCGTCGGTGTTGTAGCTCATGGAATTGATGAGTGCCAAACCCATGATCAACATGTCGCCACACTCCTCCACTGGCATGTATTCATCTCTTCCGTCAGCGTGACCTGTAAGGTTAGGGAAATGTGCTCCGAGGTCGTGCATGGAGTACTTGTTTGGGTATTGTCCACTGAGTTGATGTTCCAGGAGAGGCTCAAGCAGATAAGCCGCCCATCGTGGACTAGTGTAGAGGAAGAACGGGAAAGCTGGGAAGATGACGTCTACGGTCTGGCAATTCCCGTTCGAAGAGATCTCCTTCAAGAAAAGGAGTGGGTTCTCGGGGGTACCGGAGAAACTAGTTGCTCCCATAGCTTGACGTGCAGAGAGAGCGACTATATCCACGTAGTTAGAAGAGCCCGATTTATATGCATCAATGTAGAGCTGCTCAGAGTAATTCCGCGCCAAAGCATTTGCGTTCTCGAAATCACCGTAGTGGAATGTTAGAAGTTGACTCTCCTGTGGAAACCAAGACTTCCAAAGCGGCTTCATGTACGTTAAGCCTCGGGCTGAAGCAAATTGTACAATTGGGTCCTGAATGTGGGCAATGGTGAACAGTACGCTGCCGCTTCGCGACTCGTTCGATGCGCTCGCTTTCGCGCCTAGCTTGAATGCCTTCGAAAATGCGAAGACAGGCTCTTCATCCATAATTTTGCGGAAATTTTCATCGTTCACGTTCTGCAATGTTCCTGTGCGGGCGAATCGTTGGCGCAGCAATGCCGAAGTACCGGACTCATGGCGGACGTCCGAAGGCGCAGTGAAGTGTAGCTGACCCCATTCGGCCTGGTCGTGAGTCTCGGTGAAGAGAAGCTCTGACTCCCTTTGGACTTTCCATGTTTTCAGTCCCTTCGTTGTCCGGCCAACCTCTTGCTGATCGAAACTCCATTCAATGACGCTTTCCCGATCACCACTGACCCATTGTCCATTGACATCGACATATATGTTCACATCCACTGATCCCTCCACGTAAATAGCCAAATATGATGCGGGAATAGATTGTCGGAGAGTCGATGTGGGCGTAACGGGGGAAAGGAAGGAGAGTGTGATTTGGAGGTTATCGGCGCTCGATGAAGCTTCGCGGGAAGAAAGCGAATATGTGAGATTTGTTGTCGATGCATCGTACTTTGCGCCTATGTAATTGGGAAACAACACCTCAAATCTACCGGTAGTTGTTGTTAGTAAGACAACAGTGTCGACGTCGCCCGGGAGAGTGGGACCTACTCTTCGGCATCATCATCGAGGGAGTCGTGGGGCCTGCCCAGCAGCGGGAACACTTGTTTGGAATCTGGAAGAGACGCTAAGACAGCGAAACCAACCTACGGGTCACCATGTGAGCAACGACAATCGCAAAAGACTTCGAGTAGTCGCAGATTCGGCATACCTCGGCACCTTCCCAGAAGAAGGGCCACTTCTCCCATGGGTCATCTCGAGCATGCAACCATGTACTCAAATATGGGTTTCGGACTACGAGGGGAAGCACAGGCGGCTCAAGAGTGGAAGCAATCGCAAAGCTATTCAGGAGCGCTGAAGAAGCGGCGGCAACGAGGCCCAGCGAACGCATTGCGTCAGAGAGTTGGGGTCCAAGCACAGCTCAAACGAGAGAATGTAGGGAGTAAACTGTGCGTGAAATATGTATAGACAGGTAGAAGTGATACAAAGACTCACTGCGGAGCATTACCCTTCCAGTGACACACAAAGTACAAGATGCGACACGAAGGTGGAGGGGAGGTTGTCAGAGGGAGGTTGAGATGTTGTGAGGTTACGAGGTTGGGAGGGATGGAGGGAGGGTCAGGCGGGTCAAGTCATCCCGTCATGCCATTCGTCACTTCGCGTCCGGGGTAAGCTTGGAAGCTTGGAGCTATGGGGAGCTACTTGTAGTTACACGCTAAGCACATTGGCGAATTGCGGGGTGGCAGCCAATCATATGCCTACCGTGCCTTGCATGGTCATGTCCTTGGGGTATATAGAACTCATTAACTGGTTACCATTGACAACTACAACTACTCCGTACAATCCATCCGCATCCTCGTAAAATCAAGTACACAATGAGAGTACGGGATGGCCAAACCCTACGGTTCAAGCATGCGTACCATGCGCATTCCCATCACCCATGTGAGGACCTTGCCAGTGCAACAAAGCTCAAAACACAACGAAAAGCTCCTCGGTGGGATCACTTGATTTACCGTGCCAATTTTCGGTTCAATACATGATAGGATCGAAATCCCGCATCTTCCAGTACCCGTGCGGCTGGATACTTGCAGTGCGACATCAGCGTGTCATGCTTCGGGACGTAGCACGTTTGTCCTGTCTGTCGGTACTGGATCCCCTACGCATCCAACGACCTGTTGCAGCTGCCATAGCTGTCATGGTACAGACGAAAGACGATATTGTGGAAGAGGTTGATGTGGTTGGAGTCTCAACTACACTTGGTCTTTCCTCAGTGGATTCCTTTCGATATGCTGGATCCATTATTGATTTCTTTCTGGGAGAGGCCGGATGGGGAATATGAGCTGTAGATAGTGGACGATCGTTCTTTCGTGGTATAGATGGAAGGGGACGAGACGGAGGTCGTGGTGGTTCCAGCCTCAAAGAAGGTGGCATAGGAAGTTGGAATGGTAGAATACTGTACGGCTGCTTGCTTGTGCTCACATCATTGCCAATGTCGTGTCTGACCGTATCATGATCTGGTGCATGACCACCTGAGCTCAGACAATCCAAAGTCTTGTTGTCTTGATGTATCACCCCAGCTGCAGCATCTCCGACCCGTCCAGAGGGCACGACTCTGCTTTCCATCATTCCTTCTTCTCCAAGCTCGGTCCCTGGCTCAATCACTGGCAGCTCGGCCTCTGTATCATCGTCTTTCTTTCGGTCTCCGCGATACCCGAAGACGTCAATATTCTGCAATTGTTCCCATGTGCGGTAATAGAAACGGAACCTTGTAAAAGGCGTATCGATAGGGTCTATCAAAGCGAACTTGTAGTACCGTTTCGGCTGGCTTCCTCCGGCGCGACCCGCATGGATAAGACTAAGATAATCAGTATGCTTCTTGATAGGAAATACAGGTCACTTACTCTATGCCACGTTTGAACACGGGATGTGGTGTCTTCGTGTACTCTTGCAGCTCCCTCGCAACCCTCTGTCGCCCACTTGCGCGGTAAATTCGGACTTCTATGAATGCATCAGGGTCGAACACGTCCGCTACATCATTCCAAATTTTGCCTTGTTCAGGTGGTGTGAAGAATAATGCTCTCTTCTCCGCTCGTCCTTCATTACCACCTCCCTCTTTACTCTTGTAAAGTCCGAACATTGTCTTTCCCCTCCATTTCTCCTCTTTCCCCGCAGACCAGGTCACAATGTGAGCGCCGTTGATGAACAACTTGAACACAAACAGCTGCTCATCAGGGACCGGCGGTTCGATGTGATAGCTGATCCAGAACTGGCTTCCCGGTAAAACGGGGACGTAAACGCTGCACGTAGAGGCTTCTTCGTCGACGAGGGCGGGCGGGCGAGCTGTAATACCTCTCTCGTCGTAATGTGACTGAGGCCGTGGAAAATACTCAGGTATGACTTCGATGTCGAACTGCGAGTGTAGCTCAACGATGATGTTGCGAAAGGTCGGCATCGCGGTTCGTCGTTTGTCTGAGAAGTGAGTGTGCGAGGTAACAATTGTAGAAGTGAGAAAGTTGCGCCTGCCTCAAACCCCAAACAATATCACCCCAGGTTACGCTAAACTCAAGAAATCCCACTTCTTTATTTCTCCGACCGAAAAAGATGTATCGTCAAAATCTTTAGAAACATGAAAACTGTTCCCGTAGCTTCCTATCTCCTTCAGCCATCCCAATTTTTGTAAGACTCTAAACAGAGAATCCTATCCAAATTCTTGTTGAAGAAGAAAGAGCATACTATCTTAATCTACATTTCATCGCAATTACATGAGAGATGCTTGGTTGTATACTACTACTTCTCGATGTACTCTAGCTGAATACCGTGTCCAGTGTGCAGTGGATATTGAGGTCCGTCCTTCTCAACGACAAAGACGGTGTCCAGCGCTCAAACTTCTTTTGCGAAACTCGCTTTTTCCTATGGACCAACTTATACTTAGCCCTGGAGGCCCCCAAATAATTATTAACACAAGGGAGATTTGCTATATAAGTTCAGTATATGAAGGTAATCAAGATGTTTAGATCAAGCTGTACACCAATCTGTGCACCCAGCAATTCTAAGATTAAAGTCTGTATATTAAAGAAGCTTATTTCTCACTTTGACAAATTTCGCAAAAGTAAAGCGATCTAGCCTAAGTCCTATAATGTCTGTTGCTATAACCTAAAGAAATTTTGTTTGTTACTCGCCCTTTTTAAGAGCGACTCTACATAGAAAACTTCCACGTAGCTCTCCAATGCCCGAGCTTTCAACTCGTACAGGGCGGTCTGGGCTGATTGTCTCGAAATCGAACCTGTTGAGCAGGGTCGTCACTGTCTTCCAGAGATTCGTCAAACCTAGGTTCCTCCCAATGCACATTCGATGGCCGATGCTGAACGGAATCAAGCTCTGCAGCATTGCCTTTCCTTCCAGACCCATGAAGCGGTCGGGGACGAAGGCTTCATCGTCAATGCCCCAGATATCGGGGTTATGGTGGAGAGCATGGTTGGATATGGCGACGTGGGTCTGCGGAAAGATTAGCATGGATAGTAGGAATGAAGGGTATGAGGGGGTTCATGCCCCAGTTGGAATTGTTTGACCATCAATGACCGCCCCAGCAGGATCGCTCACACTTCTCCACAGACACATGTTGAAGACCGGCGTTATGCGGAAGTTCTCTTGCACACAAGAACGCGTGTAATCAAGCGAGGCCTCGAGGCCGGCTATGGGATATGCGATCTTGTCTTCGGGCAGGTCGCCCAGAACATCTTTGATCTCCTGTTCAACTTTTGCCAGGGTCTTGGGATTATGTAGCAGGTGCCAGAACAAGAGAACCGTTGTGCCAGCTGTCGAATGTGATCCCGCAACTCTACAAAGGCCGATATAAGCATGCATCAGAAGCACTGACGTTCATTGAGTGCAACTCACAGCATGGCAAATGCCTCAGATTTGATCTCGTCATCATTGAGTTTCATTCCCGTCTTCGGATCAGTCGCACTCAGAAGGTGCTGCATCATGTCCAATCGCGATTCTCCTTGCATTGATCTCTTGGACTCCACGCAATCAGAGCAGGTTTGCTTCAGCTTGGCCCTACTCTGAATCAGGCGACGCATCCACGGCACTGGCGACCAATTGGCAGCCGCCTTAAGAAGACCTTGACATGGTAGCGATCCGATGATGCCAGCGAGAAGAAGGTGGTCGTTGATGGCGTTGATTTCGGGTACGGTGTCGGCCGACTGCGCTTCGAAGGGGCGACCAAAGGCCACCTCCCCTAGAATATCTAGAACATAGAAAGAAATAACCTCTTTAAGATCAAAGATCTCATGCGTTTTAGCGAAACGTTGCAGCTTTTTGATGAGGATTTCTATCTGAATCTCGATGATAGACTCCATCTTCTGAATCGAGGCCTGCGAAAAGCCATGAGATAGCTGGCGCCGCCGGGATGAATGGATCTGCATGCGAGTGAGCCTTGACTTCCAAACTTACAGAGTCGGGCCATGGGCACGCACATCTTCATCCCTACCACCAAACAGATTCGGCCGAAAGGCCGTGAAAGCGTCGTAAAAATCAGTTTTGGGCATTTTTCTACCACTTTTGTAGATCGGAGCGACGGCCTGAGCGTTCCAAAAGTGAAGATGATTGGGGCCGATACGCACAATAGGCCCATGCCTGCGATGTGCCTGAAGGATCTTCTCGTGGAGGTCCAGGCAGTAGATGTGGTACGCCCTCCAGAGACCAGAAAGCGACGCCAGCGCTGGACCAGGATACTTCGCGAGAGGATGAAAGCATCTTTGATAGATAATATATCCTGTTCCAATACAAATGATAACAGAGAAGGCAATGAGCGGCGAGTGAGGTAGTAAAGTTCCGACTATGAGTGTCATCTTCGTTCGACAAAGTGTTCTCGGGCGATACTTAGCTTATTGCACAATAGTACGCATAGCTGCTAGTTGATATATAACGCAGACTGGGCCACTGTTAAGATCCGATGTGGACTCCCGAGGGCGTGAAAGGGTGGGGAAGGGGGTTGGAGGGGGTTTTCCGCGAACTTAGCACCTAGCTTTAGTTGAAGACCTGAGTATGATTTCGTACACCGCTCAAATCTCGGCGCTCGGCCTCCCGAGGTGTGTTAAAGAACTCCTCGCCTGAAGTTTTCATAGTTAAACAATATGGATTGGTCAGATCCACAAGAATTTGGAGTGCGTGGAAATTCACAGCCGGGTTAACTATGGATCGCCTTCCACGATGTCTCGTTTTAGGCAGTCTATATCTGGGTCTCGGGGGGAGGACCTTTTCGCCCCAATTTGACTAAGCAATTGAAGCGCTGATCTCTTCATAAATCTCGCTCCTAGATCATCATGCTTTGCCCTCTCAAGTGAATTGGTAAGTGGCATAATATCTTGAGGACCTTCACAATGTCGCCAGCAACCATATCCACACATGTCTACAAAACAGTGGGCGATCTGAATCTTACTGTCGACCTACATGCTCCCCCAAACTTCAATAGTGACACTGGCATGGTTCTTGTTCACTTCCATGGTGGATATCTTGTACGTTATTTCGCCTTGCAGACATGAAAGACCTATCACTGACACTTGGGCAGCTTCTTGGTGAAAAGACCACATTCATGCCTCACTGGCTCATTAATGCTTGTCACCAGCGGGGATGGGCTTTTGCCACACCTTCCTACCGCCTTCTACCCGAGGCTTCAGGCACTGATGTTGTTCAAGACGCCTTCGACGCCGTCGTATGGATTATGAACAACATTGCTAAGTCCGGTCGCATGTTTCTTGCTGGCTCCAGCGCTGGCGGCTATCTTGCCCTCGCCGCTACGGCACACCCCAACGTGCCTCCCATCACGGCACTACTCTTGATGTACGGCATGCTCGATCCCACGGCACCGCGGTATGTCAAGCCGGGCCAAGCCTTCATCAAGCCCCTTGACTCTCTCGACACGGTCGTTGCGGACCTGGGAAAAGCGCAAGCGCAGTCGCAACCGCTGGATAGCTACGCTTTTCCAGCAGACCCAATGATGGACAGGAGGTATACGTGGGTTCGGGCGCTACATGAAGGGGCTCTGTACATGGAGATATTGACTGGTGTCCATGGCCTCGCGAAACAAGTCTATGACAAGGGCAGTAACGTAATCCCGGCACAGTTTCGGCCACTGTTCCCGGCAACCTTTGGGCTGAGGGCTGGTTTACCTCCCACGGTCCTGCTTCATGGAGAAGACGATATCGCTGTGAATGTCCAGCTAAGTCGGACGCTGGCATATAAGCTCCAAGAGCTAGATAATAAGGTGCTCCTAGAAGTAGTGCCGGACCAAGGCCATGGTTTTGACGTTCGGGGAGTTCCTTCCGATGTGGACATTGCTCGTGATAGCTCACATGCCTTTTATTCAAGTCTCAATAAAGCAGTCAGATTCTTAGACGAAGCCGCTTGGGCTGGGTAAAGCTTCGGGCTGGACGGATTTATAGCTCAGGGGCTTTGGAAGGATTGGCAAAGTAATGCTAGAGCCGAAGATGGATATATTTCGTTGCAATTGTATTGTTCAAGACGATCGAATAGAGTGTGATTCAAAGAGCAAGATGAGTTCAGCAAGCTGCTCCATGCTGGTCTGATCTGGGGCTGAGATTGGGTCGTGGTAAACAGTAGCCAAGCCTCCCAAAGCTCTATTCGTGGACGGTTCCGTAGACGCATCTGCAATATCTAAGCGTAGTCTCGCCAGTGCCGCAAATTCCGGTGCCTGCAGCATGAACAGTCGTGCATCACCACAAGACTTTGCATCCTCCCAGATATTGGTCATCGCCAGCCTCCACGCTTCTTCCCACCCATCCAGTATCCTACGAGCGTAGGCTGTGTCGAAGGGAACGAATATGGATGCCATTCGTTGATGATAGATCAAAGAGTGTAATACTGAGAGTGTGTCAGCGGAATCTCGGCTTAAGTGACAATGGAACGATTATGTGGTGGGTACTTCTGGCGGCACACTTACTATTGATGACGACGAACAATCCCAGTTTACTCAAAGGAGGAGAAGATTTATTTCTTGCTGCGCCTGGTCTGTACGCATCTTCAAGCAAGCTTATGGCGTCCCTCAATCTAGACGGTTTGAATACTGCACTCCCGAAAAGGGCTAATTTGAAGAATTCCGCGGATGAGTTTGCATCGAAGAAGGCCTGCAAGCAAGGCAGATCGCATTGCAGTTCATTGAGCATGATCCTAGGAGCTGAATTGTGAAAGATTACAAACCCACAGTCCAGAAGGACCAGATAAGCGGCAACTCTAGGCGAATAGGTCAGTAGAGGCAATGGATCCTGCGTCAACGGAGAAAATGGATGGGACCGCTTACCGTGTTCTCTCTTCTTGTCGAATAAATGTCAGCCAGGCATCATCATTGGCCTTTGCAATGACCGGGTCAAAGCTGTTAGTAGAGTTGAAGAATTCAAATGCTCTGGAGGCCTGTCGCGAGGGTCAGAGAACGAAATGGATCAAAGGTTACACATGGACGGACGGTAATCACTTCGCTAAATCGCTGGCGTCTGACCCTTGAGCGTGCGGCGTCATCTCCCTCCCACTTCTGCAATATGATGATGAAATACGCGGCTTGAAAGGCCGCGGTAATATCATGAGGGCTTATCGAGCTGGTTTTAGGCAAAGCCGTTTGATGAAACGTGTCTAAGCCAAATACAACGTGCTCAACAATATCGAGTAGATGCCTAGCGTGATCCGTCTCCCTCGCACAAGGTGATAAGAACTCGCTCAGCAGTACGATGACCATGATTAGGGTGGAAGGGGTCGAGTTGAGATTGAAAGTTGGACGATGGATGATGGGACAGTGCGGATACCACCGGTCCCAGAATATTTCCAGACTGCTACGAATGTTGCTGCTAAAATATACCTTCTGACATGCCGCAGCAGTTCGCTCGTTCCACATCTCGGAGGAAGCCTGCGCCATTAGGAGGTCGAGAATCTTGTTAGCCTGAACTGTGTAAGCAAGATCTTCGTCAAAGAATGGCGGCGGATGGGCTGTGTCAACATGTGGACTCAGCGCCATGTTCAACGTGCGGGGATCTATCGCATAGCTAAGACTGGGTGCCGGCGAGGTTCGACGATTTTGTAGGCTGCCGTGCAGATTCAGAGGACGCTTGTAGTTGTACGCGTTGTCAACGCCGATTCTTTTGCGGGTGAAGTTCAAGAGGAACTCAAAGCGCCAAAGAGCTCCAATCTTCGGTAGGCCGAAGGACATGGCAAGTTGTGGGCGAGTCTGTTCGATTCCCATGCCGGCCTGTTCTTGCTTGTGTAATGAAAGGAGAGTGGCATTCTGAGCTTGGGGGACAGGTTGCGCTGGCGACTCTGTGTTCCTGAGGCCTTCTGAGACCTCTGGGTTGTAATAGACACAGTGCACAGATCGTTTGACACATTCTAAGCATGGTTGGCCACGATCACAGGCTCGTTTGAGGGTAGCACAATGCCTGCACGCATGTTTGGGTCGACCTCCCCGTGTAGTCGGCGGTACATCATATTGACGCTCGAGTCGCGATTGACATGTTTGATAGTGTCTCCTTAACCCATCTCTGGATCTGTCAGGAAATGACTGATACTACTGCTGTCTTCAGAGCGTAGGGTTGATAAGTACCGACGCTTATACCGCAGACCGCAGAATTCGCAGGCATGAGTGCGCCTTTCAGAGTCTGAGGAATGTTATTATGCTAGCCACCTAAAGGCTAGGTATACTTGCGCGTCGTCTTGAGATGCCTCGTCAAGTGTTCGTGGCGACCGAATGAAGCAAGGCATATAGAACAGACAAAGGACGAAAGCTGCTTCGATGAAGCATCGCCGCTGTTGGCCATCATAGTGGAGGTGCCTCTCAGCAGCCGTCTCCTGTTGTCGAGTGGATCAAGAAGAGTGCAAGCCTAAGATTAGTTACTGCGTCGATGCCAACAATGATGGTGGGTCCGTGCGCGGAATACACTAAACCACTTGTAATGGATAGTAACTTGTATGTATATAGGTAGTGAATGTCAAGTCATTACTTGGGAAATATTACAGAACTTATAAACGCCATATATTGGTATACGAAGAACTACAAAGATAGTACTGAAGCCCTTTAGAGATATGAAGACATCGAAAAGTTAGGGAGAAAAATATTGGGATTAGACTTATAAGGCCCAATACCACTCAGCCTGTATGAATCGAGAATGTTGGAAAGAATGATGCAAAGGCATAAACATACAATGGCTCATGTGCAACACTTCTTAGCGTGTATGAAAATTTGATGTTCTTCTGCATCTTTTAATGCTTTACAAATGCCAGCCTTCACGGCTTTGGGCTTGAAAATTGTGAGATCATGATGAATGGTATGAAAATGAATGGTATCAAAACCTCGTTCTATGAGACGACTCATGTACTTCTCCTCTGATAAGCCGGAGCCAGTAAAAGGCTGTCTTAGAAAAATGGCTTCGCACCTGGTCTCTTGCCATCGGTACTGTAGCAAGAACAGGGATGCCATTTGGCCTGAGCCAATTGTGCAATCTTGTCATATGCTGTCTGATCAAGTCTTGACTAGATCCTACCACCAGCTGAAAAAAACCGTGATAGCATTGTAGAAGTGGGATGGCATTTCCATCTGGAAAACATCTTCTTCTCTTTCATGAAGGTAGCATTTGGTACCTTTACTCGGGCATGCTGAAGCATAATATTCGAAACATCGACGTCCAACACGTCATGGCCAGCATCCGTGAGGGAGGAGCAACGGGGCAGTTAGTGCCGCATCCAATGTCCAAGACTTCAACCGGTTTGCGATCATGAACCTGCTCTTTAGACCGGTCCATGGACTGGATTCGACGTTCATGTATTCCGGATGCTTGTTCGTGGGTGAGGCCGATTGAGTAAAACATTTTTCCTGGTATCATGGATTTAATCAAGGCTTGCGGTATAGCCATTGCAGTTGACCATTGAAAAAGAATAATTCGTCCTGCAAACGTAGAGAAATGTGATTGAGATCGCCTTGCGAGAAGATTATGCATATTTCTTTGTTTGGGAAATTATTTTTGTGTTCGCAATTGATTGGTTGTGTTCTCATATCTAAAGCATTGACCAGATGGATAGTTATCAAAGGAGACGGCGTTTGCCCGCACGCCACTTCCTCCTACTCAGGCTCCTATGATCTCTCACTTATAACTTGCTGCAATCCTCCCGACAACAGATGTGAAGTCCGACTCGGGGACTTCTCCTGCAAAGATTGGGGTCAACTGCCGCCTATCTTTCCACAATATCCACAATGAAAAATGCACCTACAACATATTGTAAATCCGAGAGCGATTATGACTTTGTTGTCACTTGCACTCGATATGTTGCTCCCGGTGGAGAAGAACAGGTGAGTGGTCTACGGCTGAAAATGTGACATAGACTCAAGCTGGCGAAAGCATACAATCCGATCATTGCCTCGAGGTTTCGACCTTGCGACCGTTTTCACTATACCAGAAACGGACAGATTTCAATTGACGGCAGATTATATCCGATCGCAGGTGGACAAATACTCCGAGACAGATGGCGTTTTCCAGAAGGCCTTCCTAGCTGTAGTCGTCCTTGAAGGGCTGGAGGAAGAATTCGTCACCGTCACACAACAGGCAAGAGACTATCTCAACAGTCTTGGTGCAAGGAGCATCATCTGCACATCCAACAAAAGTATATCACCAGGGCCATACGTGATCATAGATGGTCATCTCAGGAACGCATGGAAGGTTGTGGACGACAGCAATGGAACTTGCATGGTGACGGTAAAACCGCAGTCAAAGTAATCGAGATAATTATCCCACACAATTTCTGCTGACAACCACCAGGGCGTCGGATGCTTTCCAGTCTTTTCCTCTAAAAGGTTCTGATGATCAGTTTTCTTGTTTCGCTCTTGAATCCCGAATCAAGAGCCAGTCCAAGTCAGGTGCTCCTCTTGCTGGAATGCGTGTTGTGGTCAAAGAAAATATCCATCTCAAAGGTATCAAAACCTCAATAGGTAATAGAGCATTCTATGAAACCTATGCACCGCAAGATAAGACGGCCACATGCGTACAATTACTCATTGACAAGGGAGTGAACATAATTGGCAAAACCAAAATGAATTCACTCGCTTGCTGGGAAGAGCCTGTTGAGTACATTGATTATCAAGCTCCATGGAATCCACGAGCAGACCACTATCAGTATCCCGGGGGAAGCAGTTTCGGCAGTGCAGCTGCAGTATCGACTTATGATTGGCTGGATGTTGCAATTGGAACCGATAGTGAGTAGACCTACACTTCGTTGATTATTGTCTCATTTTCTAATAATTTCGTGATCAGCATGGGGGAGCGTTACGAGACCTGCTTTGTGATGTGGTTGCTTTGGGCTGCGGCCTAGTTTTGGCACGGTCTCCGCAGAAGGAATTGAACCTTGCTGCCAGTGAGTTGATAGAGTTTCTTCGAGGACGCCGTGCTGACCAAACCAGGGCCTTTGATACTGCTGGTATTCTCAGTAGGGATTTGAAAATATGTAAATTCGTCGCAACAGAGTGGCTATCATCTGCAGCCTGGAAAAAAATCCGATCGTAAGAAGTTCGAGACAACATGCTCCCTGCTAATCCTTTAGCAGCCTTTTACTTCAATCATATGGCCCACCGACTTCTGGAAAGTCATTGACTCCAAACAAACAAACATTGCCCAAGCCTTTGCAAAACAGATGAAAGAATTCCTGGAGGCTACATACAAAGAAGTGTCCTTCGAGGGGGAATGGCGTCAGTCGCCACCTCCAGAAGGAGATTCTACATCACTGCCTGACTTCATCAATGACGTATGTAGACAGCTGTGCACAGAAAACTTGCGCTGATAAATGATAATACAGGCTGCTAACGTGCAGGAATACGATGCATATCACAATCTCGACGATTTTCGTAAGAGCTATCAGGATCAACATGGACGACAACCATATGTTTCACCTCCGAATCAAAAATCATGGTAATAAGGTTACTCAGAAATCTCCCAACGTTACTAATAACAGCTTGGGCAGGCACTTTGCAAAGAAGATTTCGAGAGAACAGAGAGATGAGGGGTTCGGTCGACTCAAGGTTTACAAAAAGTGGTTCGAAGATACGTTTCTCGCACTGAACGAAGCAAACACCCTTGTAATTATGCCTCAAGAGTCAATGAGGGTCAGGTATCGCGATGATACTCCCAGGCAAGTCAGTCGTTATAGTTCCCCGCCCCTGCTCATTACGATTGCAGCTTCGAAAGGCCCCCACCAGGCGTCAATTGCCTCGCCCTCGCTGCAGTTCTTGAAGCCCCGGCATTAACGATACCAACTACGTCTGACTCCGTCTATCATACCTTGACATGTTCATGAGCTGTGCAGTCGCTGAGATACCATACACTTCACGCATTTCTGGAAGGGATGAGATGTTGCCATTTGCAGTGACAGTCATGGGCAACGCCGGTGGGTTTGAATTTCATGCCATGATGAAGTATCACAACGCCAACTTTCTACAGGCACAGACCTCGCACTGTTGGATACAGCGCTTAAAATATTGGAAGCAGCTGGTTTACCAACAACGCTGAAAACAGGAACCAGGATGTTCTGCTAATAGCGCAGGCGGCATGCAAAACCGAGGTTTCAGGGGCGTGATTAATGTCAATGAAGCCATAATGAAATTTGTCTGAGGTTGAAAATTCAATTTCACAGTTTGATCGAGTAATTTTCGTCTTTATGCAAGTAAATGCTCTTTAAATATCAATGACTTTTACAATAAAACAACAAATCAAGTGATTTGAACTATCTGTGATTACAAAGTCTTTACCTTAAAAGATAACCTTTTCGAGTGAAGGATAAATTGTAATAGATACATCTATCCTCTAGAGGGAGTAAAACAGGCGTATCCATTAGGCCAAGCACAGCCTACCCAAGGCTGAATTTGCCTTGATTTCAAGAGGAGCTTAGCAGGTACTGCATACCTACGAACAAGTCAGGAGAAAGAGCTTCCTGGATGAGTCATGGCTATTATACTTAATAGTTAGCGATGATTAACTAGAACTTGTCATCTATCCCCAACAGTATTTGGGTGGAGCTTATCAAGAGTTCTGCACTTGCCTGTTGCCTATGCCCTATCCGTCGTCGACTCCCTTTGTATCATCTTGGTTGTCTTTCTTTCCAATTTCGAATCTGAAAATGTCTCACGTTTACAGTGAGCTATTGTTTCTTGGTCGTAAAACCCTATATGAAAGCAAGAAACCGTACTGGATGATATTCCACGGCATAATCTTGAAGTTGAACCTAGGTCACTTCGTATGAATGACGCCAGAAGTTCTGATTATGATTTGGAGAAGACTGGATTTTTTTATTGACAAGCATACCTGAAGATCTCGAGTATGCTGATTTTGATGATGAATTTAAAATAGAAAGTACATGCCCTCGAGATACAGGTCCACTTAAAGGGAATTCACTGGAGCATTACACGCTAGAGTTCTTGATTGTAACGTATGGAAATGATTCCATTACGGAGAACGTTACAAGAACGACTTGTAACATACAATGTTTCCGATATCTGAGGGGAAAACATATGAGCATTAACAGCCTGCTGCGTTTGTAGATGTTGGATTGATCTCACGCCTACCGAATTCAATACGCATTGGGATACCAAGCACGTTGACCTACTCAAATTTATCGCTGGGGAGCACTTTCCAAAGACCCATGTCCGCCACTATATTGCTTGACCCACCGAAGCAAACGATACTTGGCCTGCTGTCACTCTTGTTGGATCGTGAGAGGACTTTACTTACAATTTGCTGAGCTTTCTTCTGATAATGTGCAAGCGTTTAAGACATTCTTTGCTGTCGTGCCTGAACCTGCTATGCATGAAGGAAAATTCATGATAAGGGAGGAGATGAAGGCATTAGTCAAAAGAAATACAACTCTCACGAAGCTACTCGTGCTAACTTCGTTCCTTGGGAAAGGGAAAGTGTACATACACCAAGGCAATGCCATCCCAACTACCATTAGATGGACAAGATAAAAATTGGCAAAAAAACAAAAAAACATACAACAGCGGGGATTCGCTGATGGTCACCCACTCAACTACTAGTCCGCCGGTACATTGCTTAAGTATGGCTGAGCGAACGGGAAGCCCTGTTTTCAATGTCCAATGGTCGTATGTGAAGGGTATTGGTAAAAATAAAATAAATATAGGCTATCAATGTTGTTGTAAAACACTTTAGCCCTTAGTCCAACGAAGATATCTTGGTCCACAATCGATTATTAGCGTCTCCTATGACTTGATTTTTTCATCAGGTGAGAAGATGAACAAGATCTCGAACCAGTTTGCTTGGATTCATTCTTCGAAATCCTTCGATTCCTCATACGTTCATGCAAATTGCGTTTACTACGAGCATCAGCTATGAAAGAAGTCCTCCATGCCTATCTCACCTAACCACGAATATGTTCTCAAATTGAAGAACTCGAATGAGTTCGTTGATTGTGTTTTCCTCCTCAATATAGATGCGTGGCACAGTCTTACGTATTGCTTCCCATTCTTCATTAGTAGGTTTGCGGGCAATGAAAAGCAGAAGGGTGAAAGCCATCATGGTAGCCTGTCACTTCGTGGGATAATAAGAAATTGATGCGAGGCAAATGTGTGGCAAATGCGAACTGAGACTGATCTGGCCCACTTTTTATGCTTCTTGCGGAGTCCAAATTCTATACCAGACAAAAGGATCAGTGACTGATAAAGCTTCAATGCGGCACAGCTAGATGCTCAACGCTTCCTCTGTTGACATGGGGCAAACCTAATTGAGGAGTTTCAATCTTGCACTGTACTATTTCTACGCCGCATCGATAAAATCATATGGATACTTTCCCAAGCCCTTAATCAGCCAAATATGAACGTGGTTGACTTCATGAACAATACGTCTTTGGGTTCTGATGTATCACTTAAGTCAATGCCCTTCCTGGGTAATCCAAAATGATGACAATAACAAAGCTCAGATTTCGTATCTACTCGCTCTAGGTATTTACCTACAGCGATTTAAAAACTATGGTCATTCCTAGTTCGATATTTGCACTTTCGCTTGGTTTTGTACACCATTATTCGGCGAATGCAATCTATCTTGATCTTGTCCTGAATTGACTGCCTCTCTTTCAATGTAAATAATCAGGAAATACCGTCGTACCATAAGTATTCTCTGTAGGCACTGGCCTTTTATTTCCATGCTATCGTTGCACCTTTCTCATGGGACTCTCTGGCTAATTCAATCAACCTCAGTACGTCCCGCACCTCGTCCGCCTTTACAGGCAGCTCTGACTTTCCATTCAACGCATCAGCAACATCCTGGTAAAGCTGCATCCAACGCCCCCTGACCGTGGGATACTTTCCTACCCATCTCTGTGAGTTATCATCAAAGCGCTGTATGCTACTGTCGAACTCATCGTACGTCGTTAGCGTACCACAGAGCTGCTCTGATTCGGCAGCAAAGTCGGGATCAAGTGGATCCTTGCCTTGTGCAATCTGCTCCTCCTGTGGGCAGGTACTTCGCTGCTGGAACTTGATATAGGAACCCTTCGTGCCCCGGATCCAAAATTTAAGCTGTTGCTCCATAGGTGATACCACGCATGTTTTTACTGTTACCAGCAAGTTTTTTTGTGCGCCGCTGTACTGCAGTATGACGGTGAAAGAATCTTCAACTTCACTCTCGATTCCGCGTTGGACGCGATAGAATGCTGTGACTGAGGCGGGGCGCCCGAATACTGCGTAAGCTTGATCGAGACTGTGTGTTCCTATATCAAAACATGTTAGGACAGGTAAGGGAAGTGATATATCCATGCATACCCAGCCCAAAAGTGTGTCCAGAGCCAGGTGTGTACTCCTTAGCAGTTAAGTGATGCAGCCATGGTGCTCGATCGAAGTCGTAGTGGATTTCTGCCTCGGTGATGGTGCCGAAAGCGTCCTTTTTTATAAGTTCCCTTACTGTTTGGAAGCCACCGTCCTTGAATTGGGGAGAGGTAAGCTATCATTGGCCGTAGTGTGTAGGCGTCTGTTGAAATCACTTACATATCTTCTATTTTGGAAGCAGGTAAGAAGCAACCTTTTTTCTTTGGCAAGTTGGATTACTTGATCTGCTTCATCGGCAGAACTCGCAAACGGTTTATCTACAAGCACTGTTATAATTGTCAGCTTGAAAGTTCTTGCAGGTGTTACGCGCTTCATCTGAGCATAACATACCATGTTTGCCTGCCATCAAGGCTTGCGTCGCAAAAGAAGCATGAGTATCAGTGTGCGTCGCGACGACCACAAAGTCTATGTTCGAATCGGCAAAGAAGCTCTCCGCGGTCCTGTGGTGTTTGACGTTCGGGAAGTCGACAGTGCAGTGGGACCCTTTCGGCACGGAGGTAGGGTCTGAGGGCGCTTCTGCTCGTTGGAGAATGGCAACAATTTCATAGTCGGGAATAGCAGCGATGAATGGCAGATGGAAGCTCTTAGCAGAGCCTCCGTAACCCACGATACCGACTTTAATAGGGCTCATATTGTTGTGCACTTGGAAACTATTGGACAAAAATGGGAAAAAGAGAACCAGGAAATGAGTGCAGGTAAACAGGGAAGTCAGGCTTTATATGCTCATGGGCACACATCCTCGTTTCCCACTGGTTACCCCACTATATGAAGACCAAGTAGCACAACGACTGGAGGTGCACTTTTGCGTTGTTGCTCCACATTAATTTTCATATGTTGACGTTTCACCGCGCGGGGGTCCGAGTACCAGCCTTAACTCCGTCACAAAAGTCCAGAACATGATGCTGGTGCCAATGTCGACGCTCGCTTGTTTTCGAGTGTCCCGCAACTCCGCGAGAGTCCACAAGCTCCACACTGTACTCATTGGACGCTAGGAAGCATCACCCCTAGACGCTAGGAATACCCAGCCATGTCGGCTCTATAAAAAGAGGCCTCCAAGACGAGCATACTTCTCATGAAATTCTCATATCATTGTTGACTCCTATCTGCACAAGGTTTCGTTCCACCCGTTTAAACCGAGGAACTAGACAATCACGATAAACCAAATACATACAAATTAAACATGACTCCAAAAGCTGGACTTCGTCGTCGAGCTTGGACCGATGGTCACGGCCTGCAAAAGGTGCTAGCAGCGAAGCAGGAGGTCAGACAGGCACCCAAGCCCATCGCCCATCCTCCAAAGGATGTACGTTTTCTCCTACAGTAACAGAATTTGTCAATAAAGAGGCTGATATTCTAATCTCACGCAGGCAGCACTTGTGAAGGAAACCTGTGATTCGTTCACATTCGAATCATTCACCGAGGAGGATGCTTGGGAGCTCGGCCACCTCCTCTATGCAAGGCTTCTAGAATTCACACCTCAGCAGTCAACAGTGATATCAATCGCTCTGGCTAGCAGTGGACAGATTCTTTTCCAAACTGCATGCGGACCCGACACTACGAAAGAAAATGAGAACTGGATAGAACGGAAACGCAACACGATCCTACGTTTCGCGGGAAGTAGCTGGTACTGGCACTGTGTTTGGGATGGAGACGAAGATCGTTTCCGAAAAGTCTTCAGCATGAGCATTGAAGAGTCTAGCAAGTATGCTATCCACGGTGGTGGGGTTCCAATTCGAGTTCGCGGCGTTGCGGGTATTGTAGCTGTGGTGTGTGTGTCGGGATTGCAGCAGGAAGAAGATCATGGGGTCATTGTCGAGGTCATCAATGATAATTGGCACTAAGTCAAGAAAGTTGCCAGAAGAAATTTAATAGACCATCGTGCATGTCGTACATGGAGATTTCTTTTAGTACAAGATAATGAGTGTTGCGTTAATGATTCCGCCGATCGATGAGGCAGGCAATAGAAAGCGGTCTTCGTTCGACCTTGTTTCTTTCCATATTCCGTCACTGGCAAGGCAAGACAGAGGCTTAGGAGAGCCCGCGTTGTGTCTCATCTTCAAGGCTGAGAAAAAGCGACAGTGCCGCCGGCTTCTTCCACGAAATGCTACCTCACACGATCTGACAGCCGCAACAATATTCCATCTCAACAAGTCGAGCCACATTTCCTCGTAAATCAACTCCCATGAGTGGTGGGATTCTGATAGTGACCGAAGCAAATGCTAAATTATCCGTCTTGCGAGTAGGTCAGCCCGCATGCGCTCCTTATAGCATCAAGTCTAGACATGATCGTCAACGTATCACTCCATGAACAAACTTCGTTCTCTAGTCTTCCTGCACGGATGTCCTTGGCTACTGCATCAGCCTCATAATGGAACCCAAACCCAGGAACTTCGAAGTCCAACCGCTTCTCCTCTTGATCCTGTATTCTGATCACCAAATACCCAGGTTTGGATGGCGCCAGGCCACCGATAGCTATGGAACCTTTCGAACCTTCTATGCGGGCAAACTCTTCCCTGCCTTTGTATAGTAGCGATGCGGAACAAACTGCCTGGGCCTTGATATCTGGGTACTTTAGTACTGCAGTAACCTGCTCATCTATTCTCTCCGCGGCATTGAGTGTTTCATCGTGGAAGGTCATAGTCGCATTGATGCTCGGCGATTCTTCTGCCTGACGATGGGGTGACTTGTCAAGGATGAGAGATGCCCACGTCATTGAATAAATGCCGATATCGAGGAGAGCACCTGCACCGAGCGACTTGGACGCGACTCGGGCTTGGGGATCCGCTTTTCCGATGGGCATGTTAAGACCAAAATCAACGAAAACGGTGGCGATGTCCCCAATGACCTTCTCTTCGTAGAGGAGAGAGTGTAACTTTGTAGTGATGGGGAAAAAACGCGTCCACAAAGCTGATTTGATAAGTTAGATATTTGGTCTCTTGATCGCGCGAACGCTTCACCTTCACGCAGCCGTGGGTCGAGGAATAGAAGGATGCTTACCTTCCATCAAGAAAACTCCTTTTTCCCGTGCTGCTTCAATCATCTTCTTTGCATCTCTCGCATTGACTGCGATGGGCTTTTCGCATAGCACGTGCTTCCCAGCTGCAATTGCATCAAGCGTATTCTGTAGATGTACAGTGTGTGGTGTTCCCACGTAAACAACGTCAACGTTGGGGTCATTGTATAAGTCTTGATACGAGTCGTAGATAGTCGGCTTCTCCGACGGACAATGCTTCGAAACAAAAGCTGATCCCTTGCTTTTCGAGGAAGAGGCGACAGCTTGCACAATGTGTTTGGTGTTTGCGCCCGGCCTATCGGGAAGACATAGGTCGCCTACGAACCACGAAGATATCAATCCGCATCCTATGTGTGATATTTGTCAGCTCAGATCATCTTTTTGTCTTTTATAGAGAAACACGTACCCACAATACCCCAGCGCAGGACTGGCAATTCTGTGGTGGTCATCCTATCGATAGTCTTCGTAGGTTTCGTAGAGAAGGTGTCGCTAAAGATTGCATAATTGAGTCTTCGAGACAGCTTTTATTCAGAGCAGGTAACTAATCAGTCTTGGCCCCAGTCAATTAATGCATTTCCAACCATGATGCTCGTAGCTAGCTCAACATGCAGTCCCGTTACTCCGCGCGGCTTTTCTTCGGCTGCATCATCCAGATGTGTGGGCACGCGGGATCGTCTGTCGCCCCAATAGGTAATGGCATCGTTGGCATAGGAGATGCTATGAGGTACCAAGTAGGAATCTTTACAGATACCTAGGTAGTCAGCCAATCCGATGTTGTTCCAGCAAACTACTAGCTGTCTCTACAAATGTTATTGATCGAAGCCACAGATGCAAAATTTGATTAGAGAGCGAATGGATTGTAAGATGGTATGTAATGGGCTGTGTCTTTATGTACAGCATAGTATGTTCATTAACATCACCCGAATCAGAGTTTCGATAGACTGGTAGGAGATATATACTCACAAGAACGAAATACTTCAAGTAACAACTCTGAACAGTTTTCTGCCATCTGTTTATCAAAGGGTTCGAGAAAAGATCTCCATACAAAGTACACATTACTCGTTACCTTCAACTAAACCCCACACGGCTGTAAGCGCTACGAGTGACTACGGCATGAGGCCAACCCCAGAGCCGGCGTAGCTTCGGAATTTACATTTCCTCGTTTGCAGTAATTAACTATTGGATTGATTGGGTATTAACTAATACCCAACTAGGTATCTAGCACCAAAGATTCGGTATACAAGTACATAAAGTTAGCGAAGCCCGGAACTCCGCGAAACCTGTCGTTCCCCACGCCCCATAGATAACTTAGGTACTCGAATCATCACACAAAGCATTGATGGCGTATGTTACATGCGAATCCAACGAAAGTCCCACTGCAACATCTGCAGACTTAAGACCATCGCCGGAACCGATTTCGGAAACATCACGCAAGCGCCGCCGAAAGGAGAGGTCGAGAGTCGGTGCGGCCTATCCACGGAAGAGAGCCGTTGCGGCATGTCGACAGTGCCGCGCTCGAAAGGTCAAATGTAACAACGCGCGACCGTCCTGCGGCGGCTGTATGTCTTCAGGGTCTCCATGCATATACCAAGATAGCCAAGACCACTCTGCGTACGCACATCTTATTTTGAGGCTCAGCTCTATGAATGCTGATTGATGTTGTATAGATTTGACCCTGCTAGTATTCTGATCTTAGATCGCCTGGACCAAGTCCTTGCTAGATTGGACAACGGTCCGGCATTGTCCACAAACCCTTCCGTAACGACAGGCGCTCTGGGGCCAGATACAGCAGCTCATGTATCGACGGCCGCAGGCGGTCCCTTGGGCGAGGAACAATATAGTTATGATCAGCTTCGCATACCTTCGAGGCAAACCACGCCTGACGCGATCCTGGCTTGGCCCATTTTCCAACATCGATGGCCTGACAATTTCACAACCGACCCTCTCTTCGATGCGGAGCTTTCTGACGGGGAGACGGAAGACGCAGGTTTTCGGTCAAACGTCAGCTCACCGACTGGCAGTATCAACGAGGAACAGATCCCAGCCCTTATCCAAATCTTCTTGCGACACGTTCACTCCAAGAACCCAGTCCTCGATGCAGAATCACTGTCTTTGCAGGCACGCCATATCAGTGAAGAAGGCATAAAGTGGGACGCGGTGTCCTGCCTCGTGGTTGGTCCCGTCAGGTTCAACTTTCTACTCAAAGGGTCATGCTGATATTTCATCAGGTTCTTGCGTGTGCGTTAGGATGTGTTGCTAAGCCCTTCAGCAACGAGGCGTGGGACTCGCAGTGCACTTCAATCGAGAGAGACAGTGAATCTCTCCAGCATGGTGAAGCGTACTATGCCTGCGCTCGGAAGAGATTTGGATTACTGAAACCAGGCATCATTGCTACACAGTGCCACTTTCTAGCAGGTGTTTACTTGATGTACACCATGCGCCCACTGTCTGCTTGGCAGCAATTTCGGTCAGCCTCTACATCATACCGTTTGTATCTAGACTATCAAAGTCGGCGACGAACGCGACGTGCTACTGTCCCAGTTTCGACCAAGCAGCGTAGCCAGGAGCAGAGTCTCTATTGGAGTTGCTACAAGTCTGAATGTGAATTCCGCATAGAGATGAATCTCCCCGACAGTTGCTTGGCTGATGTTCGATACCCGGATCTGCATCCCTTGCCACCTTGTACAGATCCTGCCAGCCCTGTAGATGACCGATCAAATGCAGGCAACACTTCTCTATCTGTAAGCAAAGTTCTCGGCAGGCAGGAACAGGAAAACAGCTGGTTTTATTACCTTACCGAGATTACTCTTCGTCGAATCTGCAATTCGGTCCTAAACACTTTCTATACCATAGATTACAAGGAGTGGGATGATGAGCGTATCCCGTACATGGCGCGCGCTGCAATCGAGTTTGAGCAACAATTACAAGACTGGTGAGTGTAATGTGATCTCAAGCATTCGCATGCCTCAGCGACCTGATTAATTCATCTTAGGTATGACGGTCTGCCGTTACCACTCCAATATGAAAGCGACAGAATGCCATCGGAAGAACTTTCCTGGTGTTCTCGCGCACGCGAACTCGAGATTCGGTTACAAATCTATCAGCCTTTTCTATACTTTGCTATCCACCAGCTGCATAGCAGTTCATGTAGCAGTACGGTGCTACCTCTCGCGGAGAAAGCCTTATTTTATTGCTTCACTATTATTGACGCATTACCAACACGTCATAGACACCATGGATCCTGGTATGCTACAAGATGCAACGTATCTGCGTCGCTCCTGATTCTTGCCGCGGTCAAATGTGAATCAGTATCAGTGCGCTCAGATTGGCATTCACTGGTGTCCTACAATGTTAAGAAATTGGCCTACTGGGAAGCAGAAGCGCCAGGGCTTCCAGAGGGCCTACAAGTAATCAGGTCTTATTTATAGAAACACTATATAGTTTACTTAAAAGTATTCAGTATACCAAAATGGTTCAAATATTAGAAGGTCATGAATAATTTGAGATACAAATATTACAGCTTTTCCTCTCAAGAGTACTAAATTACTTGGTATTATCTCTGCAGCTATCAGATCCAATTCCTCCAAACCTCAGGAATAACATACAACCGTCTAGCTACCTCGCCCCTCTCACTACCCATCCTCCATTTTCTCATAACTGTACCCTCTGCTACAAACCTGATCCACATAAGTCTGGCCTCCCTCTTTTCCCCTTTCCTTGTCAAACTTGCCATCGGGCTTGATAAGATGGCGGTGAAGCGTGTGTGCATGAGGCGCAGCGACATCGTTGATAGCGGATCTTGGTTTAGATGTGATGCTATTTGGAGAAGGAGCTCTGTTGGAAGGAGAAGGATTGGTGGTTGGGTCGGCGGACCGGGGTGGTGGTTGCGGATTATTTGTGTCATTTTTCTTTCGATGTCTTTGCAGCTTTGAGGGTGGCATTTACTGTTGACTCGATAAAGAAGAAGAGATTAATGTCAAAGTAGTACAAGTTTATATACCAGAGGTATCCAAGTTCAAGGAGTGTCACAAAAACAATTTAACTTTTACCCATATAGCTGTTGACATAATAAAAGCATAATATATTTTCTGATCTCGAGATCCACATGTTCTGTGCCTTTCATGTACCAGTAACAGTAGAATACGCATAGATGCTTATCTTACATCCATGTTGGAGCTGAACATGTTTGAACAAGGCCGGAGTACAATTACCGGAAAAGCAATGAGATGTGTGCGTCATGGCAACGAATGAGGGCGTTACAAGCATGCTACTTCGCATATATTCCTTTTGTACTCTGAACGATGTACAACACGCAAAACTTTATCGACAAAGCTGGAAGATCGGATTGGGTGCCTCCCTCTCAGCCGGAGGAGGAAGCCAGCCATAGTCCTAGCCACCCACCATGTTACGATCGCCGTTTAAACACCTTTGTATCTAATAGATAATATTATGTTAATGAATGTTTCAATCTAGTAAATATTGCGAAGACTTAAGGGTTTCTTTTGCTAATTTATTATTCTGCCTCTGTAATGTCTCTGTAGTCAGTTAAATAACCTCACGAGCCTTCCCAGGACTATTTCCGGCTTTCCCCTTCGGCTGAGAGCCTCCATGGTCCCAAGAACCTGGGTCCATGTCCACCTCGATGGCCTGTTACCCATATCCATGCCTTTGGGCCCCGAGCGAAAGCCACAGATGAGAAGTCATTATCCTCTACCCCGTCTCTGCAGGGAAATATTTACACGGAGCCAAATTATTACTTTTCCAGTGAACTGAGGTAAACCTTGGCAGCTTCTTCCATGATTGCTCTCACTTTATCGACATCCAATTTTGGCTTCCTGTCAAAAGTATAAAGACCGTTCACTTCCTGTTCGATGTCGGTCAATTGGGTGTATACGAATCCTGAGATGATCCCGCTGCTGACCACACCCATGGCCAGGCCTCTCACACGCTTCAGCAAATCCTCGGGATCGCTAGCGGTGGTATATCCCCAATCCCGCTCGCCTGCATCTCCCGCGCTGCCGGGTTTGATATTGACGCCACCGAACTCTGTACAGATGACAGGTGCATCTTTACGATGGCTTGCGCCGCCGACGAACACATTCCTGCCGGCGTGCTCGCCCAGTATGTTTTCCAGCTTGCTGCAGGTCTGCGTGAGCTCGGGTGCATCGGCATAGTCATGGAAAGTCGTCAAATCATCGTAAACGTGCTCCCAGCCGCAGTTGTCATTGATAGGCCTCGTTGGGTCCAAGCTCTTGGTTGCAAAGACAAGGCTCTTGATGTGGTCTTGCTGATCCTTGGAGTCCTTCAAAGACGGATAACCCCATGTCTCGTTGACGGGGGTCCATATGATGATCGATGGGTGGTTGATATCGCGCTTGACCGACTCGATCCATTCCTGGTCGAATCGGGACATGTATTCTGCGCTAAACTGATATGCGTTTGCCATCTCGCCCCAAACAAGGTAGCCGAGCTTGTCCGCGTAATAGAGGAAGATAGGATCTTCCACTTTTTGGTGCTTCCGGCATCCGTTGAAGCCAAGCTTCTTGGATAGTTCGATATCTACTTTGAGAGATTCTGGAGATGGGGGTGTCATGCCCGTCTCGGGCCAATAGCCCTGATCAAGGCAAAGTGCCTGGAAAAGTGGCTTATTGTTTAAGAGAAGACGGTTGTTTGTGTCCCTCCACCTGATAGACCGCATTCCAGTTTGTGTGCGAACCGTATCAATGAGCTTATCGCTGTGATCATAGAGGCGGATCGTTAATTCGTACAGTGTTGGCTGAGTGGGGGACCAAAGCGCTACGCTGTTGAGCCAATAGCAGTCATTGTCCAAGGGAGCCTTTTCGAGAAAAGACTTCTCAAGTTGAGATACCTTGTCCGACGACAGACGCATACTGAGAGTGAGATCGACGCCATCATTCTCACGGCCGAGTGCCTTCTTCTCGCTACCGACAACGACACCGCCCAGACTAGCTTCAATCTCTACAGACAATTTCTGTCCTGATCTTCGGCCAGACACCTGAACGCGACCCTTCAGCTTTCCATTCTCAATGTCGTCGCTCCGGAGGGTTGTTCCATGGCTTGGATCGGCAATACGAGCAGCGGGCACACTTTCGAGCCAAACCGATTGCCAAATGCCAGAAGATGGTGTGTAGAAAATGCTCTCCGGCTTAGCTGCCCAGTACTGCTTTCCACGTGGTTGTGTCAAGTCGTAGACCGCATCCTTCACCCGGATGGTCAGCCTAGAACTGCCATCAGGCTTCAATGACTCGGTGATATCAAGGTCAAAAGGCACATGACCTCCACGATGACCACCAACATAGAATCCATCAATCCAGATTGTAGCATCATAGTCAACAGCTCCAAAGCGCAACAATACACGGTTCTGGTTTTCCTTCTCCTGAGCAGTGCGAACATCCGTGACGGTGCGCTCATACCAGATTACTTCGTGAGCGTTGAGATCATGGACACCGGATGCAGCTGTTTGAAAGACGAAGGGGACAATGATCTTGCTTTTTGAGTAGCTGTTCGCGCCGGCAGTGAAGTCGTTGTCCTTTAACAAATTCTCTGGCAAGGCCGCGATCTTTTGTGTAATAGTTTCGCCATCCTTTCCCGTAGTGGAGTCAGATTCCTGCGAGCCGCCAACTTCCACCCGCTCTGGGAGACCATTACGGTGCCAATTACTTAAGAGACCTGCATCCTCGTCATCGAAAAGGAAATCCCAAGGTCCGTTGAGAGATTTCCAGTTCAGCCCAGAGCGCTCAAAGTCTGGGCGAGGATAAGTAGTAGTATCCGGATTGACCATTTTGTATTATTCAAGTTGTTCAAGTTGGATGAAGATGAATTGGTATGGGTGTGGGACATAGGACAGATGTCAAGCTTATAAGAGTGGAGAGCTATTGAAGGATTCTCAGAAAATGCGGGGCTCCACACGTGAATATCGAATGTCGATCAGGTTCACAGTCATTCCATCACCCGCAAACTCGTATAACAAAAACCACCTTCCTAATACTCTGTTGCGAGCAAGAAGGTTGAAGCTAAAGCACGACGGCATGAGTACGCAGGCATGGAGGCAAAGGTGAGTGCACGTGCGTTGGGCGGGTGGAGAGCAATTCTAGGTTAGACATCCATGTCTACCGTTCATGTCTACACAGTATAGACTTTAAGGCATCCATTGAATTATTTATCGCCACCATCTTTACCATCCTTTTCCAAATAATCCTTAATGCTGAACATTCCGGTGCCGCGTTCGAGGGGTTTTGCCTGGTTGGGGCCCTGTTTCCAGCCAATCATGTAGATTAATCGGAAGGTTGCTGGTAGAGTACCATCCTCGTTCCCATGCAACTCTCTATAGATACCTTCCGCAGCGAGCAAAACATCCTTATGTATGCCGCCCTTCTCGCGTGCAATTACTGCATTCGACTCACCCATTGCTTGCAAGTCCTTCATCAGAGCAAATGAATCGGGAAAGTCGACCACAATGTCATCAACATCGACAGTCAAAAGATTGAAACCGGCACGCTGCAAAAGGCCGCCGATGTCGCGGACGTCTGCCAATGGAGATGTATGGGTAGATACACCACCTCTCCTATCAAGTTCCGCAAGCTGTAGTGATGTTCGCAATTCAAAGAGAGAGTCTCCACCCATCATGACACCAATGAATGGACAATCAGGCTTGAGTGCGTTGTTGACCTGAGCAAGGATGGAGGGTAGATCGTTTATCCAATGCATGCTCATACTACTCAGAACGGCATCGAAGGAGTTCGCTTCGTATGAAAGAGTCTCCGATGCCGGCAGGACCTCGCGCTGGATATCAATCTCCTTGTTGAAGGGAAGGTCTGCATCACGGTAAAGCAGCGTTTCCGACGAGTCCGCTGCTATCAGCTTGCCGATGCGACTTGACCGAGGGCCGGCATCGGGAGTCTCTGGAGACGGGAGGGTAAGCATGCGGGCCAGGTTACATGCATTTGCACCAAGGTCCAAGACGCGCGGGAAGTGACGATTTATGTCCTTGCAACTGTGAGCTATTTGCGACCTTAACATGGCTCTCGGAGTATACCAACCAATAATCGTTCGCATAATCGCGAGGCAACCTCGTCTCTGAGATAGTCCACGTTCCTACTCGTTTCCACATCTGCTGCTGCACGTTCCTTTTGCATCCACTTATGCTGTTGACTGAAAATTTCCATGGTTGGAGCTCCGGGAGCCTGCACTGCATAGCGGCGAATGGCATGGAGCGACGGCGGGGCACATCGTCGCCTTAGAGGAGGAATGAAAGCGCGAATAGACAACGTGTTCATGATGTGCTCAATTGGCCGTCCAATCCTGTCCACGCGTATCAATTGAGGTCTGCCGTGTTTGAAAGTTGAATGGCACGAATAGCTTCCCCCCAAAAAGTTACGTCAAGACCCTTGCATTCGATCGGTGTTTGTTTCCTCCGACCTTTGACCCTCCAACGACGTTCCGAAAGTTACTGTGGGCGCTCACCGTAGTTACGGTAGACAACCACAACAAAGTCGTCCACGACGCGCCATGGCGCAACCTTTCCCCTATACATACTACTCCTGCGACTGCTATGACAGTAAAGTTACCTCCATCCCCGCAAATCGCTCCTCCCAGCAGCCACAACCCGACCAAGATGAAGACGAACGCAACTTCGACCCTCGGAACCCCCGCTCGAACTTCTCCTTATACCCGATCGAACAATTGCTCTACTGTGAGGATTGCCAGCAGATAAGGTGTCCGCGATGCGTGTCCGAGGAGACTCAGAACTGGTACTGTCCGAGCTGCCTGTTCGAGGTACCCAGCTCGGTCATCAAGAGCGACGGACACAGGTGCGGACCACCATAAATGTGGTATACATTCTAGACGTAGGCTAACACCGCGGCCAGGTGCTCGAGGAACTGTTATAACTGCCCAGTATGCATGTCCGCCATGACCGTCTCCTCCCTCGAAAACCCCGCCGAACCCTCTCCCACCGGCGGTCCGTACATCCTAGCCTGCCCATACTGCCATTGGTCTACCGTCGAGACAGGGATAGAATTTGAAAAGCACACAGGGATCACAGCGCAGCTGTCACGAGTTGCAAATGGTGGAAAGCACCTACCGACACAGAAAGAGCGAGAAAGAGAACGTGACCGAAGAAAAGAGCTGGAGAACCGTCGAAGTCGAGACCTGCTATCAGGATCGGAGGACTCACCCGGGCTAAATCGAGACGACGATGGCCCCCTGACACACGAGGATCTCTACTCGAACCTGATGGCCTTCTACAAGGCACAACTCGCCGCGCAGTCCTCATCAAGCATGTATTCACCGCACGACCTGAGCTTCGCATCCCCATCATCCTACTCCCGGCTTCTCCTAAGCTACTCGACCTCCTCCAAGAAACAAAAGCGCGACAAGCCCTCCCAGATGCGAGAAGCCGCCTCCCCGCTCGAAGGCCTCGTCCTACACGACCCAACCACCGACACAGCAGCCATCGACCGCATCCGCCGAGAAGGCTGGTCGTCGACGCTCTCCCCGGCCCAGAAGCTCTCCCAAACCAACCACCCAACCATCCGCTTCACCGACGAGCTCCGCCCCATGGCCTCGATCCTCTGCACGAAGCGCGGAAAGCGCTGCCGCTCCTGCCGCCAGTACCTCTCGAAGCCCGAGTCGAAGATAACCTCCACGCGCTACAAAATCAAACTCCTAGCCCTGAACCACATCCCGCGACTCTCCCTCCGCGCCCTATCCTCCGTCTCCACCCCCACCGCTCGCCCCTCCTCCATCTCCTCCATGCCCTCCTCGCAAAACCCAGAATTCGACTACAACAACCTCCGCCCGGGAATCCCCACCCACTTCCTCCTGCACCTCTCCAACCCGCTTTTCGACAAGATCCGCGTCACGCTCGCCACGCCGTCGGTCACGCCGGGAAGGATACAGTCGCGCGTCACGATCCTGTGTCCGCAGTTCGAAGTCGGCGCCAACACGGACGTGTGGGACGATGCGCTGACCGGTCCTGGCGGGGGCGTCTCTGCCGCGTCGGGGGGAGCAGGAGCAGGAGGTGGGAAGTATGGCGGAGGCGCGTCAGAGGGCCACCAGATCGAGGCGGGCAAGATATGGGATCGTGGGCGGAATTGGACGACTGTGGTGTTGGAGGTCGTGCCTGGTTTCGCGAAGCCGCTCGCCGGGGCTGACAAGGAGGAGGTGGGCGAGTTGGACGAAGACGAGGACGTGCTTGAGATTCCGATCTTCGTGCGGTTGGAGTTCGAAGCGGACGTTGGGGTCGAGGAGCGCGGGTTGGGTGATAGTCGTGGGAGTCGGGGCGGGGGTGGCGGCGCTGGCGGCGCTGGCGGTGGTGCTGGAAGCGGTGAGACGAGGGAGAAGAGGGAGGAGGCGTTCTGGACTGTCGTTGGGGCAGGCAGGATCGCTGACGTGTGAGAGGGACGGAGGGACGAGGGATGAAAAGACGAGGAAAGGGGCAGAGACGCTCTACGGATTACGGTGTCGGGATGTTAGCTGATGTGTTTGTTGAGATGCACAAAGTGTTAGGTGTGTGGATAGAAGATAGAACATGTGATACGATACGATACCCAAATCAAAGCGAATATCAAAGCAAAGTGAGGTTTCACCACAAGAAGCAGGGCCACGGAAAAGTTTCATCTAAGACAAGGACGAAGAGAGAAGAGTAGTTAATCAAACTTTTTTGGATTGTATTGTATTTATAGAAAGATAGGGTGGAGTGTATACACGCAATCTATGTTTCGAAAGTGGTTCGGTCTATGTAACGAAGGAAGAACGTCGAATGAAGACGTGTTGAGTGTGGAGGTGATGGGGGTAATTACAAGATCTGTAATCTTTAATAAATCCCTTTCGTGTGAGGAAAAGGCGGTTGTGAGAAGTGAAACGTGAGGGATAAAAAAAGTACAGAGCGAGAATGGGGATATCAAAGTGATTTGTGTATTAGAAGAGGAAAAGACAAAGGACTGCGTATTGGATATAGTGTATCCCGTAAATGGATAGAGTTTCGCCCGCCATGCAAGCCTGAAAGTAGATAGGTAATAGAAATAAATGATGATGGATGCTATTATCCGAAAGCAAATCCCCAATGCAATGATTTTGAAATGCTAATATTTTACAATGCACGCTCTGACCGAAACAATGGACAAAATCGAAGAACACCGTAATGGAACGCCAGACACACAGATGGATCGTCGATAGTGGAACCACTAGCCGTTGTAGAGGCCAGCATCTTTGAATAAGACTTCGGGTATGCGATTGAGACGAGACTTGTGTGACTCAAATACGCAGTAGCAGGGCAGGTAATTGGGAAACGGAAACCGTACAAAGGTGGAAGAAGTTTCAAATGCGGTTCTGCCAATAAATGGAAATCGGCCACACCCAAGGAACTGGATCGTGGCCAAGTTCCGGGTATAAAAGCCCAACGTCTGCCAGAATTGCTCAGGCGAAATTGGCGGACCTCCCGTCTCTGTCCAGCAGAGGATCCGGCACTCGACTCTCGGGTGAACATGCAACTTCTTCGAATCACTTATTGTTCACGAGCAGTTCTGCGCCCTCAACCCTCCAACCGAAATCCAAAATGATAGCCCTCCCGTCCTGGCTAGTTGCCACCACGCGACGATAGTCGCTCTTAGCGCTGAGTATCCAGCTGGTGGTCCAGTTCTCGTAGTAGCCATAAGTCTCTCCCGTGGCATAGTCAGCGACGCGGATGCTTTGGTCGTACGAGCCAGAGATGGTGCGGTTGTTGTGTGCGTCCAGGAAAAGCGAGCGTACGAGCCCGCCGTGCTTTTGGGACGTATATTGCAGAGCGCCGGTCTGAGCATTGAACTTGTAAACGACATGGTCGTTTCCACCGGCGAGAATATGCTTGGCATCGTCCGAGAACTCGACCGCAGCGAGGCCGCGATCCTGAGATGGGAATTCCATGACAGCCGTGCCGTTCTCCAGATTCCAGAGCTTGGCAACACCATCGCCCGACGCGGAAACGAGCATGTTACCCCGGAGCTGGACGGCGTTGACGGGTCCACGATGGCCGGTCAAGGTGCGGAGGCGCTTGTGCGTGTGGCGATCCCAGACGTTGATGGTGGCATCCTTCGAGCAGGAGATGATGTGCTTGTCGTCGAGGCAGACATCCAGAACGCCAGCAGAATGTCCTCGAAGCCGGGTGATGGGGATGTATTCGTCCCCAGTAATGTCCCAAACGATGCAGGTGTGGTCTGAAGATCCGGTGACCATGATTCTATCGTCGTACTGGAGGCAGAGGATTGAAGCTTCGTGGTAGTCCTCGGGGACATGGTAGATGTCGTCTCCCGCGGGGGTACCGTTCATGGAGGGGTTGTCAACAACCCAATGACTGTGAGGTTCAAGCTTCTGGGGAGTATTCGCAACGGGTCTATTCGAGGGGCCACCAATGACCTTCCTGCAAGTGTACGATTTCATGTCCCATACACGGATGGTTCGGTCGCGCGAGCCAGTGATGATCTTATCCCTGCGAGATTGTCAGTTCTATATCCTTCACACCAGCTAGCGGGGAACTTACTCATCGAATTGGCAGCAGTAGACGGAATCTGTATGTCCGTTGAGGTAGATGGCAGCCGGGCTCTGAGTCTTCCACCTTCGGTTGATCGTCATTCGAACCCTGTACATGTTCTTCCAATCCTGGCCTGGCGCAGGCTTTCCACCCTTGAACTGACCGACACCAGCACCACCCATCATGATCGGTGACGGCGAGACGTGGACTTCTGGCTCGAACTTGCGGAGGAATACGCTGCGCCAAACATGCGAGGAGGATGCGGCTTCACTCCAAGCGTGGGAGACAGCTTCGGCCACAACCAGTGAGGGAGCGTCTAGGTTAGCCAAAATCATGGTTGTGATTTCCGCGGGCAGGAATTGAATTGGATCTATTTTCTTCATCAGAGATCGACGCCAAAAAGCGAGAGGATGCTTATGCCTACCCAATTTCTTCTCCTGCACGCTGTCGGTGCGCGTTATCGGGCAAGAGCACGACATTCCCACACCACTCTCGCTGTCCTTGATCACCTCATCTGACAGGTGCGAGGGCTTGAGTGCACCCTGTAGGAATGCTCGTGTGTGTTCTTGCTCGCGCTTCTGCACGGTCAAGCGTTCATTGTTGGCCGCGGCGGCTGCAGCGCGCGCCGCCTGGCCCGGGCAGGAGCCGGGGTAGTTTGCAGGTACGGGAGCCGGTGCAGGATTGTATCGAGGGTATTCCCCTGAAGGGCCTGAGGTTGCGGGCCTCCTGCTCTGGCGGAAACTGCCGAGACGTCGAAAGGAGAATTTAGACTGAACACCGACAGGTGTAGCGAGGTCGAGGGATGACGAGTTGACGGCCGAGTCGTGGTGTTGTACTTGCATCCTCTGTTGGGTTGCTTCGGCGGTCGAGGATTTGCGAGCGATGAGGAAGGTCGCGGCGGCCGGCATCGCAGCTCCCGTGTTGCTGGTAACCGAGTCTTGCCAGTCGAAGAGCGAAGGCCTTCGTGTCGAGGACGACGAAGAGGAAGAGAACCTGCGACGGACGTGTTTCTTCACGGCCTGTGAGGCACGCGACAACGATCCGGTATGTGAATGAAGGGAAGGCGCATGGTCGGCGGCGTTTGGATCTTCGTTTACTGGTCCTAAGGGGGTATCGTACACGGGATGTATGGGAGTGAAGGTCTGAGAAGCGGTTCGCTTCATCGCGGGTTCGTGGAGGCCAGAGGCAGGTCTGCTATCGTCTGCAGCAGAAGAGGTCTTTGGGCGATGGGAAAGAATGGTAGGCCTGCGATTAAAGTTCATTGGAACGGCGCGAGATGAAGACTCTCACGGATGTAGGCGAAGCTGGAATTGGGTGGAGGGCGGCGAACGGCGGCGGCGGCGAACAAGGAACGAGGTTACAGCGAGCTGGGGAATTTGGCGGTCTGAGAAACCGGTGACGAAGGTGAGACGCTCGACGAGGTGAAGTAAGGATCGGATATGCCGAAGGCGGGCCCTAGGTCAGAAACAGACGCATGCACGACACAGCTGGGCTGAGGAGGAGGTGGAGGAGAGGAGGAGGGAGGATGGGACGGAAGCGAAACGAGCGCGAGTCGTCGAGGGTTGTGTTGTTTTCGAATTGGGTCGTGTTGTATTGTGTATCGTGTTAGGGGTGTGTTGTGTGCGGGTTGTGGTGTGAGAGAAAGAGTGAAAAAGGGTGGGAAAGGGTTAAACAGGGTAAGAAACAAGGAGGGAAGGATAAATCAGTCAATGCCAAATGCCTGGCCTTGTCTTGTCTTGTCCTATCCTATTCTGTCTTGTCTGGCTGTCTGGCCCTGCAAGTAGAAAAAAACAACTAGAACCGAGCGGTGCTTATTATAACTAATAATGCCTGTCACTTGTGGAAGTGAAAAGCAAGTAGCGCGACGTATTGTAAACGATATTTATGAAGAAGGATTGACGAGCCAGCGGGTGGGAAGTGAATGAGTGAGTGAGCACCCAAGAGGACAACGGAGTGATTGATGATACCCGTAGGCGTAGGCGAAGTACCCTCGTAGTACTGTAGAGTCGATAAAAGGCGGTGACCGGTGCGTGTGTGGGGGGGAAATGAACGAATTAAATGAACGAAGAGAGTGGGAGAGTGGGAGGACGAGGATGGAGAAAAATATGCAGGAAAAAAAAAGAATAGAAGAGAGAAGAGATACTCTAGTAGGAAGAGAATTGAGGGTAGGAGAGGCCGGGATTGGGCGCAGATGCAGATGCAGATGCAGGTGGGTGGCGACAAGGAGGGAGGAGGGAGGTATTGCAGTCGAACTAGAAGAACCTTAGGGAGGGAGGCATCGACTACTCGTTAGAAACCTCTTAGTAGTAGCCGACTAGTACGAGGTAAGATAACTAGGTAAGTGTGTGTGGCAGTGGCAGTGACAAGAATGACAGCGTGCGAGCGGGAATGATGATGATGGTGGCAGTGGCAGTGTGATGGGATGGGATGGGATTATGGATGATGATGGAGGATAGCGCCGCCGCCTGTCGATGTTGTAATAATACAGGCTGAGGCCAAGAATAGCGATTATGATTCAGGCCAGGTACTTGTACTGTGTACATGTACATGTACATGTACATGTACAAAGCGTATGGGGTATATTATATATGTATATGTACACGGTAACTATGTACAGGGGTACCAACAGAGTCGAACTGAATTGTACTCAATGACTAGGGCATCGGATCCGATCATGTAGGTGCTGTGAAAGGCTTTTAACAAATATACAAGAGTGGTTTGTAAAGCACGATTTAAGTTGGGACTTCGTAACCTAGGTAGTATACAGACACTAGTAGGTGACAAGGTACCGGTACCGTTGAGGTGAGGTGAGGTGAGGTTGTATGAGCTGCAGAGATACAGAGAGAGAATCAGAGGTTGACCCGGAATTGATAGGAAACGAACAAAGTCAAGTTTGGTTGGTGGTTCGCCTGGCTCGCCTGTTTCGCCGGGTTCGCCCAAAGGATTTGGGGGGATTGGGGGATGACGGAAGAGTGGCGTTTGACGGCGAGTATTCTTGTTTAGGGGTCGGAGATGGGATTGGAGGGTTGTGTGTTAGGGTCTGGGGTTGGATGGAACGTGGAACAACCTGCTCGGGGTTGGAGAGTTGGAGTTGGCGTTGGTTAGTTCGCGGGTTTCAAAGGTCAAGAGACAAGAAGAACATGAATAAGACATGATGATGATGATGATGATGATGGTGGACAAGGAAAAGAAGAACATGGAGAACACCAAAACAAGACGAAGAAGAACGTGGCTGGAGTAAACAATAAAGTATCAACCAACCAAGAACGAGCAAGCAACCACCTAATCCATCCTGCAATATAGGATGTATGCAGTACTCCGTACATGTCACTATCACATCTGCCACCGTGATGCTCTCCCTCTCTACAAAACAGTTCGTGATGTATCGACCGTGTAATAAATTATCATCAACAACTGATCCTCCACACAGAGTAACTAGTCAGTCACATAGCAAAGGAACTAGAACTGAACCTACGAGTAGAATCAAGAGAACTCAGTTGCTAGGTCGGCGGCAAAACCATGGCTGCATCACGGATCATGGATCGCCTTATTCTCCACTGTGTACTGCGATTACAACGATCAATGTCGCACTAAGAATCGCGCTTGGATCGGGGGATTGTCGAAGCCAACGGGAAATGGAAATGGGAAAGGAGAGCGACGAACGAGTCGAGCCGATATTGTACGAGGAGGGAATAGAGTTTGTCGATCATCATCCTCCATATTCATCCACCCCATCTCCAATGCTCATCAACAAACATCAACATCAACAGAAGCAGAGACAAACTCTCATCGGCATTGAAACACAATCACCTCACGTCGCAAGATAATTTATCCGGCAGTTACCGTGTGCATGTCCTCGGGCTCAAGCATCACACCATTTCCATTACTTGCCATCGATTCGCATCGATTCGCATAGATTCGCGATCCGTCGCATTCATTCCCATGGAGTGAATGGTCGGTCTTGGGGTGTTTTACTAGAGACGACCCCATGGTACTGTGTAAGGTACATGCCATATGCCATATGCCATATGCGGCATGCCATTTGCTATATCTGACCCGTCCCCATTCATGAATCGTATCCAGCATTTGAGGCTGTGACATGGGTAATCAACTCGCCATTGTCAACATCACCCTCTTCTTCTTACTCGTAGGTACCATCATCAGCTTCTACTCAGCAGAGGAATGTTGGCTCACTCATTGGCCCCCGCCTTCTAAGTGCTATTATTATCCTCGTAGGATTTGACGTTGGATTCGCAAAGCGCGGGGCGTCAACAACCTGAAACGCATCATTGTTCTTATTATCTAGTATCCAGCTATTATTGTCAGAGACTAAGTGCGGAGTAGAGCAGACTCTCCCCCATGATATTCGTATCCTTGTGGTCTCGTTGTTTCGTACCTAAGTTACCTGTCCTGGCTCGTAGCGGCAATTGTTCTAAGTCCTCGCCGCGCTGCCATTTCATGTCATCGACATACACAGTACCTCGCAGCATTCATCAATCTAACTCCTTAACCTTACCATCGCGTATACCATCGTTTTCACCTTCTTCATCTTCTTCCATCCGTCGCATATTCCTCCGTATTCCCTGCGGAATCTGGACACTGCCCCTCCACCAACCCGCATGCCCTAAAATACTCCGTCTCTGTCCCCCAGCAATAGTACGAATAGTAGTGCCCCAACATCCCGCACGACAAACCTTCCCCGTCCAGTCGTTCAACATATCTTGTACCTTGCCCATCCCTACCACCTATCCTTGTAAGTACAGAGTAGAGTACGGAGTACTACAGAGTATCTAGACACTTTCATCGTCTTGACGGTACACCAACATTCCTACTGAATCTCGGTTCAACTCTGCAAAGATCCGAGCCGAGTATGTCCATGCTCGTAGATAATGTCCATTTCCGCAGGTACTGTATGCATCGATGTCTCACGACGTCACAACCTCTCCGTCGGTAACAGACACTATCCAAATAGCTAATCAACATGTAAAACTCTTTTCGGAGGACTCCCTTGGCGCCTCCATAATCTGCTCATGCAATAGACGCTGTCCTCTGGTTACCATCCGAGTCTCCATCATCCGCCCCCTCCCCCTCACCGCCTCGTCCACAGCTACGAGTACTCAGAATCTGGATCATCGTCTTCGTTCTCGCCGTTTGCCATTGTCATCGCCACCAACTCCCTCGTTGTCTCGTCTCGCCTCGTCTTGGTCCTCGTCGCCCTCTTCATCGCTGCCGCCGCCCTCGTGATATTTCCCCCGCAGTACCAAACACTTCCAGTACTCTGTACTCCGTACATCATGTCACATCCCGAAGATATACCCACGGCTTCCCGCATTCCCGTCCTCTACCGTGCCCTTTTCCTCTACATTGAGCCATTTTCCACCCTCGCTGGTGCCGTCCAGGCCCACTACAGACAATCGCAGTATCTCCAATTGACGCATCCGGCCAGCGCACCGGCACATGACCGCATTCCCCTTTCCACTTCCATCGTCCTCACCCAGTTAGCCAATCTATACTTCCTGCTGTGTATCAACGAGGCCCTGGTACTTAGGTGCACCCGCGACCTCAAAGTTTGGAAGACTTTTCTCTTTGGCCTATTAGTTGCGGACTTTGGCCATCTATATTCCGTCCGTCTCGTAGGCTCCTGGATCTATTGGAAGTTTTGGCAGTGGAACCCAATGGACGTTGGAAGCGTTCCATTCGTCTATCTTCTTGCGATTGCGCGTATCCTGTTCCTCGCTGGCGTAGGATTTGCCAGCCCAATCATCACGACAACCACAAAGACAAAGGGATACACGTACAAAGGAGCCTGATCTTCACATGTTTCAAGGTTTGTTGTTTATTTTATTCAGGCGCTTCTCATCCAGAGTTGTATCAAAGAATACCAAACAATAGTGAGCTTCGGAGTCGTACGTTCAGCATTATCCAACATGAGCGAAGACAACCAATCATTCGTCCACTGCGTCGTCCACGGCAAGGCCGCCATTGGACGGTGTCAGATCTGTGTTATGGTCGGGTCCGCCTATCACCCAACAACTATTTGTGACTAGAAAATACCACGACGCAACGTACAACAAGAACGCCCAACAACAAGATGTCAAAGTTTTATCGTTCCTATCTGAAATCCACCACTGTTAAGGCTCTTCTCTCATACATTCTCTGAGACAGGTACTCAATTGCCTGCTGCTAGATCCAGCTACTGGATGCCCGGCATTGGGCACTCTACTCGAGGTCGTGTTCATCCATTCATTTCCCTCGGCCTGTGCCAATTGAAGGCGTGCCAAGTTTGCATATTGCGTGACCACAAAAATTACAAATAGCAATTCAGCGGCTCAAGTCTTGCCGGCCCTCTATAAGCCAACGCACGTAATTGGTTCCAACGGCATCTTGCCCGTCGCGAATCCTTCCCTACCCCGGATTTTTGCCGTCCACGTCGAGGACGAATGCGCATTGCGCACCGGAAAGAATCTGGGGTCGCTACAATAGGGAATTCAAATTCGTACTTGGGGTAGGGCAATTCTAGGTGGCCTCTAGTCTCCCTCCATCCTTCCCCTCAAAACCCCGTCGCCAGCATTCGCCGGACGGGATCGCCACGGCGTGGAGAGCACATGGCAGCCCGGTCTTTAGCCTGGGATAGCCTTTTCGCGTTGAATGAAAGAATGAAAGAAAACCTGTAAAGCACTAATGCAGCAAGGACAAGCAAGGGAAAAACTCGATCAGAGTAGCGGCGAGCGGCGGCTCAACTCGGGGTTCGGAGATAGGCATCCTTGCCTTGACCACGCTATCGCCAAGACACTCAGCCTTATCCGCACCTCTCCCGATTGGGACAAGCCCGTGAAAAGGGTCTTCCCCAGTTCTAAGTAAGCCATGATTTGTGATCATTCATGGTCAATCTGATAGCCGTTGCTTGATTGCACTAGTCAAGGTGACAAACTTCAGACCTGAACGGCAGATCCGTCCACAACTCTATGTTTTTCCTCTATCTAAGGTCTTCCGTTCTGTTCATAAATTACATATCTTCTACAAGCCTAGATTAGAAAAGAAAAGATAAATGAAGCATCACAACCCACTTCTACTTATTACAACCGTATTCAGCGATTAATGCCTTTAAAGTGAACTATATAATTTCTAAACACTCAAAATCTCACCTAAACAAGAGCTCAAAATTCCCGATTGCCATATTCACATCGGCCTTCTTATTTTCACTTCTTACTACAAGTAGAAGAAAACCTATTCGTAGAACATGGTTTGGAATCAAATGTACATGGCATTAAGTACTCATAGTTTCTCTTCTGGGACATGGTACTAGTATATGCAAATACTAGTCTGGCACATATTGACTATAAGACTAAAGCAGGCACGAATCATCTTCATCGTGTACCACGTACGTTGCAAAGCAAATATAAACATATGCACTATCTCCCCACAGGAGCAAACACACTTGCTGTGGTTATAAGATTCTACACACATGCGGATCAACATGAAACAAACTACCTCCCTGAAGCTTTTCTACGTCTCAATTCAATTGCTGAGTTTTTCTACATCATTCTTCTTACGTCGATAGAACATGGCAAGAAAGAAATCTGCTCAAATTCAAGTATACTTCCCTTGCTACACCCATACGATGCTACTTATAGCCAACATACCAAAGCCTCAATGAACCTCATCACTAGAACCCACCTACGAAGAGACAAAACCTTCTCGTCTTGAAAGGAGAAAGCGAGGACGTTCCTATTCTTTCTCCCTCTACCCTGCACAAAGTATTAAGATGGATAGATGAGAGACTTGGATAGACTCTTCCGTTTGTATAACCTGAACGCACTTTTCTTATATAACTGACTGCCTGCTGTTCGTTTCTATAACAGGGCGATCGAACTAACATGTTACCTTTTTCCATCATGCGTTTGTCTATTTATTTCACTGGTTCGTTCTTTCGTCCGAAGTGCTAAGATGTTAACTATTTGTAATAAATGCTCCTTTACCGGACCTTGTAACACACAAGGACGGCAATAAGGAAAAGACAATAACTTACTTTCGAATCACAGTTCCCGTGTGTCTAAGTACGGCCTTGTTTTCATGATGAAAGCCACCCATGGCGTGGTTTATCGAACTAGGGTGATTCTGGATGCTTCTATTCAAGAAACTAAGTTCGACTTAAAGAGGATGTTAGAGTAGACAGGGGTGTGCAGGACAATAGGGGAACGATGTGGCGGACGCGGAAATATTGGGACCCTGTGTTTACGTTCAAGCTATTTTTGATATATCTTTGGTTCACAAGATGGAGCTAGAAACGAGACAAGTTTTATGCGATCGTGAGACCTAGTAGGCATTGATATTACACGGTACTCATGTGCGTGTATGTATATATTTCGACTCTGATTAGAAAGTCTTTGTATGTAGCAGGTTAAAAATCATATATAAACAAGAAGTGAACTCCCACTCATTCCCGCACCGATTCAGTAAAGATCCTCTGTAATCCTCCTTGAACCCAATTACTCGCATATTTGGCAGACTAGAATGTCTAGCAAGAAGCACCGCTTCCGCTGGGGATGTTCTGGCACTTGGTGCTCTTGACGCCGCCGGTGACCTTGACGCCGGTCCACTTCCAGTTGGAGCAGCTTCCCTTTCCGCAGAGGAGGTAGACGGGAGTGGCCTTGGAGGTGACGGAGCCGGTGACGCCGGAGAGGGTGAGGTCAGTGATGGGGACGCCGGTGGTGGGCTTGCCGGTGGGCGAGCCGTTCTCGTAGTCCTGCTGGATGACAATGCCGTACTTGCCGATGTTGGAGAGGGTGATGTCCTTGTAGGTGACGTTCTTGACAGAGCCGGTGGCGCCGGAGACGGTCTTGATGCGGACACCGTTATCAGAGTTGAGGATCTTGGAGTTCTCGATGATGACGCCAGAGACGACGTTGTTGGAGCGGCCGCCAACGCTGCCGATGGAGAGACCGTGACCGCCGGAGCAGGTGCCGCCGACGAAGTGGATGTTGGTGCCAGAGTTGACGGCAAGGCAGTCGTCCTGGTTCTTGACGTTGGCGTTGGAGATGGTAACGCCGTCGGAGTTGCCGACGTCAAAGGCATCAGTGTTGTGTCCGCCGTTGGTCACATCGCCGGCCGAGTTGTCGATCGTGATGTGATCGAGGGTGAGATCCGTGGCGGAGCTGATGGAGAAGCCCTGAACAGGGGTGTTGAGGACGTTCAGGTAGGAGATGGTGGACTGCTTGAGGGAGTGAGCAGCGAAGAACTTGGGCTTCGTCTTGCCGCCGTTTCCACCCTTTCCGTCCCACCACTTGGGACCGTTGCCGTCGATGGTGTGGCCAGAGGCACCCTTGACGGTGATCTTGGTTCCGGAAACAGAGATGAGAGGACCCTCCCACTCCTTGTATCCGAAGGTGGTTTTGCCCTCGAAGACGACAGTGGTTCCGTCCTTGAGCTTGGTCAAGTCGAGAGTGGTTCCAGCGGGGACAGCGATGTTGCTGAGGGTGATGGTAGAGCAAGAGGCCTTGCCCTTAATCGCAGCAGCGGCATCAGTGAACTTGCAGCTGGTGCCGGCGCGGGCCTGTAGTTGCCTCGTAACGTCCGATGGGAGGGCAGAAACGAGCGCGCCAGCGCTGACAAGTACAGTGGTAAGAGAGAGAGCAACCATTTTGAAGATTGGGGTTTTGGAAACGAATGTAAGTCTTTGAAAAGAAGGGATGAATGAATGAAAAGAGTGAGTGAATGAGTGATGAGATGGAAAGTTTGGACTGGAGAGTCTGCGAACTTATAGAGATTCTCTACATAAGGGATCGGATCAAACGGATGCGGTGCAATATCGCCATCATGGGGTGGCCTGGACCATTGTAGCCATTGTAGTGGGAAGTCAAAAGCTTGTCTCCCTCGGCGTAGGCTTGTTTCTACGTAGATGAAGGGTTGTCGTGGAAATGATGTGGGTCCACATGGGCTGCTTATCGCTTCGTAGGCGCGGGAGTTCGCCCAAAAACCGTTTAGCCAGCAGTCGGCGCCGATTTCAAATACTCAAATACAACGATGCAGCATGCTATGGACGGAAGATTTCCTGGAGAGAATCACTGTCCAACTTACACATCGTGGTACTGCAGGTCACGGATCCCGCGTCGCCCAATAGCAATTTGATAGGAGGAGGGATAAATCTCGCGAAGGAAAGAGACAAGACTAGTCAAGCAATCTTGGAAGTCTTGATGGCCAGGGCGTGATTCCTTGTTTCGTTGGTGGAAACATGTCTAACAGATGTGCCCCTGTACGCCCACGATGAGGGGAGAGATGGTGAAACACATCAGCCACATGAGGTACAGACGGGAGTCTAAGATGGTGCCGCTGACCCGTAGGACATTTCTCTCTTCGATTGCCACGAATGAAAACGCTTTGCCTTAATGACTCGCTGCCCGAGATCTTCTAGAACCCTCAAAATTGCAGCTTAACCTCTCGTGATGTTGTTGATATAAAGGGGAAACCGTCGTGGCGTGCGGAGAGACTAACGGCCTGACAGATGAACCATTGCTCAATTAGGGAATCAGCCATTCCAGATACGGATTTGTGCCGCTGTCTGCTCGTACCTCATCTACAAATTTTGCTGCATCGGTCCACGTGCAACGAATATTGTCCGTTCAATATGTAGACTACAATGTTTTCTAATCTTGGTTTGGATCGGAATGTACGGATGAGGAGTCTTGTTTAGTTGTTTGGGATTTATCGTGGCTTTGCTATTTGTAAAGCTAGCACGGCCCGCACTAGGATCTATGAATCGCAGGGCCTCCCCTACCTCGGTGCATTCGATTCTGTTTATTGCATGAGATGCTAGCATCCAGTGCTGCATTAATTGATGGGCCTGCGAATGAAGGACAACCTCACAACATACATGGCCTAAATCATGCTATATGCACCATTTGCTGTCTGGGTTTGTCCACGAATAACAAAGAGAATCAAATGTCTACAGGAAGTGCTACAATCCAGCGATAAAATTTACCTGGCAACCGGCCTTTCCAATGACTTCATCCGATTACATTCAATTCCGCCTATAGAATACTTCTCCTCCGTCTTGCGCGTTTGCTCTAAGCTCCCAAGTTAATCAGCATGGAGTTTGCTGCGCTCCTAGTAGAAAGGTACATTGGCCTCGAGAACTGAATCGCCCTCGAACACGAGGTATTGTATGCTCTAATTATATGGTAATGTCGACGTTACTTGTTGCGATTTATATACGGGGTGATCAATATCTTGACCAAAGAGCCAATTGTGGGATTTTCTCATGTAGTGTTGGAAAACCTATGGTAAAAATACGAAGTTTGCTCCTGTCTATACACTTCATTCAAACAAAAATCAGGGAAAAGTACCCTCCTTATCTGATGTCGTTGGCGATGGTCTCTAGCTTAACCTCTTTATTGCTATCGCCGCCCTTCTCTCAACCACATTCTCGCACGGACATATCATTGAAGCAGCGTCCACTAAATTGCTAGGGCCTTTCAGTTTCAATCATCTGTGAAACGCATGTGCGATTATTTTTGTTCGGAGTATTCGGAGTGTTGATGAAAGAAACAACAATTGGGATATCTCTTCTTTGAAGAAGGAAAGTCTGGCTGATCACATTCGTTAACCGTTTCATCACCTATCACCGGGTTACTTCACTGAACATATAAACAACAAAATTGACGGATAGATACTGCGAGAATAATCGAATTCTCACTCTGAACTATACAGGACTAGGACTGTTGGTCACGTCATTTACATGAAGTCTCTCGTCGTTGCAGTAATATATCTGGCATCTTGTCAATATAGTCAGCAGATCCCAGTTTTATTTTCCCGTCAACGGACTTTCACGCACAATTTTATAGTATACCTGCAGAGAACAACACTATCTGCTCTAGATGATCCTGCATCATGCTCTTTCATTCACTGAAGTCCCGACGACCTAATGCTTTCTACTCAAAGTCGTTACGGGAAGACTGTCGCTGAATCCCCCCGAGCGTTGTTTCTTGCACTTTCGAGTAAACTATGACCTACCAAGTGTCCGTGTTTACACGGACAATCTCGGCCAGATTCCAGAGGGTTTCTGATTGAATGTTTGACACGGACGCAATAGTCGACAATCATTAAGGAGATCTAGCAACTAGATATTCTGTCGGAGAGGAATGTTATTGACCATATAATCGGCGGTCAATTTCAGTATGTACTCGAAAGACGTACAAATGTATAGTCGCAAAGGACGAGGCTGTTTCGCGGGGCTCTCAAAGTTTCAACTCCACAAACACTACCGTTCGGAAACCATTTTCCAGTCGCAAAAGGGGGTCAGTTCTTCTAGGCAAGCTACGGGATGGGCTGCAATTCCACCTCAACCATCTCGAGGTTAATGATGTTACTATTTAAATTTTCCATTGTGATATCCCAGATTGGACGTCAAGAGAAAGCAGAGAGTAGCACAATAGTGAGAGATAGCAACTATTATCCACTACTCGCAAGTGTATATATGTCATCAGTGATTGGAGATGAAACTCGCACTATAGCGAACCTCAACTATAGTGTGCAATGTTCACTAATCTGTTGTTAGGCTCTATGGATCAAGGACAATAAACATTGTGAGAGTAAGACATTGTGAGAATACAGAAATAATTTCACAGCCCTTTACTGCTGTGGCTGGTTTTCATGAACCTAGAAGCATATATAACCCTGGAATTACCACAATAATACCACGAAATAATACACACGGAACCATAGCATATTTCCTGTGTAACCTTCAAGAGATACACATACACGAGTTTACTGAGTTCAAAGCTCAGTCATGCCGAATACGGAACAAAGACCATATCCTTTTATGGGATTGATCACTCCCGGCAATGCCGTCTTCACCTTGGAAATACGTGATCCCATGTGCGTACTTGGGCCAACGCTTGAGGAGTTCCTGCATAACCCCGAACAACAATTCTTCAAGCCAGTTAAGGATCAGCACCTCACTGACGGCGAACGTCGCGACATCTGCCTTGAGGCCTTTACGGAAGATCACCGTGCGGTAGAGTTGGTCGGCAGCCCTCGGTGCCAGGGCCACGTGTTTGGCAAGGCTTGCATTGAAGAATGGTTCAAAACTGACAATCACACGAATTGCCCAACATGCAGAAGCGTTCACATCCGCTATCCTAGATTCGTGGATCCAGATCCCGACTCCGACGAAGGATCGTTGTTGCCTCTCCCGGTGCTGCGTGAGGACTGGCGTCGATTAGTCGCCCAGGGTGCCGTGCCACGCGATTGCAAGTCGATAATATTCTTCTTATCGTATCGGCACATCGCCGCCCTTGACTTCGTATTGACTCCGCATGGCATTCCCGCCTTTATAGATTTGCTGTGGAGTGCATTGTGGTTGAACGAGGATTCGATTTTGGTTCCACCATCATCTTCGCAGACGGTTGGAGTTTTTGAAAACATCTCCACCTCGATGAAAGCTACGCGTGATGAGATGGCGGAGGCTGAGAGAATAGACCTAAAGGCTACAGGTTTTAGGGTGCCTGAACTTCCCGAGGTAATGAGGCATGCCTTTATTCAGCAGCTGGACCAGGCAGTTCAACCGGCACTGTCATGGTTCTGTAGATCGTACAGGATCATAACTCAGCTCCCATTGAATTGATGCAGGGGGCAAAGAAGCCCTTTGTTGATCTTCATGTTCTCCCTCTGAGTACGATAGCATTGAACCATATAGACGCGAACACAACCAATGAAAACATACCCAATATAGATAGAGCAATATTGCTATTGGCGATCTGACTACAAAGAGGCCATATAATCTGGCCAGCTCCCAAACACCAATTTGTATTCGTGATTGTGTTCCAGTGCATTCAAAAGAGCAGTAATCAATCTTTCTTTTTTTTGCTTCTTATTTTAATTGAACACCACAGTCTTGACACCATTCAAGAATACCCTCCTTTCACTCCACCACTTGACCGCCGCCGCCAATACCTGGCTTTCAACATTGGAACCCTCCTCCACCAACTCCTTGGGCTCTAAGGTGTGATCGACCCTCGCAATCCTCTGCTCAATGATCGGACCCTCATCCAGATCAGCCGTCACGAAATGTGCTGTGGCACCAATGATCTTGACACCCCTGTCATACGCCTGATGATACGGCTTCGCGCCCTTGAAAGATGGCAGGAAAGAGTGGTGGATGTTGATGATCTTTCCGGACATCTCGGAACACAACCGGGGGGACAGCACCTGCATGTATCTTGCGAGCACGACAAGATCGATGCTGTGCTCTTTGATCAAATTCAGAATCTGGGTCTCTTGTTGCTGCTTGGTGTCCTTGGTCACGGGGAGGTGGTGGAACGGAATGCCGTATGATTTGGCCAACGGCTCGAAGTCAGGATGGTTGCTCACGATGACGGGCACGTCGATCTTCAATTGGCCGCTCTTCACGCGGAAGAGCAGGTCGTTAAGGCAGTGACCGATTTTCGACACCATGATGAGGACCTTTGGCTTCTCCTGGACGGGGCGGACGTTGTAGTCCATCTTGAGCTCCTGGGCCAATTGCGCGAGGGGGCCATTGAGGCTGCTGAGGTCGGAGGCATGGCCAAAGTGCACGCGCATGAAAAAGGTCTTGGAGTCACGATCGGAGAATTGCTGCAGGTCGAGAATCGTGAGGTCCTGCTCAGCGAGGAGCTTGGTGACTGCATACACAATTCCCGATTTGTCCGGGCAGGACAGCGTGAGGTAATGATCGTCGCCTTTAGTTGTGGCAGCCATGTCGAAATCTGCGATCGTCTCGGATCGTTTTGGAGTGTGTATAAGACGGTGCTGCTTCTGCTGCTGGAGATGGGATACAGACACACGGTGTTGTCGAGGCGTATACTTTTGTTGTGGTCGTGTTCTCTGCAAGTAGTGACTCACGTGCAAATTTCTATTGTGTGGTATCTGAATTGCCGGTTTCGGCAAATATCTTTGGACAACTGTAGTTCGGCCCGACGCCGAGAAATGGAGTGGGAGAGTAGAACTTTGAGCATTTTGAGACTGTAGAGGCCTGCTATGCGCAAGCCTGAGCAATTGGCTCCGTCCGGGCTGCGTAAACATAGTTATTGTTGTATTGCTGGTGTTATGTAGTTCTTGAATGCGTGTGAATGTACCGACATCGGTCCGTGCACATTCCGGATTTAGCTCTCTGGTCTACAGTAGTGACGACAGGAATGGAGTGAATAGCCTAATACTGTGTAGACGTCGCCGTAGTCCCCGTTCCGAGGTCAGTGCCTCGTGTCGAGGGCACAGTTGCGTGCGGATCGAGGGTTATTGTGGGCCCTCCTCCATACAATGTGTGGAGTGCTAGCATGAGCTTGCAATGGCACGATGGTCAATAGAGTGCGGAGTGCGGGTTAAAAAGGTCGGGGGAGCGCCCTTTGAGAAGATCATTATTCTGAAAACTTTCTTTTCATTCAATCCATCAACTTCTACTTCTTCTGTTGTATTGTTCCTTTGCAGAACCTCTCTGTATAATTCATACTACACAGCGAATATGTCAGCATCAACAGCAACTGAGGCAGCACCTGTCAAGACCGTCCAGCTCGAGGGCAAGGTCATTGTCATCACTGGTGCCAACCGAGGAATCGGATTGGGCATTGCTGATTGCTGTCTTTCCAACGGTGCCCAGCGTGTCTACTCCGTCGACATTGGCGAGACTGGAGAGGAGTTCGCTGAAGTTTCCGCCAGGTATCCCGGCAAGATCTTCTCCCTCCAGGCAGATGTCACCAAGGAGGCGTCGATACAAGCAGCCGTCGACAAGATCATCGAGGATGCTGGTGCCATTCACGGTATGGTCTGCAATGCCGGACGCACCAAGCACAAGCCCGCCCTCGACTTCACCACTGAGGAGATTGACCAACTTTGGGGCGTGAACGTAAGTTTTTACATGCAATACAAATTAACTACTTTCGACGATAGACTAATCTTACAACAAACAGCTCTACGGATCTTTCTACTCTGCCCGTGTTGCAGCACGAGCTTTCATCAAGCTCGGTGTCAAGGGCTCCATCGTCTTCACAGCCTCTATGGCTTCTTACAGGCCCAACAAGGTACCTTTCCCGAGTTCCTAGAATTCCACCGCCGTCTAACCCTTTTTCTTTAGCGTGTCCCCTCTGCACCCTACGGCGCATCCAAGGCTGGTGTCCGCAACATGGTTCACACTCTCGCCATGGAGTGGGCACAGTACAACATTCGCGTCAACTCCGTGTCCCCAGGTCTCGTCAAGACCGCCATGACCTACTGGGTGCCTCAGCAGCCCGACTGGGAGCAGCAGCTCAAGTACTACGGCGGTATCCCCCGCCTGGCCGAGGTCGAGGAGTTGGGTGGTGCTTACGTCTACCTGTTGAGCGACGCTGCAAGCTACACCACCAGTATCGATATCCCCGTCAACGGTGTTATCGGAATCTGCTAGATACCCCCCAACTTTTTTGTAGACTTCTTCTTCTACGACAAGAACAAAAAATAACAAAGCAATATCGTTCAATCCGTCTTTTCCTTTTCCTTCCTTTTTCTTGCATCTTGTCTTCTAACCTGCAATCCTGCATAGGGTATTCCTTTTCGAATCGGTCCCACCTCGGAAGGAACACCGAATGCACAATGTCCAGCACCCGGGAGGTCGCCAATGCCCATGTACTCTAACTCGTGGCCGCCCTCCGATAACACACCAAATTTCAGTCTGGTGTGCATCAATTCTGGCGGGAAAGGATCGTTGCCTAAGCACGCGCCTCTGCTGATCTCGTCGAGCGTGGTATTCCTCGTCGTGACCATGATTCTCGAAAAGCCAACGGAGAACGTGACTCCATCCTCCCAGATGGTCCAGAAACCCAAGAGCAGGAATATAAGGACGAAGAAAATAACGGGCGCGTACGATGCCCACAGTTTCCAATGGTCGTAGATGAACGTGGATCGAACTTGCCTTCTACGCACCCGCGTTTGCTGCTCGGAAACAACCAGCAAATTTGGAACCGAAAACAGCGAGAGAATCATTTCGGCGTAGAATTGCTGCACAAGAGTTGGGAGTCCTTCCACCGGGATGCTGCTGGTGTTACTGACTAATCTGGTCATGGCGATCTGGGAATAGACCTTCGCGAAGAATGGCCCGGGAATCTGAGGTTCGACGACCATGCTTCCCCTCAGGAAGTATCGCAGGCGCTCGCCCATGGCGTGGTACGCGGCGGTCTTTTTGTATTTCAGGACGTCCTTTCGTGGATCCACGAAGTTCTCTGCTGGTAGGATCTCCGTGGTATTTTCGTCGTACCTGGTAAGATTGGTGTCGATGACCGGAGCGAGGAACTTGTAGTCGATGTTCGTGGTGAAAAAAGGACCGCTGTAGTTGAAATCGACATTGTACTCGGTTTCATAGTGTACACATCTGAGTATACGGGGATCGAATCTGGTTTTCCAAGAATCCTTGTATCTCGAATTTTCGGGCAACGTCTCATTGGAATCGACCGAATATCCGATCCACAGCACCGGCTCAGTCTCGAAAACCCCAAAATCATCAGACACGGGCCCCTCGGGTACTCCTCCTCTATTCGATAGGTTGTCCGATTGAGGAGAAGCATAATTTCCATCATCAACCTGTGCCCAGTAGACGTGGCGACCCTCTGGTGCAAGCAGACTCGTGTTGAAAGGTGCATGCATGTCCTTCAACTTCTCATGATCCTGGGGACCTTCCGCTACCAGTTCGCATTTGTAACCGGGCGCTACAAAATTGATGGAGTAGGTGCAATTGTATTCTCCGCCGCAAGATTCGATTCTCGCGTCTTCTCGGTTGAGCGATTGGTTCTTCAAGCTGTATGCTGCCATAAGCGTGACGCGCTGGACATCCGCAGACGGTTGGTCGTAATAGTCGAAGAAGCCTTCTTTCAATCCATCCGGATCCGTGGTGTTCATGAACACCAGTGACTTTTTCTTGGTCCCATCCTCTGCATATACTGGTTTGCGATAATCCTTGTACGATTCGGCAGTAAAATTCAAAGTCGGCACCATAAGATTAGTGCGGTCCGCAACATATATGTCTCCAAAGGTAAGGGCACCTGGACTGAAAATGATCGTAGCGAGCGGTATAAGCCAGATAGCCAACGCCATCAAAACGGGCAACTTTGCCTGTGTGAGGGTTTCCCAATTGGCGAAGAGCGATGGATCTTCGGTTGCGAGGAAAAGCTGGTCAATTGACATGATAGACAAGGGCTGCTCTCTCATTGTTCGCCATATGCGCTGGCGGTAGCATAGGATGACGCATCCCCCGAATGTGATCTTTGAGAAGTATGCCATTGCACGACCGTACAGCACCCAACGTATACGTTTGTCCTCATTGTGCTCAACCCTATGATGGAGGTATCTGTATAGGAAATGTTGGCCCAGCACAAGTATGAATCCCAAAAGAAACGACGATGCCATCAAAGCTGGTGTACGCCAATGAATCTTCCACTTCGCTGCTTGCGTTGCTCGATGCTGAATTAACCTCTGCGTCATAGGGTCCGTCCGAGAGCGTGAAAGGAAACTTGCTGCAGGATGCGGTGTCCTGGGATACATCGGTGGCGATCCATTTCCTGGCAGAGGGTCATAAACGCCCTCCACATGTGGTTGCGGTTTCTTGAGGTGGTAAGTGTTATTTGGAGATGCTGGTGATTGGATGGGGTTCATGTGAATGCCCAGATATTGTTCGAATTGTTCCTCAAATCTCGAACCAGACTTCGGCGGCGATCGTGAAGAACTTCTGCTTCTCCATTGGTCACTGTCATCTTCCTGAGCCCTCGATATCTCATAGCCTTGTGATGGTCCTAGTGGGGATACAGGAGAGGGCATGGCGCGTGTGCTGTGAATGTCATGGGATCACAAAAGCAACGCGCGGTGAATGATAATGCCCATAATATTGGAAGAGAAAAAAAAGAGTGACTTCGAGCAGACAACTATTTGGTGGGGTAAAGGTGTACATACATGTGTGACATCCAACAACATGGGCGGTGTCAGGGAGCTGAATGGCGTGCAGGCTGAGCTGTGGTCAGGACAGCTGTTGGTGCTGGCGAGGCTGAGAACTCGAAGGCACTGCAGGTTAGTACATGCATCATTCTGCAAGAATGGCTACGTTTTCTCTGCCTTACGTTGCGCCGTGTTGTCCTCGAACTGATGTTTGCTTATGGCCCCCATGCCGGGTCTGGAAACTTGTCCATTTTGTTACAAGATCAAAGTCCCCGTCGTCTCCAAATAGATACAGCGCTACTGTGAATACGAGGCTGCACTGGGGCCAATGAAACCGCGGACTGAATCCTGCTTTAGCCGTTATAGGGATTCCTGGGACGAACACGTCTAAGTTCGGCAATAAGCCATTCCTTCTGGGAGATAGCTGTCAGCCGCAGGGCTGGCCTGACAGTTGTATGACACTTAGCGCGACTAGTACCGACAACACCGAGGCTGTGTACACTTTTATATCAACGGACTTCGCGCCCACACTTAATGCAAATGGAATCTGAGTATAATTACTTCACTCGCCCCGACGGTTTTAGAGACACAGGTGGTCGCAAGAGTAAATTGTGGCGCTCCAAATACATGATCATATCACTATCACGTGCTTAGTCGAGTTTAGTTTCCTCTAAGTCTTGCTAGGTATCTTTGCAGCATGCTGTACGGCTAATTTTCAGACCCTTGCAAAGGTCCTCTCATTATCGAACCATGATATAGCTATAGTACGATCTTGACCGTTTGAATCTCTGGTAGCATGAGATTTCGGAAGCCGCTCCGAGACGTCAATGCGCACTGCTATCTCCATTGGTCAGAGGGGGTAGGGATTGCCATTTTGTATACAGGCGTAGTTTAGTTCGAAATCCAGTGAGCTATACCGGAGAATTTGTCCTGAATAAACCATCGTTGTCGCCTACTTTACAATGTCGGATGATTGAAATGCGAAGTAAATGTTCGCGAGGATCGCCTGCCAAGTGCTCTCTTCTGCGCATCTGATTACCGCTATGTGTGAACAATTGATCGGCTCGCCTCGAGGTATGCCCCTAGTGGGCGATATTATCGGCAATTGACGCATTCGAAAATATGCAAAGGAGGAATTAAGTCCATAGCAGCTGGTCTTCAAACTGGACTAGGTGAAGAACCCAGTTCCCAAGAGCTGTAGGCCAATTACATTGGGAAAGCACGAGCAGATATACCAATGGATAACTCCGGCATGAGTATAATGACCTATTTCCAATACAAACCTACTACACGCTTTATGCTTTGCGGTCGCCCAAGTCCCAATGAACAGTCCAACCTATGATGCTGATAATCGAAAGTTGGTCGACAGTATATACAGTCGCCAATTGATATGAACGCACAATCTTGCCAGATAACATTTCAATCCGATATGGATATTGATCCTGGAAAAGAATTAAAATACCCCCGATACACAACATGCATTGATGACCCCTGTTATGTTTGACTTCTGAGTGAGCTTCGCACAAGATTGTCGCGCTAGACTCCAGGCAGCATGCGCCTTCAGAGAGGCCCTGGCCGGAGAGTCCTCCGAATCGATCCAGCATCATCGGTTTCTTCTCTTGCTCAATAGGTAAAGGGAGGTATTCGGTTCGTGGTCGGGGCTATGTCTTCGGTGATGGTGTAAACGCGCGCGGCTGGTTTGGTAGTTAGCTTCGAGCTTCGGCACCCGCGGTCTCTACAGCGGTTTATGAGGTCTCCATCCTTAACGCCTTCTCGTTGGATCTGAGGCGAGGAAATCAGACGGAAGTCTACTGTTGGCTCTGTAAGATCAGCTTCCAGTAGTGTAATGCTCTCGTCAATGGGTGCTTCGGTTTAGTTGGGACGAGGTCACCACGGATAGTACTAGCATGCCAACAACAGATGAAGAGGAAAAGAAATCATAACCGAAAGCCCAATGTCGAAGTAGGCTGTCAGCAGAACTTGGCTTGTTGTCAAAGAGATACACCAAGCAAGAGCTAACTTCACCTACAAGTCCTCCTAAGGCGGTGGCATTATGTACTCTCCCATGCTGACCATAAAAGACAACCATGATAGACCACGAGAAACCTAGTGAATACCCAATGACCCACTCGGTGTCATCGATGAGTGTTACCAGATGTTTTTTCGATTTGGCCTGACGTGCCTGAGGGAAACACGGTGGTTTAAGGTATAAGGTATTCGAATGTGCCGAAAGCCTTGTGAACGAGGAGGTTCAATTTAGAGTGCTTGGAGTAACTCCTTTCAAACGGAACAAATGCGAAGATGCATCAATATTTGCTGCAGAAAGCAAATTTTGTCACTACCACTCTCAGTACTCTAGGAGAACACAATGCCGTGGATGTATCTGCTCGTAATGGGGTGGGGTGGCCCAATCACAGAATGTTTGCCTTTACCTTCACCTTGTATGCAGGAGTGACACGCTACCAACCATTCTCTTAAGCATATAGTTTCTTCCTCTAGGACCTCGCAAGCAAGGTGACTAAATGAAAAAAGAGTGTTGGCTTCCAAAGGAGGATACCATGAGAAGGTTTCAAAAATTAGATTGTGAGGCAGAACAGCCAGCTCAGAGATTCTTCACTGCCGAACTGAACGCCTAGACGCGGTATTGAAGAGAACATGCTCTTTCGACACCAAGGTGAGAATGGCGGAGCGAATGGCGCATTGCAAACTCCCTGGCGCTTCTGGCTTAGTCTGATGCGTCGAGAATGCAAGGCCGAGTCAGAGACTACAACAAGGGGGTGAAGTAAAGTGAGTGTGGAAGAAGGGACCTCTTTTGTCGCTGCGGAAAGAGGAGGTAGAACGAACTGGCCATAGAGAACTTGTGTCGCATATGGGCTTTGGCGCTTATGGGCTGTTGTCGCATTGGGCTAAAGTCAGCCAGTTCGGGGAGAGGAATTGAGTCGAAGTTGTAGAGGAAAAGAGAGAGAGAGAGAGGACGAGGCGGAAGGGGTTTATATACCCAGAGGCTGCAGCGTCTCACGTGACGTAGCTATTCCCTTTTTGACTGTTGAGCGCAGGCGCTTTCAAGTGAAGGACGGCTTTTGGGTTGACTTGATTTCACTTTGTGTGTGCGTTGTGCTGTGGTGGCGATTTTGCTGGTGAAAGATGGCTGGGAGGAGAGGGCGACTCTCAAGAGACGGAGGACCGCACAGACGAGACAGGTGAATGTTCACCCCCCGCAAAATGACTAGTATATTGCATAACCACTACTTGAAACGAAGATACAAAAGGTGATATGCGTCGGTTGCCTACGTGCCAATTTCACCTTTCATTTAGCATGTCTATGTCGAAGCTAGCCCTAAAGAAGAAGAGAAATGCTCACTCCGACTCAGGTTAGAGGGATAGATATGGAGGTTGACGTAATCAGTGTGAAAGATGCGTGAAGAAAGGAATATATAGCTACGTACTGTAATTAAGTCCAATGTAGCAACATGTTGTTTGGGATAATATTGAGTAGCAGTATAATTAGGCCAGTGGAGGGGTGATCGATCACACAACCACATGATAGGTGACAACTAGACATCCTGTTCCGTTCGATTTTGCAGCTTCACTGTTAGCCAGAGAGTCTGCTCCAATGAATGCTACAGCGAGGTCCGGATGAGTGTTCAAGTCTATAATGGAATCAGTGCCGTCATGAGCACAACTTGCAAGCCTACTTATTCTTGTCTTTTGGCTGCTTGACTCGGGCCTGGGACACACAGAACTGGTTCACAGCGGTATCATCCTGCCTTTCCACTGACTCGGCCTTGCCCTCATACTCCATTGACACGCCAGTGTTGTTGGTCGGTGTTGGTCTTCTCGGCGCGCATTCCAAGTGCGGTCTGGTTATCTGTATCTTCCAGCAACTCTTGGAAGCCTTCTAATGGCTCGACAGGCCCTCTTGTCATTTCTTGTCGGCTGGGTAAATTTGCACTCCTCAATCATGGCGGGGGTGGCCTCCAAAGCTGCTAGCTTTGTAACTGCCTCTGCTGCCTTCATCTTGAACTCTTCAACTTTCATGAAACCCTTCTCGCTCTCAGCTGCAATTTCGTCGAGTATGATTTGGTTTTCCGCATCCGCAATGAGCTTCGAGAGGTTGGATATCTGGCGACACCTCTCCTTGAAGCCGTTGCCGCCCTCGTCATCATTACGTTTCCTTCGAATTTGTGAGGTTGTTATTCTACTGTCGTCGTCGTCCAAGAGAGTGGCAATGTCGACAAATGCATGCGCATTTTCGAAGAATGCAATGAAAATAGTAATTAGGTAGATAATAGAATGCATCGTTGCAAGAACCAACAGCTCACTTATTCTAATCAGAGATGATATCCATATGCAAAGGTAAAAGGTTGCCGGTACAGAAGGCGGTATTTAAATACGCGTATAGAATTAGAGAGGAAACTTGATGAATGGCACGATGGAGGCAAAAAGTAATTATTGGGCGAAGCTCTCTACGTATGTATGTACATGATGCCTTGGCTTCGCGCGATATCCCTTACATCGGGCGAAATGGGTTGGAGTCGTGCGAAAATAGTTGGATCGTGCGAAACCCTTTGAATCGTGCGAAATACTTGCAAAACTGTCAGTGTATTGAAGGCGCTGCGTCTAGAACATGATTGTTGCTGTGACTGATCATTATTGATCAGCAACACTAGCAACGGCGGTGTTTTCTGAAACAACAAGTTCCACGGTTTCAGGTCGAAGAGCACCGAGGCTGAACGCGAGGAAAAGCATGTAGTCATGTATGCACATGGTTTCGGTGGAATATTTCTATCACTAAGTGGTCACTCACGAGGCTTTACGAATTAGCGCACACGCTTGCTGCTGCAATTGTGGCTTGTGGGTTTCGGGCAATGGCAGGCGATGATGTTCACATGTATGTTGTTCGAACAAGTATTTACTAACAACGTGGAGGATCCACACGCTACGAGCTGTTACATTAGCGCCATGCTTGGTACCACGATCTCGAAGGTCGGAAGGATGACCAACAAGTCTAGCAAGCCACTCGGACTGGCTCCTTGCCGATGAAACGACGCTCTCAAAATTAACACACGGTACAAAACTACTGTCAAAATAATTGGGACAATTGGTCCACTGCTCAGGAGGCCAGAAGGGACAACATGCTCCAGGAACATAAGGTCCGCCGTCCGACCTGTGATTACAATTACAAGTCCTCGAACCACAAACCAGAAAGTAAGACCATGAAGATATTCTGAATTCCTGCCTGGTCCGGTAAAGGTATGCCCGGTTCATGGAATCAAGATCTTTGAAAGCTGCCAATCTGTTAACAACTTCTGATGTCTCTTGGGTACGTTGGGGAAGAAAAGAGGGCCAACTAGGTATATAATTTGAACAAGACCGTCAAGATGGGTGAAATTGGAATTGCTCAGTCATCACGACAGGAAAACCGCCAAAAGGGGAATTAATGAGATGAAAGGGAACTTAGGGACAGAGCCCGATGTCGCGGTGTTGGGAGTATTGGTAGAACTGCGAACGATTGTGGTGCTAGGAAGCGTTCTCGTTGTCGAGGTGGCAGGTATGCTTGACGAATACTCAATTGAGCATGCGGATGGCATTGACATCGTGGCCGTAGGCTGTCCTCCAAAGCTGGAAGTGGGATTGATGAACACCCCAGGGCATGAGTTTGCGCATTCCCTTGTCGAGTTGCGATCGAAAGCGCTGAAGGTAGCATTATTGCAACCTCTCACGCAGTCATACCCGCCACAGGGAATGCCATCATCGCCCCATAAGGTGTAACCTTTAAGCTCATAGTCGGCCCATTCACCCGTACCACCAGAAAGATTGAAGACGTTCGAGTCGAGAGATGAACCATAGTACGACCCGTCCGTCTTTAGGATGCGCCCCTGGACGGTGTAGTGCTTGCCCGATGGCCCTACACTAGGAGGTACAGTTACGGTGACTGTGGTGTTACGAAATAGGACATAGCCTTCGTCGATCTCGATTGTGGGATTGCAAAGAGTCTCTTCCTGTAGAAGGTAACCTGTGACAATCGTTAGGTCAAATCGCACAAGGTTTTGGATGATCATAATCATACAATCAGAGTCGAAGAACGATGCTGAAATCTTTTCTCTCGCTGAAGAAGCGAGATAGACCCGGAAGGCATGGCAGAAGGTGGTGGCCCAGTTATGTACTTCGACATCGAATGTCACATTGAAGGGAACACCTGCAGTCACCTCTGTAGGAGCGCGTATTGCAAGCCAGTCATCCTCGTCAAAGGATGCGACGAGCGCAAGCGGACAGAACAGGAGAGAAGTCAACAAGAATCGCAGCATTACGGGACGCAGTGTAACTTGGAACAGCAGAGAGGGAATTTCGAGACCCAGTGAGTCCAAAGGGTGACGAGGTTGAGTTCATCCCGCGTCGAAGGATCCATCAGGGGTTAGCCACTAAGGCCAGGCGCACAAAGCTCAGGCGAACAGCTCTCGGCGGCATGGGATGAGAAGGCCTTGACATTTTCTTAGATCATAATAGCAGGAGAATGTTAGCTACCTAGCTAGTTAGGGATGATAGTGGATGATAGGCGGTGATATCACAAAGCCTGATGGCGATTTGCTTTGATAGTAATTAACAAGCTTGCCACTGCGCGTCCGGAGAATTGATGTCGGCAGTGAAAAGTATGGAATGGAAGGAATTAGCTATCGATAGGAACGGCTGACTCATTTCCCAATGCCCCACCAAGTTCAATCCTACACCCCTCAAAAAACATTCAAACCCCGCCACGCCCCCAGTCATTCGGACGACAATCAACATGTCTATCGAGTTTCCAAAGGAGGAGGAGCGCATTCTCGCGCGCTGGCAGGAAATTGATGCTTTTCAGAGGCAGGTCGAGCTTGTACGTTCCGTCCCACCACTCTATTCTTCCACTGCAGCGATCGCGTGCGACTTCCACTAAAACGAGTTATAGTCAAAAGGCAAACAACCGTATACATTTTATGATGGGCCGCCATTCGCGACGGGTATGCCCCATTATGGGCATCTTCTCGCTTCCACCATCAAGGACATCATTCCACGATACTGGTCTATGAAGGGCCGTTATGTGGAGCGACGATTCGGCTGGGATACACATGGTGTGCCCATTGAATACGAAATTGACAAGGAGCTGGGCATGTCTGGCCGAGACGCTGTTCGCGAAATGGGCATCGCAAAATACAACGAGAAATGCAGGGCAATCGTCATGAGATATGCGACTGAGTGGAGGCACACCATCGATCGATTGGGTCGTTGGATCGATTTCGACCGAGACTACAAGGTACGCTGATGAACGCGGACACTACGTGGATACAACTCACATTACGGTAGACTATGGACACAGACTTCATGGAATCCGAATGGTGGGTGTTCAAGAGATTATTCGACAAAGGCGCTGTCTATCGAGGTTTCAAGGTCATGCCATACAGCACCGCTTTGGGTACCCCCCTAAGCAACTTCGAAGCAACGCAGAACTACAAGGATGTGCAAGACCCTGCTGTGGTGGTTTCGTTTCCTCTCGTTGATGATTCATCAACTCATCTCTTAGCCTGGTAAGAGCGCACGCAACCTGGCTTTTACACTTTTATCTGACTAAATTCTAGGACGACTACACCATGGACTTTGCCCTCGAACACTGCTCTCTGCGCGCACCCTGATTTCGAGTATGTTAAGATTCTTGACGTAGCCTCAGGCAAGCACTACATCTTGCTAGAGGCCCTTCTCAAGACGCTCTACAAGGACCCTAAGAAAGCCAAATTCAAGATTGTGCAAAAGCTGAAGGGCAAAGACATGCTTGGCTGGAAATATGAGCCACTCTTCGATTACATTTATGAGGAGTTCAAGGACTGCGCTTTTAAGGTGGTTAACGACACCTATGTTACAGCAGACAGTGGTGTTGGTATTGTCCATCAGGCACCTGCCTATGGTGAGGACGATTACAAGATTGCGGTCAGGCACGGAATCGTCACTGAAGAACGACCCCCACCAAACCCAGTCGACGATCAGGGCTGCTTCACCTCCGTTGTTCGGGATTTTGAAGGTCAACATGTGAAGAAGGCTGACCGAAACATTATCAAACACCTCAAGGAGTCCGGCCGACTTGTGGTTGATTCGCAAATCACCCATAGTTACCCATTCTGTTGGCGTTCTGATACCCCCCTTATCTACCGCACTGTCCCATCGTGGTTTATTAAGATCCAGGACATCATCCCAAAGATGCTGGAGAACATCGAGAGCTCTCACTGGGTTCCATCCTTTGTAAAGGAGAAGCGTTTCGCTAACTGGATCCAAAATTCCCCTGATTGGGCTGTTTCCCGTAACCGCTTCTGGGGAACACCGCTCCCTGTTTGGGTTAGCGATGACATGAAGGAGATAGTTTGTGTGGGTAGCATTCAAGAGCTAAAGGATCTCAGCGGCTACACGGGCGAGCTTACTGATCTTCATCGCGACAAGATCGACGATATCACTATTCCGAGCAAGCAGGGCAAGGGAGTCTTGCGTAGGGCTCCTGAGGTGTTCGACTGCTGGTTTGAATCCGGCTCCATGCCGTATGCAAGCCAGCATTACCCATTCGAGAACGTAGAGCATTTCGAAAAGTCCTTCCCAGGTGATTTTATTGCCGAGGGCCTAGACCAGACTCGTGGTTGGTTCTACACCCTTACAGTGTTGGGAACCCACCTTTTCGGTGTTCTGCCATTCAAGAACTGTGTGGTGAACGGTATCGTCTTGGCAGAGGATGGAAAGAAGATGTCGAAACGCCTTAAGAATTACCCTGACCCTCTTCTCATCATGAACAGCTATGGGTCGGATGCTCTCAGGTTGTACCTCATCAATTCGCCGGTTGTCCGTGCTGAGACACTTCGTTTCAAAGAGGCTGGCGTGAAGGAGATTGTCTCCAAGGTTTTGCTACCTTTATGGAACAGTTACCAATTCTTTGAGCAGCAGGTGACACTTCTTAAGAAGGTTGCCGAACTGCACTTTGTTTTCGACCCGGCGGCGGAGAAAACAAACACCAATGTGCTTGATCGATGGATCTTGGCATCCTGCCAATCATTGCTCAAATTCGTCAATGCAGAGATGGCTGCCTATCGTTTGTACACCGTGGTTCCTCAATTACTGAACGTAAGAATTTTCAACTAACCACCTTGTCTGTTCATGCTGACCTAATGACAGTTGATTGATAACACCACCAACTGGTACATTCGATTCAACCGTCGCCGACTGAAGGGTGAATACGGTCTTGAGGATACAACCCATGCTTTGAACACATTGTTTGAGGTTCTCTACACCCTCTGCCGAGGACTGGCACCATTCACACCCTTCATTACCGAAAACATCTACCTTCGACTTGTTGCCCATATTCCAAAGGAGCTCCACGCTGAGGACGACCGCAGCGTCCACTTCTTGCCGTTCCCTGAAGTGCGAGAGGAACTCTTCGACGAGGTTGTCGAGCGACAAGTCAAGCGTATGCAGGCCGTTATTGAACTTGGCCGTATCTGCAGAGACCGCGCGAACAAGGGTCTCAAGACCCCTCTGAAGACTCTTGTGGTTATTCACCCTGACCAAGAGTACCTCGACGACATCAAGTCTCTCGAAAATTACATTGTTGAGGAGCTCAACATCCGGGATTTGGTGCTCTCTAGCGACGAAGAAAAATACAGCGTCCAATATTCAGCTTCGGCAGATTTCTCAGTTCTGGGCAAGAAGCTGAAGAAGGATGCTGTCAAGGTCAAGAAGGCATTGCCAAGCCTAAGCAGTCAAGATATCAAGGACTACCTCAAGAATGGGGAAATGTTGGTTGATGGCATCCGTATCGAAAAGGATGATCTCACTGTCAGAAGAGGCCTTGCAAAGGAAGACAAGAACAAAGATCAAGAGTTCAACACTGACAATGACGTCCTGATCATCCTTGACGTAGCTAGCTACCCCGAGTTGGAGCAAGAGGGTTTGGCACGAGAGATCGTTCGCCGTGTTCAAGACCTTCGAAAGAAGGCTGGCTTGGTGCCTACAGACGATGTGGGTATGGAGTATCGTGTGCTGAGCGATCCTGAGAAGGTTGGTCTTGAAGCATGCTTCGCAGGTCAGGGCGCTCTGTTCGAGAAGGCCTTGCGACGCAATGTTGATAAGCATGTCGTCACAGAGGTTGAGGGCAAGATCCCTGAGAATGACGATGAGACAGTCATTGCCAAGGAGGAGTTCGAATTACAAAAAGCAACATTCTTGCTACGCCTTGTCAAGTTATGAGCATAGGCCAAAAAAGGAAAAAAGAACGCTTGTGGCGCATAGGTATATGGATGGTTGCGATTGTGATATCAGAATCTTTCATAGATAGAGTTTCAAACATCAGGCATTAAACAAAATCTTTCTCATCAAATGCAAACGCCGATTCCATTATGCAGTGTCGTTTGGATACATGACCGCTTTTTCCTACCCTAGCGTTCATGTCCTTCTTTTACTCGCAGCCTAGAGAATTAGTTAGTCGAGCCTCCACTGGAGAGTTTCAGAGCCACTGACTAGGAAACAATCCTTCAATCTCAAAAATTCCACGGAGCACTTGTCTTTGTAGACATTGTTATAGTCTGCCACTATGCATTTCCCATATAAGGAGGCCTATCCCTATCAACGAAGAACATTGTCGAACAATATGACTTATTCTCACTTCTTTTGAGCACTTAGCAGCGGCAGTAGCAAACTTATCGATAGGCCGCGTTCGACTGGACATGGCGATGGTTGAAGTTGACAGTCACAGTGAAGTGGTCCCGATTGACGAATTGAATAAAGTTTAAAATGTCATGACATAAGCTATTATTGACGATGAAGTGGCACGTGCATGGCTTGGCACCTAGCACATCGGCAGCTGTGAACCAACCGCCGACAACAAAGCGCGTCGAACGCATTCATGAGTACCAACACCAACAACGTCCTTCGCACCCGTTCGTTGTCATTTTTTTGACACTGTAATGCTTCATTCCTACTGCACTGAGACTGTCACTATACTCGCGTCATTACTATATCGTGCCCAAAATCTCACCATCCTTCATATCCTCGCATCCATCTCATGCCGTCGAGAAAGCGCGTTCGTCGGTCGAGTCGCAAACACGAATGCCGCCCTCCATGAGCACAAACAACGATGACATTGGTCAACAACTAACGAATGAAGGTACGAAGCATTGCTAGCATTCAAAAGATTCAATATACTTACAAAGGTAGAAATCAAAACCCTTTACGATATCGTCGAACTTGCGCAAACCCTCCCAGGCCCACGATACCGCGCCCTTTTTGCTGCGTACGATCGCATCCGCGCTAAGGGCAATAGAATTCAAGATGGGAGTCGCTGCTTCACTTTCCTGTTACGCATGCAGGATGAGAGAGCGAGGGAAGATACAAGTCTGGTAGACACATTCCAGCGCGTTTTGCTAGACATGGGCATTCAGGTTGAGGTTGACCCAACTGGCGAAGGTGTCGAAATTACCGATTCCCAGCTCGAAGTGAATAATGGCGCAGATACCCAGGAGGTGCATTTGGATCCGAGGACCTCGGGACGTATTCTTTCACGAAGAAGCAGCTTCGACTCCTTCTTCGATGGGTCAGCCGACAAAGTTGCTGGGACCGAACGTGAACATCGCCTACCCTATCGTACAAGAGCAGATGCCTCGAGTTCCACAGGAGTTGCGGTGAAGAAGAAGAGGCGCTCAATGTCAAATACCGAAACTCGGACAGGGGCGTTTACGTACGAACAGCGCCATGCTGAAATGAACGGCACTAGTAGTAGAAGATCTGTGTCTGATCAGGTTCCCATCCGCGGACGACGAAATGCGTCGGTATCTAGTCGGGGCAGTCTGCGAATCAGACGAGCTGGAGAGGACGAAATCGATACGCACGAGTTTAGCGACTATGACGGCGACGACAGCCAACACACGGATAGCTTCGACCGTTCGCATGTACAGATACCTGGAGTTAATGCACCAATACCCGGAGATTTCCATCAGCTGAGCTCAGATCCACAACCCATCTTGTACGGCCCAATCTATCGGCCATCAGAGACCCAAATATGGCGTGATGCCCAAGTATTTGATAGTCACCGAGTTTCCGCACTTGCCAACCGATTTTTACAGAATTGGCGAGATCGCCTGCGCGACCATCACAAGCAGATAGATGATATGCATGCAGCAGCCATTGCGTTTGACAGGAACGTTCTACTTAAGGCCTCCGTCGAGTCGTGGAAAATTGCATATCAGAACAAACGTGCAGCTCTCGAAACAAATCTATTCTTCGACCGCCTAGAATCCCGAGCGGCGAAGGCCCGCAATCTTTTCCTCCTGACAAAAGCATTCACCCATTGGGCGAAAAGCGCGGAAGACGAGGTTCAGAGGACATCAGTCGCCAGGCGCCACATCATCCGGACAAAATACTTCAACGCATGGCGCGATATAACTGCTGTCAACGAGCTCAAGATACAGCATTTCGTTCTAGGCAACTTTATTCGAAGATGGCGCACTCGAGCTGTGAATGTGAACAGCCAGAATGATCTTGCTGTTGATCTGTACCTTGAAAACCTGAAGAACAGAACATACTGGAAGTGGTTCCACGCTTTTGCGAACCGTAATGCGCCATTGTATCATGCGAAGCGATTAGCAAAGCAGTATTTTCACAGATGGCTTGAGATTACAAGGGTCACCAAGGAAAGAAACGCATTTGAAGGCTATAGAAGGGATCGAAACGTGCTGCGCGATATCCTGGATAGGTTGATCCAGAAGACTGCCGCGTTGCGAAGCATGGAGCTTCAGGCAGACGAATTTCGACGAACAGCGCTTATATCATCCGCCTTCTACACCTTATCGAAGCAAAGCCAATTACGCCCAATAGAAAGGGCAGTCTACCGATCTAGCCAGGACCGTATAGTTGACACATTGCTTCAATTATGGCGACGGGACACTCGTCTATCACTCCAAGCTAAATTTGTGGATAGAGAGCGTATTCTCCGAAATGCACTTACGGTGTGGAACGATGCTCTTCGAACCAAAGAGATGAAGAGGACAATCGATGATAGGGTCCTAATTGGCTGTCTCTATAAATGGTCTTTAGCAACGCGAGTGTCGTCCACGCGCCGGACACACGAGTTCGATAATGCGAAGGGCATTCTGAATTATTGGCTTGCCAGGACACGGGATCGAGAAACACGATTGGCAAGCGCCGAGAGAAAGTTTGCCCAACATAGGAGAGCAAATCTAATGAAGTCAGCTCTGGCAAAGCTTGAAAATGCCACCCTTGATCGAAGAAATCAGCAATCTCTGGCCGTCAGGATTCACGATTCAAAATTGAATCAAACCTACCTCCCAGTTGTGACGTCAAGGCTAGATGTCCTACGACAGATGAACGATTGGGCCGATCGCGCACGTTATTATATAACAACGAAACACGCGTTGCAACAGTGGCATAAGGCGACCGAGGGTGCTAGGCGCGCTCGCAGGCGAGAGGCATATACCCAATTTCGAAGGAAATCCAAGCTGAATCTTGTTCGTCGCACGTTCAACCTGTGGAGAAATAAATTAGACCGATTCACCACTGAACAACAGAAGGCCACGGAGATCTTAGACGACCGTATCTTGGGTATAACTTCACAACTACTCATTCAATGGAAGGAGCGGAGCACGATGGTTTGTGATGCACGCCGAGTTGCAGAGCAAAAAGATGAACTTGGTCTACTCAGAGCTCACATGTCTAAGTTGTTAAGAACGCATTGGACATTACGCGACATGGACAATCAAGCTGTCGCACTCAAACAGGAGTCCACCGAACTAATCGCTGTGTCAAGTATCAAGAAGCTCGGTTGGCGACTTTGGAATGTACAGCGACAGAGGGATATGGCGATCCAACTGCACCGTCGTAATTTCGAAAAGAATACCCGTGCCATGATTCGATTCTGGCTTGAACAGACAAGAGAACTAATTGCCACTCGTCGACACAGTCCGTCGCCGAGTGCTCGAACCACCAGTCGTCATGAAGGAGAAGGAGTAGTTCCTGAGCAACCACAGTCATACGATTGGGACGATGAAGCGGGTGATGAAACTCGTCGACTCGAAGGTTGGACCGCCTTCGACGAAAATTCGTTGGGTGTTGCTAACCTTGACCTCCCGTCAATGGGCTCGCCATCGCAGCAGACACCTGCAAGCTTCATGTTGGATCTAAGCCAACGCCCAGCTGTTCTATCACAAAGCCGACCAGCTACCTATCCTCACCCACAATCATCGATGCGACCACCAACTATCGCTGAAGTCGATGATCTTGATGACGAAGCAGAGGGCGAATTTTGGTCATCGACCCCAATGCCACCATCCACGAAGCCTGGCTATCTAAAGACACCAAGCAAGCGCAGTGTCGCCCGCGCAAAGCATCCTGAATTACCCTCTAGCCCAGGGAAGCGGCAGGTGCTGCCCGCGATTGTAGAGAGGATGGGTACCGCAAGCGCGCCACCAGTCCCAGGGTTGTCTACCAGAGACATTAGTTTTGGAGGAGTCACGAGCTTTGAGCGACGGCTACGGGAGGGTGGATTCGGCAGAACCTTTGCCGCTCCCCACGGGCAGAGGAGCAGTATTCGTGGACAAGGAAGAGGGGACCGCCGAGTTGGGTTCGGTGACACGCCTGCTCGTTGATCCTCAGTACAAGACGGAATTGAAAACAGTCATTGGTTGTGCTCTTGTATTTAATCTTTTATGATACCCATATTGTTGCTTACATCTACACATCGAATGGTATTATTTGGATAACGCGGTGCTCCTCTTGTACTGCTAAAATCATCATTGCGTTGCATTTAGGCGTTCCTCATGGCGTATGATAATCCCCTCTATTTCTCAACTGCTCGTTAAATCAACGGATTTGCCTCCTCTTAAATCTGCAAATAACGTTGTCCTGCATGACGAAAGTCGCGTTCTGCGTAGTCCAAGGTTCATCGTGTGCCATCTCGACGTCAAAATTGCGAAGGATCTCAACGGTGATTTTATACGTTTCGACCATCGCAAGCTAGCATCAGTGCGTTAGTAGAGGATATCAAGCATCTGCCAGTCAAACGCGAACGACTCACATGTTTGCCAGTACAGGTCCTGGTTCCTGCGCCAAAATTGATTAAAGCTCTGTCCATGAACCTACTTCGCTCTTCGCTCTCCAACCATCTTTCAGGTCTGAAGACATATGCATCGTGTCCGAAGATCTCCCTAGAGTACTGTACACATCCTGGATTCATGCCAATTCTATAACCCGCTGGGATGAGTACGCCTGCAACCTTGACGCCTTCAGGTGGGGCATATCTCTGCATCGACGCCTGAAAACTTGGAAATATCCGCATTGCCTCCTTCACTACGGCAGTCAAGTATGGCAGTTTAACAGCGTCATTGTATTTGACGGGATAGCCCAGGACTCCGAGAGCCGTGTAATAATCGATTTCGTCGTGGACCTTCTTCATGACCGCGGGATGTTTCATCAGGTAGTAGAAAATGGCCCGTAGGGCGATAGCAGTGCTGTCAGCGCCGGCCATGCTGGGAGACAGTGTCAGATCGAGTTTGATTGGGCAGAAAATAAACCTACACGGCAGTCCACATTTCGTTCGTCACCTCATTGCGAGTGAAGCCTTCGGTTTCCCCCTTTTGGTGCACAATGGCTGTTAGTAACGATATCATGTCATGCCGCTTGAACGTATCTTCCTGGCTTCGTCTCATCGCATCGGCCGTTTCGCGAAGGGCCGTTTTCCTGATGTTATCGACCGCGATGATCGCCTTGAGTAACGGTGGTACAAAGATCGCGGTGGCCATAAGTACGCCCCGAGCATAGGAAGGAGCCTGTGCGATAAACGAAAGAAACGGCATAGCCTTGTGGACCGCGGCGATGTAGTTTCCATGGTCATGACTATCTTGCAAGAAGCCGAACTGTTTTCCAAAGAAGACGGCACCAATTACATCGTACGTGTACCTGGAGGAATAAGCAAAGTCAGCGCGCAGCCATACAATTGGGTCGCACCGATCGCCTACATTTCCAACCACAACCCAAAATCGAAGGCCTCATTCCGGTCTGCGAACCCTCGTAGTCGCTCTACAAACAGGGTCACGCAACCGTCCACGGAATCCTCATTCTTGAGAATGTTGGACATGGAGTAAACGCCACTGACTAGTTTACGGTAGACCGCATGTTCCTTTTCGTTGATGCTGGTGAACATGTCCGGTCGGCTGGGAATGGCAACGGCACGAAATACGGAGTAGAAGTCCGTCTTCTCCAAGGGACGCTGGGTTGAGTATATTTTGGCGATTTCCGCGGGATCATTAGACTGGACCTCATGAGGCGCAACACGCAACAAAGGACCATATTGCTCGTGAAGCTTGCGTTGCACGATTTCCTGATCCCCACGGTACATGCGATACATCATCCATGTACGACTGATGGAGGCCCAGAATGGCCCTGGCACTGTGGCGAGAGGGTGCAAGGTACGAGCATAGATGATCCATAAAAACCAATATACGGCCAGGCCGATGGGGAGGATGACCGTTGACCAGGTTTGAAGGGTTATCCCAACGAGCAGTGCCATTTGTGCTATGGTATGAGACGTTGCTCAACACAGAGAGGGGGGAGCCAGACGCAGGAAGAACAGAATTGAGAGAAGGTCGGGTTTTGGGACCGTACAATGGGGACCATGGCGCATAAGGAACCTCTCACTTAGATAAACCCCCATGCCCCCTTGACAACATTCCGATTCAATGACCCGAGCTGTCACCTTAGCAGGGAGATTTGGCACTATTCACGCATGAGAATACATTGCACCTAGACAGCCCGGGTAATGAACCTATTGCAAACGGTCTGAGGCAGGCGAACAAATCATCCTACAGCACTACGGGAAACTCTGCGTTGCAGGGTATCTTCAGAGTGTAGGTGTTAGGATGACTTGGGGACAAGTTCTCGCGCTAAGCAGTCTGGATACGGGTCGATTTCCTATTTGTGTTACATTCGTGACTTTCTGTTGATTGCTTCAGCAGGCATAGAAAGTTCGTCTGTCGTACACCCCAGCACAAGTGCCATCCATGGCGTCTGAGCACGCGAAAGAAACGGTCGCGGCGCCAATGACATTCCCTAGTATGAATGCCGTGGCGTCCATCATCGACCCGAACCGTCAACCCGCATACTGACCCTGGGCTATATTGCTTTCCTCAATTTTAAAAGTGCTGTGATTGAGGCAGCCAAGCTATCTGCTATCGTCGATCTTTGACCCTTCTTCAGTTGTTCCAACACCACAATCACCAGCCCCGACTAACTGGAGGCATCAAAGAATGCAATCATCCGAACCACTTCCTCCGAATACGAAAGACAGCAAACGGTCGAGCTGAAGCGAATCTTCCAAACTTTATTTTGGGTGGGGTTGCATTTCCACTGTACTGCATATGTACCCTACCGGGGACTCCACTCGTTTCCGCGTGCTCGGAATGTGGCGCTATGGCAGCCAATGATTCCATGCAAGATCCGTTGCTTTTTCCAATGAGCGGTGTCTCCTTCAATTCACTGATCGCAGATGGTAGAGGAAACTGGGGTAACCCTTCTACGGGTCGGTCCTTTTCTTCTTGCCGTTGACCATCCGTCAAGTGTCTCGAGGACCCATATTTCCTCCTTACCTCTATCTCAACCTCACTGGACTCTCGGTTGGCTACTCGGTACGTACTGTACAGAGTTACTCGAGACTAGCTGAACGACATGCACCACCAAGTTCCATGGGCAGTGACAGGAGATGGAGAGCACGCAATTGGCCGGTCTGCTCTTAGACTTCTTACACCCCTAGTTATGGCTGAATGAATCCAAGCCATCGTACTCCCGTGGCACTGGTCAGGAATTCCCGAGGTGCATCCTTTCCCCGAGATCCTAGTAATTCACCTGTGCATTACGCGTGGGGCGCTTATACCCTCCTTCCTGGCCCAAGAAGCACCCATCACAAACGTCAAAACAGCAGGATCCTGAACTGTCAAAGAGAAAAGAAAACATGCAAGGTGTAGCATCCTCTCATTCTGTAAGAAGCCCCGAAGGATTGTCAGTGCGGAAGATCCTCAAACTTGTTACATGCCTTGTATTCGACCGTTTGTCAAGGGTGGATGTGCGGGGGCGTATTTTGTGAAGCAAAAGCAACGGGTGTAACAATGCGGTCGTCTTTCCCTGCCTGCGTGTTCCTTTTAAGATTCCGCTCCTCGATCTGTCGGCGTTTTTAGACGTCTGTCATTTTGGAAACATACCCTACCGCGATTTCTGTCCTGCTCCATGTGCGCTTAGATAGGCATCTAACATGAAGTTATCCGCAACTTTCGGCCTCATCCTCGGCTTAGTAGGTTGTCTTCTCAGTCAGGTATCAGCGCAGCAGGCGCTGCCTCCGTGTGCTGTAGGTTATCCAGAAGATTCAGCCTTGCTCCATCTTAATTAACTTCACAAGGAACGATGCTTTATTCAGGCGATCACAAACCAGACGACATGTTCTCCAACAGACATGCAATGTGTTTGTACGGATGAAGCGCTGAACAATGCTATTCAAGGCTGTGTTATGACAAGCTGCACTGTAAAGGAAGGCCTCAGTGAGTTTCCACTCATCCTTGAGTGACGAATACAGATAATAACCGTTTACAAGCCGCCGTGAATGTGACCTCAACAAGATGTGGAGTCCCTGTGCGCGATCGTGGCACTTCTCTCTTGGTCGTAGCCATCTTATCAGCCGTGGGCGCCATTATCGCTGTTACTATTCGAACGACTGTTGGACTGGTGCAGAAAACATTTGGTTTCGATGACATCTTTGCACTTCTTGCAGCCTTATTCGGAGTTCCAGTTGCTATCATGCAATGCAATACGCCGGGGCTCGGGTTTGGACGAGATACTTGGACGGTCAAGATAGAGAACATCTATACTGTTCAGAAGGTACCTTCCCCTTGTCTGCGTAGACTTTTCGTACTTTGATCTGATCAACCTAGATGGTGTATGCTTCTCAATGTTGTTACTTTCTCTCTTCAGGATTCACAAAGCTCACCTTCTTGGTTTTCTTTTTGCGAATCTTTGCAGATCAAAGGACCCATCGTATCTGTTATGTCTTGATAGGCTGCTCCGTCGCCTATACCTTGGCCTTTGAATTAACCATGATATTCGCCTGTCGGCCCATATCTGCTGTCTGGACAGCCTGGGATATGGAGTCTAAGGTCGATTATTGTATCGATCAGCACACATTCTATTACGTTGCTGCTTCGTTCAATATAGCTATCGACATTGCCATCATCTTGATCCCTATTCCGGAATTGAGGAAGCTCAAGCTGAGTTTGAAGAGGAAATGCTTTCTTTTCTCTATCTTTGGGGTAGGAGGGATGTAAGTACATTCCCAATTTTTCAACTTCCGCGATAAATTGCGTGGTACACTAACATTTGGCAGTACAATCGTAGTCTCGTGTATTCGTCTTGAATCTCTTGCCCACTTCGCAACGTCAACGAACCCAATGTACGACAATCTGATGAGCGCCGTCTTCTCCGTTCTAGAAGTCAATGTCGGTATTATCTGCATTTGCATGCCCTCATTCCGACGATTCCTCGCCAGAATCATACCGGGATGCTTTGGCACTACGCAAGCCGATTCCGACGAGTCGGGCGAAACACCCAACGCCCGAGTCTCCATCGCGAAAAGAAGTGGACCCAAGAAAAGACCTACCATATCCGGAAGCCTGTTCGATACAGCTATCATGAAGACGGTGGATACAAAGGTGGAGACTGTGAAGGGCAGTGATGACGAGTTGAGGTTGGTCGATATATCAAGAGATGGAAAGAACATGGCATCGAGCACTACGGAGAGCGCGGAAGGAAAGTTCAGTATGGCGACAGGGCGGAACAGGAGCCAGGAGACATTTTCAGTTCCCTGATCGCGATGATCCCGTAGTGGTCACTCGTTGCAGCGGTGGCTGCTCCAACCCTCGGCATGCCGGACGAAACTTCGGCTTTGACTTCAAATCAGGGCCGAGGTGCGGCTTCCAGAAACACTCTTCTCGTTCATCAAACAGTAGATAAGGCTGAAGATATCTCAGGTGCATAGGTGATCGATTTCAGGCCGCTTGATGAGCTCGGCATGTATATGTGATCCATGATCAGCGGCATTGGGGTTTTTGCATAGCAGGCGCGAATATTTCTAGTGCATGGCTAACGTTGGGACTGTTGATATAAGCCTCAATGTGGTTTGTGGACCTGGTTCCAAGGCAGGAGACTGTATTGACTATATTTCGAATTGATATGGCTTAGACGTTTTTCTTACTAAAAATTGGTTCATATCAACTTCATGCAGTCGTACATTTTAATCATGCGTCATGAAAACATCTTGCGCGGCCTCAGTGACTGGATTACGATGAAAAGCAACCCTTCTTTTCCTTTTTGAACTATAACGTTGATCAATGAGATTATTTGCCTAGAAGTATAAGTACATTTGCAGATCTTTGACAACAGAATTGCTGCGCAAAACGACTCCCTGTCTCGTAGAATCAGCAATGATGAAAGTATCAAAATCTTACCACCGCTCGATTCACACCTTTACCAAGACTTGTACTCAATCCAGCTGCACTAAAATCCTTCGTTTACGGGAATAGCTTTTCTCATATCTTTGTGAAGGAGCCTATCAGCCTAAGGGGGAAGCCAGAAATAGCCTGGGGAGGGCCCATAAGGTTATTTGACTGACTACAGGGACATTATAGAGGGCAGAATGACAAAACATTATAAGGTTTCTTAAGCCTTCGCAATTTGTCTATAATATTTAAATAATATAATTTTATTTACTAGATACAAAGGTGTTTGGGTGGTGATTGTAACAATAGTAGGTGGCCAGGACTATTTCTGGCTTCCCCCTTAGACTGAGAGGGAGGCAGCATACGCAGACACAACGTGCGCATTCAGCTGCCTGCCGTTGTGTCTTTTTACGCGCCGACAGGCCAAACAAATATTGAAAGTGAGGAGCGCGTCGCGCGAGGGGGGACGGAAGTCGTGTGCGTGCGGGCCATACCATGCAATCGACGTCATCGATGATTAAACCTGAGACCAAAGCCAATCTATTTACCACCAAAATCAGACCTCAATTGCATCGCAACAATGCCAAAATCGTTGTCCAAATCGTCTTCAAAACCGTCCCAAAAAGCTCCAGCACGTCGTCGCCGTCTTCGGGAGCGTTTTTCCACTCCCCCTTCAACAGCTGTTCCTAAAGACCATTATGGACAGTTAGCAACGCCCCAACGAGCTGCAATCTACGCTATTCTTCATCACTTCGAATATCATGGTATCCCGTGCAGCCTAGAAGACATCAAAGCTTCTCATAATATTCCGACCTCTACTGCTGCAGATGTACTCAAGAGTGGTCACGTTCGGCGCCTGCAACACACTGATTTGCCGGACAATCGGGGAGGGTTGCGAAAGTTCACCGATTCGGATGCAAGGAAGGTTGCAGATTATATTGAAGAAGCCTCTGCTGATGAGAAGGGAGCTACTTGGTTAGACATTGCAGAGAAAGCAGGAGTCAATTGCATTGAAGAAAAGAAGGTGCATCATCCACGAACAATCCAGCACCGTGTAGCATCCGTCACGGGTGTTCGCAAAGCTACAGTAAAGAGGGATCGGACTGATAATGTTCGTCGAAAAGAACGGTCTGATTCGTAAGACCCCTTGGATAATTGCAATGGATATCTTTACTTGTCTGGTTCCTGGTTCATAAGCTTTCGTCATAAGCATTGGATCTACATTCCAAAGGCCTTGGGCTGTGCTGATTGTTGTAATCTTATGAGGGGTTGCACGAGCCGCAAGAGGCTATGCACCGAGGAAGGCGTAAAGTTGACGTCCTAATCTTGGACGCCGTACCACACACCTTCTTTATTAATTGCATTTGGGTGGTATTTAAACACTCGAAGACGAATAGCTACCTGTGATCAGTCTATTGAGGAACATTTGAACCATCATGAGATTTTCTACTATTGTACATTCACTGTCTGTCGCTTCGGCACTTGGGGCTTCCATACCCAAACGCAATGAAGAGTTATTTACTCTAAAGTTCTCTGCTGAGGAAACAAGCCAAGTCACTGCTGCGGAAAAGTGGAAGCTTCTTAAGGTGAATCGGACACTACACAGACAGACCCTTTGGCTAATACAGCACTGGCAGGCAGGAAAACGATTCGTAGACATCACAAACCACGCCGACTTCCATGCTGCCGCCCGGAAGCGTAATGTTCAGACTAATGTCACTTTTCCATCAGCAGTCCATTATGAAGAAAGCGTCAACGCCCTCTTACCGAGGCTCAATAAGACCAATATGGAATCCGTATTGAAACCGTTTTCCGAGTTCTATAATCGTTGGTTCAACAACACAAATGGCAAGGAATCGTCCGAATGGCTGTATTCCCAGGTCCAAGCTATCATCAATTCTTCTGAAGCAAAGGGTGCCGATGTACGTTTCTTCAAGCATGACTTTCCACAGAGCAGCATCATTGCCACCATCCCCGGGAAAAGCAACAATACTATTGTCATCGGCTCGCACCAGGACACCATCTCCCTCGACGAAGAGGGTGACCCCGGTTTGTTACGTCACCCAGGTGCCGATGACGATGGCAGCGGTGTGGTCACCATTCTTGAAGCATTCAGGGTACTTCTTTCTGACCCGACCGTGGCAAGCGGCCGCGCGGAAAACACCTTGGAATTCCACTGGTATGCGGCAGAGGAGCCCGGTCTATTGGGGAGCCAGGCGGTGTTCGAGAATTACAAGAACAACTCCAGGGCTGTGAAGGCCATGTTGCAACAGGACATGACAGGCTATGTCAAGAATGGTACTGTCGAACAATTTGGTCTTATCACTGACCATGTGAGCGTTCCATTGACCGAGTTTATCAAACTTGCCATCGACGCTGTAAGTAAAATCCCTATCAGGCACCGCATTGTTCCTACTAAGCACAATTTCTAGTATTGCGACATACCTTACGTCGAGGACGAATGTGGATACGGCTGTTCTGATCATTCCAGCGCTCTCGATGCCGGTTACCCTTCTGCATTCGTCTTCGAGTCTGCGTTCAACGACCACAGTCCTTACATTCATTCCGCAAATGACACCATTGAGTCTGTGAATTTTGACCACGCACTTCAGCATGCAAAGCTGGTGGTTGGTTTCGCCTACGAGCTGGGATTCACGGCAAATTTGTGACCTGATTGCTATTCAGAGCGGATATGCCATGACACTTACATCTAGAACATAAGATAACTAAGAGAAGATATACCATATTTCTTTCTATGATGGAGCCACAGAGTGTGTTAGAGACAGGTCTTCTTTCTGACGATAGTGATGAGAATATTTTCGTGTAATGTTTATATTATATGATTCCCTAGCGGATCTCGCCCATTGCGTAGACAGGCAGCTGTTACACTATACTATCTCCACTTCGACCAAATCCTTGCTGCTTTTTTCGAATGCATGTGGATATAGCATGGCAACCCCCACTCGCTTGTATTTTCCCTCACCGATTGGCTCAAGCAACAAAGCCCAGTAGACATGGCTGGTCGTACGTGCTAATCGAACTATCTCTTCGGCCTATAGTCTGTAAGTACTCGTAGTACTAGGTACTGGAAGGGTTGTTGCTCACTATATGCCAATCATTGTCGTCTTCATCGTCTTCGTCGTCATCTTCGTCGTCTTCATCCTTCTGTTTGTCTTCTTCGTTATCTGCATTGATAGCTTTTTCTTCTACGGATGAGCGACAATTCTTCTCAATTGGTGAATATGGATGCTGACTTCGTTCAGAAGATCCATATTTATTCTTTGCGTGATGTGGGCTCTCATCTGCATCTACAGAACGCTCAAAGGTCACTCTATCATCACTATCGACCTCCATGGAGAATGAGCCCACACCTGGAAGACTTGGTGAAGTGTCATCTGCAGCCACCTGGGATACATTGTCTGATTCGGATGTATCAAGATCTTCGTCCGTGTCAGAACTCGCGGAGTCCATAGGAACGTCTGACTTGCTGTTTCAACTTTCAATAAAGAGCAAGATCAAGAACATCTGAGAAACACTTACACATATTCTTTTCGCAATGTCGATACCATAAAGAAACATCTTGCGTGTAGCACATGCTCTCTGTGACTATCAAATACCGCTATGCCCATGACAGATTCGTTCAGTATGCTATCTGCAACTAAGAGACAAGGTATGGTTCCATCCCCAAAATATGTGGGGAACATCTGATTCTCGTAATGGATGACCATTCCGTATGGAAAGGAGTTGTTCAAGACCGAACAGGTTACGCGGAAGTCCCATTGCAGGACAGGCTTATACCGTGCCATTTGACCAAGGGCCTTGATCGAGCCTATTTCAGTGATTAATATCTGCTTCAGCATGCTTTCATCTATGAATTCCTCGTCCACATCCGTCAGCATCCAGCGTTTACGCCATTCAGTAGCCGCCCATGTCCATGTGGGCAGCTCCAACGAGCCTCCTTCCGGGCAGCCAGCTGCATTTATCCAAAGTAACTGATCTAGTAGTTGATTCTCCCAAACTCCATATTGTTGATAATACCGGTCTTGTCGAGTGTTTTTCATCTCGGCAACTATTCCCTGGAGAGCGTACAGACGATCGGAGGAATACGTTAGTTTCTTTCCCGAATATTCGTCTAATAGATTGAGCCATGATATGGCGGCATAAAGCCCAAGGTCAACTTTTGTTTCCCGCTCATTCATCTCTAATCTCTCGCAAGTCCATGCAAGACGAGATGATGTGAATATTAGGAGTCTTTGTGCTAGATACCACTCCTGAAGTACCCAAGCTCTTGTATTGAGCGGTGCGGATTGCAATTCATTGTCCTTCTCTACCATGACAGATAGATTGAATGACCCTTTACAGAAGCCTTTATCGAAATAAGGTGCTGTCACAGTCATCGGATGCGGTCGTTCTTTGAGACCGAGTCCTTCTGTGGAGTCTTTCGAGCTAGCAGCAGCTATAACCAAGGTCGCATTCTTGTAAACTGCCCCCATCTTTTTCGCTTCTGAATGCCAATCTTGCTTGTCATTTTGGATGATGCACAATGAATCAATCCAGAGATAGGAAATTCCTATACGATAGGTCAGCATGACTGCTTCCCTGAAAGTCTTTGGTAAGCTCTCAAGTCGTATTCGATCCAGATGTTCGCTAACATTCTCGTGTGTAGTTGACAAAGGTCTTTTGTCAGGCGCTCCCCAGCAATGGCTCAATGCACAGTAGCGTCCTTGCATGCCGCCTGTCTCTAGCAATCTGATAAACGGTGTAGCTGTGTCGCCAGATATCTCCAAAACGCGGGTAGGCAGTTGAGTTTCGTCTGTGATAGAACAAGCTTTATGTGACGAAATGCAAATATTGAGCCAGTACCGGACTAACCCGCCAACATCATCGAGACTCGCAGTAAGAAGCGGTGGCCTAGCTACAAAAGTGGCAGAGGCAGGGCTATCTGGAACTCATCAGCAAACTTACAGACATGAGAAGGGTTATTTCTTTGATATTTACCGCAATCTGCCCAAACGGCAAATGGTATGGCTTTTAAGCGTTGTCCTTTGCTATGTAGCACTATCTCGAACTGGCTCAATAGATGTTGATCATACTGAATGCAGCTCTCTCTAGTGATTATTCCGTATGCCAGAGGAATACCAAGCAGTGAAGAGTCCTCAATGTGGCGGGACACCGTCCGACAAAAGCAACACTGTGCTTGCGTCTGCTCCAATGTAGTTTTCTTCCGAGCAGTCCACATTCTACACCGCCCCGCTCGGTATTTTCCCGATCGATATAGTTCTGATGCCGCACCTCTTCTGTTCGCTATGTCCCGGAACAATTGAAGGCAGAAATCACAATGCATAGCGGCCACGAGATTCGGGTTGACAATCATGTTGCGGAGAGGTGCAGGTGGTATTTTCACTGGCAGGTAGGCAACAGCGACAAGGCTGAGACTTGGCTTCGTCGGTCAGCCTAACATGTCCGGCTTCTTGCACAATGATCAATCACTGGCTATGCCTCGCGAGGCTGTAGATCTGATTTTGACCAGAGATAGCCTATGTATGTAGCTTGATGTTCCAAATCATTCGCACATAATTCTCGCTAATCCACCATCCATATCCCTTCCCTCCCCCATCACCCCCCAAAATGCCCTTCAACATGGTGCGCAACCGCCCTCTCATCCCCTTCAAAATCCCCACAGACCGGACAAACCGCCACCTCACCCATCCCTCTCCCCCCATCACCTCTCCTCCCATTCTCCTCCTCCCTATCCCTCGCCTCCAAAGCCTCCAACCCCCAAAACCCAGCGGTCCCTTCATTTCTCCTCTTCCCCTCATCCCAAACATACTCATCCCCCCTAACATCCTCCACATGTCTAAAACCCCCACCTCTTCCTCTCCCCCGTCCTCCCCTCCCCCTACCACCTCTGCCTCTCCCTCTACCAGATCCAAAAGAAGACCCATCACCCTCCCCATCTCTCCCCAACCCCGCCCCAGCACCACCAACGCCCTCCTCCCCCTCAACACCCACCTCCTCACTAACAACACGCTGCACCCTCCCCACCCTCCCGTCCCGGAGCCGAACCTTGACGCCCCGCGGGTGGTCGCCAGAAGTGAGGACGTCAGACACGATGCCCGTGACTTGCCTGCCGGTGGGTTGGTCGACTTTCAGGACTATGGAGACGGGGGTGCCGGGGGAGATGGCGGCGTGCCGGGGGACAACGCTTGATGTGGTCGAGGGGGAAGGGCGGGCGGAGTGCTGGCGGTTTGGACGGCGGTTCATTGCGTTCGTTTCTCTTTCTTGTTTCTTTATGGTTGGTGTTGGTTCCTTTTTTCCGTTGGAGGTTTGAAGGCCACGTGATGGTTGGGGTGGTGGGAAGGTTGGATGACGTAGATGGGAGGATAGTGGTAGTTGGAAATGTGTGTTTGATGATTTGATTGCCGTTTGGGGTAGATGTCGAAATGCTGTGAGGAAGTGGGCGCCGGATCTTGAGGTGTTGGTGTTGGAAAGGGTCAATATGTTGGATATAAAATTCATTTGTAGATGGCACGGATTGGATTTGATGAGTGGTCGACCGTCAAATCCAATCCATGCAGCCTTGCGGGACGTCAAGTGTCTAGCGTGATCGATTGAACCGATTGACTCAACGAGTACAACCAGTCCAGTCATCACTCACGTCTGACTTTTTGGTTCAATGTTTTATTCACAATGAAGCACAGGAGTTGGAAGCTGGAAACAGACGAGTTGTCTCACGAATATGCTTTTTCTTTTCTACACTGGATAGTATGATAAGCAACCCCACCCAATGTGGGGAGAGGAGTCTTGCGGTGTTTGGGGGGGTGAAAACATAGATGGACCCCCATCTAGATATAATGCCAAAGAACGACGCCAGGCAATGCCGATGACTCTAGGACCAAAAACATCCCCGATGCTGCTACTGCTGCCTCTGCTGCTGCTGCTGCTGCTGCTTCTCCTCGGCGTTGTGCAAATTCCATAGGAAAAAAAATGAAGAAAGCCTCTGCGCTCCCGCCCGCCCGTCCATCCATACAACCATCCACCCACCCCACACGCCCGATATCTAGTCTTTGCAAAGTGACGTACTTTAGCTTGCGCAATGCCCATTTGCCCTTTGAACGCCGTACGAATACGAAAGACCCCCAAGTGATCGTGGTCTAGAACTATAGACACGAAAGGAAAATATGTTGTGGAAGGTATCCAAACCGCAATGCGAGTCGCAGAAGGAATTCAAGTGTTTTGAGAGTGTGTCGATCAGAATGGGAATCCGCCTTGGAATGACTGTCCACGACGGCCGCCGCCGCCGCCAGGCATGCCACCCATCCCGCCGAAGGGGCTTCCGCCCTGGAAGCCGCCGAAGCCTCCGCCTCCGCCTCCTGGGCGACCGCCGCCCATGCCGCCAGCACCGCCGAACATCTGGAAGACTGCAGGCTGTTAGTTTGCTATTCATCAATATCGTAAACGGAAAATACGTACGCATTTCGGGGTCGATCTGGACACCGCCTCCCATGCCACCACCGCCAAAGCCGCCGCCTCCACCGAACATGTCGGATGGGTCGATAAGGTCCTCGCCAGAGTCGTATCGTGCTCGCTTTTGTGAGTCGCTCAGAGTCTCGTGTGCCTCCTGAATCTCCTTGAACCTCTCGGCCGCCTCCTCGTCGCCAGGGTTCTTGTCGGGATGGTGGACAATGGCAAGTTTGCGGTAAGCCTTCTTGACCTCCTGCTCGGTCGCGTCCTTCTCGATCCCGAGAATCTTGTAGTAGTCCTTGCGTTTGCTCTTCTTGAGCTCCAATTCGGCGTTTCGAATGTCTCGTGCAATGCCAGGCTCCGAGGGGTTGGCCTCGTGGATGGCCTTGTATTCGCGGGCTGCCTCTTCCCAGTTGCCCGACTCGCCCAATGCCTTGGCTCGGGTCTTGCGTGCCTTGAGATAGCTTGGATCAAGCTCAAGAGCCTTGTCGCAATCCGCAATGGCAGGCTTGTAGTTCTTCAGCCTGGTCTGGCAGAGGGCTCGGTTCTGGAGAATCTTTGAGTTTGTGTTCTTGTTGGAGGGATCGACCTCGAGAGCCTTGGTGTATGTCTCAACGGCCTCTTGGAAGCGACCAGCCTTGAAAGCAGCGTTACCCTCCTCTTTCATCCTCTCCAACTTCTGCACCATTCGGAGGTTCCTCACGGCGTCCTTGAAGTCTGGATCGCAGCTGAGAGCTTGCCTGAAGTGCTGGATGGCCTTGTCGTTCTCTCCCTGTGCGTACAAGATGCGTCCTCGTAGCACAAGTGCCTCGGGGTCCTGGCTGTTGTTCCGTAGCAGTGACATGGCCACGTTCTGTGCCTCGCCCAACGCATTGACATTGCCCATCTTCAAATAAGCCTCTCCGCGCATCAAAGTCCACTTCCTTGGCTTGTCGACGCCAGAACCGAGACCTCGCTCTGCCTCGTTCAATGCATGTAAGATCAGAGAGGAGGAGCCGCCGCTGGCAACAAGATCCTCTGCCTGTCGAAGGTGCCTCTGCATGATGAGTGCAGGCTGCTTGTCCTTGGCCGTAGTAGGAGGGTTGATAGAATCAAAGACAGCCACTGCCTCGTCGGGTCGGCCCAAACTAGTGTAAAGTCGTCCGAGACGGAGCTGAATCTTCATATTGCTAGGATCAAGTTCGTCAGCGGTCTTGCAGTCCTCCAATGCCTCGACGAATCGGTTTGCCGACATGAGCGCGGCCGCTCGATTGGAGTAGTAGGTGGCATTTTTGGGATCGGCTTCGATGGCTGTGGGCGCACTGGTTAGCTCACAAATGGGAATGATTGGATTGAAATTTGTCGTGCAAAATGTTTCGTGCTAGCAGCACACGACTCGAGGAGATAGCGGTACGACGAGTACGAACCTTTGGAATATTCCTTGATTGCCTGTGGGTAATCCTTGATCTTGAAGAATTTGTTGCCGGCAGCCTTGTACTCCTCCGCATTTATGGTAGGCAGCTCAGCAGGCGGGGAAGCGTCCTCGGGGGTAGCGGCATAGTTTGCGGACTGGGGAGGTGGGCTTGTGGTATATCTGTGTGGAGGAGGAGCGGGCTTTGAGGGTTGCTGTTCGCCGTTGGTTGTGCCATTCGTTTTGGGAGGCTGAGATGCAGCAGGACTGGAAGGTTGGCTATCGATGTCCATGGGCTGGGGGGTGGGCTGGTCGTTCATTTGGGACATGGCTGAAGACAGTCGCCTTAGCTCGTCTGGAGGGAGATTGAGAGGATGTGAGTCACGATCGTGCTTGGAGGAGCGTTTGGAGGAGTAGGAAAGCGAGCGGCGTTCTTTTTCCCGGTCCTTGTCCTTTACGCGGTGATAGGACTTCTTCTCGGGAGAAGAGGGAGGGGTGCCTTGATTACTTCGAGAACCGGGGGTGGAGAGGTTCGGGAGGTTGTCGTGGGGTTTTGACTTTTTCGAAGATTTGGAAGAGGATTTGGAGAAGAGAGAGGGAAGGACCATTTGGAGAAGAAAGAAGAAAGAAGAAGAAGAAGGGTTCGGCCTGTTGGATTAGGGTTGGGTTACGGTATCTCCCTACAGCAGTAGAGTGTGTGGGTGTGGGTGTGTAACTGGGCGGAATTTTTAGTGTGCAAGGGAAAAGTTTGGTTGATGGCGGACCGGAATTTCCTCTAAACACTTTTCGCTCCTTCTTTCGTTCTTTGGCTTTTCCCTTAACTTCTATGCACTAGGTACTGGGACTGGAAAATGGGGGGAACAGAGGTTGCTAGAAGCTTCCATGAGACCGAGCGTAGAAGCAGAAAAAAAGATGAGAGCCAGTAGTAAGTAGCCTTAGGAAGTGACCAAAGGCCCGAGTAGCGATCAGCTATTACTCGTACCCAGCACAGCATAGAGCACAGCAGCACAGCCAGAACAGCCCGAAGCCACAGTCGTCAAGCCTCAGCAGTGTACGGAGTATCTACTCGAGTAATTGGTAGGAATAATAGGAGTAATTATTAGTTGATAGTAATCACTCCTCCTCCTCCTGATACTCTCGTAACAAGCACCGACAACGGCGGGAAGAAACAAAAGAGGTTGCAGGGTATTGGAGCAGATCGTGCTGCGTGCGTCGTCTTGCCGGCCTGTCGTTCTTTCGTCTGTCGTCCGTTTTATTATAATTATAAAAAAGAAAAGGTAAAGAATAAAGAATAAAAGAACAAGGAACAAGCTTGTAGAATACACCCGAAAACCTAACTGTCGTTCACGGGTTGTCGCGTGGGCCTTATAAACTTGTGTAGCCCAGAGAGGCTATATACAACGTGCAAGTCTGGAAGACATTACAATATTGCTCGTGGTCAGTCTTCACATTCTATTGCACGCAAGCAGAGAGGTGGAGACGGCGTCAGCGCAAGAGCAGAGAATTGCCCATCTCAATGCTCTCATAGGTCGAGACATAGGAAGAGGCTGGTGCATTCATCCCATAACACAGCAGGCAATCGAATCGACAGATGCTCGTCTCGTAACGCTCCTACAATTGCACATCAAATCACCGCCTGGATCAACCTACGCGCCCTCTCATTCGCCATTCACTCTCCTCATCGTACTCGTGTGAACACATCGCTACCCATTAGTCGTCAAGAGCCCGTGCTACCAAGCTGTTAACGCTCCTCTGCCAACGCAGATCTCGCTCTCCTACCCCCGTATCTGCTAAGCTCGCCAGTAGGATAATCCCAAAGGAAGACGATTCTCCAATCCGAATTCGGGGAGGCTGGATCTTGCAGTCGTTCAGCACTGTTGCCAGCAGCAACCTATGTAGTCTGCACAGAAGAACAGCACCATTCTCCGATCCATTGCTTCTCGCGTGCTTTTGCATTGCAGCGATGAGCTGTTCATTGGGTTCGGTCAATCATAAAATTCGAGAGGCTGATGGTTAGTATACACAGCAGAGATGCTGCATGGCACTCGTTGGCAATCGCCTATGGCCGTTTTCTAGCATATCCAGTCCTGGGGGTGTTATTCTCCGCCCGCAGTTTGTTGTAGCAGAAATGGGTCGGTTGATAACACACCGAGACAGTGCAGCGCATACAATACATACAATAATTAATTGGTATTTCGTCATTCTTCCTTTCCTTCTTGGACCAGGACATTTGATATGTTCCCGTGCCCCACAATCTCAAATCCTCTCCTCCAGGCATCTGCATGTGGATGAAAAGTGCCGGATTGGTCTGGTACAACAATATACTCTCTCCTCGTTATTGTTCTCGCCGTCGCCTTTGATCCGATTGGCAATAATCAAGCCAACGCCTATTTCCGTATCGCCGCATTTACGGAGTACAGAATGCAGAACCGATGCCATCTAGGTGCCCCGTATTCGTTGGTTTTGAGGGGGTTGGTTGACTATATCTACAGAGTATCGTGTACTGTGTAGACCGCCGCCAGCCAGCTGTGAATCTTATCTTGTCACCCCGCCCCGAATAGCATCATGACAAGTCAGAGCGACCATTCTGCTTCTCTGTCTGTTGACGGAACATTCCTTCATGAAGAGGCTACACACGTGACTTTTGCTCTATCACGATCATAACAATTAACTGGAGGAATAATAAGTGGTAGGTGTAGGTACCTATCTAGTTACCTGCGATTGAATTAATTACTTTCATCTTTGGCCGCCCAAACCAGCGAAGCTCGACCCCCGCACCATCATTAGCTTCCCCCCAAGCCGAACCACCGAACCCACCACAACCACCACAACCACTACCACTACCACTACCACTACCACTCTGGCCTTGCAACATCCTCTCTTCCTCTAACCATCTGCCCAGGATATCCCTCTTCAAACCACCAGCAGGCTATTCTCGAGCGTACTGTTCCCTGCTTCCCGCTCTTAGCTGCCTTCAAAATCACGTTGCGGTCACACGGACGATTACGGCATTGCGTGCACGGTCGGGTCATCATCGCTGCATGGTACATGCGCTCTCTGTCTCTGTCAACTGTTAAAACTGTCTCTGGCTCTCCCTCCTCTTTCTCTTTCTCTCTCTCGGAGGACAGACCTTGGAGCAGCGCATAGACAAACAATCCGCCTCTTTATAGAGATCGATAAGACCGCCGCGCGCATTCCTAGACGTTTCCAATCTTAGTCCTCAGTTCCACCGCATCTGCATCGTGCCAACCGCTCCACTACTTAAACGTCCCTCCTCCCGGTGACTTCTACTGCTGCTACTACCACTGCCACTACTCATCTTCGCCTGCCCCGTCATACTCGTAGCTGGAGAGCTTAGCTACCTACCTTAACCCACTACTGCTGGCTGCTTCGATTCCGTCCACTCTACAGCCTTGAGGCACGCCTTCGTGCCCAGAACAGAACCATACCATACCATACCATAGCTATCATCCGCAGTGAAAGAGCGCAGAAATTCCACCATGGGGCTGGCATACAACATATACCTGAACTCGTCGCGAATCTACGGCTGTAAAAACTGCAAGACACACCTCTCAAACCACGACGACATCCTAAGTCGAGTGAGTACTCCCCCACCACCCTCCGCTCCGAAAGAGAACATACAGTCTCTAACCTACCTGATCACAGAATTTCCGCGGCCAACACGGCAAAGCCTACCTCTTCGACAACGTAGTCAACATCACAGAGTCGGACCCGAACGAACGCAACATGACGACAGGCCGGCACATCGTGCGCGACATCCACTGCCGACAATGCAAGGAGACGGTGGGATGGAAGTACGACAAGGCGTTTGAGAGCTCGGAGAAATACAAGGAGGGCAAGTTCATCCTCGAGGCGGAGCTGCTATGTACGGTGACATGAGAGTCGTCCTGCCTTCGTACCTTTCTTCCCACCACGATAAGTGGGGATTGGGAGGAGAGGCGAGGGGAGGGGTGAGGATGGTGAGACGCTTTTAACGACCGGTTCTTTGTTGCATGTCACGGAGTATTCATTATGGGATAACATGGTATCTTTTTCCTCTTCACGTCGGTTCTCTGTTTCTTTGCTTTTACTCTTCTTCTTATCTCCCCTCTTGGTTCTTGATTATTGGAACGAACACCTTGGGTCTCGGCGTTGAAACTTTTGGTAAACGGTACTCCTCGCCTTTGCGGGGCTTTTACTCTTCTTTTGGGACATATCTATGGGACATTATCTATGTCAGGAGTACATGGAGGACAACGTAGGATGGCTGGATCATTAGTAACGTTACTGTCTGCGGGGTCATGGGAGAGAGAAGTAGTACAATCGAATAGGCAGACAGGCAGCGAGTAACGAGGAAAGCAAAGACTATTACTTTTCAAACAGCCTTCAAATGTGAAAATCAGCCGAGCAATGTTTATATATCTAGTGATCGGACGACGACCATGACGCTCTCGCCTTCTTATCCTTGCCTGTTCCTGTCAAACCCGGGACGAATGAGGGATCATGCGGAGTATTGTACGTACATCGAGACAACCCGAAGCTGGTATAATCGACAGTATCGACGATTCAATCTATAGTGCCCCTTCCCTCCTCATCGCACTGTCATAACTATATTCAAATGCAACTTGACTGTTCCTCATCAACAGAAGAAAACAACACTTTAAAACTACTTAACTACGTACCAGTTATACTCAGTAATTAGTCTCCTCCGGAGCGCCCCGCACGCCCTCCTAATTCCGTCGCCTCCCTGACTTATTAGGGTAGTTGTACCTTTTCCGAACCCGACCCATTCTCGTGCTCGCAAGCTCCCCAATACCCAGACCTAGGTAAACCCTTACCATTCGAGCTGTGTACCCCGCATCCCGCCCGCATCATTCAATCATACCTCATAGCATCACAGACGCAACAAACGCAACATTAAAACATCGTCAACCTCGGCGTACTACTCGCATATCATAAGGTTTGGATTTTGAGAAAGCACAGCCCATCCTTTCTTCTTTCTCACTTCGCTCGCAATCAGACAACATAGTCAATTCCGCTTCTTCAATATCTGCACTCCTGGGAACGCCGAGGAGGATTCGAAGTTATAGCACACCACTCAATTTTGAAAAATCGGGAACGCTTGACTCAATTGCTTGTAATTGGAAGTACGTATATCTCCTTTCTGAATCCTTGATGATTTCAATCTCGAAAGTCGTCACTGTCTGCTTGTATTATACCTCAACATTTGCGAGGGATGGCGGGACAAAGTATGTTGGGGGTAGAGCTCAAGGTAGCTTCCGATTTCCGTGGGAATTTCCTCCGATCTATAGTTACTACACACACACACCCGCTTTACATTTCTCCACGTTTCCCTCGGCTGTTGTGTGTTTTTATGTAACTAAGCTCCCCGTCACTGCTCTTCATCTCTTCTCCTTTCTACTCTTCATACTGCTAGGCCCATTGTCCTAATACAAGCAAGCTACAGGTCTTACAACTGACGCATCTCTCTAGACATCATCACACAACAGCAACCTATTGAAGAATTAAAGACCAAAGATCAGGAAAGATGTCGACCGGAACCATGAAAGCAGTCGTGTTCAAAGGGCCCGGGAAGATCGTTGTCGAAGACCGTCCGATACCCCAGATCAAAGACGATGGGGATGTGATTGTTAAGGTTGATAAGGTTCGTCTTCTCTGACTTCCCCTTTGTTTTTGTTTTGGGACCACCAGGGAATATGGGAGGTTGAAAGCGACGTTTTGCTGACTTGATATATGGGAGGGATGTAGACGGCGCTTTGTGGAAGGTAATTATGAATCCCGGTTTTCTTTTTTGCTTTCGACCTGTTCGGAGAGAGAGAGAGAGAGAAGAAGAGATGAAAAAGGGAGATGTTCGAAGAAAGGGCGAGAGAGAAGAAAGAGACGTATACCACCACCATCATCAACGCATATTTCTAACGCGCCCCGGATACCAACAGTGAACTCCACGTCTTCCGCGGCCACCAACCGTCACCAACCGACTTCATCATGGGCCACGAATTCACCGGCGTCGTGCACGAGGTCGGCTCGGGCGTCAAGACGCTCAAAAAGGGCGACAAGATCGTCAGCCCGTTCACCGTGTCCTGCGGCTCCTGCTTCTACTGCTCGCGCGGGTTCTCCTCCCGCTGCGAGAAGTGCCAGCTCTTCGGCTCGCAGGGCCTGGATGGCGCGCAGGCGCAGTACGTCCGGGTGCCGCTGGCGGACTCGACGGCCGTGAAGGCACCAGAGGGGATCAAGGACGAGGCGCTCGTGCTCATGGCGGATATCTTCCCGACGGGTTACTTTGCGGCGTGGAATGGGTTCAAGGACTTCTCAGCTGAGGAGATCGCAGAGGCGACTGTCGTGCTGATTGGGTGTGGGCCCGTCGCGCTGTGCTCACTCGTCAACATCGTAGACTACAAGCCGAAGCACATTCTCGCGGTGGACTCGGTGCCGTCGAGGCTGGAGCTGGCGAAGGAGCTTGGAGCCGAGCCGTGGAACTTCCAGACGGACCGTAAAGGATTAGATGCGAGGGTGAAGGAGCTCACGGACGGGAGGGGTGCCGACATTGTGATTGAGATTGTGGGGTTGAGTCCCGCGCTGCAGATGGGCTTCGATTTGCTGAGGCCTTGGGGTGTGATCAGCAGTGCGGGCGTGCATAATGGGGAGATTCCGTGGAATGGAAATCAGGCGTATGGGAAGAATCTACGGGTTCAGATGGGTCGTTGCCCAGTCAGGAGCGTGTTTGAGAAGTCGCTGGAGAAGCTGAAGGAGAAGCAGCATTTGCTTGGGTGAGTTCTTTTCTGGTGGTGCTTTTTGGAGACGTTCCCGTGTGGAGTGGTTGTCATGATGAGAGCAGAGCTAATGATATTCTAGGTTCATGGCCGACAAGATTATGCCATTGACAGATGCCGTGGAGGCATACGATTTGTTTGACAAGATGAAGGTACAAAAGGTGGTTTTTGAGGCCCAGAAGTAACGTCAATGAGTACTGGTATGGAAATGGGTTGAACGTACGGAGTAAAAGTGTAAATACGGAGATAGATGGATAAAGATAGAGACGATTTGTGTGGGGAAGGAGCCACAGGACGCAGAATGCAGGGCAGGACAGGGAGGCTGGACCAATGGGATCGCCGGATTGACGGGGACAAAAGAATGCAACAGTTTCCGAGGTTGATTTTCAAGCCAATTGGAAGACTATACGGAGTACTGCAAGCAAACAAACATCTTGTACGGCATTAGTATTTTCGCTCCGTTACATTTAATCGATGTTGCAGTTAGTGACTTGCCATGCATGCAGCCTCCTTGACTGGGAATGGTTCGAGTGAAAAAATACCTTGAGTACGGGATTGGAGTAACAAAGCACAGGGTTCCGTACGCTGATGGACTATTGATAGCTAGGGCGACTGCATGCACCGAAGCACGCGCAGAACGATTGACAGTCACGAGTTGATGGCCAGTAAATGGCAAACGCCAATGGAACCCAGCGGGTCTGAAGTAGCCCCGGACTTGCTTGAGTATTGTACACAGTAGTGAAGATACGATACCTGTATCTCTATATCCCTAGAAGAATACCGAGCCATTGCGATGCGGGTGGGGCAACGGACTTTGGAAGTCAGGGTACCTGTTGGTCGATTGACAATTCGGCCATTGACACGAGAGGAGGAAAAGCGGCGAGGCAGTAACCTACCCCTACCTTACGAGTGGGATGATGGAGATGATGTGAATTCTGTGGGTTTTGTGGGTTGCCTGTGGATCACATCGTCAGAGAGGCGAACGAGGGAGGGATGACACTCTGGACAATACAAGTCACCAACTACTACAGGTGAGGCAGTCAGTCCGATTGATCAACAATCAGACATGGCTACTTAGGTACATGTAGGTAGTACTGGCTTGTAGTCAGAAGACGATGTGGGATTTCCGGGGTGAATTGAGTCGTTCAATGTGTGAAGCGGGTGCATGCGGGTTTCATTGAATGAGGCAAGGTGGGCATCAATGGAAAGCCCACCACTAGGCGAGCCAAACGCGGGAAAGGAGCATGATTGATTGATGAACTGATAGATTGTGACGGTTGAAGATGTGTTTGTGAATAAGTAATCAAATGCTAGACGGAGTGAGAGGAAGATTGCTACGAGTAGAAGAGAGTTAGAGGAGGACATCGAGTAGGATAGAGGATCACTGTGCAGGTACCAGGTAGGTAGGTAATTAATACAAATGGACTCTATCACTGTCTAGCGAACCAATAATGTAACGAACTACGCCAGTACTCTTCTTAGAATGAATTGAAGACTGCAGCCTTCTCCCATGTAAATGTTCACACCATTGATCCGATGAGGCGATGAATCAGATCCTGAACTTTCATCATATAATTTGTATACCTTCAATTGTCACTGTAGAAGAAGATTTCTGTTAGCGTGGTTCGTTACGCGGTTATGTTCGCTAGACAGTTACAGTCCACGAAGATTACGTAGTAGTAAACACAAGGAGGTCCGTCGCACCTGCCTGGCATACGTACGAGGAAGTCACAGAACACAAACACAAAGATCATACAGACAACAGTAACGACTCCGTACAATGATACAATCACAGAGTCAATTGATCGTCACTGGATTCATCATGATCCGTTGTCATTAGCTATCGCCAGCATCATCATCATCATCATCCAACGGCCGGTCTTTCAAACGGAAAGTCTCTTCAACATGATCTAAGCCGCTCTACCTCTTTGTCATTCTTCCTGTACCTGCACTGTGCCTTAATACCCTACCACCTATTACGGTACCTACGCGGCCACACCTTCTACTACTACCTTACCTTACCTTACTTCCACTAACACTAACTAACCCTACTCTACTCGAACTACTTTCCCTCCTACTTACTCTCTTACTCTCGTCTCCCTCTCCTCTCTCTCTCTCTTCCCCTCCCCCAAACACTCGCGCACATCACACACACGCACACACATCACACCCTACTCACTCTTCTTCCTCTTCCTCCATCCTCACCTCTTCCTCTCTTCTCTTCTCTTCTCTTCTCCTCTCCCCACCTCTCTCTCTAACACCCTCACCTTTCTCCCTCTTCCTTTTCTCTCCCCCCAGAGCCTCGTCCTCCTCATCAGTCGACCACCCATCACCTTTTCTCCCCCGCCGCTTCCTGCCGCACCTCTTCTTCACTCAACCCTACTCTACTCTAGGTAAGTTGTCAGGAACAACAATCCCATTGCCACCGCGCATCTGCCACCGCGCACTCCAATCTTTTCTCTCGCGCTGTTCGTCAATACTGAACAATCAATTTCTCGTCTCTCGCCCAACATCTGCGCGTTCTCGTAGTGCACAATCCAGACTCACGCCGCCATTCTTGCATTCCATTCATTCTCATTGTCTTCCTACTTCTCTAACACTCCTACAAAGCTCCACCGCCACTACTCCCTCTCCCACATCCCTTCCTTCATCATGTCTGCCGAAGACTCTCAACAAAACTCCCAGGTCGTCTCCGACTCCTACGAGCGCCACAATGACGACAGCGACGTCGTCCCCCGCACCGAGCAGGAGTACGCAGAGTCCCAGCTCACCCTCCGCGCCATCGTGTCTTCCAAGGAGGCCGGTGTCATCATCGGAAAGGCTGGCAAGAATGTTGCCGACCTGCGCGATGAGACTGGCGTCCGCGCCGGCGTAAGTAAGGTCGTCCAAGGTGTTCACGACCGCGTCCTCTCCGTCACTGGCTCTCTCTCTGGCATCGCCAAGGCTTATGGCCTTGTTGCCAAAGGCCTTCTGGAGGGCGCTCCCCAGATGGGAATGGGCGGCCTCATCCGCAGCGATGGCACCCACCGTAAGTATCCTTCTCAATTGTTAAAGAGATGGCGGCTGTTTCGGGCTTCGGGTGGTATGAAATTTTACGAACACTCAACTAACAACCACAAGCCATCCGTCTTCTCATCTCCCACAACCAGATGGGCACCATCATTGGTCGCCAGGGATTGAAGATCAAGCAGATCCAGGATAACTCCGGTGTTCGCATGGTCGCCCAGAAGGAGATGCTTCCCCAGTCCACCGAGCGCATCGTCGAGGTGCAGGGTTCCCCACAAGGAATTGAGAAGGCTGTCTGGGAAATTGGCAAGTGCCTGATCGACGACTCCGAGCGCGGTTATGGAACTGTGCTCTACAACCCCGCCGTGCGCGTCCAGCCCGGTGTTGGACCGTTGACAAATGGTTCGCCAACCCTCAGCACTGGACGTTCCTACAACCGCACCGGTCACGGTGCTGACTTCAGCGACGCCCCGCCCCCTACCTACAACAACCGTCGTTCCGGTTCCGACGCCGCCAGCAGGCCACCCCCTCCCACTCACACCGAGGACGGAGAGGAGATGCAGACCCAGAACATCAGCATTCCGTCTGACATGGTTGGCTGCATCATTGGCCGTGGTGGTACCAAGATTAGCGAGATCCGCAAGAGCTCTGGTGCTCGCATCTCCATTGCCAAGGCTCCTCATGACGACTCTGGCGAGCGCATGTTCACTATCACCGGAAGCGCAGGCGCCAACGAGAAGGCCTTGTACTTGTTGTACGAGAACTTGGAGGCCGAGAAGATGCGCCGCAGCCAGGCTCAGGATTAGATTGGACTCCATTGAGATCTCGATTGGTGGATTTCGATTGCAGTTTGCTAAGGGCGACGTACCAGGATGGAGATACGCGCCTCAGTTGCACGTTGACTTAATCTTTGGGCCGGTCGTCATGATGGTTCCGGAACGTTCAGGCCTTCGCTTCTAATTTCCACCCTTTGGCATCGGTAGGCCTCAAAAGCAGCCTTTGCCTCTTTCATTCTGCCTGTTCACCTCATGCATACCATGCACAGGCCTATTTTCTTTCTACCACCTTTTATTGTCTTCTTCGAGACTACAGTGCACATTGAGCGGCTTACGATTCATGACTTATGGCCTTGATATCCGCCTGTCTGCGATGGGTTGTCCTCGAGGCAGAGATCTGGTTTCATCAAAAAATGGGGATGAACTAAAAAACGAAGAAAGAAAAGAATGGGCCGCCACTGTCATACATCACTCACTCTCGCACACACACTCTCTCTCCCCCTTGAGGCTTTCAACCGATCACTTGCGCACCTTCCCTCACACCCTTATCTAGCACTCTGTTATCCGTATCCGCGAACCTTTCCCCCAACCCCTGTCCTTCGGTTATTAGCTTCTCTCTTTTATCCCACCCGTGGGAATCTCGTCATACATCCCCTTCCTTCGTATCCGTACCTGCCTCTCCGTCCGTCTCTCCCTCATCATTGTATGGCCTGATTCTGGAAGAAAATTAGCTACAGAATATTGGCAAGGCTGCATCTTCTACTAGTTTCTGTAGAGTAGTAATGCCACTGTGGCGATATTTTGATACATCTAATCATTCTCAATTCAATCTTCGTGATGTCGTCCATGGTTAAGAACGCAGCATCGTCATTCGTCTTTGGCTGTCTCTTGTTTCGGTGGATCGAGCCTGAAACGCGTTCAAGTGGGAGGCTGGTGGGCTGTCACTTGTTTTCAGATCTACATTTAAATTCCGCCCCATAGATCATGAGTCGAACGACATTTAGTCACATTATAGCCAAGACTGTAAAGCTTTTCACATTCTTCAATGAAGGTCATTCGGGACAAGACTAGGTTCTTGATGCGTGGTAGGGTTGGCGTGTATGGCTTACAGCACACCTCAACAGAATCTGTTATGCGTCGCCTTTCTGTGATCAGTATATCGATTCTCGAGCAAGGCCTGCCATACCTTTCTAAGGCTTCGGAAAGCCCTTCAACCAAGCGCAGGCCTAAGACATTAAATAGATCGGAATCTGGTTCCGATTCGGAATCAGGGTGACCCCTGCACAGGCTAGCGAAGTGACCCGGCGGAGCTTCGACCTCCTCGATAATGACGGACGTAGATGCCACATCGCAACTTGTCATCGCACATTAGAGATATAAGCAGTACACCCTACCACGCTCCTTTCAACCTTCTCTAGACCTCCACGCAAGAATTCAGGGACGGGTTCCACCAGTCCATACAATCGCTTCCTTTCGCTTCCTCACGCCCATTGTTGGTCGATATCCCCACGTATATATTCAACTCTGCGACATCCTTCTTTGGATACGCTGTCCTCTGCGCAAACGATATGGCGCGAACCAAACAACCATCTCCCGTGCGACGTACGCCATCAGAGACGTACAAACAAGCCAATGGAAAATCCCACACATTGAATGGGGTCATCGGGGAGATAGAGCATGAGATTGAGGAGGCTGCGGAAGTACACGCGCGAGACCCTGCAGAACAGAGGGAGTCGGGCTTTCTGTTACTTGCAGTCTGTGTAGGCGGTATTTATGCGAGCTTGTAGGTCTCTCATCCTTCATATGACTTTGCAATGACTGATTGTGGACATAGTCTTTCATGGGCTTTCTTCCAGGAACGTGTCACAACGACAACCTACGGTCCGACCAATGCGCGTTTCAATTACTCTGTCTTCCTGAACACCATCCAGTCAACGTTCGCCGCATTGACTGGATATGCATACCTGATATATTCTGCTCCGAAAGACCCCAAGACGGGATCGCGAAAGATACCAGCTGTCTTCCCTTCGCAAGCGATACTCTTCCCACTCTTCTTGATTGCAGTCACATCCTCGCTCGCCTCGCCATTCGGATATGCCTCTCTGAAGCACGTCGACTACATTACTTTTATTCTTGCTAAGAGCTGCAAACTGCTCCCGGTCATGTTCCTGCACATCTCGCTTTTCCAAAAGAGGTACCCTGTCTACAAGTACCTCGTTGTCGGATGCGTTACATTGGGCGTCGCAATCTTCACACTACACAATCCTTCCACCGCCAAGAAGGCTGCTAAGAAGGCGAGCTCAACCAGCGCAGATGCCAGCAAGGTCCTTGGATTGTTTCTACTGGGTGTGAATCTACTTTTCGATGGCCTTACGAACACGGTGCAAGACCACATCTTTGGTACATTCAAGGGATTCACTGGACAACAAATGATGTGCGCCCAAAACATTATGTCTACGCTGCTCACTATAACTTACCTTTTCTTGTCGCCTTATCTCGCTGGTACTCCTTTGGGAGATTGGGTCGGTATTGGTGGCAACGGCGGCGAGCTCAAGGAAGCCATTGAGTTTGTTACGCAATACCCCGCCGCCGGTTGGGATGTTATCTCTTTCGCAGCATGCGGCGCGATCGGCCAGGTGTTCATCTTCCTTACGCTCGCACACTTCAGCTCCTTGCTGCTTGTCACTGTGACTGTCACCAGGAAGATGCTTACCATGCTTGTCAGCGTGGTCATGTTCGGCCACAAGGTCACACCAATGCAGTGGCTCGGTGTTGGGTTCGTGTTTGGTGGTATTGGAGCTGAGGCGCTGGCCACCCGGCGCGAGAAGATTGAGAAGGAGCGCAAGAAGAAGGAGGCAGCGGCGCTTAAGAAGCAATAGATGGACAGGCAGGCAGTGAAGCATTGTCTTCCCAGGAGGCGTATAGAGTGGATCATTTTTATCATTTGAGAAGGGAGGAAATTTATATACCCGTATAGCGTAGACCTGGGTTGCGTACAGAGACAGGAATGGAGCTTAGCATCTTTTTTCGAATACATCGTCGTCGTCGTCATTTCATAGCTTCTGCCTACTTCATCTTCAGCATTGCGCTCCCAACTTCCCCAGGGCATCATTGACAGGCTTGCTTACTCACTTCTTCGGCGGCGCCTGCATCGCCTTGCTGAACATCCCATCCCTAAACAACTGCGGCCCCTTCGCACTGATCAACTCCTCAACCACCAACTCCGGGTCCCCCTTCTCCATTGCCCGCCTATACGCTGGCCTCTCCGCCACCTCGCGCATCCACCTCAAAATACCCTCATACCCCGTCAAATCAAACGGCTCAAACGTCCTCATTGTCGTAAAACACCACATACTCATCACATCCGCGGCAGTAAACTCCTCGCCCGCCAACCACTTACTCCCCCTCAACCTCTCATCCACAAACGACAACGTGCCCTTCAACCTCGCATCATACGCCGCAAACCTCGCGTCCTCCTCGCCCGCCAGCCCCCTCACCAACGCCCGTCGAAACACCCCAGGCTGCAGGTTCGCGTTCGAGAAGTGGAACCAGTACAAATAGTCCGCGTAGTCCTTGTGCGCCGGGCCCAGCGCGAGCTTCCCGCCCCCGTGCACGTTGATAAGGTACTCGACGATCGCGCCCGACTCGGCGAGCTTGAGTGGTGCAGAGGGGTTCGTGAGGTCCTCGAGGACGGGGGATGCGCCCATGGGATGCAGGGATTTCAGTTCGGGGGGTGCGAGGAGCGGGGAGCGTGTGTAGGGGACGAGGGTGTAGGGGAGGGAGAGCTCTTCTAGGAGGAAGGGGATGCGCTCGCCTTGGCCGTTGCGGAGGTGGTGGACTTTGAGGTTCGGGGTTTGGGAGGCCATTGTGCTTTGTGGTATGTTCTTTTTCTATGGGAAGGATGTTGTGGTGTGTTTGATATCGCACAGCTAGGTAGTTACTGTTTCCTGTACAAGTGATGCTGTACGGTTTTGCTCTGGTGACGCACTCTGTGTAAAATTTCTCAGATCCCGGGAGGGTCTACTGATTATATACTTCCCTTTACTCCATTTATCTACAAGATCGAGACTCTGATCATCTAGGTAATCATCATCAGTAGTGGGGACCATGCCTATCAATTGCGCGGTACCTGGCGGCGGAAACATAACGTTCCGAACCGAGGTATCCTCATGATTCGTACGAAGCGAGGTGCGTTGTAGTTCTAGTTCGTTAGTGCGATCGCAGGGCAGCGCGACGTCATGATCGATCGAGCCAGAGCTTCATGCTTTCCCTGTCCGTTATTCTTCTCGCAGCCTGTTGATGTCTACGAGGTACCTAAAAGGGTATGCGATTGTTTCAATGAGTCTGAGGAAATCGGTGCGTCGGTGTCTGACTTCCGTCTTATCTGATGGGCTTTTTCTATGCTGGTGCCTGGTGGTTTCTGCAGCGAAGATGATGATAACTTGTAGAATAGCTCCGTTCCCTAACTCCGGTTCTAAGATGAAGCTCGTGAAGAAATACTGGAATGCTTCTACCATTGATTATTCTGGCCCACTTATTCCATCTGGCTACGTGTTAGAGGGAAAGGTCTGTCCCACGGATGTCCGGGAGTATGTGTGGTGTGAGCTGTGTTGAAGATGTGTAGCTTGGTGGTATGAGTCAATCAGACTATATGCTGAACCTATTTGCTTTGATATATCAGATTGAAACAGGTAGAAAGGAACCGCAAAGGAAGTATGGTTTACCATTCCAGTGACTGTTGGTGTTGGGTACAAAATCCCTTCGAATACTCTAGCAAGGGCAACAATTTGCCGTCAGAACAATATTTTTGACATTGCTGATTTGCGTATGCATTTATTTTATACCAAAACTTTTTGAATTTTTCATTTATGACCCAGCAAATGCGTGGGACATTTTAAATTGTTTATCTGTTAACAACGATGACGGATATCTGGAACTGTGGTTGACTTCGGACCACAAAGAACAGCAAATCTAAAAACCCCAAAAATCAAAACAATTCCACGAGAGCCCTACAATGCCAAAATTCCATCTTATTATGTAGTTACTAGCATTCAATCTGCATTTAGACACCAGAAAACTTTATATATCCCCTTCCGTTCTTCCCCAGATTCTCGCTGCAGCTAGCACATCCTGTCCTACCAGTCTCCGCGGAAATGTCCAAGTGCGGTACCATTAAGCACTTCCAACGTCGAAGCTTTCTGCATGTTAGCACTCCCACTAACTCGAGTTAGCCCTGCATCATGATGACATCCTTACCATGTTTATGTTTATTCAGGTCACGCCAGCGCATGGAAAGCGACTCTGGGGTGGGATTTTCCAATATCTATAGCATAATAGCTTGGTTCTCGGATTCGCCGGGTTGTTTTGTCGAATGTTGGGTGCAGGTATAGCTCTGTTTCTATGATGCTCACTTGAATTTCGATGGATTGTGAATCATATAATACTATATGATTTCTCTGCCATATTGTAGTTCAACCAATTCTTCCTTGTCCTCGCCCATTTCGACCTGCATCGCACCCTCCCCGCCGTGACTCTACCAATCCAAGCACCATGCCTCAAATCCCGTGGCGCGTAGAAGTGACCGCCCACCCCGGCTCAACCCGTGAAGAAATCAAACAAGAACCCGACTGGACGCAGGCCAACGAACATCGAATCGGATACGTGAACCGGGACGACCGAAAGCCAGGGCTAACGCACCCTTCTGACGAGCAGCGTGTCGATGAAGAAGGTGACCGGTACATCGAGGAGGCACGCCGGGAGTACGAACAGCTGAGGCAACGACGGGAGAAGGGCGATCTTATCACTTTCCGCGACTTGATTCAAGGGGAGCCGGATCTGCATCTCAGACATCCGGCGGATAGGTCGATTGGGTGGAGGTATGTGCTTGATTGCACGGAGGACTGGGTGAGGAATAAGGAGCCTTGGCCGGCGAACATCCAGAAGAGGAAGAAAGAAGAGGAAGAGGCGGAGAAGAAGAGGCGGAAAGGAGATGGCGGAGACGAGGTAGAGAAAGACGACCCCAAAGACGGAAAGCAAGATGTAGAGCCAGGCCATGAGGAAAGGTGGAAGAGAGACAATGGTGAGGGCAAGAAGCATCACGACGCATATGCTGGGGGTGCAGCGGAAGACTCTGGATATTCGAGCGAGGAGTCGAACAATGAACAGTCAGAGTACGAGAAACTCCGCGAGAAATACTCGCCGCAAGAGATCGCACTCCTCAAAGCTCTCGAGCACGAAAAGAACTATATACAGAAGCTGGAGCAGAACGACGGCAAAAGACAAAGTCCACAGAAGAATAATCGTACTACGATTACCATAGACGAGGCGGATCAGTTCTCCCCAGATAACTGGCTGCCTCGCTCAGACGACCTCATCAGGCTCACTGGCAAACATCCACTAAATGCCGAACCTCAACTGACGCGCCTATTCGACGCCGGCCTGATCACGCCAAATGAATTGCATTACGTTCGAAACCACGGTGCGGTCCCTCGCATCCTGTGGGAATTCCACGAACTTGACATCAACGACGGAAAACTCAAGTTGAGCATGAACGAACTGAAGCACAACTTTGACACCATCAACATCCCCGTAGCTCTGGCATGTGATGGCAACCGCCGCAAGGAGCTCAATATGATCAAGCGTTCTAAGGGATTCAATTGGGGCTCAGGAGGCGTCAGCTGTGCATACTGGAAGGGTCCGCTTCTTCGGGATGTGCTTCTTGCTGCTGGAGTGCCAGAGAAGATGCCTGAAGGGGAGAGACATTGGGTCCACTTCGAGGGCGCAGATAATCCGAGCGAAGGCAAGTATGCCACTTGTATTCCCTTCGACTACATCATGGATCCGACGAACGACGTGATACTTGCATATGAGATGAACGACGTTCCCTTACCTCCCGACCACGGATACCCCGTACGATTGATGATACCTGGATATGTGGGCGGCCGCTGTGTGAAATGGCTGAAGCGGGTGTGGGTCAGCGACAAAGAAAACGATTCCTATTACCACATCTGGGATAATCGCGTCCTGCCTAGTTTCGTGACCGAAAAAGATGGCGACTTCGCAGAGACACTATTCAGGCATCCTAGCACAATGTGTAATGAGCAGAACCTCAACTCTGTCATTGTCAAACCCGCCCAAGGCGAGAACATCCCATTGACGGAAGCTCGAAAGGGGCGAACATACCGAATCGAAGGATTTGCTTACGACGGCGGTGGCCACGAAGTCCAGCGAGTAGAGGTCTCTCTCGATAACGGCTCGACCTGGCTTTACTGCATCAGACGCTTTCCAAACGCTCCCATCCGGCACGGCAATAAGTTTTGGACATGGCTCCATTGGCACGTCGATGTCAGCATTTCGCACTTGCTTCAATCGCGAAGCATCATCGTGCGGTGCTTCAATGTATTCAAGAACACCCAGCCCGAGCAGCACAATTGGAACGTGATGGGCATGATGAACAATTGCTGGTATCAGGTTAAGGGCGAGATCACGCAAGAGGAGGACTCTGACGTAGCTTGCATACTATTTCGTCACCCAGTTGAACCGGCGACAGGCGAAGGTGGTTGGATGAAGCCTAGTGTGGAAAACCAGATCGCCAACGCTAAACAGGAGGCCGGTGCGCCGGAAAAGCAATTCACGAGGGAGGAAATCGAAAAACATAATACAGAGGATGACTGTTGGTTAGTTGTGGACGGGAAAGTGTATGACGCGACGAGCGTGCTTGCGTGGCATCCTGGCGGCAAAGCTGCCATCACGAACCATGGTGGTAAAGTGCACCAGGAAACCAGCGATGAATTCGCTAGTATCCATGATGAGTACGCTTACAAGAAGCTTAATGGTAAGCCTTACCCTTCATACAATCATGTATGCTAAATTTCTAACCAAATGACGACAGAATGTATACTCGGCGTTGTCACTGACAAAGCAAAAACGTTTATCAAGAAGAGTGCCGAGGCAGCTGCAAAGGAGAAGGCCAATTCATCCAAGGCTGCAGAAAAGATGACCTTGCAAAAGCATCGCTGGGTTCCAGTCAAGTTAGTAGATCGTAAATCCATCTCGGACGATACACGAACATACACCTTCCATCTTTCGGACGGTAAGACTGATCTTGGGCTTGGCACATGTCAACATATCCAGGTCGGATTTCATCTAATGGATAAGATGCTCGTTCGGTCCTACACACCAACGAAGCCGGTGCTCCCGCCAGTATCAGGCGGCAGTAGCGACGGGAATGCAGGTCTACGGGATGGCGTCGGTACGTTCGACGTGACGGTTAAAACCTACTTCCCCACCAGTGACCAACCTGGTGGAGCCATGTCCAATATTCTCGACTGCATCCCTATTGGTGAAGAAGTTGAGATCCGGGGCCCCACTGGAGAAATAGTGTACAACGGCAACGGGTCCTTCACCATATCATCCAAGGAATACACCTTCAACAAAGTCTCGCTCATCCTTGGTGGAAGCGGGCTGACCCCAGGCTACTCACTCATCGCCCGTATACTCCTCTCTGAGAACGACAAGACGAAGATCCGAGTCATAGACGCGAACAAGTCGGAAAAAGACATATTGCTGAGGGAAGATCTAGATAAATTTGAGAAGGACAGCCAAGGGCAGTTGAAGATTACGCATGTTTTGAGTCACCCTAACGATGATTGGAAGGGTGCTAAAGGTCACGTCAATGCAGATATCGTCAAGGAAAGTCTCTTCGCGCCTGGAGAAGGCGCGGGAGTGTTCCTCTGTGGGCCACCTGCCATGATACAGAAGGCTGCATTACCGGCCTTGCGAGATTGGGGGTATGAAGAGGACAAGAACGTTTTCGGCTTCTAGAAGCATTTAGCATTTCGAATGATGACGGGTTCAATTCTATAGTTCCTTCAATCGTATGCAGCAAGGGCCTTTTGGTCCTAATTATTTCTCGAATTGTTTTGAGCATTCATCCTTTCGTCGAAGAAGAGTCTGCCAGGCAGAGAACAATAAGAGTAATTACCTGACCAATTTCTCAAATTGCTCATCAGTGTCTCAATATTCTTGACTCAGTGTCAAGATTGGACCGACAGAAAGCGATCTGCGAAGCCTAGACCTAGAAAGTGGCTGAAGACCCTCAGGAACCATTATTGTTAAACCGGGCCAGAGGACGGGAAGTAGGTAGTGCTGTATCAGATTCGACGGGTATTCCCTTTCCCCAAGGCTTCGTTTGATATCTGATGGAAGACCATGCGACCCTAGTCTCGGTAGGTTTTGCTAGTCCCAGCGCCAGTGGCTGCGCTTGCAGGCTGCCGATTATCTCCCGACGCGGTGTCAGTTGGACGATCCGCAAACCTTTGTTCGCCTCCTGGTCCTCGATCCGAAATCCTTTTGGCTGCGAGGAATAGCCATCTTCCGGATATCCTAGAGGTGTACGAGAAGAATATTCACAGTTCAAGACCAAGCGCCAAGGATCGGACTGAGACTGAGAGTACCACTCCTTCGCCAGAACACTGGCTAATCTGTGATTACTTACCCCAAAGACATAGGCTCCACATCCTTCCGGTCCTTTGGAAAATATAGATCTGAAGAATAATTGTATAGTTGACCAGAGGTTTGATTCGGTGGCCCCATACATCCGGATGCAATGCCCCACACTTCAATGCAGTATCCAAAGTAACAGTTGGAGAAGCTTGAGGTCAATTCCATAGTTCAATGACCTTTCTGTAGAGCATTGTACATGAAGGATACAAGCATCCGTGAGGCGTATTCTTGTACGAACGCGAGATCTTGGATGCTGAAACTTCAATAATGTTGAACTTGGCATAATTGTTTGATTAGGTTTCGTTCCTAACGTAGATTGAGACAATGCTTCTAGAAGCTTTCCCATATACAGACCAGACTTTGCCAATCTTGCTTGTAGAGTCTTCCATGACATCGGGTTAAACCTTGGTGTTGGGCTCGTTTAGTTGATGAAAGGCTCCACTACCACGAGCACGTCAGCGACCATCGGATGCCTAGACCCTGGATTGGGAAATTCGAGAACGCCTATGACGGGTAAGCTAGTCCAGGAAGCTTGAGTGCAGGGTTTTTTTCTTGACATTCAATGAGTTCATGACACACAAATGGTCCGTACAATGCGTTTAGGTTTTTACATGGTCGATTGCGTGCTCTGCGAAAAGTTTTCGGCCCGGCGCCAGTGACTCTCAACATCAAAATGGCAAAACACTAGTGCCATCAATTAATACATATGTGCTTATATTGTCGTGGATTGCCTCTTCGTTGTCTCTTGTCGAACATTCCGTGAAATAGTCTCGCATCATCAATCCTTCGCCATGTCGACCGGTACTTCAGCTTCCGAGCCTGCGGGCTCGATCCGAAAGTCGTATTCCTTCTTTCGGTCCGTTCCTTTCCAGATCATTGTCGCCAGTGGTGTGTCATTCACTGCCCCGGGCATGTGGGATGCGTTGGGTGGCCTTGGCGTATGTAATTGTATACGTGAGATGTCAATGTACATCTCATGTCTTTTTGTGTGGAAAGATACTAACGAGTTCATAGGCTGGTGGTGCTGCTAAGCCATTTGCTGTATCTGCAGCCAACGCATTGCTCTATGGACTGTTCGCCGTCTTCTGTGCAGCGGCTGGTGCCATCAACAACCGCATTGGCCTGAAATATGGTCTTGCATTGGGTGCAATTGGCTACCCATTGTACGGCGCCGGTCTCTACACCAACAACGTCAGCTCCAACACCTGGTTCCTTCTCTTCGGCAGCGCGCTATGTGGTGTCTCAGCAGGTTTCTTCTGGGCTGCCGAGGCTGCCATTATTATCGGATACCCCTCGCCCAAAGACCGTGCCTTCTTCCTTGCTATCTGGCAGACTGCTAAGGCTTCTGGACCCATCGTGGGTGGCGCTATCAACTTGGGATTGAACGCCAACCGTAAGACGGCAGGCTCCGTCTCTTCCTCGACATACATCGTCTTCATCGTCCTTATGTGCCTTGGTCTTCCGATTGCACTGTGTCTCTCTCCCGCAAGCAAAGTCTGGCGTAAGGATGGTACGAAGGTCGTCACCTCAAAAGCCCCTACGTGGTTGGGCGAGTTCAAGGCTGTCGGAAAATTGTTCGTCAGCCGCAGGATCCTTCTTTTGCTCCCTGCCTTCTTCATCAGCTACTTCTACAACGGCTTCATGAGCACATGGTTGACAACCTACTTCACGGTCCGCTCCCGCGCTTTCTCCTCGTTCTTCACCAACTTCTCCGGAATCTTCAGCTCCTTCATCATCGCCTACCTCCTGGACAACCAGAAGATCCACATCAAGACCCGTGCCCGCGTCGCTTTCATCTCCATTGTCACCATCCTCATCGGCACCTGGATCTGGGCCACCATCCTGCAGAAGCAGTTCTACGATGCTGCCGAGGCCCCCGTTTTCGATTGGTTCCAGGGCGGTTTCGGAAAGAGCTACGCTCTCGTTTTCTTCTGGCAGTTTGGTGGACAGGCGTTCCAGCAGTTCCTGTACTGGCTCGTTGGACAGTACGCAACCGATCTCTCCAACTTGAGCCATCTCACTGGTATCTTGCGAGGTGTTGAGGCGCTTGGACAGACTGTGGCTTGGGCTATGCAGTCTGAGGGCAACGCAAACCATTTCGTCAGCATTGGCCTCAACTTCGGCATCACTGTCCTCTGCATCTTCCCCACCTGGATCATCCTTTCCGAGCTCGAGAAGAGCCACGAGGTGTACGTCACCGAGGAGCAGGTCGTTGCTGACCAGAAGTTGGACAACGAGGCTCAGTAGATGCATCAATCCGAATATCCGCTTTGATGCGAACAACAAAATAAAACAAAAGTAATTGAAGGATAGAGTAATGCACAGAAGAGATAGACAAAAACGGAGATACCCACATTGAATAGAATAGAATATCAGTTCCTGTAATAATACACAACTTTGATTTGGTCCTTGTAGTATCCTTCAAAGGCACTCTGCATATCAATGATTGAAGCCAAAGATGCCATTGTTGGCTTCCACCATGTCAATTCGATTCCTACGACTCTACACCGCCAGATGGAAAATATCGTGATTGCTCTTCTTCTTTCGAAGACCTTGCATCAGAAAGAAGAAGGTCTCATACTTCAGTCGGTGGAACATTCGTCCCTACTTCGGCCAACATTGACTTAACATTATTCCAACCGAAGCATTCCTATCTATGGTTGAAGGTTGCACGGAGATACACGTATATCCGGTACTGCAATGTAGTCACCAGCTAAGTGGATAGACATGTCTTCATTGTTGTCTTTCCAGGTAAGGACAGAAGAGGAAGTCAGTGTAATAAAGTACACTGGAGGCTTTCACTAATGCAGACATCGCTCCGCGTTCTGGCAAGGGTTAAGTGCAAGCGACCTGAGGCGCAGCGAAGCTGTCCTTGCAAGTCCATCTAACTCGGAATAAAGTGTCGTGAATCTCAAGTCTAGCGCTCCCGCTACCGCAATCTGGGGTGGAAATGTTGTATAGATCTCTGATTTCCAATCATGTAATGCTGCTCTTGGCTTGGTATAAATGTATCTGGCATCTTGCACAGCCTACTCTGTACCTAACGGTTTGCTTCCGACACCATAGAGGAAATAAACCTAGTCGCTTTCCTCACCAACGAGTCCATCGAGGCTAAAATGATCGTAGTCGTTGTGTATCGGTGAATTCATTTTGGGGTTTGGGGAGCTATACTCTGTGGCGTAGGTCGCTTGCAGGATAGTCACCTCCTGGTCGCACGTTAATTAACAGACCAATGAGCTACTGGAACTCCACATGTTGTTCCATTGCCTTTTTCTAAAACAAAGTCGCGGCTAACAATTCATCCGCTTATGAATTTCTTACAAAACTTCTAGGACATGCACGAGGCTCAAGCATCGTGACAAATATACTGTGGCTGAGCGAATGGCTGCCGAGTTGTCGGGTGTCTTTGGGACGCGGCAATTCAATGAACAGACTGATACTGAGGCAGGCCAAGACGTTCATTGTCCATAGCGTTAGATATTGGTCGGAACATAAGGCCGAGTGCTTTCTTGGATGTCTGATGTTTTCGAATGCCAATGAGGTCATGCTGATTGGAAATGTGATGAGTAACTGTTTTCATCAACGCGGCTGTTCCTGTTGCCAAGGATGAAAGGAGGTTTGTCCGGCCAAGCAGCCGAGTGCACGTTGACAAGAGGATAGTCAAATGCAAACATCGTTCGATGTTAGTGGTCGATTTTACAAGGAGGACGCAGCGTCCCGTTCGGACATTTACACTAGTGAGTGGTGACATTACAATGTCTGTAGATAGTAGAGCCGAGTCGTTGACTGAATGCTTGTTTTGGATAGCTCTCACGTTAAGAACAGGAACGTTGACATTTGAGGCCGATTAACTTGTTCACCATCAAATTATTGCGTGGCTGTACATCGTGAATAGGCCCGTTAACCAATATCTCATGTCGCTCTGTTAGTAATCAAACAACAGCCCAAATTGCACTTCTCGTCGGGATGGTTGCAGATTTAGGAAGCCGATAGTGGGAGGATTGAATGACTGCCCAAAGCCAGTTCGTCACATTGGTGGTGCTCGAGCATCCGAGATCTACCAGCTGAGGTAAAACATTGCTTTCTGCATGGGCGAACAAGTCACATTCTCGGCGAGTCGGCTCATTGCAAGAAGGCTTGAAGAAGCTGTGCGACACACTCTGTTATGGTTTTGACCTAGGAAATTCAGAGACCCCAGATGCGGTCATGATGCTGAAACGTGCTAAAGCGAATGTTGGTCGTCACCCGCAGATCCCAAGCAAAGAGCTTAACCTTGGCCACATCACAGAGAAATGCATGCGATTGACCTGCCGGACCTGTCCCCAGCTCCAATGATGTGGAATTGGAATTCGCTGATTGGCTCCGATGCATGAGGTTGGCATCGCTGCTGCGCTCAGCCTCCACCACGATTCCAGGTCCAAGACTGCCCAGTATGCTTCCCCCTCACTTTTCGTGATAAGGCTAAAAGCCCAATAGGTTGATAGAGGAATAATTCGCGTCTTCTTGCGAAATGACGCGTGTACCTTTTCTTGTGGAGAGAGGACTGTGACGTTGTTCAAGTGTACACCGAACCGTACATACGGCTCCCCGCGATGACCGTATGCGGCCAAGTTGCTCCGGTCCCTTGTTTCGTACGCAGACGCTGTCCATAACAGCTTAGGGGGTTACTTGGACCGCTGGTACTTCTTAAGCAATTAATGGCCCGAGCCATTCATCCTATTCCAAAGACGGGCAATATCAAAATTGGTACATATACATCTCTCTTCCACGTTGCTGAACCAGAGATATAAGCCTGTTGAGGAGCCACAGTGCGGCGAGAACATTGCCTGTCAGACTATTCCCTGCCCAACTTCTATATTAGTCCTCCCTTGATCCATTGGGGGCGTTATCATCCACCAATTTCTCTCGATTTAGGGGAAGACTACATTTTGTTTTGAACATCATCCTACATCTTCTTCTCTCACCATGAGGACATCATCGAGAGACTTGCTCGCTACTGGGCTCTTGGCTCTAGGTAAAGTCGACAGGTTCTCGTTCAAAACCGAATTACTGACTAGTGACAGCTTCTGGCGCATCTGCGCAAGTGGCCAGCGCCTGTCAAGGGGATGTGTGCTTCAGGCTGAACATCCCTGAGCGCACTGCGTCTTCTGGAAATGGAGACATCTTCTTCCAAATTTCTGCGCCGAGTAGTTATGAATGGGCAGCACTTGGACAGGGCACGACGATGGGGAACTCCAACATGTTCTTGATATATACTTCCGCAGATGGCAACAACGTAACATTGTCGCCTCGAACAACCAGCGGCCATAACATGCCTAGCTTCAATGGCGATGCGCAGGTCACACTGCTCGAAGGTTCGGGTGTTTCGAATGGTCAAATGATTGCGAACGTCCGGTGTAAGTCGGCCCATTCATACATCCAATATGAACATTACTAAATCATACATAGGCTCGAACTGTAATAGTTGGTCGGGTGGTGAAGTTGACTTCACTGGTCAAAGCGGGCGATTCATTTTTGCAGCCCAATCCTCAGGAGGACCAAAGAATTCAGACGACACCGGTGCGAGAATCGGACAGCATGATGCCCGGGATTCATTTACATGGAGTTTTGCAAATGCAAAAGGTGGATCCCAAGTTAATCCACTGCTCAATACTCAACCATCAGGTACAGGAGGAAGCACACCCAATCCTACAAGTTGTATACCTAGAGGGGCAGTATCAGGCTCAGCTAAGAGCACTGCGGGAGCATCACCCACAGCTACCGGCGGCAACAGCGGTGGAACGACGAGGGGGCCATGGGGTCGCCCAACTGCATGGCAAAGCGAATGGGGACCCAGCCCGACTGCTTCCCCAACAGGACAATGGGGACCACCATATGGAGAAAGAGATTTGGATAGTAAGTTAGCTGCACTGCTTTCAGATCGATCGTCTCTAACACATGGTACAGAGAGACAAGAGATCAACTACTGTGATGACTCTGGCAATAGCATTACACCTATTGGTGGTGGTTTGTCTGGACGTCCGACAGACCGTACAAAAATGCTTATCGCTCATGGCGTACTGGCTTCTCTCGCCTTCGTGATCTTCTTTCCCGCCGGCGCCATTGCAATTCGACTTTCTTCATTCCCCGGAGCGATATGGTTCCATGCCGTCTTCCAAGTGTTCGCCTACGTGGTCTATATTGTCGCATTTGGACTTGGTGTGTACCTCGCAAAGGAGTTCAACCTTGTAAGTATCCTCATATGATGTCGTCGAAGGTTCTCAGCTAACGTTCGCCCAGCTTAATAGTTATCATCCAATCATTGGCATAGTTGTTCTAGCTTGTCTTTTCTTCCAGCCTCTTCTCGGATTTCTCCATCATACTCTCTTCAAAAAGTATCAGAGCCGAACATTTTGGTCCTACGGCCACATTTGGCTCGGCCGACTGGTGATCACGTTGGGAATCATCAATGGAGGGTTGGGACTGATGCTAGCCGACTCTATGAACATGAGCTCGAGGTCCGGGATGATTGCATATGGCGTGGTTGCTGGCGTTGTCTGGCTGATATGGGTTGCTGCATCCTTCTTGGGCGAGAGACGAAAGGCCGGACAGTCCAATGGCCCCCCCAAATACACAGAGAGCACCGCTGTACGTCTTGAAAGCAGACAACGATCTGACGTCCCTCACCCGGAGGAGGGCCACTATGCACCTGGCAAATGAAGAATTTGAGCAGATGGGGTTGTGGCAATTAGAGAAAATGCAGATTAGACAGTGAAATGAATCTGGTTAGCCTATTAGACAGTTCATATTTCCTAAAGGTGGCGGCCTTGAACAGTAATTCTGAAAGCTGTGAGTACTTTTGTCTTGATATATTTTCAGTTCCTTTGCAGTCTTTGTCGATCGTCATGGTGGTATCTAGGGCCTTCTATTGTTTTGCGGAGATGAACAAACAAGAGGCTTGGCGCCATTAGATAAGCAAGACATGGCGCCTAGTTTCTTAGTGGGGCGAGATGGAATAAACACAACATCAACAAGACCGACCCTCCAACTCCATACGATACCCCAAAGTCGCCATCCTTTCCCTTCTTCACATCCCTAAGACTCTCACATCTTCGATTATTACTCTCTGCAAACAATTTCCACCATGGGAGAGTCAAGGTATGCAACTCTAGGCGCCACAAACAACACTTTCTGGGCCCCTCTTCTCCGTGTTTACCTCTACTGACCCTCCTATTCTTTTCTAAGACAAGAACTCGTTGCTTGGTTGAACAACCTGCTCCAACTCAACATCACAAAAGTCGAACAATGCGGTACTGGGTACGTCAGGCCTTTCGAATATCTCTGCGGTGGCGGGATGCGAAATTTGCTGCTTCAGACTTCAGGGGGAGTGCACGACATGCGCTAACACAGGGCTATTACAGAGCAGCGCTTTGCCAGATCTTCGACAGCATCTATTGTGAGTTCCCTTGAGCATCCCTTCTATGCCTGTTACTTCAGCGACTGACGAAAATGCAGACGATGTACCGATGTCGAGAGTCAAATTCAATGCGAACACCGAGTATGCATATTTACAAAACTTCAAGATATTGCAGAGTACGTGAACGATTCTGCCGCCCTCCCTTTGCCCTTCATACCTCGAACGTGAGCTCACACGGCGGTTATAGACACATTCGCCAAGCACCAGATTGACCGACCCATGCATGTCGAACAGCTCGTGAAGTGCAAGATGCAGGACAACTTGGAGTTTCTCCAGTGGACGAAGCGATACTGGGACCAGTACTTCCCTGGTCATGACTACGACCCGGTTGCCCGCCGCAAAGGACAGGCCGTTGGCGGTGGTCCCGGTGCTGGTGCCCGCGCACCTGCTGCACGAAGGGCGCCTGCTGCCAGCAACTCGGCGGCACCCAGGACACGAACTCCCCTCGGAGCCGGTGCAGGAGCTGCGGGTGGTGCTGCAGTTGCCGCTCTACGAGAGGAGAACAACGTACTGAAGGAGACCGTGACCGGCCTCGAGCGTGAACGCGATTTCTACTTCAGCAAGCTCCGTGACATTGAGCTCCTGATCCAACAAGCCATGGAGGCCGACCCAGAGCTAGAGAAGGACGAGGGACTGCTGAAGCAGATCCAGACCATACTATACTCGACAGAAGAAGGATTCGAGATTCCCGCCGAGGGTGAGCAGGAGGAGGAGACATTTTAAGCAATATTTGATGTCATTCTGCATTTGAGCGTGGATTGGGCCGGGATACCCTATATTTCTCTGGGTTTCTTTGCTATCGGACAGATGATTGATGAAGCGTATGCGGATAAGGATCTTGGGCGGCAAGTTGATTGCTATGGATGGAGCTTATTCGAGCAGTGGAAGTGCTCGTAGAATCCAAGCCAGGCATGGGCGAGCTCGCCGTCAGTTTTTTGACGTTGTCTGGCTTGGTCCTCTGTGCGCGGAAGTAATAACATGATTTTCGTTCGACTAAGACACTGCTGTTATTCCAATGTATTTCTTCTGAACTCCTTTACAAAGCCATGGCAATCGTGTGATTGCTGCGCCGAGGAATCTAAGCGACGTAACGGCAACGTCAATTCATTCAATTCTCACATTTGCCGTGTTCCTAGCCCGCTGATCGAATGTCCCTGTCCCCTTGGCGCTATTGATTCTCGGGAGAGTCTTCAACTGTCATACGTGATTCAACGTCTTAGATGGTGGTGACATGCAGAATGGGATCTTTTATATGAGAGTAGTGGGGTATCCACAACTGTGACAGACCGACACATCTAGGCCTAGGAAGTGCTAAGCGAGAAGAATGCTCCGTCATAAACTTTCGCTAGTTACTGGGAATGGCCTGATGCAGTACTGTGATGCATCTAACTCAAAGGTGGAAACGACTATGTGCCACTCGATTGATTGTCATGGGTTGGTATGCGTAAGGAGTGGATCTTGTCGTGGGACAGAGCATCGTGGTGTAGCCATTATCTGATCTGATAGGTCTGTAGCACGGGAACAATGATCACTCGATACGAGTACAAATACGTTTGGGTAAAAGTAGGATAAAGTCATTGTAGAACCACCTTCAAGATTTCATGTCCACCAATTCTTGTGACTAACGGGTAGCGTCCGGCAGTAGTGACGGAGGCCAGATGCAATACCAAGGGCGAAGAGGCGAGGCGAAGACCATGCTGAAAGTGGTTTGATGGGAGAGGGAGAGGATGGAGAAGATGGCCGAATGGTCTCAATGGGATCCCTGTCCGCCTTGGGGATATCTTTACCTCGTACATATGATCGACGGCGTTAACCCGCATCCGACCTGGAGGCGAGAGAGAGCCATTGAGAGCTTCCATCTCTCCGCATCGAACCACCATCCATCCTTTCAGTATCATCAGTTATATCCGCGTCTATCGGTTGTACTTTATGTGCTCCGAATAGACATTCCAGCGGTCCAATTCGACTGTATCGTCACCATAGGCAGGGATAAGACTATTTCCCCACCCTGCACATCAACGAATCTACAATGGGTGTGGTTGTACGCCTTCGTTCTATTTAGTATGCATCCACCATGATGCATCCCAGGGCGAACTGGATGCCCACGTGCATTGGGAGGCTCACCTCACCCCGCATCCAACGACCATTCCAGGTTCTCTCCCCTCCATCCATTCCATCCATCCACCACGAGTGACCATCCATTATCAATGTTTTCACTTCCCTTTACCCCGCCTGACCTCATACTTAGCATACGTATGTACTTGATAGTTCCAGTTAGCTTGTCGGAGCTATGGACCCTCCACTGCCCATCTGCCATATATCTACGTACCCCGGAGGTTCACTGAGCTCCCTTTAGCTCTCCTCTTCTTTCTTCCCTCCATTCCCTCCAGCAATTGACTTTGTCCCTTTGAAAACACCATCAATTCGAGTCCAATTGACCATATCTACTACCTAAAGGACAATTGAGACCCCATCAACTCGACCTGCAATCATGTCCGCCAATTGGTCGGACCTCACCTCCGCCCTTTCAGGCAGCTCGTCCAAGTTCACCGAGCTCCTCCAATCGGACCCCCAGCTCAAAGCATTCACGACCACGAACGCCATCGACAAGCCCGTGACATTCGGCATCAAGTCCAGCGGCTCTGACAACACGCTCCTCATTACCGTGACCAATGGCTCCGCCAAATCTTCCACCGGCACCTCCAAAGACGCACTCTTCACGCTGTCCGCCCTGCCCGAACAATGGGAGCAATTCTTCAAGCCCGTGCCCGTGGCGCCGTACCAGAGCTACTGGGGCATGTACGGCATGAACATCAAGCAATCCGGCATCGAAGTCCTCGGGTCCCAAACCTCCATGGCCCAGTGGACGCACGTCTGGCGACGGGTCCTGGAGCTCGCGCACGACGCCCACGCGGGGCCCATTAAGGAAGACGAGTACCAGGAACCCACGCAGGACCACCTGGTCGGGCGGTACGTCTTCCTCGATGCGCCCGTCTGGGGCCGCACCAAGATCTTCTACGAGGCGTCCGGCGAGGGGAAGCAGGTCATTGTGTTCCTGCACACCGCGGGGTCGGACAGCCGACAGTACCACGGCGTGATGAACGACGCGAGGATGCGGAAGCGGTGCACGATGTATGCGTTTGATCTCCCAGGCCACGGGCGGAGCTTCCCGTCGAAGAACTTGCTTCCGGGGGCCCATACGACGACGGAGGATAGCTACGTGGGCATCATTGCGGCGTTCGTCAAGACGCTGGGGTTGAGACGGCCCATCATTTGCGGCGCGAGCATGGCGGGCCAGGTCTGTCTGGCGGTTGCTATCAGACATAAGGAGGTCGGCGCCGCAGGCGTGATTCCACTTCAAGGGTAACTTTCTCCCTCCCCTCACAATCTCCTCCCATCATACATCCATCCATAGTGAATGAACCAGTGAAACGCCATACTAACTCCGGATCCTCCGAACTCACAGATGCGAATACCTCTCCATGGACCGCCAATGGCACGACCGCTCCCCCTACGTAAACCAATCCCTCTTCAACCCAGAATGGGTCTACGGCGTACGTCCCCCTCCCCACCTCCCCATACCCATCCCCCCTCACTAACCTTCCGTTTCCCTAGATGATGGCCCCTCAAACCCCAACCCCCAACAAAAACCTCCTCTGGCACACCTACTCCTCGCAATCCCACGGCCTCTTCCACGGCGACCTCGACTTCTACTTCTCGGGCTTCGACGCCCGGGACCGCGTCGCCTCCATCGACACCAACGCCTGCCCCGTCTACATGCTGACGGGCGCGTACGACTGGTCGAACACGCCCGCGACGGCGCAGGCGACGGCGGACAAGATCAAGGGTGCGGTGCACGTTACGATGGAGGGGCTGGGGCATTTCCCTGCGACGGAGAACCCGGAGAGGTTCGTTGGGTATCTTGTCGAGGCGGTGGAGCATGTTCAGCGGGTGAGGAGCGAGGGGTTGAGTAGTTTGCGGTTGAGCTCGGATTAGATGGTCCGTGTTTATGTACATAGGTGACTGGAATGTCTTGCATTTTGTTGAAAGTACGCGGGGTTTATGTGGTAATGTGCTGTTTACCTGTTGTGATTGTGTCGTCGTGACTTGTGGTGCTTTTGGTCATGTCGGCCGTGAGTTCGTCCATGTATGTTCGAATACATACCTAGGTACATAACATACATTCACGTACATGAAGGCAGCGTGAAAACGTAAACACCAAGAGACATAATACATAGGTGACAAGCTTTCTGCAAGGACGGGTGCGGACAATGTATATATATAGAATAGAAATTGGGGGTATATTATTTTTGATCTTCATCTTCCTCCCTTTCCAATTAAATAAATCCTTGATATTTTCTCCCCCTCGCAGGTCCTTCGACCTTTTCATGTTCCTTCATGTTTTTAGGCCTTTTTCCAAGTCAATGAAATGGGGCGGTCTCAAAGGCTAAACAGCCTCAACCCACCCGTCCCTATTCCGTTCCTCCTTCGATGCGTCACCTCCGGAACCCACGAGATCGGCAGCCACGGCGTCCTTCTGGCCCCTCCGACGCGCACGCTCGCGGACAGAGCGTTCCTCCTTCTCGCACTCTTTGATCGCCTCCACGGCCTCGACTTCCTCGAAGCGTGCGTCTTGGATGTTGAGCTTCTGCCACTGGGGATGCTTTGGGCATCGCTTCTTTGTGCACACAACCTCTTTCACGAGGCCGTTGGTGGTGCCGTTCATCACTGTGTCACCGTCAGCGGTGACGTTTGCTTCGGATATCTGCTCTTCAGTCGGGGAGAGCGTGTTGAATTTGAAGACGGCGCGGCCTAGCTTCGTGTTGCGCCACGCGAGAAACTCGGTGTCGGACCACGAGAGTCGCGAGTCGTAGCCGCAGAACTCCTTGGGCTTGATCTTCTCCCGCTCGGCAAGATGCCCAGCCTGCTCCCTCACCATGCTGACGAATTTCTCCCGATCTTTGAGCGCTTCGAGCTTCATCTGGAGGTCGGCTTTCTCGGTGTAGAGGGCTTTGAGGCGGGCGATTTCGGAGGATGTGAAGGGGAGCTCGGGGGTGGGTTCGATAGTGGCCCCGTTGGAAGCACTGTCAAAAGCCGTTTGGGACGGGGGAGCTGTCTGTGGAGGGGAAAGGACGCCAGACCCTAGACGTTTGAAATCATCGATGCTATTCGAGGCGACCACAAGCGCTTTGAGGTCCTTCGCTCGGAGTACGCCTCCGAGTGGTGTAGGCTCTTCGTCTTCGTCGGTTGCTTGGCCATGATCGTCACCCTCTCTCCCTGCCTTTTTCTTCGACTTCTTACTTGACTTCTTTGCCCCGGCCGTTCGTTGCAATTGCTCTTGCATGAATAGCGTTCCGCACTCATCCGAACAGTACTTGCTTTCCCTGCCTTTGTACAGTCGAGCCGGCTTCCTACATCCCTCTCTCCGACACATTGGCTTCCAAGTGGTCTGGCCTCGCCCATTGTCTTCGCAATTTGGACATATGAATTTGTCAACTAGTTCCTCGTCTGCTTGTACCATGTCCACACAGGACCCATGGAACCAATCGTCACAACCGCCGTCGCATCCAATCATCCACCTATGGTTATCTGGCTTCCTACAGATACAGTATAACGAGGTGTCTTCGGAGGATTCGCCCTCGTCGTCGGAGGCGTCGGCTTGAGAGGCATTGTCCGGGGCGGGTGAGGATCCTACCGGTGTCCCAGCTTGCGATCCTTTCCTCCCGCCCTTTGATTTGGTAGCTCTGGCGGATGGCGTAGACGATCGCGGTGCCCTGTCCGCCTCGGAATCCAATTTGCGCCTCTTTGATGTGGGCTTCTTCGTTGCTGCAGTGCCCTTCTTCTTGATCGCCGAGGTACCCGGTGCTGGCCTCTTCTTCGATGGAGCAGGGGCGGAAGCCGGCTTTGGATCTGGTGAGGTGACACTGTCGGTGACGCTGGCTGTCCGCTTCGTGCGGAGGCCCAAGTCATTCTGTTTGAGTGCCTCTATGGCTTTGCGGGTTTCGGCATCGACGTTCTCCGTGGTGACGGAATGATGTCCCTCCGAAGAGGCTATGATGCCTGCAGAAGGGGTCGACTCGCGAGGTGTTCCAGCTGGTTCACTTTTGATGACCGGCAGTGGCGATGGCAATTTGCCATCGCTATCATGGGTATGAGATAACGCATTCGCGGATCCTGGGTGAGATGAATTGTTCATCGAGTCTGCTTCGTGATTCTGAGTTGCGTCACGCTTAGGCGGTGGCGAGACGACCTGAGAAATGCCGTCTCTGTACGATGTCGTCGTCTGCGCCGAGTCTTGATGGGTTCGTGTACCGAGGTTCTGTAGTGGCGCCAGTATAGGTGCGGGAGAGGAGGATCTGTGGAGAAGAGATTGGCGACGCTGTTGTTCTGGTGAATTGGACCCGTGATGATAATGTTCCAAGGTAGGAGAATTGGTCGCGGGTTGGTCGATAGGTGGAGAAGGCTCTACGGGAGCATGGTGTGAGCTGAAGCTGCTTGTTCGTCGCGGCGCGTGAGAAAAAACGGTGGGCGAGGGGAGTTCGCGTGTGGGAGCGTACGACTGCCCACTACCGAGCGTCGCAAGCGCAGTCAGGGCATCGGCGGCCTCATAGGTTGTCGCCTTTGTGGTGACGGGATCAAAATTTGAGTCTGAAGAATACGATTCGCGACGTTGTTGATCTGCCTCGGTGGCAGCAGCGGCGGCAGCGGCGGAGGGCTCGTGGTTGAGGAGGGCGTCGATGCTGGTCATGTTTCCTGTGATGGCAACGGCGATTGGAAGAGACTAGATTAGAATTTTACGGGCGAGCAGTAACAGCATGGCGCGACGCGGAGACGGTGAGGAGGAATGGGATTGTGGGTGAGGCGAGTGGAGAAGAGGAGAGAGCAAGAAAGGATTAGGATTAGAAGAGCAGAGCGGAGGAGAGGGAATCCGGTGACGATGGATGGATGAATTGTGAGAGGGTGGAAGAATAATAAAGCGCGAGTGGCCAGTGCCAGTGCCAGTGCCAGTGTGAGTGTGCCAGTGTGCCAGTACTAGTTGGTAGTAGCTACATGGGGTTACAGGTCAGGTATGGGCAAGCACAATTGAAGCTGTCTCTACGGCATTTTGAAGTTGGTTCCACACACAAATGCCAATTTGAATGGTGAAGAATTAGATGAAAGGAAGGAAAGAATTATATTCGTCTGGTCATTGATCGAATTGAACTCGGGAATGGTCGTGAAATGAAGGTGAACTGAGTTGTGCAGTGAAGGTGAATATTCAACGACTGACTTCACAAGAATTAACAAGTGTGAGGGGTTCGTGCATCATAACTTACTACGCTAGCCCCTATATGGTAAGCCGTCTTTTCCAGTATCGAATTAGCTCGTTGATCCATGGCAGGGGTTCCATTCATGTTGTCATCATCACCATCACCATCACAACACGACGACTATTGTAGACATTCACTATTACTATGTTACTTGTTGAAAGCTTCAAAATAACATAACTACTTGCTCTTAATTATTGAATGGCATCTAATCATCTTTTAGCACAATTCCAGTGTGGGGAATAGTGGATGGAGCACCACTTTTCGATATCTGTCTGTAGTACTCCGTAGCTAGCTCTGCACATTGTATTGGAAAAGCTGCCGGCTTAAAATAGCTCAACCTTGAACCTTTTCCCAAAAGGGGTCGTGCATCTTCAATCTTCATAAAAGCATTAAATTAATGGTGATCTACTCCCCCAGATCTTCATGGGGTTCTTAAAGTCGGTAACCATTTGATGGCTTTTGAACAAATGCCTACTACATAACTATCCGTATGGTAGCCGGTGTTGGGATAGGTCTGCTCTACTATGTCTGCATAATTCTCCCAATGCTATACCATGGAGAGTTCCAAGTCTTGTCACTCCTCTCAGCTCCCACCAGGTGTGATTAATTGTCGGTGTCTTATTTGCCTCCCTTCCAACAACTCGACTGCTTTGTGTCCTCTGTGGATCAATCGGTCCTGGGCTACCCTTAAATGCATTTGAAATATCCAGCATCCAATAAGTACGTCCTCAAGTATCTGTTCCGGTGGCTTCCTCTTTCGAGCGTAGATAGTAGTCTTCGTTGTCAACAAACGATAAACTTCAACCATCTCATTCATCTTCATCATCCTCTGCCGCTCTCCGTCTCGGACGACCCGGTCTTCGTACCGCGCTGGCTTGCGTTGCTGGCGGGCCACCCCCATCATGACCTACCGACGCGTCCACAACACCCAGACTTCTACTCAGTCTCTGCTCCAGATCATGCACCGAGTCCTGTCCATACACCGTCCGCACCATATTCGCAACTCCTTCTGTGCCCACCTCAACCTTCCCTCGTGGTCCAACAACAAAATCAACTATCTCCTCCCCACTAGACGAGTCTTTGATTTTGACAATATAGCCCTCTTTTACCATCCTTGCAAAGACCTTCTCTGTAGTATCCATGGGCGTCGACTGATTTGCATTCATCCGCCTCAGATATCGATCCAGCTTCGATTCCGATAGTTGTCCTCCGTTGAGAGTAATCAGCGCGATCACCATGGTGTAAAATCCAACGTAGTTGCTTTCAATTTCTGCCGTGGGTATGCGAGGCGGCTCGATGATGTTCGACGTGCGGAATTTGTCTGGAAGCGCGTTTCGTAGGACCCATTGCCCGCTTGACTTGTTCTGTGATTCCGAGGCAGCGGCGGCTGTGAGACAATTTAGCGTAAGCCTTGAAGGCCTGGGAAATAATTATGGGTGTGGTGGCGGTACATACAGCGCTTTTGTCTCATTGTGACCTTCTCTCGATTCGGTAGTTCTGCCAATTCCATGCCAAACGTATCTAACAGTTCCGCGTTCGCGGCATCGAAGACTTGTTTGAACATGCGCGAGTGGCTGCCGAGTACTAGAGTTCCATCAGCCATGAGATACATCCTCCCAGGCCTGTATGCCTACCTTTCTGTGTGACATCCTGTCGCTTGATCGGGGTTCGAGAGTATTCGCATGCCAGTGCATACCGCACTAAACTTTTGGACAGCTGCGCAAGACTGCTACTGCCAGTTTGTTCGTCTCCATAGCCATCATCGTCGAGATCTTCCTGCTCGTAGTGCTGCGTTTGTGTTGGCTCCGGGATGTCGTCTTCATCGTCCTCAACTGGCTGAGAATGGTCAGTGTACGAAAGAAATAGAGGTACATTCTGTCAAACTCACTGCACGTCGTTTCCTTATTTGCGGCATGACGTCTTTTTGTGTGTGGGTAAGTGATTTGAAGTTGGATCGGAAAGACAAGGCTTTGCGTGCGGGGAGTGTCCGACGCGTACCTTCTAACGCGAAACCACATGTTCAGCCCTCGTATTGCCTGCACCCACCTAAAATCCTCCCGAATCCCGCGGACCCCAGAGAGTTAAACCAGCCAACTTGGCGGGGAGACAAGCCCCAAGCTTTTTTGCGAAACAGATCATCACGTCACCTCACCCGTCCGTCCACCATTCTCCCATAATAACTACCTACAACAATTCAAGGCCCCGTCAATTGACTTGATGCATCCACCATGAACGCCGCACGCCTCGCCGCCCGCCGTCCAGCATACCGCTGCCTCAATGCCCACCCACGACTGCGCCAAATCCACGTAGCTGGACGAGGCGGCCGCTTTGGAGAGAAACCCTCCCGCGCCAGGCTCGACGACATCTCTGTCCACCGCGCCGACGCAATCCGCTATGCGCGATACAAAACCCGCCGGAACTGGCTCGCCGCGGGCGCTGCCCTCTCGATGATTGCACCCATGATCCTCGTCCGATTTTGGGACCTCCCTCCGCCCTCAGAACCCGAGAACCAGCAACAGCAAGACCACCAGCAGCAGCAGCAAAACCAAACACAACCCAGCGGACCCTCAACGACACAACAACTCGTCGACCTCATCAAGCCCAGGCCCGTCCAAGCCGACAGCCCACGCATCGCGGCGGACGAATTCCACGGCAAGAAGGTCGTCCTCGCCGCCGGCGACAAGATCATCGCGGCGCCCAAGGACTCCGAACACCCCACTCCCTCCGACGTCGACACCATCGAGCTCGTCGAGACAGGCACGTCCTACGTGCCCTACTTCCCACGCACCATCTCCCTCCCCGACACCACGGGGCCGGAGGGCATCGCCTCGGAGGCATCGTACACGCTATTGGGGCTCGGCATCCGCAAGGTGTCGTTCCTCAACATCCAGGTGTACGTCGTCGGGCTGTACGTCAAGAGTGCGGACCTCGCGAAGCTGCAGAACCAGCTCATCAACACGGTGAACCCGAGCGCATCGGCGCTGATCCCGGGCGAGAAAGAGGATCTGAGGAAGGCGCTGCTGGGGCCGGAGTCGTCGACGCAGGTGTGGCGGGCGATTGTGGCGAGGCAGGGTGCAGATGCGGTGGACATGGCGTTCCGGATCGTGCCGACGAGGGGCACGGATTTCAAGCATTTGCAGGATGCGATGATGAGGGGGATTACGAATAGGACGGACGATGTGAGGAGGAGGCAGGCGGATATGTTGAGGCAGCAGGCCAAGGAGAGCAAGACGGTGGTGCTGCCGAAACCGGTGGAGGAGGGGGAGTTCGAGGATGAGAGGTTCGGGGTCGCGATGAAGGAGTTCAAGGCGTTGTTCCAAGGCAGGGGCAAGGCTGGGAAGGGTTCGGTGGTCATCATGAAGAAGGATAAGGATGGTGCGTTAAGCGGCATTTACCAGCCTGTTGTCAAGACGAACAAAGGCGAGAAGATGGGTGAGATGGTCAATCTGGGTGAGGTCAAAGACCCACGCATCAGTAGACTGGTGTGGGAGATCTACCTCGCTGGTCCGAATGTGAGTTGCGAGGAGGCAAGGAAGAGCATCGTTGACGGCTGTATCTCCATCGTCGAGCGGCCCGTTGGAACCGTCGAGAACATGATCCAGTAAGTCAGTCAGGACATATATTCAATTGACGTAGATATATGTTGTACCATAGTGTATATGTATACCAATCACCAAGGCACGAAATCCGCCCATATCCTAACCCAACCACACCCCCGCCCCAGAACAACAAGAGAAAGATCACCTAAATCCCCTCCGTCGTCTGGTTCAACTCAACGCCCCGCTGCACCAGCCCCTCAATCCACTGCTGAAACTCCTTCCTCATCTCAATCGGAATAACATGGCCCTGCTCCCTTACAAACCTCTTCTCCACCTCACCCTCCTCCCAGACATCCTCCTCAACCTCCATCCCCACAAACTCCCTCCCCGTCTTCCCCTCCCCCTTCTCCAACCCCCTCCAAAGCACAACCGCATGCGGAAACGTAATCATCCGATCCTTCGTCCCATGCACGACCATGATCCTCCTCCTCCCCACCTTCTCCGCAAGACTCTTCAGGTCAGCCGGCGACTTGTAATGCCACCCAGCGGCGATCGCCTGCAGCATGAACGGCGCCTTTGAGAAGTACTCGGGGCGACTTCGCTTCCAGACCTCGTTGGCGGCGAAGCGGTCGCCGTTGGTGGGGAAGGGCTCGACGACGTGCTCCAGGTTGTCCGGCTCGAGGAGCCAGGCGTCGGTGTACAGGTTGTGTTTCACGCCTTCGACTTGCTTGTCGAGGGACTTCGGCATAAAGAGGTTGGCGCGGTTGCGCAGGTTCTCGAGGAACCCGCTTGTGTTGAAGAGGCCTGAGGCGGTTGAGACGAGGGAGAGCGTGCAGATTCGCTCGGGTATCAGCATGGCCTAAGGGGTGGTTAGTTGTGTGGTGGAGGGTGAATGGTGGATGTCACATGGTTTGGTGGCCTATCACGAGCGGGTTGACGTTGCTGTGTGTGTTGTTGCGTTCATCCAGCCCAATTGACTCGTCATGAGCATTCTCAGCTTCCATAGAATATAGTCCATGAATCATGAGACTACCCGTGTGGACGATATCAAACGTGGGGGAGAACGAGCACTACACAGGGGTGGGGTGGAGCGGAGCGGAGGATCGTCTCTTGCTCAGTCGAGTCCTCGAAGCAAGTCCCAGGTGGTTATTACTGCAGGGGGAATCACATTCGGCCCCATCCCCTGGTAGTTCTGAGGTACTTGGCGTTCTGCCTCAGAAGCTTTTCACATTCACCATACATGCAAACATATTGCGCCGGAAACTACACCATCCGATGCCGGGATAGTCGAACAGAATCCGGACGATATGAAGCATTGTGGGACAGAGATGCCGAACTTGAAAAAGCGCTTTGGGCGAGTATAAAATGAATAATGGCGAGATGTAAGGTACGTACCATTTCTTGCGCGATCATGCCTCCCATGCTGATGCCGATGATGTGGAGTTCGCGCTTGCCGGTCCAGCCAACGTGGTCCAGGACTTCAACGACGTCTTTGGCCATCTCGGAGGTCGAGTATCGCTGCATGGGCTTGTCTGATTCGCCAATGCCACGGTTGTCGAGAATCAGCGACGAGTATTCGTCCGCTTTGGTATGCGCCAGGTCTTTGGTCTGACGCTGCCAGGCGTAGCCCATTCCGCCAAGGCCCATGATCCACTTCCATTGTGTGAGAATAGGATTCTATAGTGAACAGGCGGAGATAGCGATGGGATGAGATGAGTGTAACAGAATGTAGAAGAGGGAAAGGGTAACTGATTAAGCATCGTCGGGTAACAAAGGTGAGACGAAATGGCTGAGACAGCCAATGCGACCGAAACGAAACATAACGTAGCAATGGGGGCAGCGATTGGCGGGAAAGTGACAATGGCCACGAGAATCATCCTCACAAGCTTTTTCTTCCAGGCTCTAGGCATGACAAATCCTACCTGTAGGATGTGCCTTATTTGGACGGGGGTTCTGTATCCCTAATTTTGGAAGCGAGGAGGAAAATATGCAGCAACTTACAACCAAATGGCGATCTCCACGTCCATGGATCTCGTAGGCGATTTTGATAGGGCCGCCTCTGTTCTTAGCAACGGTCGCTTTCTCCTTTCGCGCGGGCTTGAGGTCCCAGATTAGATGTGGATATTCTGGGTGCTTGACGACTTCATCCGGGGTCATTGGCGGTCGGTCGGCCATTGTGGAGTGTGGAGTGTGGTGTTGTGGATTTACGAGTGATACGCTTTTCTATCCAGCCTGAAGGAGATGAGATGGATTAGCGGGATATCCGTCAAGTCCAACGTTCATGCAGCGTATACACCGTAAGGTCGTAACCAGGCACGCAGTACGAGTAAGAGAGTTACGGTCGCTAGTCAGCAACGGGCGTAGTGGTAACGTTTTGGTATGATGGAATATTGTCGTAGGTTCAGGTAGGGTAGAGTAAGAGCCGTAAGAGCCCCTCCACGCGAGTAACGAGACTGCCAACCAGTAGCTTGTGTGTATGTACGAGTTGATATTACAACAGCGGATGGTCCGTCAGATGGAGGTGGCTGAGCCCTCTAGATTACGCAACGTGCCGACGCTGCATGTGCCATATTCTTGCACTCCTGGTAGCCGAACTTCTGGGGGGTTGCAACAACTTGCAGGACAGGGAGGGTTGCTAAAATAAAAAGTATGGTATATTACTATTACTACCATGAGAGAGGAGAGGATAGGCAGACATACTCCGTACATACATACAACAATACTATTTTTGAATGGCTAGGTGGAGTAGAGCGCTTAACTTGACATGAAAATGAGCATGTGCACAACTAAGAATTAGGATAATTAATCAATAAAGGATTGAAAATAGAGAGGGAGAAGGGATAAAGCATGCACAGTTACCCCCATGCGGATAGAGGAGAGGAGAGGATAAGAAGAAGCTGGTGGTGGATCCTCCCGCAGACTTAGGATCTCATACCTCTCTTCTACCTACTGCCCAGTGCCTGCCTAGGTACATTCTTTGTGCTTTTTATCTCCCAGTATCTACCGTATATACACCTGTTATTACTCCGTACTTGTAACTATCTTACCTCTTCTCTCTTGCACGTGGGCCGCTGGAAGTGCCCCTCCCCTGCATTGCCTTGCAGTCGGACACTTAATAAAGGTGAGGTTGTCACTGGTAACACAAAATAATTACTCCACTGGGACTTCGTATCAACAAGCAACTACTCGTATATAAGTCATAACCACACTACGAGTACCTACGACACACCAAACAAACCAGGAACAGATCGTCGTCGTTGATCTAGCTGGATTCGACATCGTTCAAACCTTACACTCCAACGTCCATCTATCTGCCCATTCCTTAGCGCACCGGATGCTGCGGCGGCGGGCGGACGACTAGGCGGACGACTTGCATAGACAGTCACAATCTTACAAGCATACAATACAATAGACTACAAGTACGGTACCCTTCCAAGGAAGCTGTGCTGTGGCTTCTCTTTCAACACGGTCGGCGCTGGCATGCGAACAGCCACTCACATTGCGTTGCATACGAGCACCTTTTAAACTTCCCAAGACCTCGGGGCGTTGGATAGCTTCATCACCCTCGGCGCCTTTTCTTCTTCTACCTATTTCGTCCTGTTGCGCGCTGACGCAGTTCCACCTCACTCTATTAGTCGACGTCTCCCTCTTGCTTCACCCCCAAATAAGTTTCGCGTAGCAGTTCTGCGATTCCAATTCGGTTGTCGTGCAACTCTGCGACATTCGAGATTCAGGGCTCTGGAACTGGGACCTGTTTCAGATCAGACCTCTTGACTAGGCCCCTCCAAAGACCAGACCACCACCGGCAACCGCGAGATTCTTTCTCACAAAACAGCCCTACACCCCCGGCTGCCCCTCGCCGACCCCATTGATCTCGACCGAACGATACACACTCCTTCATATTTCTACATCTCGTGTAGCACTTTCCCTCCCCGCAATGGATGGCTCGCAGGGCGGCTTCTATATGCCTGCGGCTGGTCCGCCGCTGACCAACCAACCTCCGCGCATCTTTGGCAACATCCCCACCGGCTCGCCCATACCCGCTTCGCTCGCAGGCCAAATGTTCAGCCAGGACGATCTAGACGATGGAAATGATCAAGGAGACCCAAAGAGGCGGAGGATCGCGAGGGTATAACACCTAGCTACAGTAACAAAGTGGAAAGCTAACATCCACCAGGCTTGCGACATGTGTCGCAAGAAAAAGATTAAGTGCGACGGCAAGATGCCCTCGTGTACGCACTGCCAGAACTACAAGACGGAATGCATATTCACACAAGTCGAGAAGAAGCGACAACCGCCGAAGGGGTACGTCATACTCGTAACATCTGGAGTGATCTGCAATGGAACATAACCAGCTAATATGGCATGCAACACAGCGCCAAATACATCGAGGGCCTCGAGAATCGTCTTGCTCGCATGGAGTCCCTGATGCGACTATCAGGCGTGCTTCCGGACGACGATGATGGCAGCACAGATTTGGCAACGTTGGAGAAAAGGCTGGCGGATAGGGCAGGTCAATCGACGCAATCACAGTCAGTGCGTACGACACCTGCCCCACGAGCGTCTGAAGAGCGAAGATCATCTCCTTCACAGCCGACTCAGAAGGTTGGCAATGATACTCCGGTACAACCTGGCCTACCTAGCCCTACCAGTGGTGCCGCTTCGCCAGAGCCTGCGAGACTGAGCACTGAGGCCAAGGACAAGGATGAAGATACCTTAGCGGAAATGATGTGCTCATTGGTGACGAACAATTATGGCGAAACGAGATACATCGGTAAGTGGCTCGAAAGTAAAGTTACAAGTGCATAGACTCATGTTGCATAGGATCTTCTTCCGGATTCTCCATCTTCTCACCCAAAGGTATACAATGGGTCAATGAGAAAACTGGAGATGTATCATTCCAGGACATGATATCTACTGCAGCCATCGACGACAACAAGTGGATCCAGTGGAAGCCCGATGTTTTCCAAGATCTATTCAAGCGACGTGTATATCGGCCGCTGCCGCCCAAGAACGAAGCCTTGTCATTACTGAAGGACTATTTCGAAAATTTCAATTGCATGTTCCCACTGTTCCATGAGCCAACTTTCATGCATCTTGTCGACAAGCACTACTCGAAGGAACCGTATGAGGGCTCAGGCTGGTGGGCCAGTTTGAACATCGCTCTTGCCTTCGCCCATCGTCTTCGAGTCATGAGCAACCTTGTGCCACAGGAGGAGGACGAAAAGGCAGATCAATATCTCAAGAATGCAATGGCCGTCCAAGTCGAGTTGACCATGCGAAACACGGATCTTCTCAGCGTGCAGGCCCTTCTTGGAATTGTAAGCAAAGGATTACCCTATTGACAGAATATGGCTAACTAGCTCAGGCGCTTTTCTTGCTCGGTACGCCAAATCCCCAGTCGACATATTTCTTCGTCGCTGCTGCCCTACGTCTGTCACACAGCATCGGATTGCACAAAAAGGGCGCGGGTTTCAACCTCAATGCATCGGAAGTCGAGCAAAGGAAGCGAGTGTTTTGGATTGCGTATATGCTGGATAAAGAGTAAGTGTAGCAGTCGACTTTGATGAATGTTACTAATAAAGAATTGCAGTATCTGTCTTCGCTCCGGCCGACCGCCTGTTCAAGACGATGACGATATGAATGTGGAGCTTCCAAGCGAAGACCCTCCAGACAACATCGGCAACATCCCACTTGCAGATGGTAAAGGAAAGCTCAACCTGTTCCGCCTCATGTGCACTTTTGCAATTATCGAAAGCAAAGTCTACAAGCAACTCTACTCAGTCAAGGCCTCGAAGCAGACAGATGGCGAGCTGCTGAACACAATTGGCGAGCTAGATAAAGAGCTGGAAGCATGGAAAGACAGCATACCACTCGACTTCCGTCCCGAGCACGAGATCAAAGCATCACATACTCCCCTCATTCTCCATGTCGTAGTCCTCCATTTCGGGTATTACAATTGCTTGACGACTATTCATCGCATGAGTGTCCACCATGGTTACTGGACGAGCCGACTATCGAACTTTGCCATCCAAGGTCTCAACGCCCGGCCACTAAACCCGCGTGTCTTCATGTCTGCACAACTATGTGTACAGGCCGCCCGTGCGTCCATTCATTTGTTGAAGTACATCCCTAAGGGCGACTCATCTTGTGTGTGGATGGTGATCTACTTCCCGGTCACAGCTCTCGTGACGCTTTTCGCGAACATCCTGCAGAACCCATCGGATACTCGATCGCGATCAGATCTCAAGTTGATGAACCTAGTCGTCAATTTCCTGAGCATGCTCAGCTCTGATGAGCGTAATGGCAGCGTCAAACGCATGCTAAGCGTCTGCTCCGAGTTTGAGCGGATTGCCAAGATTGTGTTAGACAAAGCAGATCGCGACCATGCATCGAGGCGCAAGAGGAAGCAAGGTGACAGCGAACAGGATGCGGAGATTGAAGCCACCGCGAATGAGATTCTCACGCCGGCGTACCGTGCCGCACAGTCACCTCCACAGACCAACAATCCCTCCACGCCCGGCCAAGTTCCCAATGCCGATGCCTTCAACCCTGATTTCCATGGCTTTAATGAGGTAAGAATATTCGTGACCTTGTAGTGGAATTCTACTGACACTGAACAGCCATTCCCATTCTCGCCTAATTTCACGCACGCATCGCTCAATGATAACAATCCCATGGCCCAATTCGGTTCGCCATCAATGGCCGCACAGCTCCTGCAGCAACACGGTGGTATTCCCATAGGCACGAGCGGCGGTGGCGGCGACACCACCATGGGCGGCATGAACAGCCTCAACTCGCTCGCCATGGGCAACTTCGAGCAGAACTTCAACAACGTCCCCCACGACATATGGCGAATGCCAATGACGTTAGAATGGGATTGGGCCGACATGACTGGGTTCACCGGCCTCGCATCGACGGGCTACGAAGACGGAATCAGCATGAACGGCGTGATGCCAGATTTCTCCAACGGCGCCCAGGGAACAAGCGGGATGAACATGCAGGCGATGAATGGAAATCGACAACATCCGCGTTGATTTTCACAACGCGCATGCGTTCGTATTCCAACTTTTTGAGGGAAAGACCACCACTCTAGATCAGGCACTGGACATTCCTTACGGCGTTTTGCATTCGACGGGATCGAGCTCGCAAGCTCAATCAATCTACCACCATCCATAATTTCCAATGTATAGTTCTATTCAAGGTGCGGCGGCGGCGTCAGTAGGTAGCAGGGGCGCGGGCTTGTGTTTGACACAAAAAAAGGCTGGAACTGGACCTGTGAAAGGACTAAATACTCCACTCATCTATTCGGGGGAGGAAGAAAGGTGGTCAAGACCGTCGCTCCGACACACAAAAAACGTATGTATATTTTGTACAAACCTACGATGTGATCACGAAAACTATGAATATAGAAACCTTTATTTCCACGTTCAGAAATCTATACTCTTTTTTTTGCTTCTTTTCAAACGCAAATGTTATGTCTCTGGGCTTGAGATTTTGAATAATTGGTAGTTGTAGCATGTAGTCATGTTGCTGTAACCTGTCCCTACCCAGAATGTTGAACTTCTTCCCAATAAAACAATGCTATGATAACGTTGAAATTTCGTACAGCGCCAACCTTTCGTCCGATGTATGTGTACATGATGAGACGGGGTTGACTCGGACGCCCTTCGCATTAATCTACTGTATGTATGTATGCCAGGTACACCGCATGCCACATGGCATCCCATCACATCACACCGGAAAAGCGACAAATCTAGGCCGTCCGGAAAAGCGCGCGGTGCGTGGTTTTCTAGGGGTTCTCGAAACGGTAATATATTATGTATGTGATTCGGACATGTGATGACGCCTCGTGAGCTCCAAGGCCGATGATGGGCGGCGTCTGGGGTAAGACGTGGGGATTGTGGTCTCGAGAAGAGAGTGAGAAGTGGAGTGTTGGCTTCTACGCAGGATGAGGAATCCGATCATACACTTGCGAAGTTGCTGTTTGATGCTTTTTTTGTCAATTAGCTGTAGTCAGTCATATATAACTCAAGTTGATTAACCCGCACGGACGACGAAGGTCAGCAAAGCATTATAATCATCCATAATCGAATCAAACGTTACGCACGGAGTTACCGTACCAGCGTACCTAGGCAAGTTATAACTGTATCTGTACATTGAATGGTAGCCCTGCGTCACTTAACCGAGGCCCTGGCAAATAAGGGCACCGCGTTCACCAAGCAAAGCAGAAAAGTCGTACGGTTTTCCAAGGATTATTATTTATTGTCACAGAACTCAGATTTTCCGGCCGCGCTCACGCCTTTTCCTCTCCTTTCTATTCGAGCGCTACAAAGGAGTTTCGGTTTGAAAAACGAAGGGCTGTGCAGATCTTCTGGCTTACGGTTTCTACATTGGCGGGGTGCGTGCGGAGAGAGAGAGGTCTGGAACTATACATTAGAACGTTGCGTCTGCTTGTTTTGTTTAAATAAGCTACGCTGTTTGCCGCGCTCTTTTTCCTTCAAACTCTTTTCGGTCTTTTTGTGAGATTCTCTTTTCTTTTTGGGGTTGGCAGTATCACGACAATCTTCAAGGATATCATCCGTTGGTTAAGGACTCTTGCCAACCATCCCGTGGATATCTTTGGGGAAATACTAGAAAGAGATATCGTAGGTTTATCATCTGCCTGGAAAGAAGATTAAAAAGAACACAAACATGGCGCCTCCAACAGATTTTCCGCCCGTCGTTCTCTTTGGATATGACTGTAAGTTTGCTCCAAGTCCACCACTGTAGTGTAGTCGTTTGAATCATATAACTATACATAATCAAATGCTAACCTGTGGTACAGCAAGTCCGTTCACGAATAAAGTACGGTTGGCGTTGAGGTTGAAGCAGATTCCATTCTGTACGTATTGACTGGTTATTCTTTTCAAGGATATTTCGACTTTTCATTTTCCTCGGATTCTGAAGTCGGGTTTGGTAACAGTTGTCATGATGAGTTGCTATAATTCACTCTTCGAGCACATCTCGTCTCGGATGATACCTCCACATCCCCAAATCTCGTTCTTTCTTGAATGGACACAAATTTTAACATAGCCGCAAAACAGCATACATCCCCGTCCCATCAATGATGCCCCGACCCCTCCTCTCCAAAACATTCGGGCTACATTACCGAAAAATCCCGGTCCTCTCCATCGGCCGCGAGGTCTACTGCGACACGACCGTCATCATCGAAGCGCTTGAGCACTACTTCCCTGCCTCCCAAGGCTGGGGCACCGTGTATCCCAAGTTCGACGGCGTGGACGAATGGGTGTACCGCGGCTTGGTCCGCGGATTCGCGAGTTTCTGGGTTGATGTATGTTTCCAATTCCATTCTTCCCTTACAACCAAATCCTAACAACATTTTCATCACAGAAACCACTCTTCCGCACAACAACGGGCCTTATCCCCCCTTCCGTCTGGCGCACATCCTTCGGCACCGACCGCAGCGCCCTAATCGGCCACACCCTCGACCCGGAAAAACTCGGCGCCAAAATCCCACAGAACCTATCTACTCTCGACCTGCACCTCTCCCTCCTGGAGCCTACGTTCAAGTCCGCGGGCACGTGGGCCATCCCCACGAAGCAGCCCTCCCTCGCGGACATCTCGCTGTACTATCAACTGAGGTGGGGGATCGACATTGCGGCCGGGAAGGGGATATATAACCTCACAGGTGGCGGGACACAGGATACGCAGAGCAATATCACGGATGAGGTGTTCAATGAGAAGAGGTATCCGGGCATATGGAATTGGTTCCACGCGCTGGAGGCGTACCTCGAGTCTCTGCCTGATCTTGAGACAACGGTCGACGGGGAGGCGAGTGGAGAGTGGAAGGAAGCGTTGAGGAAAGCAAAGACTGTGGCGGAAGAGGATCTCCTTGTTCCTACGGAAGTGGATGAGGTGTTGGATGTAGATGTTCAGAGGGGTTTGGAATCTGGTGCCGCGGTATCGATTGCGCCTGATGACACGGGAAGAGATGATCCAACCGTAGGGACGTTGGTGAAGATCGGAGTGCAAGAGATCGTAATCAAACCGGTTGCTGAGGCGGAGCTAGATGTCAGGATTCATTTTCCGAGATTGGGTTTTGTGGTCAAGATCGTGGATGCGAGCAAATTGTAGGGCAGGGCAGGGCAAAGGGTCATCTAGGAGTTCACATAACTTTGGTTTTCGGGCGCATTGATAGATAGAGGGATATTATTCAAACTTGTATGAACGGGATCTGCTGAAAACAGCGGTTGGTGAGCTACAGGGTATTATTGCCAAAGGCGAGACCTACGTGAGAGGTGGCTCGCCCTCTTGAGCACATGTAGTCCGAAGTTTAAACAAAAATCCTACGTAGTCAATATACGACCCTAAAACATTACTCATGCGGCTCAACAAGCCCAAGCAGAGAATCCCAGGCTGCATTATATGATGTTGTAAACTCAAAGTTTGGTGCAATTGTCATCGGAAAAGACCATGGCTGTGTTTGGCTATGTTCTTAAAGTGGAAAATGAGAAAATGAGCAAGTATGAAGGTAATGGATGCTGTACAGGACGCCCATTACACATGATGTCACACATATGCTCAATTCGACCTAACAATACATTGTCTTGCCTATATTGTAACTTGAAAAATCAGCTCCAATGTCATGCGACGGAGATAGAAGAAAATGGCGAGAGAGCTCTGTTTGAGGAGAGTACCACCGCTTACGTGATGCATACCCGAGGTTCCTAGCTTGGAAGGTTAATGCATCCTCGACCAGCTCCATGCAATACTACATCACTGCACATGATATACATCCCTCTAAAATGACCAATGTCAAATAAGCGCGTTAGACTTTCTGATTCGACCGCGGCAGCCAAGTTTGCCAGTTCCGCCTGCAAGCGGTGCCGGTCCCGTAAAGTCAAAGTTAGATGAAGCTTGTAGTCCTTCAAGACCTCATAGCTAACATTCGTCAGTGTGACGCAGAATTTCCCTCCTGTCTTGGATGTGTGAAGGCCGGACTGCCATGCTATGTTGCAGATTACTCTGTATCTCAGGACTACACACGCAAGTAAGCAAATGCAAACTCACAGTTAGTCCTGCCCTATCCTAACACTTCATAGGGATGTACAATTACTAGAACAGAAATTGGCCGATTTGGAGAGTCTCATTGCAACGGGTCATCCATCTCCTAATTCAGGACTGAGAAACAATACTCAACAGGATCTAAGTTCTGATGATCAAGATGAAGCAAGACGACCAGTCGAGTGAGCAGCCCGCCAGACATACCTGGCAACATTGTTCTCGTCACTAATGCAATGCAAGTCCAACTGAACAAGTGCCCGCAACAACGAGCACGGGTAGTCGATTCTCAAGGATCCGGCTAACAGTTCCTCGGATCCAAGAACCATCAATTGACAACCATGCACCGCATTCAATTCCTCCCTACGAAATTGCTATCCAAGCAGTAACATACTAGTGAGGTTCAATTGGCTCTTGCTCACTGGACTATACTAAAATAAGTAGCTTCCAGGACTTTCATATATGCCATCCTTTCCTTGATGAAGAATACATACGATCGACCGTTAACATGATCTACAACGAAGTGGAGGCATATAAAAAGTCTTCGACATTGTTAACACGATCGCAAAAGCACGCTCTTTTTCAGTTCAATATGGTTGTGGCTATTGGGAGTATTCAACCATATCGAAGTGGAACAACATCCCTGCATCCTTTTGGCTTCTTTACAGCAGCCTTGGAAGCACATCCTCCGTCCAAGTTCAGTTTCAATTCAATTGAAGAAGTACAGGACCTCTTGCTCATCGCTAATTTTGGCGCATATTATAATATCGGTAGGAATGCGAGACATGCCTATGGAATATAACGCTGATCCCTGCAGGTTGTTCCATCTGGGAACTCAGTCGCCTTTGTGTTCGAATGTGTATCGAGCTACATTTGCATCAGCAACAGCCCACTGCCGTCACAGGGCAGGGATCAATTGACCAATTGGGCCAACGAATTTTCTGGGAGACCTATCTACTCGATCGTTTCTCGTCCTCTATCCTTGGACGTCCCTTTGCTATCGATGACTCGGCGATCGAAACACCAATTCCCGCGGACGAGCAGTGTGATATGGCAGGGCGATCTGGTCCGCGACTAAGAGTGTTCATTCACCTTATCCGTCTTGGCCAGATAACGTCTCGGATGCATCATCCGATCTACTACCGATCGCGAAAAGCCCGAGAGTCGGAAAGTGTCCTCGAGATTTTTACATCATCATCGTCCAGAGCAGCCGATCCGCGGGACCTGTTGTCTCGACTTCGTACTTTTAGTGCCCAATTAAAGCAATGGAGAGAATCCGCACCGACTGTGACCCTGCCGAGCTATATCTATGAATCAGCCGAGTTCTTCGAAATTTCATTTCAAGAGGCTAGACTCTGGCTGCTAAGAGCAGTTGTTGACGAGCTTCCTGCTCAAGTATCTAGCATACGGGAACAATTGCTTACTATGTCGCTCCAATCAGCACGGCAGATTATCGAGTGTTTCGGCAATCTATGGGAGAATGGTATTCTTACATACAACCGAACCTACAGCCGTCTGATTCTCATCTCGGGACTAGTTCTGGTCTCGGTGCTGAAATTCCAAGCAACTAATCGCCAAACCCACGTGGCAGATAATGCATCTGAGGTGGACGTCCTGTATTGGCTTACAGACATAGATCCTGGCTCAGAGCACACCTTTCCATCTTTGACCGAGTTTTCTCAAACACTGGAGACGGCAGAAAGACTGCTCGTATGGCTTGCCACGAACATACCCGACATATCAGTCTACGCGCGATTCTTTAGAGCCGTCAGAGCTGAAGTCATGAAACTTGACATCTTTGGGGTCGACAACAATAGGGTGCCAGAGTCTCGCCAGAGCACCACCCACGGAACATCGTCGCGCCAGACTCAGGATAGTACGTGGAATTCCGCTACACATCGTTATAACAATGCACAAAACAGCAGTCTAGATGGTGCCTGCACTCAAACAGATGGATCCGAGCCTCTTCGGTATGACGACGGACCAGGTCAAGAACTCCCAAATCCCTTCGGTGAAAATATCTTCTCGCAAGTACAGCACAATGGAGATGGCATACCTCTTGAAGGTTTCAGCAATATAAATGACTGGTCCTTCCTACAAACACTATGGATGGACGAGATAGAGGGTGGCATATCGGGGTCGATATGGGATACAATAATTCCATGGGAGACATCACCTGGAGCATCCCTCTATAGTCAACTGTAGGCAGTGTTCTTGATTAATAAAAAAAACATTCTTGAACTTATTAAATTCCGTTACATCATTCCACGCCTACTATGACGATTTCTCGTGCAAGAACCGCCATACACCATCTGTCGCGGCGTTTATAGTGGCTATCTGTGTCTCATCCACCGCTGCAGCAACGTGAGGCGTGCCCACGAATCTTTCACAGTTCCAAAGCCGTTCATACTTGTCCAGTGTTGGCGGTTCTTCCACGTGGCAATCGAAACCGGCTCCCCAGATCAACTCTTCCTCCAAAGCCTTCGCCAGATCATCTTCGTTGACTATTCCACCACGCGCTGTATTGAGTAGAATTGCATTACGTTTCATGAGCTTCATCTGCTCGTACGCAATCAGATCTTTTGTAGTGGCTGTCAGCGGCACATGCACTGTTACAACATCTGCCACTTTCAAGAGTTCCTCCAGTGTATGTACTCTCGTGTGCGCGATTGATTTCCAGCCAGCACCATCCTCTGGCCAGTATGGGTCATAAGTAACGATAGAGGCTCCAAGCCCACCCACAAACATGCGAGAGACCGCTTGCCCGATGTTACCCATACCAATGACGCCAACGGTCTTATTCGACAAAAGCAGGCCCGAGATCGTTTCCTTGCGGATGACTTCGCCCTGGATTCTCTGCCGCGTTACCAAGCTTGGTACCTGTCGTGCCACACTGAAGGCTAGACAGAGTGTCATTTCAGCAACAGCACCTGCATTCACTCCGGGTGTGTTGCAGATCTTCACGCCGCGGCGCTCGCAGGCTGCGACATCGACTTTGTCGAGGCCGACGCCTTGTTTCCCGATCACCCGAAGTTGCGGGGCAGCAGCAAGATCCGCGTCCGTTATGTAGTAGTCCTTTATGAGTATCGCTGTCGCATTGTTGCGCCAGTTGGCAGCTTCCGGGTCTGTGTGGAGGATACAATCGAAGAGAGACTGCGCGTATTTGACAGCCGTTGGATGGAACTCGCTGAGGATATACAATTTCTTGCGATCCTCTGTGTATGTAGATTCGGTATTGGACAGAAATGGAGCCATGCTGTTTGGTGGGCTGTAGAAAATAAGGTATCGAAGGCCTCCAAAGTCTTTGGTTGTAGAAGTAAAGTGTAAAGATAAAGCTTCAGTACTTGAGGACCCAGTGCTCTGCCTGACACAACATCCGTGAGGACTTTATAATCGTGAGATCCCATGGAAATCATTGTGCCGACTAATCTCCCCGCATATGTCCTCATAATTTACGATAGGAACTTTCCATTCTTGGAGGTGGATCTCCAGGGTCGGACGGCTGGCCGCGCGGGCTTAGATGCGAAGTCGCGGTACTTGTGTCGGACGAACCACCGAGCAACAGTAGCAGAACAACTCAACTTTTTCATTACCAAAATGGTTCATATAATTGCTCGCAGAGAACAATTTTCACAATCTAAAACTGTTTTCAACGTTTTTGTTTAACATATCGTTCAATAATCTCCGTATCATCGAGACACCGTACCTTTACTATTTTACGATGTCGATTGTCAACGCATTGCAAACTACAACAGCCACTGGCGAACTCTGCAAGGTTAGCTAAGACCTTTATTTGAACGAGAAAAGCACGGGCAAGAACAAGAAGCTAATACTGCAAAACAGGCGTTCGGTATCAGACTGGTCACAAATCCAGCAGTCGTCCAACTTGCACAGAACAATGGATTCGATGCCCTGTTCATTGACCTTGAACACTCTACACTTTCCATTGATAACGCCAGTCAGCATTGCTCTGCGGCACTACAGATTGGCATCACTCCTTTCGTCCGCGTTCCATACCAGTGTGGCAATGGCTTCGTCCAAAGGGTGATGGATGGTGGTGCGATGGGCGTAGTATTTCCGCACATTCACAACAAAGGTAAGCATATGAACCCTCTACTCCCACAAAAATATGAGACATTAGATCTAAAGAGATCCCCTAGCGGATGCCGAAGCAGCTGTGTCGATATCGAAATACCCACCCATTGGAACCCGCTCCATGACCGGCCAACTCCCCCTTTTCCGTCTCCGCCCAACACCAGTTGACTCAATCGTCGAACAGACCAACTCTCACGGATCTTCCGTGATTTTGATGATCGAAACAGCAGAGAGTATCGAAAATGTACAACAAATTGCAGCAGTGGAGCATGTAGACGTGCTCTTGATAGGCTCAAACGACTTGGCGATCGAGCTGGGTGTGCCTGGGCAATTTAGGAGCGACGAGTTCCGATCCGCCCTCGAAAAAGTAAGCTCAGCATGTAGAGACAATGGAAGGGTCTTTGGATTGGCGGGCATCTATGATACGCCGGATATACAGGAATGGGCTGTGAACACACTTGGCGCTGGATTCATGCTGGTACAACAGGACTCTGGTCTCTTGAGTGGAGCTGGAAAAAAGGCAAGGGAAGCAGTCGATGCTTTCATCAAAAGGTAAATGGTCAGGTGTCGATAAAATCTTTGAATTGTATTTTCATGAAGCTGTTCTACTGTAAAATAGACACAACCCGACCAATGCAAATTTCCTCACATAGACTGGTCCAATCTTCCTTATGAGCACTTCCAAGTCCCGCAGCTCGGTTTGAATTATTTCCTGCAACACATCGACTTGACGATGCTTGTACACCCGACGCAAGCGCTCTATCAGGAGCCGGTACTCTTGCAAACGAGGGAACTGGCGCCCCACAATCTCCAGTTTCTGACATGCAATGTCCAAAATTTGACTCGGATGAAGTGCGAATGCATCGCTGGCAACTGACCCCGGAGTGTCTATTTGATCCGCTATGCTGCCCAGTGGTGGTATATTGTCTGGCTGCGATGGCCCCGAGGAGAGTACTAGCTGGCAATGAAGGGTAGCGAGCGCCAGCGAGAACGCGCTATAACCAGTGGTAACTGATAGGTAATGACGCCCACTCATGTGGCGCCTATCAAGGCTTTTCGCGACTGCTTGACAAATGTTCAAGAGCTTCAGTTTGCTGCTGCGCTTTACCTCGCATTCGAACATCTGCCGCGCAGCATCGCTGTGGATTCCCTCTTGGAACTCTTGACCAAGACGACTCAGGTTCGTCTCCACACGATCAAAGGAGTTTTCCGAAACTATGTAGCACAAAGCATTTCGGAGCATCAGTGTATGATAAAGGGAGGTTTGGTGGAGGTGTGCTTCTCTGTTCGAATGATTTCCAAGAGCGGGACTTGAAGCCCTCCAGAAGATCAAATTACTCAAGTGTGAATCCGGACCGAGTTGAACAGTATGACTTGCAGCTGAAGATAGCATCCGTGCATACCGGAACAAATGAACTTGACAAGCTTCTTGGGAAGTCAAATTCGGAGACGCTTGATCTTCTCCGGGGAGCTTAACCGAGATATAGGGGTCATCTATAGAGTATGGTCTATCCAGAGCCGCGCATATCAGTCGGTCCAGGAAATAGCAACCCCAGAAAGCCCATCGGTGTTCTTGCATCTCCTCAATTCCAAGCGCATTCGATTGGTCATTTAGTGGTTCCTGGTGATACCCTAGGGCAATGCATTTGTTCATTGCAAACCCAATGAGATGCCAGGCTGATCCGGCTGCTGAGCAGTGCATCGAGAAAATCACAAGTAGGTGCAGGCACTGAATGATATCGACACCATCTTCTTTCGCAAAGACACGATCGAGTAGTTCCATGCACTTCGCCAAAATATGAATCGAAACAAACGACCCTTGCGATATTGGATAGTCTTCAGATATTAGAGGAACTATGCCGATAGTCATGTACGCCATGAATATGTGGGAAGGATCCTTGGAAAGCACTCGACGATAGTATGATTCATCTGAATCAGTGATCGCGTCAATACCAGACCGAACCTTGGCCAAAGAGAGACGGGGGAAGCGAAAATCCACCGTTACAATGTATGTGTCCAACGCTTTGAGTGCTTCCTCACGACGAATGCTTAGCCTACTTCTCTTGCTACTTGGCTGTCGTATGTATTGTGCTATCCCGTCCCAAAGGGAATCAACGCGAGACGTCTCTTCGGGATTTCCTCCGTATGTCTCGGTCATGCCAGCAATAATGCGGGGCATGGATAGTTGCTTCAGGAATTCACCAGTCCGACTACGCGGCTCAGCCAGAGCACTCATGGACAGCGCGTTCATGTCCATATCTCCGCGCTCGAGTAATGGGTCGGGTTGAATCGTGTCAGCGGAGGCGTCAACGCTATGGGCTGCCTCATCAGTGGGCAGACTGGAGCTGGCGCGGCCATCCTTTCCACTTATTTTTGCCTCCAAGTAGGCAATTCTCTCTTGGAGTGCAGTCACGTATCCTTTGCGGGTAATTTCTTTGTCGTTCAGTTGTATAACGTTATTTTCTCGATTTGATTCATTGCACACCGACCCTGATTCAAGGCATTGACTGCAAGATGGTAGCTTGCGATCACATCTTTGCTTGCGACGTGAACATCTTTCGCAGGCAAAGTTTCGTCGACTTGGGTCGTCACCACCTTCTGTGAATTGGGCCGACATTTAGAGCGTTGGATGGTTGGCCGGGGAAGATGTTGGGGTACTCCAAGCTTGTAATGGGGTAACTTCCAAATCGAACGATGCGGGGAATGGCATGCTATCTATTTGGGTTTGAATTAGGTTTCGTTTCAATGCCCATGGCGTACAAGAATAAGAGATCCCGACTCCATGGTGGTTGGAAAGTATTGCCCCCGTGGGGTTCGGACGCATGGCCGAAGCCTAGCATTTCCTTCTTACCCGATCAAGCACAGTTTCCCCAGATTTCTATAATGCCCTTCTCCGCAAAGTACCTCGGGCGGAGGCCCGCCCGTCGAAGATTGCTGTAGCAATCAGAGCAATCGAAACATCTCCATCATGGCCGTGATCAGTACATAAAAGAGCACACGCTGGTCATGGCCATTTGTTTTCTACTCGTCACTCAATCTATTTTGACCGACAAACGACGACTACTTCCATCACATCTTTCATAGATCAGCTTTACACCAGAAAATGGCAGCTCAGTATTCTGAGGGCAAGACTCCCGAGGCAGCGTTTGTGGAGGACTCATCTGATCCGCGAAATTCTTTGGAGAAGGTGAGTTGATCAAAAATTCGAGAATGGCGATGAGGAGTAACATTTGCGAATACAGGGTGTTATCAACGGCAATGAGCACGCTGTGGAGGACCGCTTCCTTGGACAGGAGAAATCTTCTGCCAACAAAACTTTGCTACGCAAACAAGACTTCCGCTTGATTCCCATCTGTGCCACCATGTATCTGTTGGCGTACTTGGATCGCTCCAACATCGGGAATGCCAAGGTCATGAACTCGGAAGAGGGACACGATCTAATGACCGAGACAAATATCTCAGGAACCCAATACGCCATTGCGCTTATGGTTTTCCTGATTGCCTACACTCTTTTCGAAGTCCCCGCAAACACGTTCCTCAAGCGTCTTGGTCCATCAAAATGGTTCGCCTTGCTACTTTGCTGCTGGGGCACCATATCAATGTGCCTCGGTGCTGTACACAACTATGCTGGCCTAACTGCTGCAAGATTCATGTTGGGCATATTCGAAGCTGGCCTAGCACCTGGTCTTGCATATTACATTTCCTTCTGGTACCGAGCAAATGAACGGTCACTTCGATTGGCGTTCATTTATTCAACGGCGACCCTTGCGGGCGCATTTGGTGGTTTGATAGCATATGGAATTTCCCATATGAACCAGGTGGCGGGAATATCTGGATGGAGGTGGCGTACGTAAAGTCTTAGATGTTTGTGCTACCAAAAATGCTTACTCGATGGTTTAGTTTTCATCCTTGAAGGAGCACCATCAGTTCTATTCGGCATCTTTATATTCTTCTACCTACCAGATTATCCGGAGACAGCAAAATTCTTGACAACTGAGGAGAAGGAACTCGCAGTGCTGCGAATGGAGCACAATGGCTCCAAGGGCAACGCGGCACATATGACATGGGCAGATGCAAAAGAAGTGCTCACGGATTGGAGACTTTATATCCATTATATTGTCTACTTTTCTAAGTCATGCCCGTTCTCTAGCTTGTCCTTGTTCACGCCTTCCATCACCAAAGGTCTTGGTTATAGTTCCCTTCAAGCTCAACTGATGACTGTTCCACCTTGTGAGTATTACTTCTCAGTGGTCCATTTTCGGACTACAGAGCGATTCGAAGTGGCTAATCTGAAACAGATGCTGCGGCCTTTGTCGTCACAATCTTGCTTTCGTTTTACTGCGATAGATACGAAGCACGCGCAATGACTACAATCGGTCTGATGCTTGTCGGTGCCGCCGGATTTATCGGCTCTGCATGTCTTCCCCCGACTTCCTATACCTCAAGATACGCCTGTCTTGTGATCGCGGCCTGTGGAACATTCGCTACTATCCCCATTCTACTAGGGTGGTTGTCTGCAAATCTTCGATCCACATCTGCCCAGGGCCTTGCGCTGGCACTCAATATATCTTTCGGCGCTCCTGGTCAAATCTTGGGCGTCTGGATCTACAAAGGTTCGGAGCAGAAGAAGGGCTATCCAACAGGCCACTGGATCAATGGAGCACTTTTGCTTGTTGGATCTGTGCTCACTGGTGCTCTGGTCGCACTGTACACCTATCGCAATAGGAGAATCGATAAGGGATTGGTGGTTGATAAGAAGTGGGCATTGTGAGTGTCTTTCGATTGAAAAATAAGACTCTGGCACTACGAGTATGAAGACGAGACCCTAGTAAACGTTAGAAAGAAACAATGTAGCAATTAAATAGATCTCCACTGTTGACACCTTAGTGCTGGTTAAAACGCATTATTGTAAGATGTCGTGAGCATATGGTCAATGTTCTGTGGACTTTTAAGTGTATTATTGATATAACGTAGGTGGCATACGAGCCGTGGGGATGGACGAGCCGTGGGTCGTGCCAAGCCCCCACCAAAATCGTAACAAGTTTACGACAAAACACGACTTTTATTGTAAATCGCTACAAATTACTACAAATCGTAGTACTACAAATTAATCGCTACAGTCTCCTGCGTCCTTCTTGCACGTGCGTGAGTTGTGGCCAGTCTCTCCACACGTTTTACAGTGCCTTTTGCCTTTAGTGCTCTCATCTGCCTCCTCCCCATCACCACCCTT